TCGACCTATGGTTAAAGGTGGAGGAGTCCCTTCCACTTCTTCACAACCACTTTGATTAGACACGTATTTTTTTGTTTTAGGAGGCTATAAACCTAAAACTACGTTATATTTTGTGAAGAGACTATCATATCAATAATATCGTGTTACAAACTTAGATGTACAATCCAAGATGGTTTAAAACCAATAAAAACTTCTTTTCATTTTACTTCCCTACTGTTGTCTATATGGAAGTGACAACGATTAGATTTATGCATACTTCTGTGTTAAATGAATGAAAGAAAGAAAATGGCATCATGTTCTCTTGTACTACATGGATGGATGGAGATTCTTGAACTCAACATATATACCTCATGTGCTATTCCCCTCATAACTAATTGGTTTTGAGGTATAACCACATGTGGGCTTATATAGGCCTTCGAGATGGTATCAGAGCGGGTTTTAATCCACGGACCTATGGGACTTGTGGGGCAAGGTGGTGTAACACCCCAGCTGCTAGGTCTGTCCCAATAACTATTTGGAACTCCCACCTACTTACTTCCTTGGGGTATCACAGGTGGACTGACCCAAATTGGATCTTGAAACTTTGGTCAACCCACGGAAGAAATCTGGGGTTTGATTTTGAACTTTGACTGGCCCGGCAGACGACGATTTATCCGAAAAAATAACCGATTGCAAGATTTAAAAAAACCAGAAAAAATATATATATAATTAACCGTCCAAGCCCATTGGGCTTGAGTGTTAAATGAATGAAAGAAAGAAAACGACCTCGTGTTCCCTTGTCCCACATGGATGGATGGAGACTCTTGAACTCAACATATATACTCATGTGCTACTCCCCTCATTGCTAATTGGTTTTGAGGTGGAACCACATGTGAGCTTATATGGGCCTTCAAGATTCTAAGCAAAAGAGATTGTAAATCTTTAAAACGGCCTCATGTTCCCTTGTCCCACATAGATTGATGGATGGAGACTCTTGAACTCAACATATAAACCCATGTGCTACTCCCTTCATTGTCAATTGGTTTGGAATCACTAGAGTAACATAAAAATCCTCCAAGCCATGAAATGCAAAGTATCTTTCAAACTGATTATTCTGATTATTCTTTAACATATGTACTGATTGTTTTTTGATATCGTATTTAAAAATTCTTCTGCCATGAAAATTTAAACTGGACATTTATTTCAGCATGAAAGATGAGAAATTGAAATTGTCAATGAAAGACCGTAAAGTATACAAACGATACTACATCATTGATGATGTCGAAGTATTAGAAATATTAGGAAAATGAGTCCTACAATAAATGAATTTTAATTGAATCATTCATTCATATGCTTTTAGGTCTTGAAAATGATGTGGTTGAAGAACATCAATCATTGACTACAAGTCTCATTTTGATTAGAGAACCCAAAGGTTAATCATTTAGAGGGATGCCAATCAAAGACCGAGCAGGACAATGGAGGAAAGAAAATAGATAGAGGTGGCTAAAGACACAGGATGGTGAATAAAAAACTATTAGGGTATAGGAGTTGTTTTGTAGAAGGATGGGCTTGTAATATCACTCTAATATTCCTGAACTGGGCTTCAAATTGAGTCTTTTTTGAACTTTTTTGAGAGTTCATTATGTGGGCTACGTTTAACATTTCACTATCTATCATGTGTGTTGCGGGCTTGATACACGAAGGACTTGTGGGATGCATCCCTTTACAATCCATGAAAACAAATGACATTTAGAATATGTGTCAGCTTCACAAAGTTTTTTTTTTCTCGTTAAAACGAAAAATATAAATCTTTTGCAAAAATATAACGCCACGCGTCTTGTGTTCATTCGAAAAAAAACAAAACAGAAAGATAATTACACTTAAATGTACACGTAATCAGTCTTCAATTTAAGAATATACATTCCTTTAAATGTTACAGTTGAGATCAACTAAAATACTGCCATCATCATGCTGAATAACACGTGCGAACTATTGGCCGCAGAATCAAATCCCCTTTGAATATGAAAGATTGCACAATCAGTGGACTAAAGGCCGGAGGACGACGGATTGAGGTAGAAACCAACGATGAGAGGACTAAAAGGAGCTCTTCATCTCCACTAACGTAAGTAAACTATCACAATCCGATTTGTTTGGATTTCATTTATTTACAAGCTTTAAAGTTGTTGAGATTGAAACTTCTGGCTCTTGGATGGTCGATGAACAAATATTCCTTTTGGATGATTGAATCGATTCTGCTTATCAATTTTCAGATGCATATTTCAACAACACAAGCACGAATAACTCCAATCCGATTGAGGCAAACAAAGACGATGATGGGGATGTAAAGCTATTCCTACAAATCAGCCCGACGACATCTGCGATCAATCATCAACCCACCGTCTGTGATTTCGTAGCTGCAATCACAGTTGATTCCTACAAATCAGCCTAAAGAAGATGACCCTCTTTATCTTTCGTAGTGGATCGATTTAAAAGGGCAAGGATTTTTAGATTCGACAACTCGGTAAGTATCTCTGACCATTGCTCTGTTCGGCTGCTTTCATAATCAAGATTTTTGTGTTTTTATTAATGATTTTTCTCTTTAAGTTTGACCTAGATCCCTGATTAATGGTGTCGACGAAGGGAAGACCATAATCACCGGGACTTTTTTTAGGATCAGTTTTGTCGGCGGCGGCACTCGGATCGCTTTTGTGGTGGTTGTTGTCGGCGGAGATGGTGGAAACATGGTGTTGTTATGATGCTTCTCAAGCACTGAAGCTCTGATTGGTTTGCCAATGATACTTTCAAATGACAATGTCCCCTCATGGGTAAGCATCTTTTTTTCTTCTCATATGGATTAATTTCATTATACATAATTTATCATTGATTCGTTATTGTTTCTCGGTATCAATTGATTGGATTGAATGAATGGATTATTGTTGTTGAGTTTTTGTTGATGCAGTTACTTGGATGAATCGCTATTTTGATGTCCATTATGTGTTATGTATTTTTGTTGAATTTTAAACATTGGATAAAAGATTTGATTAATTTATAATGCTAGGACAGTGCTAAAATGTTTCAAAATTCATACTGTGATGTGGTAGTTTTGAGCATTCTTCGTTATTGTAGTTACACCTTTTAGATGTTTTTTGACAAAGTTGGCAATGGGCAAATTGATCTAGATGAGTAAAACATACTAGAGGTGTGCTCCATGAAATCATGCAAGAGGTGGATACATGCAAGGTATAACATTTCACCCATCTCTGCAATCTGTTGCATAATTAGATTCTTTTTATTCTGTGTTTTAATCTTTTTTGAAACCAACAACTGTTCTGCTCATCAAAATAAAGAAGGCTGCAACTTTTAGGAAGGCATTTAGTGAGGAATTTGTTCAAATCTTTGTGCTTCCGTGATAAAATTGCAACCCCAACCGTAGTTCGTCTCCAGAATCCTTCTTTATTCATTCTAATTATGAATATTTTATTGTATAGGATGGAGGGAATGATGAAAATTGAACTGATTGGAGAAAGGCATCTCGCCAATACTCAAGAGAAAGGTTAAAAGAGTTTGAGCCTTAATCTGATGAAAGATGGATCCCTTCAGCTGCATGATAGGTTCACTGGTCAATTCAAGAGCCATGGCTTCCAATATAGAGTTTAAAATTTTTTACAAACTTTGAATTGAAGAACTAGAAAATTGAACTTCCACTCGACCAGCTTCTGATAATTTATTGTAACAAGTGATTGGTTAATTTTATGTTTTATTTGTTTCACATATTTTCCTTTTTTGATTTTCTTATAGACGTGATTGTAACAATTCGGTTCGATGAGTGACGGGTCACCCGGGCATTTGCCATTTAAGGATAAATAGATATGTGAATATAGAATTATCGTATAAGTGTGTTGCCGGATTATCAATAGTAGTGTTGACCGTGCCAGGAATTTTCGGTGATTGAAATCTCCTCACATCCTTATTTCCTTCAGACTTTTTTTTTTTTTTTTTTGTTCTTGAACTATCTATCAAACATTGACTAATAATAGATGGAATATCGACGACTACTGTAGTTGTTCCATCTTGGGTGAGTTAACCATCTTGGTGAATTGAATGTCTTTTACAGTTTTCTCTTCTCTTCTTCGGAATAGTCGATCCTGAATCTGTTAATGTGAGAGGTTGCACTTCTTTTATAATTTTACACCATCTCTGGTTTGTATTCTCATACAAACAAGTCTTTTATTTTTATTTTTTTTCTGGTCAAATACAAGCTAGCCTTCCACAAGTATAAGTTAGCTCTTAAATATTATATTTTTATTATTATTTTACTAAAATCATATGAGAAAAAAATATCTGAAGGCGGCCGTCCAGCCTTTTGACCGGGCCAAGCATCTAATTTTCTGTTAATGTCTGTAGCAGAACTTTGAATAAAATACTACTTTTGAATTAGCCTAAACACTATCTCTAAGCACGTCTACAAATGTCTAAACTCTAAACTCTCAAGTCTAAGCACAAACAACCTAATTCTTGATTTGGATAACGAATCACACATTATTCTTGATTTGGTCATCAAACTATTCTTGATTTGGAGTATTATTATTTGATGAACCTGTTTTTCATCAACAACCGGGGCACTGTTTATTTTGAATATTCAAACCCGTCAATGTCAATTCCAAGCAATAATAGAGGACAAGCGTCAATCAAATACTGTAAAGTATATATGAAAGATCATCCATGATTCATTCGATGATGTCAAAGTAAGAAAAATGACATGAAAATGAGACCTCTTACGATGATGAATTTTGCTCGAATAAAAATACGTCTCTACCAAACCACACAACAGTTTTATTTTTCTTTAAAATAAAAATAATAATAATAAAAAAAGAAGCGGGCAAGAGCTGCAAACTTTGCTGAATTTGATTTTTTTGTTCGTACGTTCGAACTTCGGTTTCTATGTTCAAATGCACAAACATAACTTTTGTCAGTAAGTTCACAAGAACTAGTCATCTGTTTCTTCCTCCATTTGTTGCCAAATGGCTGGAGACTCTACTGAAATCCTCCACGACTTCTATCCTTTGATCCGAGTGTATAAAGACGGCCGAATTGAAAGATTCGAAGGGCTTGATTTTGTTCCTGCATCAGTTGATCCAGAAACAGGAGTTCAAGCCAAAGACGTTGAGATATCACCCGAATTCAACGTTTCAGCCAGGCTTTACCTACCCGATATCAGCAAATTCCGAGGTCGAGATTTTCAAAAGCTTCCACTTTTAGTCTACTTCCATGGCGGCGCATTCGTGGTCGGATCAACCTTCTCCTCCACATATCAAAAACATCTTATTTCACTTGCCCACCAAGCTCGTGTGATCATCGTGTCAGTAAATTATCGATTAGCCCCAGAGCATCCTCTTCCTGCCGCTTATGAAGATTCACGGCTTGCCCTGAAATGGGTTGCTTCTCATTCAACATCAAGAAGTGGTGAAAGATGGCTCTTGGATCACGCCGATTTTGGCCATGTTTACTTTGGTGGGGATAGCGCTGGTGGAAATATAGCACACAAAATGGCCTTGAAGATTGGAGTGGAGGGATTGGATGGCTTCAAGCTTGATGGGATTTTCCTAGCCTGTCCTTATTTTTGGGGGAAAGACCCCATTGGCAATGAAGCAGAGAGGAAGTTGGAAAAGAAGTTCTTGGACAAGTTGTGGCCTTTTGTGTGCCCAAATAGTACTGGTGGACTTGATGACCCATGGATAAATCCTGCAAAAAGCCATCATCTTTCCAGATTAGCCTGCAAAAAGGTGCTGGTTTTTGTTGGTGGGGAAGATGTGCTGAAAGATAGAGGGTGGTATTATAAAGAATCACTGGAGAGAAGTGGATGGAATGGAGATGTGGAAGTTGTGGAAGTTGAAGGTGAAGGACATGTATTCCATTTGACCTCTCCAAACAGCCAAAAAGCTAGGTTGATGGTCAGGAAGTTGGTTTCTTTTCTCCAATGGAAAATGAATTAATGTGTAGACTACAATGCATTTTAATCTCATCAGGTCAATGAAATAAGCCAAATCTTGATGGCAAGTTTCTATGTAATGTGCCTATTCTAGAAATGAAAATCTCTTGTTCTACACAATGTTAGCAGTTGTCCAAGCTAGTTGGTTCAAGAAAAACTCTTCTTATTAGTTACTCAGGCAATGCGTAAATAACTACTACAAATGATTAGCATAATAAGGGCAAGAACAGCAGTACAATATTTAACTCTGTTATGCTAACCAAAAAAGAGTTCAAGAGGAAACAGAAAACAAGTACACAGAAAAATTGCAAGCAAGCAATCCAGTAGCTGGTGGTTCTAAGACTTGCTTCTGATGATGATGATGTTTCTTTTGTTTACAAATGAAACCACCCATTGCATCAAAACCTTGGCTTTCTCACAATCTGGTTTTTCCAAAAAGAAGCAATGTTCTTCTCCTTCTGTTTCCTTAAATTCCACTTCTCCACCCCATCCACTCCTCTTCAGCGCATCGTAATATCTATAGCTTCTGTCTCTTATGAAATCTTTCTCAGCAGTACAAACCAGAATTCTGCTGCACTTTAGGCTAGACAGTGAACTGGGATGAGCCATTGGATTCAATAAGGGGTCATCCGCGCTGCCATTTTCCGGAGCTATGTAGGTCCAAAGTTTATCTGGCTTACCATTACCAAAGAATGGGTGGACCAAAACCATTCCCACAATAGTAATCTTATCAACTAATTCGCCGTCATTAGCACCATATCGAACCATGATTCGATGAACAATATTAGCTCCGGCACTGTCCCCAGCCAGAAAAACTCTGCTGAAATCAGCATGTGAATTGATCCACGGGTCAGACCCATTTCCAGAATTACAGTGTTTAGCAACCCATTTGAAGGCTGTCCAAGAATCATCATAACATGCCGGGATTGGGTTCTCCGGGGCTAACCTGTATTCGATGGAGATAACAATGGCCTTGGCTTCAGCTGATAGTGAATTCGTATACGGATGGTAGAGAGGAGAGAAAGCTGATTCAATCACGAATGCGCCACCGTGGGCGTAAATAATGACGGGAAGCTTTTCATCGGCGGCGATGGTTGAAGGAACATAAATGCGGACGGTAAGGCCAGTTTCAGGCGATATTTTGACATCTTTTGATCGGACGCCGGACTGAGGATCGTTGGATGGAGGGGTGTATGGAAATTTCACGTATCTTTCAATCCGGCCGTCCTTGTATATTCGAAAATACGGTGAAAAGTCCAAATATTCATCCGATTCCATAGCTACCTACAAAACCTGCTACTAACTTCTGGACTGCAGTCTAAAGTGGAGTGCTTTAGAAAATAAGGACAATTGAGACGGCAAAAAGCAGTAAGGAAAAGCGTCGGCAGGGTGCAGACAACATTAAAATTCATTGAATAAGAAAAAATTAATAAAGAGTAATGATATTTCACTCTAAAAATTTAACTCTAGTCAATAAAAGCCTTCACCTACTTGGATTTTACTGAAAACACAACATTATTTTGTCATCTTACCGGGAAATACTGTAATTCACTTCTTTATTTGTATTTGATTTATCAATAATTCACTTCTTTTGCTGGCACAAAAATGATTCAGTTTAAAATAGGTCCTGTCCCAACAAAAATAAAACAATCATATTAAATGTCTCAATTTGATGCACCAAAATAATAATAATAATAATAATAATAATAATAATAATAATAATAATAATAAATAAAGTTCGCCGCAGATCATTTTTACTACTAAAAATGATCTGGGATGAGCCATTGGATTCAATAAGGCTTAACCCATCCAATACATCGTAATACCTATAGCTTTTCTTTTTACTACTAATAAATACCCCCAAAAATAAAACTCAAGAATTTACAAGAAGTTCACCTTAAATGACTTATTTAGTCACAAAGAACAAAACACTCAATTTATACATTGGTTAGATGAGACTAATTTGACTAAATATCAAACCATAGTGTACAAAAAATGAAAATAAATAAACACTTAGCATAAATTTTAAAATTTAATGTAAAACTCGAACAGACATTCTAGCTTGTAGTAACTGTAATTGGACGTTTCTTCGTAATAACTCCGAGATTAGGTGGGGCGATGACCAACCAATAAACCATCCTACTTTTTCACGTCTCTTCCTCCTGTATATATATAGTAAGTATACAACAATACCAATGAAGATAGAAAAACCCATCCCACACTAGTCCAAGTTTGTTCCTCTCTGTTGTTCCTTTGCTAATTTACACTTATAGCACTTAGCTATGGCGGATACCAACTCCAAAGAAATACTCCATGATTTCTCTCCTATGATCAAAGTATACAAAGATGGCAGCGTGGAAAGATTGCTTGGGAACAATATTGTTCCCGCATCAGTAGATCCCGAAACCGGAGTTCAATCCAAAGATGTCAAACTATCTCAACAACCCGAAGTCTCTGCTCGGGTTTACCTCCCCGGAAACCCCGAACCCGGCCGGAAACTTCCTCTCCTGGTGTACTACCACGGCGGAGGCTTCTTCATTGAGTCCGCCTTCTCTGCTACTTACCACACTCATCTTAACGCCGTGGTGGCAGAGGCTAATGTGATTGCAGTTTCGGTTGAATATCGTCTTGCCCCGGAGCACCCTCTTCCCGCAGCTTATGAAGATTCGTGGATTGCTCTCAAATGGGTTGCTTCTCATTATAACGGCGGTGGCCCGGAAGAATGGCTAAACAAGTACGCTGATTTTGATCGGGTTTTTTTGGGTGGAGATAGCGCCGGCGGCAATTTGGCACATAACATGTGTTTGAAGTTAGGACTGGAGGAATTGGATGGGTTAAGCCTTCAAGTGGAAGGGATTTTTCTTAATTGTCCTTACTTTTGGGGGAAAGAACCAATTGGGGGCGAAATCACGGCGCCGTGGAAGGCATTTATTGATAGTCTTTGGTGTTTTGCCTACCCGAATTCTGAAGGGCTCGATGATCCATTGCTGAATGTGGTGAAGGAATCGAAGCTCTCGAGCCTAGGCTGCAAAAGGTTGCTGGTTTATGTGGCTGAGCTAGATCTTCTGAAACACAGGGGATGGCAATACAAGGAAGAACTGGAGAAGATTGGGTGGAGTGGTGAAATCGAAATTGTGGAAGTTGAAGGGGAACAACATGTTTTCAATCTGTTCTTTCCCAGGGCTGAGAAATCTGTGTCTCTGGTGAAAAAATTGGCTTCTTTCATCAATCGGACTTCTCAGTAAACATTATCGATCTCGATCCACCGGAATAAATGTTTCTGTTATGAAGTCCATTTGTATTCAATGTACCGATTTTAATTCATTTTCACAGTTTGAGTGTTGCTAATAGAATGGTTTTTGAGCTGCCAAGAAAGCATCTGTTTTGCCTTTCCATTTCGGAATGATGTGTTGATTAATTAACCGTCGTAGGAATTTCCGTTTATAGGCGGAAGTTGCTAGTGTTTTTTTCTTTTTTCTTCCTCCACAAAACTGAACTTGACCGTCGTAGGAAACTTTGCAAAGAGCAGTTAAGTGTGTAGTCCCGGCCGCCGGTAACCTGACCAAAAATTAAAGTCCAGTTATAACATTGACAATTCAATTCTAAGCACAATAGTGCTAACGGACAATAGGTGGGAAATTCAAACCGAATACTCTAACAAAACTATTTTTGTTATAACAAATTAGTCCAGATTTTATCTTTAGAGCTGGATCGTGCAATCTTACAATGTCTTTAGAACTTGTTGACGTACAAGAAATTAGTTAATCACCTACAAAAAATCGACCCCTAATAAATATGTTTAATTACTATGGTCAAATTCAATTGTATTAGTTAGTCCTTTAATGGCTCTAACCATATTGTCATAAATTCTGGCAACCTCTCAAGTCTAAAGTGTAGCTGTTCATTGTAACCATTCTAACTATCCACTTAGACCATAGAGGCATAGATTATCTACAAGTACTCGACAAGAAACAAATTCCAAACAAAGCCGACTTAGACTGTGGAATTTGAAACAAACTCCCAACACTACATCCTAGTAATCACGTAATGAAATCTTAAAATGCCTCAATTGTTCATATGATGGGAATATTAATACCTATTATATACGATATACTAACCACCAGTTAATATTTAACGAGGATCTCTAAAAAAAATCTTCTAAAATAATTAAATAATATATGTCCCATTCTAATTTTTTTTTTTTACATTTTTAATATATATTTGTACATTTTCAATAAAAATATATACACGGAAAAAACGATCCAAATATATCTTCATTCTATTATGGCTCAAACAAAAACAAAATCAAGCAAAAAAATCGTGAATGGGAAAATGTTATTCAATTGGTCAAGTAACCTGCAAAGCAAATATAGCCAAAATCCCTCCCATCAAAAGTCAGTGATTTCTTACCGTTGATTTTCCCTCCACCTCTCGTTCCGTTAGAGGCTAACAAAATTAAACGTCACCAATTAAAACCATCGAAATTATATATTCCATTAAGTCTTGTTGAAAAAAAGGGTATTTGCCCTATTTTCGATTTTTCTGCTTCTTTATTCTTCTTCTTCCACGAGTCCCGACCGACCCTACCCAATCAAAATTATTTCCCAAGTCACCCGCTCCATAGTTCTCTGATATTTTCCTTTTATTATTTTCCCTCCATTTTTTTTTTTTCACAAAAACCCTTCCCGACCTGTGGTCCCAAATCTAAAACCTCATCATCCGATATCCATCACCATCACTCCGTTTCCCCCTTGTCTTTGCATAAATCGCTGGAACTCCCTCCGCCTCATCTTCATTTTCACAACCACGGCACGTTTAATTGCTGCCCTCATGGAGAGAGCGGCGGTGCTTCATCGCCCACTCTCTCCCGGCGCCGGCGCCGGCGCCAGGATGTTTACCCGTTCAATTCACCGCCAACCTCGTCTCCTCCCACAGCACCGTTCGATTGTCCCCAAGTTCAATCGCGGTTCACCTCTCTTACTCCGCCAACACCTCCCGGTGCTCTCCACTCTATCGTATTCTTCTCGCCACTTCAGAACCGGTTTCAGCTCCTTCTCAGTTAGAGCTATTGCTACCTCATCCACCCAGCCGTCTCCCGGTATTTATTCTTCTTTTAGTTTGGTGTTTTAATTTAACTTATTGTTTGTATTTTCCCCTACAATTTTGCTATGTGGTTAAATTCATTGTATTGTGGATAATGATTTCAGAGGTTCTCGGTGCTGATGATGAAGTCGCGGCGAAGCTAGGTTTTGATGTGGTTTCAGAGCAATTCATTGAAGAGTGTAAGTCTCGGGCGGTTTTGTACAAGCATAGAAAGACTGGAGCTGAAATTATGTCGGTTTCCAACGATGACGAGAATAAATGCTTTGGCATTGTCTTCCGAACTCCTCCGTAAGTTTTATTTAGTTATAGCTAGCTTGTGTGATCTTGACATTGTATGTATATTAGGCATTCGTTATTTAGGTTCCTCAGTATTTATATATGATTTTATTGCTTGTTAGGCACATAAATTTGAAGTTGTCTCATTAGAAGAAACGGTTATACTTTGATAAAAATCCGCCTTAAAGGTTTGGCCAATTGTTGATGCAGGAAAGATTCTACTGGAATTCCTCATATTTTAGAGCATAGTGTCTTGTGTGGTTCAAGAAAGTATCCTCTGAAAGAACCATTTGTTGAACTACTAAAAGGGAGCTTGCACACTTTTCTCAATGCATTTACCTACCCGGATAGGACATGCTATCCAGTTGCATCCACGAATGCCAAGGTTAGAAAACTACATCAAAAGTTTATGAGAATTCTTCTTATATATTTTTTCTTACTTCTGGATCCTTACTGACACATGGTTTTTCGGTCAATGCAGGATTTTTATAACTTGGTGGATGTGTATTTGGATGCTGTCTTCTTCCCTAAATGTGTGGAGGACTTCCAAACATTTCAACAAGAGGGTTGGCATTATGAGCTGAACGACCCTTCAGAGGATATCACCTATAAAGGTTGTTTATCCTTGTTTAAATATTTTGAAATGTATATCCAGTTGTATGTATTTCACATTGTTGGGTAAAATTCCTCATATGTTCATTGGATCATGCCCCTGGCATGCTCGTCATGTGATGTTATGCTAAAATACATGTAAATACATCTTCATTGCTGCTTATATATGTTATCAATGGTGGATATTAGGTGTCGTGTTCAATGAAATGAAAGGTGTTTATTCCCAGCCTGATAGCATATTGGGCCGGACTTCCCAGCAGGTTGGTTTCATTGTTCATAGTGAGCCTGTGCTTGGAATTAGTTCTCTGTGCAAGACTGTTCCATCAAGAAGTGTGTTCTAACTGCTTCAATGTGATTGATGCAGGCTCTCTTTCCTGACAATACATATGGTGTTGATAGTGGTGGTGACCCACAAGTTATTCCCAAACTTACTTTTGAAGAGTTTAAGGTAATTAAGTAGTAAGGTTCTATAGTTTTCTCGTTAAAGCACCTTGTAGGAGTTTGGTTCCTGTTAGGCTTTAGCTACTTATCTTTAGCCACACATGTAAGACTTCCTACTTGTCTTCAGCTACACACAAAGTCCTTCGGTTTAAGCTTAAAAAGCATTATGAATTTGACGATGTTTTTGAACTGCTATTACTGTTCAGCGACTGCATTAGTTATTTCGTTTCAGCTTGGATTTCAATAGTTTCTTTACCGAAATTGATGCATTCGCTGTGATTTGTGTCTTAATATATAAGCTTCTGTCCCTCTTTAAGAATCTATCATTAGCTTTGCTCAAGCTTGGATTTAACTTGTTAGTGTAATATTTGTTGGGTAAACATATAAATGCATACAGTTACATGTAACACATCAAAAAGTACAGATGTACTCATCACACAGCTATTTGGGTGATGCTATGCTTCTCCGAGGCGCTGAAGATAAATTTTTGCCTGATATTATCATGTCCAATTTATCGTGTCAGATTTATTTAGTTGTACTTTGCATTGCAACATCCTAAACTGTCACTCATGTAACATTTTGTGGATGTCAACTTGTGTTTTGATGGTAATCTTTGTAATGGGCGAATGTCTGGAGTGTACTGCTTGGAAGAAAGATAAATGAGGACTTCCTTTTCAATCTGCTTTTCGTATTGGTAGATGCTTCTAGTATAGATTGATAAATTTGGAACCATTCTGCAGGATTTTCATCGTAAATATTACCACCCCAGCAACGCCAAGATATGGTTCTATGGAGATGACGACCCAACAGAGCGTCTTCGTATTCTAAGTGGTACACTCACATTCTTTACTATAAAAAATATAAACAGTCAATGGTTTTGTTAACTTAAGAACTTGATATATCTTGGTATTTTTTGACCCTGTGAGTTAGATCAACAGTTCACGTTATGTTATCTCTCTGCCGTGGCATCTAATTTAGCTAAAGAACTTGATCTCTCTCTGCTGTGGAATCTCCTAGAATCTCATAAAAATAAATTATGAGATACTTGTGATTAGACAGGCCAAGATAGTATGGTTTTAAGATGTTTTCAATGTACCTTTGGTGGGACTCATGTATCTACATATCCTTTTGTTGTTTTGCTATCTTTACTCCTGTGGTATCCCATATTGCATTTTTTCCTTGCAGAATATCTGGATCTGTTTGATGCAAGTTCTGCTCCCCAGGAATCAGTAGTTAAACCACAGAAGCTTTTCTCTGAGCCAGTTAGGGTTGTTGAGAAATATCCTGCTGCTGAAGGTGATGACTTGCAGAAGAAACATATGGTATGTCTTAATTGGCTGCTCTCTGAAAAGCCGCTGGACTTGGAAACTGAGCTTGCCATGGGGTTTTTGGATCATCTTCTAATTGGCACTCCAGCCTCTCCCTTGAGGAAAATTTTACTGGAAAGTGGCTTAGGAGAAGCTCTTGTTGGGGGTGGGATTGAAGATGAGCTTCTCCAGCCTCAGTTTAGTATCGGATTGAAGGGTGTCAAGGAAGAAGATATTCCAAAGGTGGAAGAACTGGTCATGAAAACTTTACAAAAATTAGCTGAAGATGGTTTTGATTCAGATGCTGTTGAGGCATCCATGAATACAATAGAGTTCTCGCTCAGAGAAAATAATACTGGCTCTTTTCCGCGTGGCTTAGCGTTGATGCTTCGTGCTGTTGTAAGGATATTTTACCTACATTTTCTCTGTATTGATTTTTATCATTGCTGAATATATTCATACCAGGAATATGTGCTGTTGTTAGTTTTATTTTCTCCTTTGTTTCTTCTAATATATTCTTTGGGATAATGTCACAGGGAAAATGGATTTATGATATGGATCCTTTTGAGCCACTGAAGTATCAGAAACCTCTGATGGACTTGAAAGCAAGAATTGCAGAGGAAGGGTCCAAAGCAGTCTTTTCTCCTTTAATTGAAAAGTACATATTGAGAAATGCGCACTGTGTGGCTGTTGAAATGCAGGTATCTTCTTACTCTCTACCTTTATATTATTGTCATGCCTGATGACAGTATTTTGGTTAATTGATGTAACAAATATTTGGGTTTTGACAGCCCGACCCAGAAAAAGCTTCACGTGATGAAGAAGCTGAGAAGGAAACCTTGAAGAAAGTGAAAGCCAGCATGACTCAGGAGGATCTTGCTGAGCTGGCACGGGCGACGCAGGAGCTGCGGTTGAAGCAGGAAACTCCTGACCCGCCTGAAGCTCTGAAAAGTGTACCAAGCCTGTCTCTGCAAGATATCCCAAAAAAACCCTCATATGTTCCTATTGAGGTAGTGTACGCCTGGTTTATCTTGGGTATAATATTATATGGATCCTCTTGTGTCTTGATTACTAAACTTGCATGATACAGGTTGGAAATGTGAATGGAGTAAAAGTTCTGCAGCATGATCTCTTCACAAATGACGTCCTTTACGCAGAAGTTGTCTTTGACATGAGCTCATTAAAGCCGGAGCTCCTTCCTTTGGTACCTCTTTTCTGGTGAGATGCTATCTTATCTATATTTGTTACAAAAGAAAGTTGATATAAACAGAGAAGAAAAAAGGTCTGATGTGCTCAGAAAACATGATTATGCAGATGGGTTTAGGAAGTTTCAAATTTTTAATGTTTGCTAATCTTATATAAATTACTTGACAGTCAGTCACTCAAGGAGATGGGCACGAAGGATATGGACTTCGTTCAATTAAACCAGCTGATTGGACAAAAAACCGGAGGAATTTCAGTGTATCCCTTTACATCATCAGTGCGGGGAAAGGAGGATCCTTGTAGCCACATGATTGTTCGTGGAAAAGCCATGGCCTCACGAACTGATGACCTGTTTAACTTGGTAATTTCCCCTCTTTTTTCCTGTTAAGCAAGAACCTTAAGTTTCAACGTGTTATTTTGCTTTCCTCCTCAAGGCTTCAATCCGAACTCCAGAAAGTGTCCCCAGTTTCATCTGCTTGCTTGAGATTGCTAAATTTCTCGTCTGATGATTGCTGAACTGTGGTTGACTCTCCTCTAGCCACTATTTTTTGCATTTGCTATGGACTTGTGTTGGGGCTCTCCTTTTTCTAGCATACTTTTGAAAATTCTGGATTGTTCTTTGGTAACTTATACTCTATGCAATCTAAGTTGGTTAAGTACAGTACGGGATGCTCTTGTTGTTTGTGTTGTTTTGATAGTCTATGGTTGGTTCTACAGTTTATGTCAAAACTGGAAAGAAATAACACAAGAAAATTCTTCCTTTGTAAGATGAAGCGGCAGACTGTATAGTATATAGGTGCTTCTTGTTTTTCATGCTATAAAATGCCAGATATAATGGACTAATGCAAACTGAGGTTCGCATCTCTTTAGGGTTTTTTTTTTTTTTTTGTTTTTTTGTTTTTTTGGGAGGGGTTGGGGTGGGGAGGTTTAGTAGTTTCAAATAGGTTTGAAGATGGTTGGCATAGTGCTAATTTCCGATTCAAGGAATATCACTCAACTAATAACTGATAACTCGTTGCCTATTTACCTAGTTTATGGGTTTATTTCCCTAGTTTATGGGTTCTGGTGATAAAATTCATGGAAAATCTTGCTTTAGATGGAGTTTATTTTGGCATTTTTGCAAATATGAACTCCTCGGGTGAACATCCTTTTGACGATTAACTAACTTACATTGTCATTTCTAGATGAATAGTATCCTTCTGGATGTCCAGCTGACTGACCAAAAGCGATTCAAGCAATTTGTTTCTCAAAGTAAAGCGAGAATGGAGGTGATAATGAATCATTTTCTTAATGAGCTAAATATAACCGATCGTTCGTTTATTCTTTGCTGATCTTGTCGAAATTTTTAATATCTCTGTAGAATCGTCTAAGAGGCAGTGGACATGGCATAGCTGCTTCCAGGATGGATGCCAAGCTTAATATTGCAGGATCAATATCAGAACAAATGGGTGGTTTAAGGTTAGCCATTTGGTCGTCTTCCCTGTATCTCGGTGCTGAGTTGGTACTTCGTAGTTCTTCCTTTTGCCCTCAGAATAATAGTACCTTTTGATTTTGCAAGTCACATCTACGATTAAAACCTTTGTTCATGCTATTCTAGATTTGCCACCTGTATTGTCATCTTTCTATATGTGGATGTCTTTGGTGTATTAGAAAATTGGTCTTAACTTCTGAGATGAAAGTGGGTATATGAATTGGATTGTTGTCTCTTTCAGCTACCTTGAGTTCCTGCGAGATCTCGAGGAGAAAATTGACAATGCATGGCCTGAAATTGCATCATCACTTGAGGAAATCCGGAGGTCATTGTTCTCGAAGGACCGTTGCCTAATAAACCTTACTGCTGATGGTAAAAATCTCATGGGCGCTGAGAAACATATCAGCAAATTTCTGGACGTGCTTCCTCCCTCTTCACAAGTGCAATCATTCTCTCACCAATCGCGTCTTCCTTTAACTAATGAAGCAATTGTGATACCTACTCAGGTTGGGTTGACTAGTTGTGTAAAGTCTATATATTCGTTATAAAACTTTTCTGGTAAAATTGTAATAAGTATCTACTAATGTGGTTCCTATGTTTTAATCTGTGTAGGTGAATTATGTAGGAAAGGCTGCAAATCTCTTTGATTTTGGGTATCAGGTTAAAGGAAGTTCTTATGTGATCTCCAAATACATCAGCAACACCTGGTTGTGGGACCGTGTCCGAGTTAGTGGAGGAGCATATGGAGGATTTTGTGATTTTGACACACACTCTGGTATGGAAACTGGCTTGCGTTTTCCTTTTTTTATTTTTTGCCATTGTATGCTTTTATTTATCTTGGAAATTCTTTATGCAGGAGTATTTTCGTTCCTGTCTTACCGGGACCCAAATTTGTTGAAGACAATTGATGTGTATGATGGAACTAGTGACTTTCTAAGACAGCTAGAATTGGATGATGATAGTCTAACCAAGGCAATCATTGGGACCATAGGAGATGTGGATGCTTACCAGCTACCTGATGCGAAGGGTTACAGTAGGTAAGTTCATTGAAGGTGCTTTCTGTGGCTGAAAGGGTCTAGTGGTTGGAAATTTAACGTCTCTGATAATGTTTTCCTATATAAGAATAATTATATTAGCAGAATGTTTTGAAAAGGAAAGTGGACGACGACAATATCTTTGCTCTTTTGATCTTGCAGAGTGATGACTCCTAAAATTTTCTGATATGTTTGAACTGCAAAATCTGGCATCATGCTTTTTTATTTTTTTGTCCCATTGTTCCTAAGATATTTGGGCCCCTTTTCTTTCTTTGGTTAGCTTTGTTATTTGAGATATTTTTGTTGCTTTCAGTTTGTTACGGCATTTACTCGGAATTACGGAAGAAGAAAGACAACAGAGACGAGAGGAGATCTTATCCACCAGGTGAAGTTCAATCTTTCTGATAGTTTAAATTAATTGATCAGAGTGAAGGAAACTTCAACTGTGTGTGTGGGTGATTTAGAACCATGTTACCACTCAATTTTGTGGCACTTCTCCTGAAACTGTTGATATTTGTCGTGTTCTGATGTTCACCCTTATGGTTGCTATCTACTGATGATTTGATGTGTTCTTCTCCGAAGGTTGAATGATTTCAAGGAATTCGCGGGTGTAATTGAGGCTGTTAAAGATACAGGGGTGGTTGTTGCTGTGGCTTCTCCAGATGATGTTGAAGTAGCCAACCAGGAGCGTCCAGCCTTTTTTGAAGTTAAGAAAGCATTGTAAGAAACGAATGTCATTAGTTACTTCATCTAAAAACAATAACGAAAAGGGATTTACACGGTAGTTTACTCTCTGGGGGGAAGCGACTGCTTCACTTTTGTTCTATTTCAGTTGGCCGTACCCCATTACATTGTAGTTGACAATGCAATTGCAACTGTAGATTTGGCTATAATGTTGAAAGTAATGGAAATTCGTCCATTAAAATTCTTTGCACTTCAAACTTAGGCCTTTTGTGACCAAGTGCTAACTTATACCTGATGCTATAAACTTGTCCCCTGCGATGGTGAACCTGATAAAACAATTGTCAGTTTATCACACGGAATGACTCAGGTTCAATCATCAGATTAGTATCAGAAGCCGGCCACCACACCAGTTTGGCCTGGAAATGTGGGCACCTTTTTGCCCTGGGGATGAAACTAAAAGTGGTCGAGAGAATAATTTAGGAAACCTGCGGGAAAAAGTGAAAAAATTGTAGAGGGCAAATTAGTTGGGCCTCAACTTTGAGAGAATCAGAGCAAGATGTCCATAGATTGGACAAATCTTTTTACGTCAGTGTAATAGACTCTGAGTTCACTGTGAATATATATATTCTGAGGATAAAAAGGGTTGGGTTGTGCAGAACACAATTTTTGTGTCATTGTAAACGTAACGTAAGAATGTTGTCAGTTGTAGCCATCCTCGGGTGGTTCCAAAAGAGAACAGGCTAGCTTAGCTATAGCAGCAGCAGATGGTGAGATAGATAAATGGCAACAAGGATGTGTCGAAAAGGAGGCGTCAACGTTATGGCAAATTGGCTGCTTCTGGTTGTTTGTTCAACATCTTCCAAACAAGGTAGAGACAGTACCCTCATTTTGAGGGGGTTTGGGAGGATTGGACAATGGTAAAAAATTTGGCTTTGCTAATTTTTTTGTGCAAACCATCAACTTTGCCCCACCAAAAATGCTTCTCTTGGGTCGCTATATTTGCCCTAATAACTGCCAAACCAAATGCTTACCACTTTACCATTCTCTACTACTACTACTACTCTGACACTGCCAGGGGAATCCAATGCTCAACATGAGTTAGCACCACCACATGCATGCCCTTTCACTTCTTCTATTCCTTTCTTATTTTTTCTTCATAAACTTTGCATTCCCTCAACAAATTTGCATGCTCCAGATTTTCCTCGGGATTGCAGTAGACTTCAGTTTTCTTGCTCACTCGTTGTCTTGGGGCCCTTTTCGTTTTCTTCACCCCCTCCTCCTCCCCAATTGAAGAATGTGTGTTAAAAATACATTTGAGCAAGTCAACTACTGAGATCAGAATAGGGCAGGAGTGGTTAACCGTTAACTCGTGACATGACACAAAAAATCATACTTCCTCCCATCTGTCCCACAATTATTGTCCAGTTTGGATTTTCAGTTTTATTACAAATTGAACTAAAAATAAAAATCTAAACGGATAATAATTTCGGGATGAATGGAGTAACACAAGTTACATTATTAATTATAATACGAAAAGTACCATATGTTTACTTTTGCGAGGCACCCGACTGAATGTGATATGTTAACAAGAACCTCTAAAAAAAAAGTCAGGATCTAAATTTGACCCGTAAACAAGAACTATGACCTGGTAACACCCAATTAAGTGAGTTTGAGAATTTGAAATTTTGTGTGTGTGTGTATAGATAGATCTTACATATCTTTAATTAAGTTTTTTCTTTAGGTGATCTTGCATTTACTTCGATAATCATATTATTTGTCGACTTCACTTGCTAACAGTGGTAGTAGCTAGTATTTTCCGTTTTGACTTTTTGAGGCACTCTCTTCAAGAAGAACATTCATCTCAATTTCACAAAACCATTCACATGCATCCTTCACATTTTGGCTTTTAGAAATTTAAAAAGAAAAAAGAAAAATTCTTAAAACCTTGAAAACGGCAAGAGCCTTTTAGTGATCCCGATGAACAAAAAGAAAAAAAAGGTCAATATCTTAATGAAAAAGAGAAAAGTAATGTGACATATCTATTTCGCTATATTAAGAGGGGGAGTGGCCATATATACATTCTTTTGATGATGAGAATTAAGTGCTCGACGATCTTTATAAGGATGGATACTGTAGTTCGTTATGTTATGCCATGCCACCTATGGCGATCAACGTTTATATGACCGCGAAAGGTTTCCATCTCTGAGCATCGAAATCACACACACACACACACACTAGGATATAGGACCACTACAATGAAACAAAATAGAAAATGGAACTCAGGACCACGGTGGTCCGTTGTCTAGCGTCTAGTTAATTAAGAAGAACAATGGCCCCACCCATGGAATCTATTAGAAGCTTGTAAAAGTAATGTGGGGGAGTACCACCCCTCATTATATTTCTGCACGTTTGTTTCGTCGATCGACACTATTTGGTGCACCATGAAACTAATTCAAAATTCAAATTAGACAATTATTTCAGTATTAAGAGAATAAGTAATAAAACTAAACTGACTGAGACGTACTTAGACGGATACTTAAACGTTTTTATTGGCGTGACCAATTCAATGAATGAGTTGAGTTTCTTGCCATGAATGAGTTGAGTTTTAAGTTTTAACCATTACCATGCATGAACATTAAGATAGATGGACGTTTCCTTCCAATATGCCAGTTAGGTTAACAAAAAAATTTGCTTGTCTAGCTAACAGTTGTGGAGGTGTTAGTCATTGGCAAGTATGGAAACACAATTTCACGTGCAGAATAATAATGCTCATATGTAACTTTCTGGTGATCTGGATTTCAAGACGTACGTTTGTAGTAATAAGGAATTTGGAGTCATGAAGAAATCTACCCATGAGGGCCGCCGGGACAAAGACCCTTATTTATTTAGCATTTTAATTCTCTAGGCAGTGCCCGTTCCTCTCCCCCAGTGGATCTGTGAGAGAACTGAGAAGCTAAAATTAATTGTTATACCACTTAGTATCCTCCATAGATAGTAGTAGTAGTTTTTTTTTTTTTTTTATTACTGTTTTATTTACGGAAATTTATGTCTTAATTTCTTCGTATATGTAAGTTCGCGCCTTAGGTTACAACTGTATAAATGCATCGTACATTTATTCTCTATCGAAAGTTAGCTACTATTCCCTTCGATCGCAAATGCCTTGTCAAAATTTGGCTTTTTATGCTCGTTAGGAGAACATATTTTGGCATCTCCCCCTTTTATAGCTAAAACGGCACTAGAACTTGATAGGAACCAAGTTCCGAACCTCTTCCACAATATATATATATATATATATATATATATATATAAACTACTATTCCCTTCGATCTTAATTATAAAGTAAGGCTGTTCAAATATATGTCTTATAATTAGGATACATCAATGCATTTTGTTGTTACCGGTGTCTTTACATATGTACCATGCGGCTTAACTAAACAATTCTCCATAAGGGGTGTATGATGATCTATGCAAACAAAAAAAAAAAAAAAATTAAAAATTGGAACGAGCAAGGTAAATTTAATTTGTTGAGAGATATTTGAATCAGAAAAGCTAACATTCAAATTAGATGGAGTTTAGTAGTAATAGTATAATAAATATTGTTGTAAAAATTGAAGAAGATCATTCATTGATTAACAATGAATTATAAAGGGTGCAAGCTAGGATTGAAACCTGAGCGGTGAAATTAGTGTAGGAAAAGACAAAAAATGAAGGTATAGGTGATCAATCCAATCATTTATGGATGTATTATTATCCTGTTTTATGAACAGTGAAGTTACTGCAACAACCCTCCAAAACCCAACAGTTCTCCGTTTGTCTATTTCCAATTTTTGCATCCATTCCTGTATTAAACTTTAGCCAATTACTTCATTTTACCTGCCAACCTTTTTTCGTCTCCGTACTCTCCTCTACAATTTTGACAATTTATTGTGTGTTGATTACTATTTACTGTCCTTAATACTCATTCTAATCTTGCAAAAAAATTTACTTCCTCTATACCAAAATTATTTTTCAATTTGAATTTTCACTTTTAGTTTAATTTGTGTTAAAATTGAAAATCTAAAATCTAAATTAAATAATAATTTCGAGAATGAGTATTCTATTAACTGAATAGTTCAATCAACAATAATTTAGAAATTTAAATTATTAATAAAACTATTTAGTCACAACACTAACTCTATTACTTGCACTTAACACCCTTTTTGACTTGCATATTAAAGAAACATTTTCTCTGAAACTCCCATTTATGACTCGAATGTCCCTGCTAATTGTGTCTGGTCCCTTCCTCCAGTATTCAAGAGAGATCAGGGAATGCTGCTTGAGTACTTATTAATTCGAGGGACATATATTCTAAAAATCGAAATTCCAACATTGTTTAAGATAAAAAAAAATCATCATTTTGGGATAAATTAAAAAACTAAAAGATTCGAAGCAGATTAATTAATTGGAGAACAAAATGAAACAACGCTATGTTTCTTTCCACACATCATGTTACATTGTTTCTTCTTCCCCCACATTTTGGGGACAAATTGTACAATCTATTTGATTTTTGTATATCTTCTGAATTAACATAAATAAATCAGGATAGTTATTTCTTACGTTTCAAAATGATTGTGGCTTTGTTTGGCCAACCTTCCATTTTGCATTTTGTCTCATTTTACCTATTAAACACAAAACCCAATAGAAAAGAAAACATCATCCAAACAACTTTCTGATTTACATTTTAAATTCCAACTTGAAACACTTTTTGTTAGTGTAATGACCATTTTAGAACTACAAATAGTTCAGTGACAAATTTGACAGAATTCCGTTGTTGAGTAATTATTTTTGGAAAAGTCATTTTTTGCAGTGACTATAATTGACAGTATTTAATTGTTTAGTGATGACTTGTACTTGATATTTCAAAATATAGTTCAAAATACTTTTTTTTTCAAAACTAACATCAAAACAATATTTTTATTTCCTATTTAGTTTTCAATTTGAAACACTTTTCACTTTTAATGGCAAAATGAAATGTTAGTTGACGTCCAAACAAGCACTATATTGTTTGTTATTCTCTCTTTATATTCTTTTTTTTTTTTTGGTACTATTCATTCTCTATTCTAACTACATAATAGTAGTAATGTATTTTGTTGAATTGAAAGAATACAACAAAATGCATGAATCTGCTGGATGAGCTTAACAACTTTTTTGGGTTGAAAAAAAATAAAAAAATAAAAAAAAAATCATCCAGGTCAAGGGAGGATTGATTCCCGGTGGGGAAACGGGCTATAGCCGGTAAAATCCTAATTACGTGTCTACGACCCATTTGACAAAGATAAGAAAAGATTGGAATTATCCTGAAAACGGCCCGATATATTCCCAACGGCACCCCCCCATGTGCCTGTCACCGTAACGGAGTCCGGACCACATGTTTCTGTTCAAAGCCATAACCGCCTCATCCATTCTCCACCGTCCGATCCACGAAACGATTCCCTTCGTCTTCCCGATTTACCCCTCTTCAGGCCCAACACATTTCTCCTTCTCTCGACAGAATATAGACACAACTGCGTGACTGTGTGTTTTGCCTATTACAGCTGAGAGAATTACTACTGAGAAGAAAAAGAAAAAGAAAAAGAAAAAGAAAGAATATTATTTATTTAAATCGAGGTTTTGTGTAAAATGTAAGCATATTTATGGGGAAAGATATTTATAATAGTTACACGGAATTATATGTGATTGTATTAGAGTGAGTGAAAGATAGATAGAGAGAGAAAGGGGTATCCGAGGAACGGGAAGCGTGGAGAGATATAGAGAGAGAGAAAGAGAAAGATCAAATGTTGTTGGCGGCCATGGAAGAAGTTGGCAGAAACAACAAGGGAGGAGGAGGAGGCAGAAGGACTGAATTTCGAGACATGAAGAAGGAGTCGGCGGTTACTACTATTTCCAGCTCCGGCGGTGCTAAGAAACGTAAAGTTGACGACGACAGCTCTCAGCTAAATTCGGCGGAGAAATTTTCCTTCGGGACTACTGCGGCGGGAGAAGAAGGCTCGGTTTCCACGGCTGACTCAACGTCGTCGTCTTATTCGTCGGCGACGGCGTCCTCTTTCTGGATTAACAAGAGTCATGTGGAATTGAGCAAGGATCACGCGAGATCCTCAGATCTGAAGGTAAAATTCAAAATTCAAAAATTCTTTTGCTCCGTCGTTAAACTCTTTCTTTTCCTTTTAACGCTTTCATAAATTTTGAGTTTCGCTCTAAAAATTAACTGTGGAATTGCAGCCCCAGGATTCCGTAACGGAAATTCGAACGGTCGACATCTGCAAATTCAGGTAGGGATCAATTGAATGTTGAAGGCGCTAACTGCTTTTTTGCATTTTGATTTTCATTGAATAATATTTGGTTTCTTAAATTTCCATTTAAATCTCAGATTTTCTTTTCTTTTCTTTTTTTTTTTTGAAACCGAAAACAACGATCATCTAAACAGTTTCTTCAAGTGTAATGTGCAATTCGCTTCAATTTTTATAATCCATAACCACAACCATGTGCATGAGCGTTTCGTAATTCGGATTTCTCTCTCCTTATTAGAACTTAAATTACATTTACATTCCTTTTCTTAAACGCCATAATTAATTACGTTTTCTTGCTCCTGATATAAATATTTGTTGGCTGCAGGGAAACGAGTCCAGCCACGAGTGAGCTGTCAGCTGAATTCATGGAGTCATCATCTTCAACTACAACGTCTTCTCCGACGAAGAAGAAATCCTCGCCGAGAAATTCCGCTGCGGTCATGCCTTCCTCCGCCGAGATCGAAGAATTCTTCGCCGCCGCTGAAAAGCTTGAACCGAAACGATTCGCGGAAAAGTAAGTATACGAAACCACCACTAGTCTTGAAATTTATCCCGATTTACTTCAGATCATAATTCTGTGTCCTCGAAATACACGTAAAAAAATCCCAAAATAGAAAGTAAAAAATCTATCAAAACACACACACACACAGTCACACACTCGCAGAGCAATGAATAATGAAAGCGATGACTGACGAAATAGACTCACAGTAGTAATAGCTAGAGTAGCTCTCTTTCTCTCTCCCATTCACTCTCAGTACTGACAGCTTCCCGTCCTTTTGTTTTGATGATTTCTCATTTCAGGTACAACTTTGATATAGTAAAGGACGTTCCATTGGAAGGTCGATACCAGTGGATCCCTTTAAAGCCTTAAATTCCATGATTTTAACCCTTCAGAAAAAGAAAAAAATTGGAGAGGACTTTTATTAGTACAGTTACTGCTATTCTATCCCATAGCAGCAGTAGTAGTAAAGTAGTAGTAGTACTTTTTATTTTTAACATCATTTACACGAGGAGCATTCTCTCTCACTCACTTACTCACTCAACAAGCCGATGATTGTCTATGTCAATTTTTAATTTTTCTTTACTTCTTGATTTGCTTCTTCCAGATTTTTGATTTTGCTCTCACTGTTCAGAATTCAGATTAGCTTGTTTTTAGTTAAACCATAGGGGAGGGGTCGGGGGATTTGGACGTTGTGTAGACTGGTTTACTTATAGTGTTTGTACAGTGGGTTTGTTTCCATTTTTATGTAAAGATGGCTGGGGCTATTTTGCGTACTCTGATCTTTTGGAATTTGTATTGTTTCTCATTTGTGTCTGCCACATATAATTTATCTCCTATTCAGAAGCTTCTTTTCTACGACCTCTCTACTTTTGTCTAGGAACCCTCCTGCAATTTCATAATTACACTACTTTGCCAGGTATCTTTTTTTTTTTTTCAGTTGTTTTGATGTAATGAAGCTGAATCTCTCCAGATTCTCATGCATATGAATGAATCTTGCTTTCTTACTGATACAACAAGAGGGTGGTGGGAGTTTTGATGAATTATGTTAAAGAAGATGGTGGTTTTTGGGATTGAAAAATTCCATTTCCATTTTTTGTACTTATTATGGCCGGAGTGGCTGTCACGGATCAGCTGGCATTATGCATGCAATTTTCGTCCATTTTCGTTGCAAAGTATTTTAATCTTTTTCTTTGTATCAACAATTATCACGAGATGATTGCATTTGGAAGTATCTCACTCCCAGCATTGTACATTTTGTACTTCAATTTTGGAAGGCACAGAGAGTTTCACTGTAGGCTCTATTTTTATTATCATAGCTTGTGTGATTGGTGGTGTGGATGCTGAACAACTTAATACACGTACGTACTACTTACTGTGAATGAGGCCCTCAAATCTGGTGGGTATGATTGAACTTTTTGAGTGTGTTATATTTGTGGGACAATAGTATTTTGTTGGGTCCAGACATCGTTCATTAATCTGAAGCTTCTGTATATATATATATTTTTTTCGTTTGAAGCAATACAATTTTCCCAGAGAGATCAAATTCGATTTAGACGTTGACCGCACAGACCATGGAGGCAAATTTTTATGCACTTTCAATTTGCTTGGATAGCAAATTCGCAAATTCATTTTGATGAAAAGGAATTGAATAGAATGTGATCATCCAGAGCATAAATTTGTTAACGTATAAATTTTCGATAATTGGAGATTTAAGGAGTTCTCTTCTTTATTATTTGAAGGAGGGCTGAAACACGAGTGCGTTGGTTCATGAACAACCGCCATGAAATTGAAATTTACTAGTATTCTTTCCGTTCCAAATTATTGTCCAATTTAGATTTTTATTTTTAGTACAAATTGTACTAAAAATGAAATTTCAAATTGGACAATAATTTTGGGACATATAGAGTATTAGTGTTTGTTTGTCTAATAACTCATTTTCAATTTTCACTCATTTTACCTCTTAAACACAAAATTCAAAGAAAAAAAATATCATCCAAACAACTTTTTAATTTACCTTTTAAAATGTTGTGTTTGGTCATTACACTATTGTAAAGTCTTCGTTTTGGTCACTGAACTATTAATAAAGTCTTCATTGCGTTTAGTTACTAAACTATTGTAAAGTGTTGCGTTTGGTTACTGAACTATTGTAAAGTCTTGTGTTTGGTCGTTATACTATTGTAAAATTTTCATTTTGGTCCATAAACTATTTTAATTTCATAAATGGTCACTATACTTTAATACTTTCTAAATAAAAAACTAAACTACCTTTTAAATCTCCTCTCAAATCCAAATCAAAAACTAAATAAAACGTTGTTCAAACAAGCACTTAATTACTTTGTGAATGTGTTAATGTAAAAAAGGGCTAGAATCTTCATCATGAGTGATGCAGCTATGTATATAATATTATAAATGTAGATCACCGGATCAGTGCAAAAGGCTCTTAGCCTTGAATAAATTGTAATATATGCCAACTTCTTTCCAGTGTGTGTGAACTGGACATAATTAAGATTCAGTATATATATGTTAATTATACCAATTTGACACAAAAAAAAAATTGTCAGTGTCCGATGTTTTCCAGAATGATTGATCCATGCCGTATAGCCTCTTGTTTGTACTTTACATTAAAAACAAATCCACAAAATCGTACAGATTAATTTATAGTTAATTTGGTTGAAGTACAAAGGAAATGAATACAAAGTACTTCAAATCTGAATATCTGATCATGACGAGCATATACCAAGCAAAAATAAATGTCCGTTGATTGTGCTTTTGCAGCATGCTTGGAATTAATGGTATAAATTTGGAGCTGGGAAATGGTTACGATGATTACTCGATGTGTAAATTAAGGAAACACAAACAATAACTGAATAAACAAAAAGGAATGGCAGGGTTTTGAATTTTCATGCTTCAATAACAGTTGAAAATGTTACCAAGATTAGGCTTTTGAATGGAAACAGTGCCCGTGCCAAAATAAAATTCTTAGTTTCAGAACGTTATAATTTAGTTCAATGATATAATCATGTATTAACTGTTATACTAAATTATAACTTCTGAAAATAAGAATTTTAATGCCGGATACGTTAATATACCAAGAATTTTTTTATTTTTTATTTTTTATTTTTTACCAAATATGACAACATATATTACTAGTATTTTCGGATGAAACAAAGGAAGAAAAAAGTCATAATACCTTTAGCCATGACCCATGAAAGGGAAAGCTGGTATATTTTTTCATGGAATACCATGTGACAACTTTCTCTTCCCCCTTTCCCCTTTCCTTTTTTTTTTGTTTTTTTATTTTACTATTTCTTCTAAGTCGCCTTTTAGAAGAAAAGCGACTTTGATTTTTTTACAGGTCACAAGACACATGATACGGTAACATGCAGAGATTTTAGGTTTCTTAAGGCCAAAAGGGAGGGGAAGATCGATCAATGGAGGAGGAGAGGTTGGAATGCATATGGTGTTGAGGATGCACGTGCCGTGTTGGAATTGGTACTCCAAAATCTGACTGACTTCCATGTGCTTTGGATCTGATGCCCAAAATTTTCTATAAGAATTGAGCCAGAAAAAGAGAAGCGATGAATCAAAGAATGTTGCTCCCAATTTCCCATTACTTAGTTTATTGAATTAATAATATGCAGTACTAACCTATGGTAACTAGTGAATTTATTTTGATGTGAAATTGGCTTAATTACTGATATTGAATATTATTTTTTTTTCCGGTGGATCACGTATTTAGTGCCTGAAACTAGTATTATTTTGATTATTTTAGAGATTTGAGTTAGGAAAAAAATTATTTTTGAGGAATAAGATTATCTCAATTAATATTTTAATCAATTATACAAATTTGTTTTTAGATCGATCTGAGTCATATCCGTGGTTATTTAATGATTTTAGCACCTGTAACAAGTATGTTTGTTGGTTATTATTGAATTATTTTAGTTATACACTGCATAAAAGAAGAAAAAAAGGAAAGTTGGACTAACTTATATTTATTATTATGCTTTGAATATGGTTGAAGCTTGAAAATATATATGCTATATGCTATATATCGATACTACAACAAAAATGAGCTATTAATACCTTTATGGTGGGACACTTTTCTTAAAATGTGTTTCATTATATGTGTATTAGGACATTTGTTAAAAAGTGTCTCATTAAAAATGAAAAAGTGTGTGTATATTATTAAACACTATCATAAGTGTAATGTGGGGTTGCTTGTGAACTATTACCCTACTTAATGAGCCACTTTAAAGTGTTTTAATAAGTGACAATATAATAATACACTTTCAAATGTTTTATGACTTATTGTGACTCGATTATAGGAGACACTATTTTGTAGTGTCCCATGCAATGTGAATCACATGTGTTCTATTATATCACTTATTGAGACACAAAAAGTGTCTAAACTACTCATTTTTGTTATAATGCGATGAATAAAATATTGCTAACTGAATTACTCTTTCTTCTGTTTTTTCTTTTAATCTCTTAACTCCGTTTCATGAAACCGATTATGGTAGCTAGTAAGAATACGGTGCTTCTATGTTCTATGAATTGACTTCGGTGAAATTACTTTTGGTTTTGATATAATTTCTCGGAGATCAATGAAAGAACTTTCCGTCATGTGCACGTACCGAATGTTGTCAACATTCGAACGTAATGTTTATTTCTTCCAAGTGTTATGAAATTTCAACCCAAAATTATCATCCACACTTGACCAACCTGGTTGAACGATTAGTTTAGGTGCACGAAGATTTAGAAAGTGGTTATGCATGAGTTTCGATAAATATTAAGTAACGACGGAACCAGTCCTAAATCTTTACGGGATTAAGTATATATATAATTTTTTTCTGAAAATATTTTAAAAATTATAAGATAATTTTTTAAAAAAAAATTTCCCGACCTCAGGGTCGGCCGACCACCCTCACTCTCCCGTGGTTCCGTCCCTGATGTTATTTAGCTCAATGGAAGGAATGCTGCGGTTTCAGCAAATGTGTGCATTAATTAAGTTTAGTTTTGCATTTCAGATGGTAGTAACATAGTAGTATTAGCTTTCCAGATGACTAGTAATTGTATATGCTTGACAATTGAGATATGTACTGAAACTGTGACTAAAATATTGTGCTCCATTTTTTACACACATACTTGTTCCACTCACTATTGGGAATTCTTTTATACATTTGCTTATAACTAAAGCTTTTAGATATTTATTATATTATACAAGCATCATTGATATTTATACTATAATAATATACAAGCATCATTATAGCTTTAAGATTTCAACTATAGTACCGCATTTCCATCTTAAATCGATTAAACATAAATTTGATTGAATTTCTTGGACATTTTTTAAATATGAGTAATAATATAAATAATTCGTCGAAAAATAACTAACATATAACTACTTTCTTTAATCCTTGCAAATTTTTTATTCTTCTACTATTAAGGACTGGAGAGTTTAGAGCATCAAAATCAATTTTTGTCAAAGACTCATATGAATCTATCCTATATTTGATAAATTTTGAAACATTGATTTTGTACCATTTTGTCGTGGGCTTCTGATCGCCATCAAGAAGATACCCGTATCTGATTCACTTGGGCTGTATACTGACCAGAGGCCCTATAGTTGGCGTTACTCTTTGAAATTTTACCTTCACCTTACAATGCAAAGGGGGGTAAAAATCGATAAGAAAGTCAAACAATCATTTTTTTATTATTATTCTTTTTTCCTAAATCGTGCCATATTTTTCACGCTATTTGTATATTTTTCCACTAAACTAATGCAATTCAGCAAAATCGAAATCGTAAAGCGTCAATTCTCGGCCAGGCAATCTATCCGCCACGTCATCCAAGAGATATCCCGTCTGAGGTGTCACCCCTACCGGACAACCACCACCTACTACGATTCCTCTTCAATCTCCATTCCGGCAGAAAAACAAATGGAACACCAGCTTTACTTGTCGTTTTCAATCACGGCTAGCTAGGGTTTTTGGAAGCTTTTTTTTTTTTTTAGTTAAGTTAATCTCAGTAGTTTTGGGGGGATTCTGAGATGTTCGGTAGCCATGGCGGAGTAGGAGGAAGTGGGGGAAAGTTTCTCTGGGTTCGTAACCAAGAAAATTCAAAGGCTAATGGAATTGTGGCTGTGTTGGCGTGGGGTTCAATTACAGAACCCCAATTGAACGATTATGCTCGTCTCTATTCATCCCTGGGTTGGAATGTCCTCCTTTGCCTTTCCGATTTTCTTAACATGTAAGCTGAATTTTACATCATCTTCCTCCCCGCAGGCTCATTTACTCTGTATCATTCCAATTTTTTTTTTTTATTTTCAAAATTTTTTTTTTTGGTGATTTTTCAAGCTTATTATTGAATTGGGTGTTTATATCCACTTCTTGTTGTAATCATTGTCTTAATCGATACAAAGTACTTTAAATGACTAAGGAACTGCAAAATGCTTTACATAAAACCTCAATTATCCCCCCTTGGTATCATTAACTGGCTTTTTGTTGTATAAATTTATTAACAAGGAAGGTTTTGTGTGTGTATTTTTTTTTAAAAAAAACTGGTGTGGTGATGAGCAAGGCATTTCGAAACTGTTCTGAGCTTTATGATGTGAAATTTGTAGATTCATCCCGGAGAGAGCCACAGCTTTTGCCTTATCTGTTGTCAGTCAGCTTGTTGAGGTGAGCATCATTCTTACATCTGATTTTATGTATACATGCGTCTGTCATTTTCATTGCACATTTCCATTGTTTGGCAGGATTTTCAAATGAGTCTGAAACATTTTGAGCTTGCATGTGCTTAGTTGAGCTCGAGTTATTTATCTTAATTTCATAGGAAAGTGTTGCAGTAGATTTAAATGAATTTATTTTATCATGTCATTCCTTCTTTACGGCTAATTGACAATTTCCTATGACTCTCTGTAGGAACTGAGGTTAACCCCATGTCCTCTAGTCTTTGCATCTCTGTCCGGTGGTTCCCAAGCTTGCTTGTACAAGATATTTCAGGTGAACACTTAGTTACAAAATGAACGTGTTCCTCTTTATTTTGCTGCTGTACTTCTGGCTTCCTCTTCATCTTCTATTAGTGTTCTTCTCCCCTTAGGCCAATTTGTCTAACTTTTTCCAAATACAACTCAGGTTATTGATGGAGGATGTGAAGTGATGCTCAGTCCGGTACGATCATAAGGATATGCTTGATTTTTTTTTGAGAATTCCATATATTGTCAACTGTCTTTGATAAGTTGTGAACTTTAGTTTCCTGAGTGATTGTTTTCCCATTGAAGGAGGAGAGTCGATTGGTTAAAAATTGTGTTGCCGGTCATCTCTATGATTCTGGTCCTGTTGACTTTACGCGTGACTTGGGAGCTAGATTTTCTCTCCACCAAGCTGTCCTCAAATTGCCTGGTTCATCTAAGCTGGTATCTTTGATTGCAAAAGGCGTCACATCTGGACTGGATGCTCTATTCATCACAAGATTTGGATCTCATCGCACAGATTATTGGCGCAGTCTTTGTTCCGCAGTTGTATGTTTCTTAATCACCTGTGACTTTTACTAGTTTCGTTATTTTTTCTGGCTTGGACCTATATGGTATTCTGATGGACCATCTCCAATATTTATATTTTGGCCGTAGGGTTTTGGAGCCCCTTTTCTCTTTCTCTGCTCAGAGTGTGATGATCTTGCTCCGTATCCCGTTATATTTAAGTTTTCTCAGCGATTGCAAGATGCTGGAGGCTCTGTAAAAGTTGTCAAATGGAAGGATTCTCCTCATGTTGGTTAGTCTATATTATTTACTAACTCTCCAATTTGAATAACTTACTGGATCCTTTATACTGGTGGTTGACTTAAACGAAACCTGTTTAGATGGTCAAGTGAATGCCTTAACAAACTGACTTATCCTGGTGCTATGTCATGCTGGATAACTGATTTGTGGAATGCCTCATTGAACTGCTTCTTTCCATCCTTTCTTAGTTTCACTTTATTATTGAGGTATCTGTGCAATTAGCATTTTCAGTGAGAAGGCATTATTGTCACTTCATTTCAGGTCATTACAAGAATGATCCGAGTCAGTATAGAGCTGCAGTAGAAGAGCTGCTTGACAGATCACTTTCAGTTTTTTCTCATAAAATTGAGAGGCTTGGAGAGCAAGCTGGTGCTGGGGGCTTGGACAGTGTGCCTGACGTAGTATCTGATTTAATTTGTGACCTCCAGAATGCAGCCGTGAATTCGAATCAAGGCCTGAAAAGAGTTGCTGTTGGACCTGGTGACCACTTATGTATACCAAGCTCAGTAGGATCTGGAAATGGCCACGACTCTCAGCCATCACCGGAGGACAAAACCGAGAAATCACCATCTTACTATAACCCAAGAATAAATGCACACGGTGTTCTAGGACAAATACTTTTCGATGCTTGTGTGCCAAAAACCGTGGAGGGTTGGGATATCAAATTTTCGGGCTCATTGAATGGCCAGCCATTGGCGTCTGCTTCTAGGCAACGATCTCCCCCAAAGGCTACCAACTTTATACGCCGCTCGAGATTATGAGAAGGTTTGGGTGAATTATGGTGAATCTGAAACTAATCTACGAAAGTTTTGTAAAAATGTTTCTGTAGGGGAAGTATTTTGCATGAAGTTGACTGGTAAAGGGTGCAATTAATCTTTAACGTTTGGAGGGGAAGTTGGCAGGTAATTGTATAGTAAGTTTACATACTTGTGCTGTCAATTGGAAGTTGATGTGGTATGTATATATAAGTATGAGCTTAGGGAAACTTGCTGTGGTCCTTTGGTAGTTGGAAGGTGTTGGTTCCTGGAAAGTGCAGACATGTCTCCTGGACTACTATACATTCCCCGTGTGAATGGTATGTCAGAAATCTGGTCTCCTTTCTTTCAATGTAAATGGTGTTACTTATAATTTACCCAAAAAAAAAAAAAATGGTTGTACTTATTACATATATATGAGTTTGATTATCTTTATTGTCTATGAATTTGGCTGAGTTTTGTTCTTTATTCTTGGAAAATTAATATGAAGAGAGGGATGCAAGGTTACAAAATCAGCCTCTTATCAAATGCTAGAATTTCAATGTGGCCCAGTAGGGCAGCGATTCGCACTTTTGCTCCGAACCAAACTGGATGGTTAGGCATGCTATTCTACGCAGTTGATTTACTCTTGCCGTCGCACATTATAATGAACTATACTGTGTGTTTTAAGAGAGTTGAAAGCTAGAGTGAATTAGGGGAAAAAAAAATAATTTCTCTGTTTTAAAATAATTATGATATATTTAGTACTATTTATACTAATAAAAAATCTAAATGGGATAATCATACCGAGACAAAAGAGTACATGTATTTTGGAGATGAGTTGATTACTGTTACTCTGTTATTTTGCTTTGTTTGTTAGGTTTTTTTTAATGGTATTTTCAAAATATTTAAATAATAATTGTCCCATTCAATATATTTTTTACATTTTTAAAATACATTTTTACATTCTCAATATAAAAAACATTTAAAAACACACACTAAAAAAATAAAACAAATATAGTACCTACCTTCCCATGAGAAGGACCTACACGTCTTTCTATCCGTACCGTCCCAAATGAATCGAGCCACGAGGTCCACTATAACCTATTTATTCCCGGTAATATTTTCCACCATTCTAGCTCCCTCGTAGCCAACATTTTTTTTTAATCCGTCCCAGAAAGCAATCAAATCAAACAGACAACCTACGAAACGAACACAAACACAAGGTTGGATCTGTCTTCGTCGCATGAATCTCTTTTGAATTCCATGGATCGACGATATGTCGGTCTCTTTTTCTTCCCTACGTAATATTCTTATATGTAATTAAACATGGAATAAGATCACGTTCGTCGAGAAAGTTTCCTCCTTTTTGGGTTTTACAGATTTCTGCCTTACTTAATGGCGTAACGAGATTTTGTGAATTGGGCAGATGAAGAAGAAGGAAAGATTTGAGACCCTGCAAAAGTTGTTGGAGGTTGACGAAACCCAATGGCATATGGCTAGGCCACAACGAGTATGATCCTCTCTTTTTTCCCCCTTTTTCCTTTTCTTGTTCTTTTCCCACCATTTTTTCCCCTTTTCATTTTTAGTAGTATAGGAATTCTTACTAGCCCTCGGTTACTCGATTAGCTTGATTATAATCAATCTACCTGACTCAAATTAGGATTAGTCTTGAAATAGTCTTTTTTTACCTCTAAAGGTTCAAATGGAGATTGGTTTGAGTGATATGTGCCGGCTAATTAGCAAAAAGTATTAACTCATGTTGCTGTAGCAAAAAGTTTTGTTACATCTATAATGATTAGTACGTGGAGGTTTTCATGGGAGCAGAGTGTATCATTTGACATGTCAAGCATGTAACTTAGATGATAAGAGTTTTGTTCTCTTCAATTAGTTTTTTGTGAGAATTTAAGATAGTATTAGTAAATGGCAGTAGTTGATTGAGAAGAGACGCTGAAAGCTACTTGCCCTGTTTTGCATGCCTCAAAGATTCCCCATTTGATGTGCTCTGAAATATTTGGAGAAAAATGAGTTTTGGTCTTAGATCAACATCTTTGATGAGACGTTAATTACTAGTTGTTAAACTTATCAATGTGATATTGCCCATAAAGATGCAGTCTTTATGAGATTTATCGGTTCATGGTTGTTGGAACCTGTTAAAACTTAAAACAGCCTTTCTGTGAATGCCTGTTTATCTTGAACTAAGCTTTTAAACCTCAATCTCTCTCCTTAATGCATAATAGTTAGGCCCTAAATTGTCCTATGTTTAATTGAAATAGAACATTTGCAGAAGTTATTTCGACCCTTGAAAGGCACTTGTTCCAAGCTCTCTAGTATTAGTTGCTCAAATTCTGAATATTGTGTGTTATTAGCTCGAAACTGAATTCTTAACTTTTCTTTATCTTAGTGAAGGTTCTTCCCTCTCTTGACTCCCACTAATCATGTTTTCTAAATTATCGGTTGAAAATTGTAACAGGTGATTGCCAAGAAGAAAAAGGAATCGAAAAGGTTAGGAAAGAATTGCTTCTACTGGCTGTTATCTCTATGGCTGCTGATGATTCTTCATTTGTTCTTTTCTGTTTCCTCAAATATTTAGCTGATTTGATGTTTATCAGCTGTCAAAGGATAATGACACCAATAGATGATCCTTGCCATCAAGTGGAGGTTCCTTCGTCAGTTATGCAGCGAGCTGAAGCAGTTCAAGAGAATCTTGACGCCAAGTTTCCCAGTTTTATCAAGCCAATGATCCGATCCAACGTGACAAAAGGTTTCTGGCTGGTAATCGATTAGAGTGCAAAAACTAGACAATGTTGATGGGTTTTAGGGGAATCTTTTCGCTTACTTGTTGTCTTTGCAGTCTCTGCCAAAGATATTCTGCCATCTCCATTTGCCAAGTCAGGATGCAACAATTATTCTGGAAGATGAGCATCTTAGACAGTACAGCACAAAATATCTTGTAGCAAGGAGGGGACTTAGTGCTGGATGGAAAGGGTTTTCAATCGCGCAAAACTTAGTAGAGGGAGATGTTCTAGTTTTTCATATGGTTAAACGCTACAAAATAAAGGTACTGTGAATATTCTATGGCTTAACTTTCGTTTATCGTTATAACTTAATTGTTCATCATTGTCTGAATGTGTATGTCCTTGGATGTATGGAAGTTGTTTTTGTAAACAAGACGGTCTACTTCCATGAAGCAGACAATTAACACAAGACTTATTAACCCCATAAAGTAGAGAATTATGCAAGATTTATTAACCACATAAAGCAGAGAAGTATCTGGAAAAGTAGCTCTTCAAGGTTACTTGAAAGACTGAGGTCTTACGTTCTGAATGTCCTTAGTTGTTATCATCTAGTGAACAATTGTTCCTTTGACTGTGAATTTGTAAACACTGTCTTATGTGCTTTTCTGGTGCTGTCAATTTCTTTGTCAGGTGTATATAATAAGATCCAGTTTATTGAACGAAGTGGATGCAGCTCTTTCGCTGGTGTGCTTAGACACTGACACAAAATCAATGGATTCAGGTCAGCTGTTCTTGCCCCTGTTTTAACTCCTAAAATTTTGGTTAGTAATCCTAAAATGTTCTCTCTATCAATCATTAAATGTCTGTCTGATAACAGGACATACAAGGACTCATTGCAGAGCTATGGAACCAACTGGAGAGAAGAGAATCACTTCAGCTCCGCGGAACATTGCTAATATTTATAAGGCTATGCCGGATGACCATATTGTACAAGAGATTGATCAATCTGAGAAGCTAGGCTTGGACCTTCAACTCGCTTTGAATGGTATAGAAGTCACTTATTTCCCTTCTTTATGTTTGCATCTAGGGGTTGTGACACAACATCTATGAATCTTGAAGATAACATTATCTCTCTTAAAAGTAGTTAAAGCTAGTCCTTACCAGGTTTCCCCTATTGGGAACTTCTCAACATACAGCATACGCTCTATGATTGCTTGGTTCCTCTCCCGCTCTGAGATACCTATCTTTCAGGAAAATAGAAATTTTAGGGAATGAAAAAATATTATTGCTTGGGACAGCTTTTTAGTTGTACTGTTTGAATTACAAACTACACCCTATTGTCTCACATTATCTTTCCATGCATGCATTTCTGTATCTTTATGTATACTTTTCTGGAATTGGTGCAGATATCATCTCTAAAACACGCAGTATAGCCACTGCAGTTGAAGCAAGCATTCTCATTCCCTTTTCAAATGATTCTGCGCTGTGCAACGAGCAGATGATAAATTGTAAAGAAATGCTTTGCAATCTTAGCAAAATACGTTCTCAGCTGGACCGGCTATTATCCCTGGTTCTTGAACCCAGACCCTTTTATTGTAATGGTTATAGAGATGTATCGTACTTGCGAATTCGAGACAGAGGTACTGCCGAAGTAGATATTGTGGTACTGAAGGAAACTGTAGAGAGGCTTATTTCTAAGGTTGAGCTACATAAGATAAATGCTGAGATGCTTGAGCTCAAACTTTAGTAAAAATATTGGCTGTTTTGGTTAGTTAGGACTTGAGGAGGTAGTACTCAAATGTAAAAATTAGATATAAAATACCAATATAATGAATCCAGTAAAGTGTTAATCTTATTACTCTATCGGTTCCAAGTCAATAATTTTATATTTTCTGTGTCTCCCTGAGTAATAATAGTATTAGTATCTTCTGGGAGAAATGGCTTGGGCTTGGGTTCTTTGTTTGTTCCTAACCTTAACTAAATCGAACTGGTTTGTGTTAAATATCACCTGTTCCTAGGCAAAAAAGAAAGGATTTTGAATTTTACTACTAAAAAATATCGATGTGGCAACTGGCAAGTAATCTTTCTACGTTGGACTAAGGAATGGAACAGAAAGGACATATTTTTGGGAAAAAGAAAGAAATCAATACCAATACAGTGAAAAAGGCCCAGAATCAGAAACAGGATTTTAAAAATTTGGCTCCATTTCGGAGGTACCTTCTCCAAGATGAATGCTGTTTCTCTCTGACGGGTCGTGTCATATCCCACCCACTTCGCCCCAATAACCAAACTCTACTTCCCTACTTCTCTGCAAAATTAAACCAAAATCAAACGGTCAAAAAAATCAGAAACCACTTCAGCTCAAAGGAAATACTGTTTCGGACTGTAATCCATTGCCAAAAAATGGCCATTTCTCAGTTGCCTCCTTCCAATGAAGGTAAACAGTCGCCGTATTGTGCTTCCTCTTCCAACAAGGTACTCAGACTTTCGGTATTCACTTTTTTTTTTTTTTGCTTTTTTATTTCACATTTTTTTGCTTACATCGATAATGGCCAAGCTCTAAAAGTTGTCTCTTTTATTCCTTCTTCTCATTTTCAAACAGAGGAAGGCCTCAGAGTTGAAGCAGCCACTTTCACAGAAGATGTCTATGGGTTCTCAACATAATCACCCCACAAAGAAAGTAAGAGTCTTTACCCTTTAACATTTGGAATTTTGCTGAATAAAGTTACCATCTTGTTTGGACTTCGTATAATCAATACTGCTCTGGGTTGCTGTTTGTTTCTCTATTGTGTTACCTTTGCCAGGAAACAAAAAACTTGTCAATTTCGCTTTTATGTTTATGTGTGAAAAATCTATAATGAACGATGACTGAAGAGTTTTGTCTTGTACGCAGGAGAAACTTGATGATATTGATAAGCCTCTCATATGGTCAGTGTTGAATGCTTGAAACAATTATAAAAACAGTTGAATTTCCTTCTTCAACTGATAAGAGTTTTTGTACTGGATAAGAATTTTGTCCTTGTTTTTTTTTTAACCTTTATTGTTTAGCTTTAAGAAAGTATCTCCGCCAGTCAGTAATTCTTGGGGTTGTCCCAAGAGGGAGATTTCTGCCATAGATAGAGCACATGAAGTTCAAGAAAGGCTGCCCCCTGAATTTCCTAGCTTTGTGAAGTTAATGCTTAAGTCACATGTTACTGGTGGATTTTGGCTGGTAAGCTGCCGGACTCATTGGACTTTGAGTGCTTTTTTTTTTTTTGACTAGAATGAGGTGCTTATCTGTTTGTAATTCAATATGTATATCAGGGGTTGCCGAGACAATTTTGTGTTTTGCATCTGCCCACAAGTGATGTCCCGGTGTTTTTGGTGGATGAAAGTGAAAATGAACACGAAACGAAGTACCTGGCGGAGAAGAATGGATTAAGTGCAGGTTGGAGAGGTTTCTCCATTGCTCATAGTTTGCTTGAGGGGGATGTTTTGGTTTTCCAATTGATTAAACCTTGCAAATTTAAGGTAACCTATCATGTTAGTTTCATGTCTTCTTTACTGTTCTTTCCCGGATGGCAAACTGTTCCCAAATGTATCATAATGGTTGATTGTAGTTACAAATATGTATCAAATTGGCTTGATAAACTGAAAATTTTGTATGCGGTATACAGATCTCTCAATTTAATACGCTTCTAAATGAGGTTACGGTGACTTATTAACATATCTGCATAGAGAGTTGATGGACCGGTCATCAGTTGTCTTGTGAAACATATGAAGAGAAACATCAACTAAAAGGAGAAAAATGCATGATGATATGAGTTGCATTTAACCTTTTCCTAGTTAATTTTTTAAAGATTGTGTATGGTAGTTTCCTTCGATATACTTACGCTGAAATTTTCTGTTCATAGGTTTACATCATACGCATGAATGGTTTAGCAGAAATTGATGGGGCAATTGGTCTTCTAAATTTAGATCTTCCAGCTAAATCAACTGCTGCTAATGGTATAATTGCCAAACTCTTTGTATTCTTAAGATATGTTTTCAAGCATAGCACATAAATTACCATCTTACTTCTCTGATTTTCTTTGCTTTGTCATTTTTGATAAATAGCTACAATCAAAGGTGAACCAAAGAATGCGAAGAATGTTAAACTGGGCTATCAGGTACCTGTTCATATGATAATTCCGCAAGAAGATTATGATTCGGAAGAAGGCAGAATTGTAGAAAGTTGCAATGATGAGGATGTATTGTCTGATCATTCAGCTCAATTAAGTGGTGGAGACTTGAGCCCTGAAGTTCTGGATGGCATTAGGTTTTCAGAAACGGTCCTTGAGTTTAAAGATGTAAAGGGCTTGGAGGCTTTCAGTATACTCGTTGATGGCCTAGTGATTGACTCAGAGATCCCTATGCATCTGCGAAGCAAGTATTTTCAGCTTTGCTCCAGCCGAAATGCGTTTCTTCATTCTAATCTTTTCAAGGGCTTAAACTGCAAGCTAGTAGCTGGCGTCATTGCTGAAACTGTCAACATTTCGGATGCAATCAGAGCAGCCAAGCTTACCACACCCTTGGATCATCTCCAAGTTTGGGACGCAACTCTGAAGTCCTTTGAGGATATGGGCATGGCAGTTGGATTCTTACGCGAACGGATCAAGAAGCTACTCTCATTTCAATCCGAAGAACAAGAGAAGATCCGATCAAAGAAGAAAGAAAGAGCCCTGCTTGAAGAAGAGATGAGGAATCTGAAAACTAAGCTTGAAAATGTGAAGAGTGTTATTCAAAATATTGATGAAGAAATCAAGATTCTGCAGGTGCAAAACGGAAGGCATGAGCTCTCATTTAAGGAAATGGCAAGTGCACCTTGGTAGAGTTATTCAACCAAAATCTCCTCGTGATCATGGAGAATATAAGGCTGAGTATGAAACAACAAAAATGTGGATCCATCATCGAACGAAAGCTGCATAAGCAGGTGTATAACTCATCTAGTTTTGTGAATCATCATCATTTGCTAATGATAGTAGATTTTAAGGGCATGTTTTGTATATTTTGAGTAGATCATCATCATAGGACCTTGAACCTTATTTTGTAACTTAATATGCCCACTTTTGATGTCACCTTGTGGTGCTCTGGATGATTATAGTATATATAATTTATAGCTAGGATCTTCTTTATTATTACTCCATCTGCCCACCAATATATGGCTTGTGAATTATGCCAAAAATACTAAAATTTCCAATGGTAATATGGAGTTTTTTTTTTTTTTTTAATTTTTTTTTCTTGCAACGGAAACAATATTATTTTAAATTGTAAGTAATTGTGGGGTCTTTTCCCTAAAAAATTTAATTAAAACAAAGGTGGACAAATTTAAATTTTTCAGAATATTTGTGGACATGAATATATCCCACGGATTTCCGAAATCCGAGTTATATTTAAAATTGAGAACTCGGATTTCCGAAATCCGAGTTTACCTCGGATTCAGATAATTAGTTTTAGTTTTAATTAAAATGAATTCGGATTTTCAAAATCCGTTTTCTATTAAATTCGGATTTCCGAAATCCGAGTTTACCTCGGATTCGGATTTTTGAAATCCGAAGGATATAGATTTGTCCACAAAAATTTCAAAAAAATTAATTTGGTCTACCTTTTTTTAAAGAAAATTGTTTAGGTCAAAAACTCAGTAATTGTGGGTCTAAAAATGACTAAACTGCATAATTGGTTCCCTACATTTAGTCAGATTTAAATTTTAGTCCCCCACATTAACATGTATATGAAATGAGCCTTTATATTTGGGTTTGAAACTATTTTGGTCTCTTTTCACTGTTCCGCCATGAATTCCGTCTCGACAGCCGTTAACCTAATCCTGACCAAGGGTATTTTTGGAACACCACATATAAAAGGAAAAATACGTCTTATATTAATAATAAAATACGTCTTATAAAAGTTTGTTTAGTAATAAAAAATTAAAATTAATACAACTAAAAAATAAAAAAAAAATCAAAATTCAATTTTTTTTTTTACTTTTTGAAATAATAAAATAATCAATGAATATTAAGGAGATGTTTGGTTAATGGGATTCGGAATCAGGATTAGGATTCAGAATTGATTCAAATGTTTGGTTAATTGGATTCGGATTTAAGGAATGGCCCGAATCTGAAAGAATGAATCATGCCTCACCCCCCATGATTCAATCTGAATCCTTTTCCATTTTTTTTTTCCTAGTTAATTCTTGTCTCTCTCCTCTTAAACCTCCATTCTTTCACCTCTTATTCTTTGTTTCTCCATAAACAACGGCCACCACATCCATCACTCACCCACCATTCTTCTTCTTCTTTCACGTCTCCAGACCTCCTCTTCCTCCTCTTCTATCTTCTCTACAACTGCCATAACCAGATCCATCACCATCACTTTCACCACCTGCCCACCATCGTACTAAAATATCCACACACCATTCACCATTAAAGTGAGCCCAAAACTTACTCCTTACATATTAGAAAACCCATTTAGTATTAACTCTTGAAATCTAATTCGAAAATTGGTCGTTGTTATTCTGGTAAAGATGGAGGAAGACGGAGGTATCAACTGTAATTAAGTGAAAATTGGGACATGGTGGTGAATGTTGGTGAAGAAGATGGCCGGATTGGTGGGGCTGATTTGGTGAAGCTTTTTTTTTTTTAATCCTGTGATTTGACCTTCCACCATTTTTAGTCTACTTCAGATCTGAAATCTCGTTTTTAAATCTATTTATATTGGTCCATTATTGATAATTGGGATTGAAGGGATGAAAGTGAAAGATTTCTGGGGTTGAGATTGTGGTAAATAAAAGAGATGGCATGTGGTGGCAGCGTTCATGGAAGATGGATGGTGGTGGTGGTTTTTTGGTAGGGATGTGGTGGTGGCAGCGGGGGAGGGGCAGAACAGTGGGGAGGGAAAAAGTTTTTTTTTTTCTCATTTTATTTTTTATACACTGGTTATTCAAATATAGGGGACCAATTATGCAGTTTAGTATTTTATTATTAATATAAACATATTTTTCCTTTTATATGCGGTGTTCCAAAAATACCCTTGGTCTGGATTAGGTTAACGGTTGTCGAGACGGAATTCACGGCGGAATAGTGAAAAGAGACCAAAATAGTTTCAAAATCAAATACAAAGGCTCATTCCATATACATGTTAATACGGGGGACTAAAATTTAAATCTGACCAAATGTAGGGAGCCAATTATGCAGTTTAGTCGTCTAAAAATTCTAATTGAACAATGGCTGAAACCTAGATCTAAAATAACTCGGGCTTTAACAGGCTTCTGTCATCGCGGCCCACTATGTGCAGAATTTCTTAATCTTGCTTCTTATTTTTATGACGCCTCGTTACAAAAGACACTTTCATATTAAATTGTTGGAAAATTTATTTATCTAGTAATGTTTAAAATTCGTTAGTAAATAATTTAATCAGGTTTCGCACAAAAAAACATTGTATTACTGCCTCTTTTCGGTATCCCTTTGTTTTTTGGTCCAAAGATCTCTCTAGTTTGTTTATGGTTCCGTTCCGTTTAACGGTTTTAGGCATTCAGGCTCTGGTTCTTCGATTAACGGTGAAGGTTTCAAAATTTTTTAATTTTTAGTAGTATTTCTTTTATAATAATAAATATGACCATTATCGAAATTGTAGCTAGCTAAAGTGATCTTCGCACCCAAAATAATCAAACTCCTAACGTTTATATAATAGGTGGAAATGGTTGATATATCATTACCATTTTTTTTTTTAATTTATGACATGTAACAAATGTATCTAGATAGCTAAAAGCCTTCTCTTCCCTTCGGCTAACACGATTTTATCGAGAGTAGATGGTAATAGAAATAACGTTTATTTGTATAATTATTTGTGACTCGTAATTACAAGGATGAGATTCATAGCATCTATTGTCAAATTCTTAGTATCTTCTCGTTATATATTTAAGTCCGCGTGAGTCGGATCTTACATTATTATCATTCCAACTGTAAAATTATTTACGATTAAGATTAATTGACACCGTTGATATCGGATTCTTAGTATTTTCTCGTTATATATGTAAGTCCGCGTGAGTCAGATCTTATATTATTATCGTTCCAATTGTAAAATTATCCATGATTAAGATTAATCGACACTGTTAATATTATATTACGCGGTCTAACATAGAATACTATTTTGTTGGTTGCGTGTGCCATAACACCGTATTTTGCTGTCATTGTCTGCTCGATCGGCTGTTACTCCAAACCCCCATTTCCCCAACCCACCCTATTTCTTTTTCTCCTTAAACTATTCGCTGTTTTTTTTTTCCCCTCATTTCTTACCCAAAATTTTCTCCTCTCTCATAAATCTATGGTCGATTTTATGCGAATCAATGTATCTTTATATTAATTACTTCTTTTAAAAATAGTAGTTTTTTTTTTTCCAATTTCCCTCCATATTTGCTGGCTTTTTTCCCTCTGTTTTCAAGCTTTTTCTTTTATTTATCATTATTATTTTTTTGGTTTATTTTCCCTCTGTTTTATTTTTCTATCCTGCTATTTGCTGCTTTTTTTTTTTTTTTCACTTTTCTCGTAGTCGGTGAATTCCTTTGGTATCTACAGTGTGGTGCCAGTAAACTCCGACTTCAGCAAAAAGGGACCAGAATGAACAGGAACTAACATTCAGACAAGAAATCAAATAACTTTAACATGGAGGCTCGCAGATTCAATGTGGACGACGTCAAGAACAACAAACATTGTATTCACTCCGGACAAACATCGGCAGATGCAAAACCCAGAGTCAGTTCTTATCTCTTTTATTTATTTATTTTACCCCACTAGTTCTTTTTTTTTTTAAATCGGGTTTTCTTTTTCTGGTAATAAAGGTTTTTTTTTTTGTTGGGTTTTTAATTTGTTGTGGTTGGGGTTGAACTTCAGAAGAAGAAGATGCCTCCGGTGGAAACTAAGAAGAAGGTGGATTTAGTGAAACCCAAAGGTGCCAAATCTAAAGCTAAGAAAGTAAGAGATTTGCTTCTTTCTTCCTTTTGTTGTAGTTTGTTTACTTTTTCTCTTGCTGATGGATCTATGCATGTCTTTTATTTGGTGTTTCTGGTGTATTAAACTTGATTAAGCATGTGATGTTGTGATCTTTAGTTTCTGTGGCTCAAAAGTGTGCCGATTGATTTATGCGCATGCTTTTGCTTCTTGTTTTCGTGGATGTATATACTCATATCATTTAATTTGGGGGTTTTGGTTTAGTGTAACATTTGTTCAAAATCGCATTATCTCTTGTAACACTGCATGTACTGCTACTTGTTAATAAGTCTTGCAATCCACATCATAATCAATCCCTAGTGCGAAAGGCTCCTCCCGAGGGTAATGGGGAACGTTTGTATGCCCCCTTGCTATTGCTTTTCTCAAAACGGCTGTTTCTTGGTTTGAAATGCCTGACCCACCCAGTCACAAAGCCACAAAGAGGTATATCCATGTCAATTTGTGAGGATTGTTATGCAGAGTTTAGTCGCACTTGTTACAAGGGATCTTTCATAGTTCAAAACCTTTAATTTAACAATTATATCAATGTAGCCTTTCACGATTGTGAATGCATTTGAAAGATCATTCTCTGCATTATTTGGATCCGTCTTATTGTGCTTTCTTTGTCATTTAGATTAGCTCTTGTTAGGTTGAGGGCATTTTTGGTCGTTTGTTGATTCTAAAATTTGGTTAGGTCCATGCTCTGTGGAAGTTAATTTGAAGTACATGACATAACCTGTGCGTGAAGAAAGTGTATTAGTTTGTTCTAGTTTGATGTTGGTACTAAGCTCATGAGGAACACAAGCGTGTGTTGGAATTTGGGGAAAATTGTGCATTCACGCTCGGGTAACGATTTGTGCTATGATGCTTAGAATTCTTAGTTGCACTTTACATTTTAACTGAAAGGATGATGTTATTATGTTGATGTATGCTCCAGCGTTGTATGCAATTTTGATCTTTTCTTACAATTTTACTGAATCCTGTTTAAGAATAGAGGAAGGAGATGAGGTTTTTTATACTCTTATTGTTTTTCTTGTAACTTGTGTACCATATGCTGCATGTTACCTTTTTATGGATTTGGTGCTTTTATTTAGAATTGTGGTTGATGTTCGTTCTCATTACGAATAACCTCATCAGCAAACTCACAACAGTGTTTGTATTTAACATGGCCAATATTTCACTTGTTATCCTTTTTAGGATTAAGAACTTATGCTGTTTTATTTGCATTTTGACTAGGTGACTCAGGGAAAAGCCAAGAAGTCAGGAAGGTTGGCAGTTGTACTCTGATGACTTTTATATATTCACTTGCTATGTTGTGCATCCTCTGTTTAGTCTGAAAGAAAATATTTTGAAGGAGTCTGTTATGATTGTGTGAAATCTGTGTAGCATAAAACGGAGGCGGGTTGGAATTAGTGAAGTATATGATGATATTGAAGCAAAGTTTAGTGTCTTGGAGCGAGCAGCAAGGGTTCTGGCAAGTTTGGAGGATGAATTCCCTTTCTTTCTGAAGTATATGCTCCCTTCAAATGTTGCTTACAGTTTTTGGTTGGTAAGCCTTTAAAATTTATTACCATTCCAGGACATTTTGTTGATTGGTGAAAGAAACAATAACATTTTGTGTTGCTTCCTTCCCTTTCTCTTTTTTGCCTTTTGCAGATAATTCCTAGGAAATTTGGTGCCTTACATCTACCAAGTCAAGATTCCACTGTGATTTTGGTAGATGAGTGGGGAAAGGAGTTCAAGACAACATATCTCATTGACCGTAATGGATTGAGCGCGGGTTGGAGGGGCTTTTCTTTAGCTCATAGATTACTTAAGGGAGATATTTTGATATTTCGGTTGATTGGACCGTGCAAATTACAGGTACATATCTGGAACTTGGTGTCAATGTCTCATGTAGAGTCGATATGCTATATGATGAGTCCCAGTGGCAAAGTTAAAATCTGGACAGCAGCAGCTAAATAGTACTCTCTAACGTGGTGTTGATGTTTCATGTTGAGTCAATATACTATCTGAGGTTCATAATATAGATCGTCGTAGATACTTTTCATATTTAACTGGTTATTGTGCCTTAAGTCTTTGAATTTAACTAAATAACTCTTTAGATACTATATGTCGTATCCTTACATCTGAAGATTTAGTGCGTACATTTGAATATCTTACTCTCAGCAATCTCATTTTTGCTGCACTCAGTTCTTTTGTTCATGTGCTCCTGTTACTTATCCTAACAATTTGATCCCTGCATTGCATTTCTGGTCTTATGGATGCTTTACAGAATTTTTCTATCAATTCTGTCAGTTATACTATTAAAAACTATAGAATAAGCCGTTTATATTCATTTGTTCGACTTCGCCTCGATTAAATTCGTAGCGTTTTTAGCAATGTATTGACTCGGATAGGATCCTAGTGCAGACCTATATTATTCTTGTGATATCTCAATGGCACTTTGTACATGTCTCATCTTTGTGAATATCCTTTTCTTCTATGTACTATTTAACAGTTTTACCCCTCTTTTTTCGAAATAACCTTGTATGCCTATCTTGATCAATCCCTGTTTTCTCTCATTGTCGCCTGGAAACCTATTTGATTTAAATTTTCTTGTCTCTGTACCTTCTTTCTAATACCGGTATCGAGGGTTTCTAGTCTTATACAAAGGTATTGGCAAATTTCTTGATGAATTTGGATAGACTCATGAGCCATGCAGTATTAACTTTTTAAGAGCACTCTCATGTCTCATTTGGAATATCTTTGAGACAAACTTGTAGATTTTCACTTTTGTGTCTTTTTTTTTCTCCAGTTTGGTACAACCCAACCTAATGGGTAATGTGACTCCATCAAATTAGGCTATTAAAGTAGTTTGCCATCAATCAAACACAAATCATCATTCTATATTTTCTTCATTTTAGTCAAAGACCAATTGCCATCATGAGCTCAAGATTGCTTCATTTTCTTTCCGGCATTATTTCCATACAAGATCAAAACTGGAGACCAAAATCCACTTAGAACGTCATTGCACTTTCAAGATTTTGAAGTGCTGTTCTCTGTTTCTGAATGCGACTGTTGTGATAAAATATTCAATTTAATTCACTCGTAGTACTATTGTGATGCTAGCCTGATATAAGACTGTTTGGAGACTGCATTCTCTGGAGTCCGGTGTTGTTCATTTTTATTGCCGGGTTTTATTCAGAAGGTTGAGATATTCTAATTTTGTTAGCATATACTTGCAGGTGCACATAGTGAGAGTAAATGGTTCAGATGTCATAAATGCAGCTCAATGCCTAATGAATATGGATGCTATTGGGAAAACAACAGACTCTGGTAACTTTTGCCCTTTACTCACCTCTTCTGCATAAATCCATGAGGAAGGGGGTCTCTAATCCCTTGTTTCTGTTGTATCTTGAACTGGAAGATCTTGCGAAGGATAATGGGAAGCGTAAAAGAGCAAAGAAGTATGCTGAATGTTATTTGCTAGATGTCCCTAAAGTTGAAGGTGATACTAAAGGAAAATGCCAAATGCTATTGAAACCTGACATCGTGTCTTCACCTGAGAAATCAGAAGAATGTAGTGAAGTTTTTGATTCGGAAGTCCCTGAAGGTATAAAATTTCAACAAATTTTGGCTTGCTGAGGGATCCTTGAAAAATTACTCAATTTTTATTCAAATTGTGTTTTAGGTTCTGAAACTCCCAACCACCTTTTATCAGGAGACGTCCATTCCACCAAAGCATCATTTTTGCGTGAACATCCTTTTGAGGGGGTCGCATGTACATAGTCTAGAGTTGAAACATAGTTGTTCGATGAGGAAATCTTGCCGGAGCCTGTGAAGTTTAGTACGTTGCATGCTATGTTTGTATCCTTTTGTTCCAGAAATTCTTTTGATTAGCAAAGGTCATGGAGGAGCGCGTCTAATTACCAAGACAAGTGTTAAGAATATCCTGAACTTGCCTTTCATCATACACAACTCTAGGTACGACCTATGCCACAGATTTCAAAAGGAAGCTTCAAGCATTTGCAAGGTGCCAAAAGTTGTGAAAGAATCGCTTCGGAGTAGTGCTGAGTTGATGAAGTTGCTGACAAAACTGCACAGATAGATGGTTACTATAGTTTTGTTGCTCTTACATTTGATGTTAAAGCAGTTTAGTTTTCTGCAATCTCGAGTCATAGGTCAGGTATACAGCGTGATGTATTGTAATGCACAAGAGGTAGTTCTTAAAGATCGAAATGTTTGGTGTATATTATGTCTGTAAAAATGTACATTGCGTTAACCTTTTGCTAACCTGAATGAAAATCTTTCTTTGTTCATGCAGATCTACTGTTCATTGTTCTCAATATGCAGTTCACTTTCATTTTTACTGATTATTACTAGTTCTAATAATTTATAAGTAGCGTGGAGTAATTTTGAGATCCCCCAATTACGTAGGCTACTGTATAACCCAACCACCAAAGGAGAGGACAGATAGGAATAAGCTGATATTATTTATCACTTTCTGTGTGTGTGTGTGTGCGTTTTCTTTACTTTTGGCAGTCTTTTATCTGAGGTAATTTCTCTTAAATTGTTTTCTGATTAGTTGAAACTTTAACAATTTAAATTAAAATTTTAAATGAATCGAGACGTCTATAATTTAGTATTGATGATACTGTAATGTGAAGCATAAAATAAAATTGGATCAAAATAACGTCAATCAAACGTTATACAGTACTTCATTGTACCAACAAAAAAGTGAAAAAACTTCACATTTCTCCCTGAAAGACAACAAATTTTGGCCTGATTTTTGGTGTTTGTTAGTTTCATTTTTTCTCCTGACACATTAAAAATACAGATTCATGACAGTGTATCTAGACCCTTCTGGCTTCTGCTATCATCCACCGCTTCATTTCGTTTTCTCTCTCCTAAAGTTGGTATTTTTATCAGAGATAATTTCAGCATTTTGATCATAGATGACTCATTCGGAATTTCTGCTCTCGTAGTCTAGTTCTTAAAAAGTTCTCAACTACTTAGTCTGTAGGAGAAGTAATCCATGGATAGTGACAACACTAGTATTGGGAGATTTGAGATGGGGACTAGAGAAGCCATTAAAAGGGAAGTTAAGGAGGAACCTGTTGATGGGGAAAATTATCAACCAGAACAAGAACAACAGCAAGACGAAGACGAACCCACTTCAGATGCTAAAGATCAAATTACCATCCATGATTACTTCTTCTCAGGAGGAAAACAGATGCTTCCCTCTGTAAGTTCTGAGGTACCAAAATGTTTATTGTCATATTTTGACTGTTACTTTCTCTGCATGTTGTTCTGGAATTCGACGGACAGCTGGTTACACAGAGAATGTTGTTGGTAAACTTGAACTTGATCAGTCCTGTTTTTCTTACTTCTTTTAAGGGGTCATAAAAAATTTTCCCTTCCCTTCTTAATAATGCATTTGTTCTGGACCATATATCTCATTGTTGGAGGACTCGGATTTTGGCGGAAGGAAGACTTAAAAGATACTTCTTTTAAAATAATTTTATAAGATGGGAGGACTGCCATGAACGGCCTTTTGCACCCTTCATCAGCTTCATTTTGTCATTAAACCCCAAGTCATAAAACCATTTAAAGCTTGAAACCCTTCTTTTCGCTTTTCTCTGTTTTCATCTTGGCTTATTAACTGGAGACAGGTTCCCGAATTCATGAATGTGTTGTGTTCGAGTTGAATATTGATGTTGAAAGTTGGAACCTCTGGCCGTTCCCAGGAATGATTATTTTTCAAGAATACTTGAACTCTGGTCACAATAAGTTGTAGAGGAACTCTGGGTTTTTGTCCCCTTATTCCATTAATACATTTCAAGTGAGCTTGACTTGGAGTTAGCAGAGTGCTGGCTTTAACTCTCTATATTTTCTTTTGGAGCAGAACAAATTATGCATGCAGCAGAGTGCTGGCTTTAACTCTCTATATATTCTTTTGGAGCAGAACAAATTATGCATGTATTCTGTGACCTTTCAGTTTGCTGAATTGAACTTGAGTGGCATCTTTAATTGATGAAGTGTATTAATGGTGGGTTATTGTTGTCATGGAACAGGCAATCCCAAATGGTCCGCGGAGGTCTAGGAGGTAACATGAACGTACTGGTATCTATAGAAGAAAATGAATAGAAGTAGTGGAAGAACTTGAGAAGTTTTGTTGCTGATTTCTGACACTCGTTCTTTGTTTGGATTCACCTAAAGCAGTAAACATCAGAATTTCGAGATTGTCAAGGAGCATTCTGAAGTTAGATCCTCTGTTATGGATAAAGCAGAAGAGATTCAAGCAAATCTTGATCCTCAGTACCCCAGCTTTGTAAAGATTATGCTACATTCACATGTAACCCGGGGTTTTTGGCTGGTAAGGGCTATGTACATAGTTTGAAAAGAGTTCGCTGAAATGCCATTTCCGTTGATTATCCTTACAGATTTGAACTGCAGGGTCTTCCAGTAGCTTTCTGCAAAATGCATATGCCGAAGCATAATGGAATATGTATTTTGGTGGATGAAGATGGTGAAGAATTCAAGACAAGATTCCTTGCAGCTAAAATGGGAATTAGTGGGGGCTGGACAAGTTTTGCTACTGCACACAAATTGCTTGAGGGCGACGCAGTTGTTTTCCATTTGATTAAGACTCACAAATTCGAGGTAAATACTATCTTCTCTAAGTGGATGGACTTCCATGGGCAGCTTTTCTTAAAGGTTCTTGTGGAAGCCATCTCTCTTGATTTCTTATGTTTGGAAGCATTATTAGTTATACAAATATGCTTTAACTGTTGCAAGAATTCGAAGAAATTGCATTCATATATGCATTGCTTAGCAAGTAGGATATAGTCAGTTACATTCTGAAGAAATGTTGTAGCAAGTTCTTTCTATTTTTTCTTCCAATTCGAGCTTTGTATGTTTCTGTGCAGGTTCACATAGTTAGAGGAACTACGAACGGAAGAGAATCTGGTAAACTTTGTACCCTCTATTCTGTTTTCTTTTGATTTATTGTTCCAGCTTGCATGTTCTTGATGGCTTTCCATGTGTATCTGATATTACTTTAAAACTTGACTTCTTGTCGAAAAGGAGAAGTTAGGAAAGAGATGGACACAAGGGCAACTTCATTTGTTGATTTTGAAAACTTCAACATAGTTGTCAACAATGAAGTGTTGGACATACAGATGTCTACTAGTATAAAGCGCAAGTACTATGAGCTTTGTCGCGCTCAAAATCATACCTGCATGCTGGTTTCCTTAAGACCATTAAAAGTTCATCAGCTGCTGAAATCATCTCCGATATAGTTAAAATTGCTGACGCAATCAGATCTAGCAACATTTCCACTCCCACTAGCCATTTTGCAGATTGGGAGAAGACCTTAGCAGCATTTGACTTACTGGGAATTGAAGTTGGATTCTTACGTGCTCGTGTGAGCAAACTTGCTTATCTTGCAGCGCAGTTTGGAGAGAGAAGATGTGCAAAGTTTTACAAGAAAGCCAAGCTTGACCAAGATCTAGCAGAGGAGGAGATCAGGATTCTTGAAGCGAAACTCGAGGAAGCACAACAGAGAAAGGCGAGATACAATGTTGATATACTGCTTTTAAACAAGTACGTTCAAAAGGATGAGCTGACATTCCGGGAAGAAGCTAATTCTCCCTGGTGAAGAAGAAAGCACAGCACTAGTAAAATACATGTATTCCATGCGCACTTAGGTAAAGTATATTGTCCATCAAACAACTGATCATAGGGGTTGGAGCAGATTTTGAGTTGGTATTGATACCGAGATTGTCATCATTGTAAGATTTCTTTTGCTACAAAGAATCTTTGGAGGTTATTCTCTTCAAAATATGCTGCTGAATATTAACTTTTTCGTGTATTTTTATCATGAGATGGAACTGTAGGCATATTGATCTTTTGAACATCAGCTTTATTGCTAACTGAGAGATAACGCCATGAGTTTTGCAAGTTCAATATTCTGTAAGGATACCAGAGCAACTTCATTTGTTGAATTCGAAAATTTCAACATAATTGTCAACAACATAGTTTTGGATTCCTACATTTTCTCCGAACATAAAGCCCAAGTACTATGAGCTCTGTTGTGCTCAGAATTCATACCTGCATTATGGTTTCTTGAAGAACATTATCAGTTCAAGGGCTACTGAAATGATCTCCGATACAGGTGAAATTGCTGGTACTATCAGGCCAAGCAATATTTCCATTTTCCAGTCCCATGATTTTGAAGGTTTGGACAACACTGATCGCAATATCGGCAAAATCTATAGCTGTGTTAACGTTGGACGACCCAAAAATATCAAACAAACACACCTTAAGGCCCAAAGCCGGAGATATTATTAGTCTTAAATAAAAATGGAGCTCAAAAAAAAAAAAAAAAAAAACCTGATTCTGAAAATACTACTCAGGAGTCAGGACATAGTACTTTATTTTCGGGTCTATTTCTCTCGCTCCAAAAGTTAGTCCTTTCCGGTCACTGATTCTGCATTTTCGTTCATGTAGTTTCTTAAAAAAGTTCATCTTTCATTAGTTTGAAGCAGTACTACTACTACTTCATGGATGGGAAGAGCAGTAGTTGTTGGAAATTTGAGATGGGGGAAGAAGAAGACCTTAAAAGGGAAGTAAAGGAGGAAGCCGTGGAGGAAGAAAATCATCTACAACAAGAAGAACACCCACAAAATCCAGAAAAACCCACTCCAGAAAATGGAGACGAAACGACCAACTGCTTCCTGGAGAGCTGGGGATTTGAGATGGGAAAAGAAGCCCTCAAATGCCTAGTGAAGGAGGAAGGTGTTGAAGCTGTTGAGGAAGCTGATAACCAACAACATCCACAAAATTCAGACAAACCCACTTCTGATGCCGACGACAATAGGACCGTTGATGATTTTTTTGCCTCAAAAGTAAGATAGATGCATCCCTCTATGAGTTCAGGTGTAAAATTGTGTATTGCCATGTTTCGACTGGTTCTCTGTTGTATATTGTTTTGAAAAAACAGGTGTTTACATAGACAATGTTGTTTTCCTGTTCTTACCTTTTTGTGGTCGAGAATGTTGAGGATTGTCAGAATTTTCCTCCCTTCCCCTGTTTTCTTCCATGTATTTTCATTTCCAGGAATTATGCAGAACTCTATTTTGGTGAAAGGAATATATAAAATGGATATTCTAATGCTCCCTTTTTTACTCTTTAATCTTTAGTAGTAGAACATCAGTTGGATGGACTCCCTGTTGCCCTTCATTCTTTAACTTGGTAACTCTAGTAGATACCCAAAATTCAGGAATGTCTTCTTCAGAGTACTTGGGCCTTTAATAGCTTGTTGATATTGATATCGTCTTCCCTAGTTGTTGTCTGACAAGCATTTGTTAAAATGACCAGCTTGCACGGATTCTGAGTTCTTCAGGAATACATGAATGCTAGTCACTTTAGTTGAAGAGAAACTATGATCTTGTCCCCTGATTTCATTTGAATGTTTCTTTTCAGATTTGAGTTTGCTTGGTGATTTTCAGTGGTTTCAACTCCATACATATTTCTGATAACGCATTTTGCTATCTGTTGCACCGTGATATTTATGTTTGCTGTGAATGAACTTGAATGGCATCTTTAATTGATGGAGTCTATTCGGTTAATGGTGGGTTATTCTTGTCCTGGAATAGGTAATCGGAAAGGGCTCCAGGAGAACTAGGAGGTAATTAGTTTTCCCAAAATGTATTTTGGCGGTTATAATATAAATAGACATAGATAGATGTGATCAAACTACAGAAAGTTGTTTTTGACATTCCTGTTTTGTTTGTTGGATTCATATAGTAAAAGCAGAAAACCACGGAAGCTTTGGATGTTTGGAAATTTTGAAGTTCCATCCTGTGCTATGAATAGAACCAAAGAAGTTAAGGAAAACCTTGATCCTCAGTGTCCGAGCTTTGTAAAGATGATGCGATATTCGAATGTTACTCAAGGATTTTATCTCGTAAGTGCCTATCTAAGTAGTTTGAAAAGATTTCGCTGGGATATTATATCTGTCGAGTATCGTTACAAATTTAAACTGCAGGAACTTCCGCACACTTTTAGCAATATGTATATGCCAAAGGATGATAAAGAATGTATTTTGGAAGATGAAGATGGTGAAGAATACGAGATGAAATTCCTTGCCAGTAGAAAGAGATTTAGTCGGGGTTGGAAAGCTTTTGTTACTTATCAGGGCCTGCTTGAAGGCGATGAAGTTGTTTTCCATTTAATTGGGACTTGCAAATTCAAGGTAACTATACTTTAAGGGCATTGAATTTCATTAGCTGCTTTTGTGAAAGGTTCTTGCTGAAGCTATTTCTCCTGATTTCATGAATATGAAGAAAACGTAATAATTGAAGTTCTTTCATACATACGAACAATTCACGGTTGCTTAAATTGCCGTAAGAATTTGAAGGAATTGTATTCATGTATATGATTGCGTCTGTTTCAATAAGGTGGAAAATTGTTGCAATTTTTTCATTCCCTTCATCCAGTTTGAGCTTTGTATTCCTTCTGTGCAGGTTGTTGTTGTTAGATCAACTAGTTTAGAAGTGGATGGAGCACTTGGGCTGTTACCGTTGGACAAAATTATGAGCCGAACCGAATCTGGTAAAAATTATACCCTCAATTTGATGCATTTTGTTCATCTGTATGAGCTTCAATGTTGTTGATGTTTTCCACTTGTATCTGATATTATTTTGAAACTTTTGACTTCTTGGCTAAAAGGAAGACAATTTAACGAAGAGGAGGATACAAGAACGACTTCATTTGTTGAATTTGAAAACTTCAACATAATTATCAATGGCATGGTATTGGACTTTAAGATTTCAAAGAGTACAAGGCGGAAGTATTATGAGCTCTGCCGTGCTCGTAAAACATACCTGCATGTTGGTTTCTTAAAGACAATTAGTAGTTCATCGGCTGCAGAAATCATCTCAGATACAGTTGGAATTGCAGATGCAATCAGATCCAGCAATATTACCACTCCTAAAAGCGAGTTTGCTGTTTGGGACCAAACCTTAGCAGGGTTTGAGTTACTGGGAGTCGAAGTTGGATTCTTACGTACTCGTGTTAGCAAACTAGCCGCGCTTTCAGTGGAGCTAGGAAACAGAGCATGTGCAAAGCTCTACAAGAAAGCCAAGCTTGAATATAATATTGCAGTGGAAGAAATCAAGACTATTGAAGCGAAACTCCAGGAAGTGCGGCAAAAAAGGACGAGACATGATGGTGACCTGCTGAGGTTAAACAAGCACATTCAGAGGGATGAGTCGAGATTTGTAGAAGAAGTGAATGCTCCGTGGTGAAGAGAAATAGGTTGAGGTGTTGGGAAAATTTTGTTCGATGCAGCTCTAGTAAACTACATATATATATATATATATATATATATATATATATATATGCATACGTGCATATACCCGCACACAAAATGCTTAACTTGATTTAGCTTCATGACAATCTATCTATCAGCTAAACTCATCATAGTGGTTAAAGACGAGTTAGAGATTAATTTCATTGTGAACTTTGGTGTTTAACTAAGACTCTTTGGAGGTTATTTCCCTGCTGAAAGTGTGCTCCTGATTTAGTGTTTCATACATTGTTACTTGATTGCTTGTTGAGATGTTTTTAAGATATCTTTTACTACTGCTGCATACGATGTCTGCAAAATGTACATTGCATTAATGTTTGACCTAAAATCTTAGATATAGACTAAAAGCTCTCAGAGTTAAGTTACAGATTACCATAAAACGGAGATAAAAAAAAAACTTAAAAAAAGCCATTAGGAAGAAAGACAACTAACAATCTTCCATCGTCAAGCATCAGAATCATACATCTTTCTTTGACGGTTTTCTGTAAATCAGCACAATCAATACATCACTTCATGCACAATTGACAGAGTCTTAATTCTATACACTTTCCCAGAAATTGACAAAAATCCAATGTGTGGGAAGTGGGGTAACTGCATCAACTTTCGTCACTTTCATCTCACTCCACAAATGTCTTCATGGATTTGGTCATCAAAGTGGCCGAACTCTCTTATAAAATGCAAACCTCGAAATAAGATCAAGAACACAAATATTTCGGCCTAACTCCAATTCAGTCTTGTTGATCAGCTCTTCATTTCCCAATTCCTGCTCTCTCCAAAAGTAGTATTTCTTGTTTATAAACTTGGGTCTGATTCTGGTCATAGATTCCTCAGAAATCTAGACTTTTAAGCAATACTAATTTGTCAATGGGGAGAAGGAAGAGGAAAACTGTGATGGGGAGGGGATCCGATGAAGATTATCAACAAGAACAAAGTGGAGTAGAACCCTCTTCAGATACTGATACTGATGAAGACCAAATGACTATCCATCAGTTTGTAACCTCAAAAGGGAAACACACCACTTCTGATCAGGTATACAAATTCGATTGGAAAAAATGCCCTGTTTTTAACTTTTTACGGTCGATTACATCAATGATCATAGAAATTTCTGCTTTCCTTCTCACTGCCAATATTCATGGCAATTTATCTCATTGCATGCAATGATGGAGATTGGAAAACTTGATTCATAATAGTTGCATTAATACAAAGGGAATGTATTCATTAGTTCCATTATTCTGTCTGCTGCTTTGAACTTAAATATCAGTATTAATTGATAATGTGTACTTGGTTAATGGCGGGTTATTCTTGTTCTTGGAGACAGCAAGTTCGAAAGGGCTTGGGCCGGAGAACAAAGAGGTAACACAAATTCTGCCTGAATTTCTTTCTTAAGGAGAGAGTAGAAACAAAAACAGAACAGAACAGAACAGAACATTAGATAGTAATGAGCTTAATAGTTGTCTCTGACACTCCTGCTTTATTTGGATTCTTACATAAAGCAGGAAATTGAAGGAATCCAGGACGGTTAGTCATAACCATCAAGTTCTGCCCTATGTAATAGCAAGAGCTGAAGAAATTCGAGCTAAACTTGATCATCAGTACCCCTGCTTTGGAAAGATAATGCTGCGTTCCCATGTTACTCAGGGGTTTTGGATGGTAAGTGTAAGTTATAGTTCTAAAAGAGCGCTCTCGCCGATATAACCATTTTACGTTGTTTATGTTGGATTGCAGAGCTTCCCAACTGATTTCTGCAGAGATCATATGCCTAAGTTTGATGATACATACATTTTGGAAGATGAAGATGGTGAAGAATACGAGACAAGGTTCCTTGCCAGTAGATTGGGACTAAGTAAAGGTTGGAGAGGTTTTACAATTTCACAGAAATTGCTTGAGGGTGATGTTCTTCTTTTCCATTTGGTTGAGCCTAGGAAATTCAAGGTAAACAACTTTTTTCTTCCCCCTTTATAAAAGGAACTCAAAGTTTGCTTTCTATAAGAACTTGAAGAAACTGTACTCATATCATTATATGTGATTGATCAATTTCCTTTGTGTAGGTTTACATAGTTAGATCAACTAGCTTCGGAGAAGTGGATGGAGCTATCATTAGGCTCCCACAGTTGGAAGAAAGTTCCAATGAAAAAGAATTTGGTAACAAAATTGTACCCTTTTGCTTAGTTGTATACATTTTCCACTTGTATCTAATGCTATGCAACATTTAAATTTGGCAAAAAGGAGGAGAGATTCACGAAGATGGCAATGGCGATCTAGAAGAAGGCGAAAAATCAACTGCATTTGTTGATTTTCAGGACTTCAACATAAAGTTCAATGGCATGGTTTTGGACTTTGAGGAGATACCTGATATGCGCCTCAAGTACTACGAACTCTGCCATGCTCAGAAATCATATCTCCATGACGGTCTCCTTAAAACTATTAGTTCCTCTTCAGCAGTTGATATAATCTCAGACACTGTTGAAATCGCTAGTGCGATCAAATCAAGTACTGTTTCCACCCCATCAAGTCTGTTTACACTTTGGGATCAGACATTAGCAGCTTTCGAAATGTTGGGGATCAAAGTCGGGTTCTTGCGCGCTCGCGTGAAAAAACTCGTCGCTCTTTCAAAACAAGCGAAAGACACTCGACATGCAAAGAGGTACAAGCATGCGACTGCTGAGTATAATCACATAGAGGAAGAGGCAAAGAGTCTTGAAGCCAAACTCCTGGAATTGCAGCAGGAAAAAATGGAACTTCAATGTGAAATAGAGACTTTGAAAGATCACATTCAGATGGATGAATCCAGGTTCTTGGAAGAAGCTAAGGCTCCATGGTGACTTGTGAGGAGAATCCTTAATTTAGATGGTGATAGTCATATAGCTTTGGGAGCTTTTGTGTTCTGAACTATGCTACTTATTAATGTTCTTGTAATGTTACTATTGCAGTATTACTTCAAGTATGCGCGCACTGTGATATATTTTTTCCGATTTTTTTTTTCCATATTTGCATAGTGTTCAACTTGACAACATCCCTAGCTGAATTATTTTTGTTGCCATAGACAGAATAAAAGATATTCTCTTCATTCCGAGAAAAATAAGTATCATCCTACACTTGATACATAATTTAAAAAATTCTTAAATAAGGTAATAAAATTAATTGAATATCCTCAACAAACTCTATTTAAAAAATGTCCACCAATAGTATTAATTCTTTTGAGGGTAATTTTGGAAATTTTAAACAAAAAGTGTATTGAAATGTGAGAACAACACTTATTTTAAAATTTCTTCATTTTGCTAAAACGACACTTATTTAAGAACGGAGGAAGTATCAATTCTAATTAATGATGCTGGTTCTCGTAAATCTGATACGCGGGATATTTTTATTTTCGGCAGTTAGGAAGTAATTTTTGAATGAAAATATAGATGTAGTAGAAATAATGAATTAATTAATCATGATATGATAAGATATTCTGTAATCCCACAATTTGTGGGAAAAATATTATTCGTGTGAGTAAATTTCAGAATGAAATATGGAAGTAATATCAAACTAATAAGATTATTTAGGTTTAAAAATGGTTCGTAATCTCATGATACTGTATATGGGATAAACATGTTGATTGAGCTCGTTTTTGGTATGAGATATGGAAATTAAAAAGATTATTAAGGTTTAAATGGTTTCTAATCCTATGATTTATGGGATAAACATGCATGTTGATTGATGCTTTTTATATAATTGATTTTATAATGACGTGATTGAATAACACACTTGTAATGTTTTGTGCATTATATGTTTGTATTATTTTAAATCATGTTTTAATTTATTAAAGTGATAAGTTTAAAATATTTGGGACTTATCGCATCTTATTAAGTGTGATCCAATATTATACTCCCTCTGTCCCAAAATTATTGTTCAATTTGAGATTTTATTTTTAGTACAATTTGAACTAGAAATGAAAATCCAAACCGAACAATAATTATGAGACAGAGGGAGTATAAAATTTGAAATTGATATAGGGGAAAAAAGAAAGAGGACAGAATCATACATGATCCCCTCCCCCTAATTTTTACATTCCTTGATAGAAGAAACCGAAAGCTCACAACAATCTCTGCAACGGATTATTCGATAATTAATATCAGCTCACATCTGCTCCAGGATCAAACATGACATACTTAATATGAATTTCCAGGTACTACTTTCTCTTTTGTGAGTTTCTCGATAGTAAATATGAAGTATGGTTTTTGGGTTTAAAACATCAATATGACGTTCCATTGCTTGGATTTATTTGAGTGAATAACTGGATTGTCTTTTGTTCATAAATTTCCAGAAAAGCATCGGTTTTTTTCGAACTTTGGAATTTTAGTGTTTCTTCCCCTTTAGAAATGTATAAAATGTTTATTACAAAAATATTTTTAAAAAGAGATTAAGGAAGAGAGATATATCTGGAAAAAATAAGGTTTCCAGTTCCACACAAGGCATCCATATGTACTATTTTCTCCGGTCATTTTGATTTGTGTTATCATCTCCTTTGAAATTGAAAAATAAGTGAAAAATACTTTCTTACATTAGTGTTGGGAACCCACCTTGAAACATATATATCCTATGTGCTATTCCTCCATTGCCAATTGGTTTTGAGATAGAACAACATGTAAGTTTATATAGGCTTTCAAGATGGTATCAGAGCGGTTTTTATCCGCGAATTTTATGGGTAAACTTTGACCGATCTGACGATTTTTCCAGTTTGACTTTTACCCGTATCAGTCTTTGATTGACCCGACAGTATATCCGAGAATTTTGATTTACCCGGGTTTGATATATTACCCGTATTGGGCTTTAATTATTTAAAGGGGCCTTGTCCAATCCCTTTGGGTTTGAGAGTGGGGTGTTATCCTCCCCTTTGAACTTGAAAGATAAGTGAAAAACACTTATCACATATTAGTGTAATATGTTGCGAATTCACCTTGATCAACATATATATCTCATGTGCTACTCTCTATTGTCAATTGGTTTTAAGGTGGAACGACATGTGGGATTATATGGGCCTAAAAGAATTTGTCTTAAGTTTTACTTACTATGCATTTTTAATTGATAAAAACAACTTAGAAAATATATTTTCACATTCGTCGCGTTCTCTTAATTGTTATGAAATATTTTTAAGATTTTTTTATCAATTAAAAATGCTTGTTAGGTGAAATATAGGACAAATCAAAATACCTTATATTAAGAGACCGGAGAGAGTATGTTCCAAGATTAAAGGTATCGAGACATAGATATTTGATGAGTTTTTGTAGTTCATAAATATGTGAAGATTTTGTAGTTCACAAATATTTGAAGATAGCTTCTGTAGGACTAATACCGTACTGATCTCAATAATTTTTGAATTAAGGTTTCAGTAACTGGTATTTCAACTAATTTTTACCTCAGAAGAAAAAGTCATTAGGAGAAGAAATACAACTCATCCATTCTTGACTAACGCCTTTTTAACAAAATAAAGAAATTTTAAAATTAGTGTCATTTTTTTTTCATGTAATTTTTATTAAAAATTTTCAAAACCACCCTCAAAAGGAAATGGTACTCCCTCCATTATTAAATATGTATCATTTTAGGGTTTAAATTTTTTAAAATACATATATATATATATATATATATATCATTTTACAAAGTCGATACAATTTTTATCATATTTTTTCAATATTAACTTTGCATTGAAAATGAAATACTAGTTAAATAAAATTGTATTGATTGGTGATGAGTTGTATGGATGATAAATAATTGAAATGTGATATTTTAAATACATTATTTAATGTTCTATTGGTATTGATGAAATTTTTAGTGAGAACTATTTGTTATAATGAGGTAATGTTGAGGACAACATAGTAAATTAATTAACTACTCTACTATCACTTTAGGGTTTACACATGTATTAAGAAAATAATGATTGAGATTTTAATTTTCATGTGTATTAAAAGTATTAAAACTCTATAAAATGTTGAAATTGAAATAAAAGATAGGTAAAGTATTAGGACTATAAAATGTCAAAACAACACACGGGTTGGGTCGACCCGTGGGTCACGGGTCAGATTTTCGAGGCCTATTCTTCAGACTTCAAGACAGCCATCTCGGTTAAAGTCCTTAGATGTGGGCATATGAAAAACTCCTGAAAAGGGCCTCCCCTTTCCTTTCCATATAATTAATGGTTTAATTTTTCCTTTCTTTCCTTCAAAAAAAAATACTATTTCAGACATTAGTTTTTGGTTTCTTTATATCATTTTCTTCCATTTCAAGAAATTTCTTATAACTCTAGAATAATTATTTACATACGTTTTTTCCCATAACTAAACAACTCACAAATTATTTCAATCCCTACAATTTAATGTTTTAATTTTATTTTTGGAAATTTATAGCACTACCTCCATTCTTATTTATAAGCTGGAGTTAACTAACTTTACACAAATCAATAAAATTAACAAAGTTTAGTTTTTTGTCTCAAAATTATTGTAAATTTTCTAAATTGTCCTTGATAATATTAATGAAGTAGTTGAGTTAATATTTATATTTGGTTAGTTGTGAGGGTAAAGAAAGGAAAAAACTCATTAAATACTTCCTTGGAAATCTAAAATTTCTTATAAAAATGAATGAAGAAAATAGTATCTAAAACCTTTTATAAATAGGGATGGCGATAGTAGTAGTATCTTTGGGACAAATACCTAAAACTGAGGAATGTTTCTTTACTGCTTTTAGGTGTGTATTATAAAATTTCTGATTATATTATAGTCTTGAGAGTTCTCGAAGTTCTTTTTTCCTTTTTTCAGTTTGTAGCATTATTGGAAGATGGCTATAATGAGATTCTTACAGTTATATGTAGATTGCTATATGTATTGAACTTGATTGGTATCTTGAACAATATTGATGAACTGACTGCATTTTAATTTGGTTTTATTGCTCATTTCCATTTCTTGGAGCAGACATCCAGGAAACGCCCAAGAAAAATGATGAGATAACATGAATTTTACCTGCTTTTTTTTTTATATATAAATAATACTCTCCAATCCTATTGAGAAAATACAAATTTAATGATTTTTTGGTCCTAATTAATTATAAATAAATTTCTGTTCCTATCATGAACAAAAATAGTAACTAAATGTCTTATTTTGCTGGGGTGGGTCATTTTCTAGCATCTTAATTATAAGTTTTTCATGCTATACCTCTGGTATCCATGTAGCAAAAAAACATGTCTATCCCATTTTTCAAAGTAGTAACTATTAAATATGAAAGTAATGGATTAATTATAGCATGAAAGTATGTATTATATTTATGGAACGGAGAGAGTAAGAAGAAGGTTATTAGTTGATTTAATCAGGATAATGTATGAAAAACACAAATCATACTAGCTAGAGACAACAAATAATTTTTGTTGGTTTTGATAAATTTATTATAGTTGCTTTATAAATAAGCCCCGAGAGAAATGTTTTCTCTAGTCAGTACCAGTACTCACTGCTTAATTTGTTTTTTTTTTCTTAATTCACATATAAAGTGGAAAACCAAAGAAGTTTAGGTTGGTTAGTCCAACTAGCATTGCAGTTATGGAAAGAGCTGAAGCTGTACAAAGAAGTCTTGATTCCCTTGAATCAAGTTTCTTCAAGATTTTGTCACATTCAGATGTTAGAAATAGTTCGCTGGTAAGTGCCGCATGTTCATCATGTTTAACTTTCAAAGAGTTCACCAGAGTACTCTTTTTTTTTTTTTTTTAATATTCCCTCTGTCCTAAAAAAAAGTCTGCATTGAGTTTTGAGTTTTGTACTGTTTTTAATACAAATTTGAAAACTCAATGTACACTATTTTTTTGAGACGGGGTAATAATAATTACGTACCTAATTAACAAAACTCGATGGAAATGCAGCCCCTGCCTAAACAAATTTGGAAGAAACATATGACACAGGGTGAAGGAAAATACACGTTAGTAGATGAAGATAAGAAAGAGCAAGCGGTAATGTTCCTGTGTGATAAAAGTTACAAGGGATTTCGTGGTGGATGGAAGAAGTTCGTCCAAGACCATAAGTCCATAACTTAGACGAAGGCGATGCTGTTGTTTTCCAATCTGTTGCACCTAAGAGAGTTAAGGTAATCTTAAAGAAGTTGTCTTGCACGACCATTTTCATTAATAAATTTTTCAAGGGTAGTATTTGGAATTTAAATAGTACATCGCTGATATATGTTGCAGGTTAATGTAATTAAAGGAACTTTAGGACAAGCTGATGATCCAGCTCTTGGGCTCCCAGAACGCTATTACCATTGAAGTACATGATTCTGGTAAAATAAAGTTGTACTCTCTCTGTCCCAAAATTATTGTCCGGTTTGAGTTTTTATTTATTTTTAGTTCAAATCGTACTAAAAGTGAAATTTCAACTGAACAATAATTTTGAGACATAAGGAATACTATTTATTTGTTCATTTCTTTGTATCAGTTCTTGTCATAAATGTATCTTCTAATTGGTATTAATTAACTTCCTTAACTAAACTCGGAAAAGAAGGCCAAGAAGTTGTCAAAGAAAATGATAAAGGAGAAGATGAAGAATCAATTGGATTTGTTAAGTTTGAAGACTTCAACATAATAATCAATGGCGAAATTTTGGACATACCCGATGATGTGCACTTAAAGTACTACCAGCTCTGCAATTCTCAGAAATCATATCTGCATGATGCTGTCCTGAAGAGTATTAGTAGTACTTGTTTTGGTGTTGGAATCATCTCAGGAATAGTGAAAATTGCGGATGATATCCGATCCAGCAATCCCAAGCTCGCATCTCAAAACTCGCTGATCTTTCAAAGCAATTACAACAAGACTCTCCAGGCGCAAACAGGTTGCAGCAAGTGACCCTGGAGTATGATTTGAAAGAGCAAGCCATGAAGTCTCTTGAAGCCAGACTCCAGAAAGTGAAGAAGGAAAGAATACAACTTTTTACTGAGATGGAAAATTTGAACAGGCAGATCAAGATGGGTGAGTCCAGTTTCCTTGAAGCTCAAGCTCCATGGTAAGGGGGGAAAAAAAGCACAAGATGTTTTGGTAAATGATGGAGGCTTTTTTGAGTTCTGCTAACCGACATTGGGTTGTTATATGCTTGTTTGTTGGTTTGATTTTGACTAAGAAACTGAAGATCGTTTGTCCTGGAGATGTTAGCATTTTCCTGCGGAGATATGCTGACAATTTTGTAAATTAATTTTGACCAACAAGCTATTAAGTATACTACTGATCACCTAAAATATGTATAGCTGATTAATGTTCAAATCCATGGGAGTACTCGATGGAATTGTATGTAAATTTAACTTTTTTTCTTTGTTTGTTTTTCCTACTAAAAAGAACTAACCCAAAATCTCAAATTAAATTAAATATGTAAGTAAAAAATAATAAATACTGGAAGTCATATGAAATTTTTGACCAAAAATTTAGGTATAATTTATTGAAATCTGACTGTACGATAAATTTTTGTAAACTTAATAGAACTTATGGTTCAGTTTACTCTTTTTCAAAAGTTTGGGGGCAAAAACATAGTAGTTTAGGATAAAATTTTAGTAGTTTCCCATTTTATCCTTTAAAAAGTACCTAAAACAACATACTTCAAATATAAAGTACGTGATTTGGTGAGATTAATTCTTAAAATACATGATCTGTATTTTTAGGCTACATAAGGTGAAATTTTCTCTTAAATTAATAAATACATTACGGGTGAGATGTGGTTAATAGTGGGCGGACTTAGAAAATTGACAAGATTAAAACATGATGTTAGTCCCAGAAATGAAATGTTGTCCAAAATCATTCGGTATCTCATGCAGTGACGGAGCCACCTTGAGCTATGCTCCAGTTGAGAATTTTTCAAATACTCCTAATGTATTACTAATATGAAAAATTTACCTTTAAACTTCAAAATAAATATTATTTTGCTCCAATAACATTTACATGTAGTAGTTTGTCCCACCTAAGGGTAGGGACTTGGCTCCTCCCATGATCTCATGGCATGTGTTATACCCTATAGCATCGTAGAGTCGGCTTTTTCTCACCGGAATCCACCAGATTTCTTGTTTTAGTGGTGGAATGACTGATTTCCACAAAAGTTAATAAAATAACTTTTTTTTCCCTAAAAGATGTGTAAATAAATAATCAATTTTTTTTTTGGGTACAATAATAACTATAGAGGCAAAGTGCCTATGTTCTGATTGTATTACGTCATGTGTACGAAATCATGATATCGTCATGTACGTTGCAGAATTTCGATAACGGTTTAAGTCTAGTAAGTATGTGTCAGATTACGTCGTTTTTCAGATTTCGTCCAACAACTATGTGTCGGATTTCAGTTACGGTCTTAGTCTAATAAGCGTTACGTAGAATTGTGCTACCACGCGTCAAATTTTCAATCACGATTTAAAATATTTAGTGGTTAAATCATAATGAAGAAAGTAAAAGGAACCATTTATTAAATTTAGGTCTAAATTCACAAGTTTCCAATCTTCATCTTCTTTAAGTCTTGCGTCTTGCCAATCCAAAGTTATCGAATTTTTTATAAACAATTCTTACGGCTGTAGTATGAGCAAGCGATCTGAGATGGAATGCATCCAGCAGAGGGATGACAAACAAGGACCCAAGCCCAATCCAAATGAAGCTGAACCCGTTTCTGTTGCTGGAGAAGACCAAATGTCTATCTGTGCATCCAAAGGAAAACCCAATGATCATCCTTCCAGCTGTTTTGAGGTAAAAAGAATAAAATGAGAAACTGTATCTTGGTGTTTCGTTTTCAATACTAGTTCCCCTGTTTGCAAGCATGTCCATCTTAAGGTAATTTCGGTTGTGAATTGGTTAATTACCCATTTTGTCAAGGTCGGATTAACAAGAGGTTTTAATTATGTAGTATGTGAAATTGGTTCTTGGTCTCTTTTTTGTCGCTGTTGTGGACTGGTAAGTGATAAAATCAAATGCAGCCCTCTGTCCAAAATAGTTCCAGCTTTCTGTTTTTTTGACATTTTTTTTTCTAAAAAAAAATAAAAATTATAGACGATGTTAAAGATCGTCAAAAGATTCCGCCTTTCTGGCCTGTAAGTGGATTTTTCTCCTACGAATGCTATCCTCAAGTTATCAGAAAGTGAAGAATCATGCCAAATTATGCACATTTTGCCATATTTCAGGGTTCCATTCATTCGTTTATTCTTACTTTGTTTATATCAATTTCTAGCAGTAGTTGTTATTAATCGGTCAATTATCTGCACGAATCATTGAAAAATATCTACTTTGATTAGATTTTTTCTGTAGAAAACCTAGATCAATAGCAAACTGGACACTCCAAACTCCAAATGCCCGGCTTATTTAGTTCCCTGTGTATTCTTGTGATTTGAAGATTCGTGATTCATCGTATGCTTTAATCAGCTTAGAGCCTATTTTCTATAAATACTTCTTCTTCACCGGAGATGTTAAAGCCTCAAGGTAATGAAATTAGATAACACTTTCCATTCATTCTCTGTAATGCTGTATTCGCATAACATTCTCTACGTATCATTGCGGTTCCGTATTTTGTCGTGTGAAATTTAATTGTGATCTTGATTCATGATGTGTATCTTGTTGATGGGAGTTATCCTTGTAATGGCAGGATATGCGAGAGGGTCCACTAAACGTCGTCCCCCGGAGAATTCGGAGGTAATGTACATTTGCCTGAAATGATTCAAGAAATGAATTTCCATTACATATACAGATGAAGCAGAAGTCATAAAGACAATCTTGGTTTGGATGGTTTCTTATGTGACAGCAAACAACCCAAGAAGAAGTTCTGGAAAGTTCGCAACAAACTGGATGTTTCACCTTCGGTTAAGAAAAGGGCAGAAGAAATTGAAGCAAAGCTTCATCCAGAGTACCCTAAGTTTGCCAAGATACTCCAACGTTCTCATGTCTCGAAAGAGTATATTCTGGTAAGTGCTTATACTGTTTCAATAGAGTACGTTACGATATTTATTTTTAATTTTTCGTCTTTGCGGAATTTGCAGAACCTTCCTCGGGATTTTTGTGAAGAACATATGCCCAGACAAGTTGCAAAATTTATTCTAAAAGACCAGGATGGTATCCCATATGAAACAGAATTTCATCCTGCCAGTGTTGGTTACCTTCGTGCTGGCTGGAAGAATTTCGCCATTTACCATCATTTGGTTGAAGGTGATGCAATTATTTTCCAGTTGATCAAGACTCGCACCTTCAAGGTAAATATTTTTCAAGTGGATTGACTTCAATAGATTAGTGTTCTGATTGGCAAAACTGTCTCTTTGTTTCTTTTTTTTTTAGTGTGTGTTTTTAGGGTTTTTTATTTAATTGAAAATGTAAAAAAATGTGCCGGAAAGACATATATTAACAAAATAAACTTAAAAAACCATCAAAAAAAAAGAAGAAGCTTCTTTTAGTTTCTTTATGTTAGAAATTATGATTATTATTACTCAATGTTAGTTGTAGTACTCTAAGAATTGAACAAATACATGAGTAGCTTAAGAAAGAAGAATTTTAAGAAAGTTCTTGCTTCTATTAATCTGGACTGCAATGTGGTTGGTTGCCTTGGCGAGACTTCTTTCTATCTTTCTCCGAGCTCTTTTGTCCCCCTTTTTTTTTTTGCAGGTTTACATAGTTAAATCAACTGAATTTGTTGATTTTCAAGACTTCAACATATTCGTGAATGGGAGCGAGTTGGACTTTAAGTTACCTGATACACGCTTCAAGTACTATGAGCTCTGCAAAGCTCAGAAATCATATCTGCATGCTGGATTCCTTCAGACCATTGATCCTGCAACGGCTGTTCACATCATCTCGAACGCTGTTGGGATCGCGGACGCGATCAGGTCAGCCACTGTCTTCACTGCGGAAAGCATATTTGCAGATTGGGACCAGACACTAACAGGGTTCGAGATTCTTGGGCTTGATGTTGGATTCTTACGTGATCGCGTGAGCAAACTCGCTGGTCTTGCAAAGCAAGCAGAAGACTCTCCTCCTGCAAAGAGGTTGAAGCAAGTGACGGTTGAGTGGAATCAGAAAGGGGAAGAGATGGAGACAGCCAGTGTGGAGCGTAATCTGATACGGGAAGAGATAAAGACACTTGAAGCAAAACTCAAGACTTTTGAAGCTAAGCTCCTGCAAGTGGAGCAGGAACGAGCCGAACTGTTTGTTGAGAAGGAGGCTTTGAATGAAGAGATCAAGAAGGATGAGTCGAGGTTCTTGGAGGAAGCTCAAGCTCCATGGTGAGAATTTTTGAGTTCTGGTAGCAGTAATTTGGTGGCAATAATCTCATATTTCATGTGTTTCCTCCCATTCTATTTTGTAAGACCTGAATTTACAGGTAGTGATTGAAACATGTCAGGGTAGAATGAACATTTTCCAGAATTTTAAATGATGCTTGAAAACTTGTCAAACAGATCACATCTTTCTACTCTTCTTGGTATTATTGATGGTAAGTGTTTTGGATTACTGGGAGGGGTTCTTTTATTTATGCTTTCTGCTTGGGCTCTTTCTGTTAATTAGTACCCCTAGCAAAGTGAAGAAACTAGTTATAGAAGTTCATGAGGTTTCACCTCAAAACCAATTGGCAATGAGAGGAATGGCTCATAGATTTATATATTGATACCAAACCTCTTTCCACCACTGATGTAGGATACTCAACACTAGCTACTAGTATTATTCTTTTATAAGCTTTTTATGTAGTATTAGTAATAATAATCATTGACTGAATGTTTGCTCCTCATTCATTCATTCATACACGGATACACCTCATTCCTACCACTTACTTATCCTTTATTCAAGGTTAGCAGATAGTCAAAATCCACTTATATCACGTGTTCTATATCATTAATCGAAAGCATAACCCCGCGGTGTGTATCAATTTAAACTACTACTATGGTATGTACACCCTTTGATTTAGAGACTTGTAACGTTTGATTAAATTTTTTGTTACAGATATGATGTTGGAATAGTTTGATCATTTTCTTTTTCTTAAAAAGACAAAATCCCGTGAACACAAACAACTGCCTTATCAGTTGGTCATACAATTCCTAGATCAGTGCCACTGTTGGTGTTTTGTTACTAATACATTTCTCTTTGGGTCACACAAACCATAATCATATTATATCAAATCAAAAGAAGTAAATTTTACAAACATTCCGACATACTAAGTCGAGATATTATAATTTGTGTTAAATGTATTTTTTTTTCTTTTTGGAATATAAGAATCTTACAAGTTTTTAAAATTGTAAATAACTTTAAAAAAGAAAGCAATCCATAAACTTTTAAAAAAATAAACTTTGAAGTTACAAGTGGTTTGGAATATGAAAATATACACTTCAAGATGAGAAATGTGCTTTCAGATTTGGATTTAATTGATAAACTAATTCCTATGTGGGATTTAGATGAGTCTGTGTGAGAAAGCAATCTCCATAAAAGGGCCATAAGCTTTCAGTTATGTTATTCCCATTTCGCCCCTGATAAAATTTATCATAAGGAATGCAGAGGGAAAGAAAAATCAATCGGTAAGTTTAAAAGTGAAATATGCAAAATTTAAAGGGACCATTTTGAAAATGTAACCTAAAATGAAAAAAAAAAAAAAAAAAACCAGAATTGTCCACTTTTTCTCTTCGATACTCTTTCCTTCATCATCTCTTCATCTCAACTTTTTCAGCTTCCGAGCAGTACTTTGTTCATTCCTGAAACCAGCAGGAAGAGATCTGAGATGATGAAGGAAAACCTGCAATATTATAATCTCCAACACCAAGAAGATGAAGTTGAATCCTTTTCAGACATCGATGAAGATCAAATGCTTGCCCATCTCTCAGCTTGTAGGAGGAAACCCATTGATCATCCCCTTCCCTCCAGTTCCGAGGTGAAAACAAAATTGTATCTTTATTGTTCTTCTTTTCTGTGCTACCCAGTTTGTATGCATATGGGTTTGAATTTAATTTCAGTGGCAGTGAGCTGGTTAAACAAACAGTCAATTATACTTTTTTGTGGACACTCTTTGACGAGGTCCAAGACTAGGAATTAAGGAGAAGCTTTAGACTCTGAAAACACAGACAAACCTTTTTATGATTTTCTGTAATTCCCTATTTTCCCCTGTGTATTTTCCTTCCATAGCTTGAAAAGTTTAAAGAGTTATTATACTTGCAAGCTTTAGGGATTTCAATATTTCTGTGTTAGGTTTAAAGCCCAAATCAATTTCTAAATGTTAATTTATAATCGATTTGGGGGGTAATTAATTTTGCTCTTGGAAATTAGTTTACAAGCAGCAGAAGCTAGAGTTTCTGTTTTTAGTTCCCTTCATTCTTGGGATTGGTGGTTCGGATATGGTATTTTCAGAAAATTTCTTCAAATTATTTAGACATTTTTTGCGCGGGGAGTCAGTAAAGTCTGAAGATTTTTAGAATTTTCACTGGATCAACTGGAATAAAAGGGACTTTCCTTCGTACAGCGTACATCAAAGAAGTTCGGGAGGGTTTGCAATCGTTGGACAGTTTCATCCTCTATTATTGAGAGAGCAAATCTTGATCCAAGGTACCCAAGTTTTGCAAAGCTATTGCTACCTTCCCATGTCACAAATACGTATACTCTGGTAAGTGCTTGTACATTTTTGTGAAGAGTTTACTGTAATAGTATTTCCACTAATTATGTTACAATGCAGATCTTTCCAAAGGGGTTTTGCAAATCATATATGCCAGCACATGATGTCGAATGTAGTTTGCAAGATGAGCACGGTAAATTATATCAAACAATCTTCCAACCTGGCAGTACTTGTGTAATTCGTGTGGGCTGGAGAGACTTTGCTATTAACCATGGCTTGCGTGCGGGGGATGCAGTTGCTTTCCAGTTGACCGGAAAATACAAATTCAAGGTAAGCATTTTCTCAAGTGATTAAGACAACATTCTGGCAATGACTTCAAAGGACTACTTTTCTTCAACATTCTGGCAATGACCATATTTCTTTGTGGCATATCATGATTACTACTCAATCTTGCATTGAGTACTGTAAGAGTTAAATATATGTCTTGATATATAAGTGATTAAGTGCTTAAGAATTTTGCCCGTGTGTGGAATTTTCTTGGTTGCCTTGGCCAAGTTCTTTCTACTTTTTGTCCAACTCCAGCTTTCTGTCCCTCCTTTGCAGGTTTACATAGTTAGATCAACTAGTTTAGGAGTGCATGGATCCACTAAGCTCTCACTGTTGGAAAAGAATAACGATGGAATGCATTGTGGTAGAAATCGTACGCTCTGTCTTTTCTCCTCCCCCTTTTTTGGTTCATTTGTATCACCATTATTTTGGTTCACTTGTATCGCCTTTTTTATTTTTTGAAATTTCAATTAAAAGAGGAGAAAAAAGAATTTATAAATATAATTATTAATTATAATGTATCACCTTGGTTATTTTTTACATTGCAACTTTATATCTGATGTTACTTGACTCTTGACTACTTGACAATAAGGAGGAGGTGCTGCTCAGGAAAAGGGATCGAGAGGATATGAAAAGTCAACTTCCAAACAATTAGAACTTAGCAAAGCTAAGGGGGCAACAAAATATGAAAGTTCAACTGCATTTGTTAATTTTCCGGACTCCAACATGCTCATTAATGGTGGCATGTTGGACCTCAAGTTACCTGATACACGACGCCCCAAGTATTATGAGCTCTGCAAGGATCAGAGATCATATCTGCACTCAGGTTTCCATAAGCCTGCTCATCCCGAATCAGCTGTTGCGAGCACCTCAAATGCGGTTGATATTGCAGAGGCAATCAGATGCAGCAATATTTCCACTGTCAAGGCAAATTTTGCATATTGGGACGAGGCCTTAAAAGGGCTTGAGAGTCGGGGGCTTGAGGTGGGATTCTTACGTGCTCGCTTGACCAAACTTGTTGGTCTTGCTGAGCGAGCAGAAGATTCTCCACGTGCGAAGAGGTTGAAGCAAGCCACTGTTGAGTGGAGTCTGAAAGGGGAAGAGTGTAATATGATTCAGGAAGAGATGAAGACTCTTGAAGCCAAACTCAAGAGTCTTGAAGCCAAGCTCCAGAAGGTGAAGCAGGAGAGGGTAAAACTTTTTCATGAGATTGAGACTTCCAACGTGCAGATCAAGATGGATGAGTCGAGGTTCCTGGAGGAAGCTAAAGCTCCATGGTGAGGGAAAAAAAAGTTCAAGATGGTAGATACTAGAAAATTTCTAGTGGATCCAATGCCAGTTAAATGCTTATAATGCACATTCATGCTTATGTGAATATCTTCGCAGCAGTTGACTGATCATGTTTTTGTTAACGATGGCTGGATTCTTGTCACTGCTGGTCAATGTAATACATGTAGTGTAATGATTCCTAATCCATGAACTTCCTGTTTTTGTCCTTGTTTGAAATTAGGTTAGTTTCTCTGCGTGATCTTGTGCTTCTGGTGTCCTGAAAGAAGTGAAGCTAAAAGTATCAACATGTTTTTAGTTGCAATTTTGTGCAGTCTTATGTCAGATTTTGTTCTTCTGAATTCAGTTGAAAATTTCCTTTTCTTACATGCATAGAAGCTACTATGTCAAATGTCAATACTCACTTCCAAGTTAAGAAATTTCCGCGAAATCCTTGAAACATACAACAACATGTCAACACGTTTCATCTTTCAAATTTTGTTTAGAAATCTGCTACCTTCAGAAATTTCTGATAGAGAAGAGAAGCGAGTGTGCCTAGATGTTCTTCCCAAAATTGAGTATTTTTTTCACTCAGGGAAATCTCCGATGTCATACTTGATCCACTGGATCTTTCTATGCCCGCAGAGTTTTCGCAACGGTATTTCCGGCTGTTTTTCCAAGCCGAATTCAACAACATTAGCTGTTAAGATTGAACACCAACCAAAATGAACCCGATGGTAAATGTCCCTGATCAACATCAATAAGTAAACAGAACAAAAGAATCGAACACTTAAAAAGATGAGATGTATCTGACAGGGACGAGAGCCCAGGTTACACGAAGAAGCTAATGCTCCGTGGTGAGAAAACATCTTAGGAACACTTCTGGTGGATGCAGCAGCATTAGTATAATGCAAATGTACACTCTTTAGGACAATCAACTGATCTGATCACGCTGGCAAAAGATCTTACTATAACATTAGCCTTGGGTGCCTGTTTATATGCATAATAACACTCTGCAATTTTTTGACTTTATATCAGATTTCGGGGTATCAATTTGTGCAAAGATTCTTATTTTGGAACTCCTCTTTTGAAATTAGAATCTAATCTTCATGCTCATCATTATTCCTTGAAACTTTAATATCTGGTCAAAAAAAATTTGTACTCCCTCCGTCCCAAAATTATTGTCCAGTTTGATATTTAACTTTTAATACAAATAGTATTTTGTAACTGAATGGTTAGCCATCAACATGTTTCTTCATCTTTCACAAAGTCATTAGCCACAAAAGAGTTGTTGCAAGCAGCAAGGAAATGTCCATTGTCCAAGTCCAAAAAATACCAATATACTTGAATTTTGAGGCGTTGAAACGATTAATCACATCCCAACAAGCAACGAAACAAAAGCAGATCAACGCTATTACTCTAAAAGATCCAAAATTAGTAATTCTGCAGTGTGCAAGTAAAAGTCTACATCCATCATGACTCCTAATTTCAGCTTTCGTACCCAGGCTTTCTGCCTCAGTCTTCACTCTTCACCTTCATTAATTCTTTTTGGGTTTTTTTTGGTCTTTTTCTTCACTTTTTTTTTTTTTTTTCCATTTTAACACAATTTAACTATTCTCGGGCTAAACTAGGCTAGGCTGCTATATGGTGGTTTCGAGGCACGGCCTTTTCTGGTACTAAACCACCGTTACGGACATCATCAGCTTGTCCTCTTTTTCCCTTCCAACAGTACCCGGAAATCTTTAAGGTTAAACATGAAATCTGCATTAGCAAAGGTCCCATTTTTTTAAATTTTTGTCTGAAACCTGTGAACCAGTCAGTCTTCATCATCAATCACCTACTTTCATTTTTCTCTCTCTGTCTCTCCACCAGTCCAGTTAATTACTCAGTGGCCATTTGACCTAAAATCCTTTGTAGTTTTACACTTTAGCTGTCAAAAATCCCACCTTTCTCAATGAAGGAAAACAGAAAGAAGAGATCTATGACGGAGATGTTAGCCCAGAAAGACGGTCATCAACAAGACCACCTACAAAACGATGACAAACTCTCTTCTGAAAGTGAAGGTTATGTGACCAAAGTTCGCTCTGGAACATCTAGACGAAAGCCTGTTTATTATCATTCCGGCACTCCCTCTTCTAAGGTACCAAAAATATTTTTGATGAATGTTTCTTTTTGTTTCAAGTGTTAGTGCTACCCTCTTTTGCATGCATGACCCTTTTGAAGGGATTTCAGTGGCAGCTGGTTAAAAAGATTGTTCTTTGAACCTCTCTTAGACCTTTGGCAAGGATGTTTAGGACAGGGATCAAGAGTCCTGTTTTTTGAACTTGGTCCTTTCTGTGTGTGTTTGTGTGTGTATAGTCCAAATTAGTCCAAAATTTCCCAAAATCAAACTCCAAAAAAGTCTACATTCCAAATAGCTCCATTCCCCTGTTTTATACTTTCTCTGTTGATGAATTATTTAAAGATCCTCAAAATTTCCCTCTTTTTTCCTTCTCAAAATGGCTCGGTGATACATTTGGCCTACTTTTGGGTATTCATTTTCTTTTGTTTTGTTTGTGAAAGGTTGTAACCCAAATAATGTACATGATTTTCCATTTTCTACTGATTCTTATTAAACTGTTGTATGATTTACATACTGCATTGTGGCTTCCTGTCTCTTGGTTTTGCTGTATTGAGTTTATAAGGCATATTTGTTTGATGAAGTGTATCTTGTTGATGGCAAATTATTCTTGCAATGGCAGGCAGGCCGAAAGTATCACCCACTGGGAACAAAGAGGTAATGTAAATTTGCCTAAGATGATTTCTGAATGAAAAGCTGAACATACATATATTTAGTGGAATTCATGTTGATAATTGTGTTTCTGATACCACTTCTTTGTTCAGATATGCACACAGAATCAGCCCAAGTTTCGAGAAGGTTCCCCATGGTTATGAAGTTTCATCCCATGTTATAAAAAGAGCAAAAGAGATTGAAGCAAATCTTGATTCACGGTACCCTTGCTTTAAAAAGATAATGCTCCACACCCATGTTGACTATCAGTATAGGCTGGTAAGTACCTGTAACATACTTGAATAGAGTTCCCCAGAAAATTACGCTTATCTTTACAATAACCTGCAGAACCTTCCGATGCTTTTTGCCAAAAAGAATATGCCAATACATGATGCCATGTGTATTTTGGAGGATGAGGATGGCGAGTTATACGAAACAATGTTCTGTCCTGGCGACAAGCTTTTCTTCCGAGCTGGGTGGAAAAATTTTGTTATTGACCACAAGTTGCTTGAGGGAGACGCAGTTGTTTTCCAGTTGATTGCACCTTGCAAATTCAAGGTAAGTACTGTTTTTTTGGATAGACTTCAATCAGCTTTTTCAGAGGTTATGGCAGAAACCATTTACCTTAAATTCTTATGTTTTGAACCATGATTATTTACTCAGAGTTGCTCAAAGCACGATACATGTATTTTTATATAAATAATAAATGGCTTAAGATAGAATGATGATGCTAGTTTCTGGGGAAAGATTTTGGGTTTTTGGTTTCATCAGTCTGGATTGAATGTAGTTGGTTGCCCTTACAAGTTCCTTTTATATTTCTTCCAACACTATCTTTGTATCCCTTTTGTACAGGTTTTCATAGTCAGATCACCTACTTCAGGAGAAGTGGATAGAACCTCGGTGCTCTCACAGGTGGACGAAAGTATCAATGGACAGGAATCTGGTAAAAGTCATCCACACCTCATTACTCTTTGTTTTGCTTATTTGTATGTTCTCGCATGCTCTTGATGTTTCCTTTTGTGTCTGAATCTATTTTACATTTGATTTCCTGGCAAAAAAGGAGAACAACTCATCAAAGAAAAGGAAAAGGATGCATCAGAACATGAAAAATCAGATGTGTTTGTTGATTTCCAGAACTTCAGCGTAGTTTTTGAAGGAGTTGCGTTGGACAGCGACTTTAAGGTACCTGATATTCGCCGCAAGTATTATGAACTATGCCTTTCTCAAAAGTCATTTCTGCATGCTGGTCTTGTTAAGGCCATTAGCCGGTCATCTGTTGTTGATATCATCTCGGATACGGTTCGAATTGCAAATGATCTCAAAGGTAGCACTTTTGTCACTTCCATAAGTAAGTTTAAGCTCTGGGATCAGACCTTAGGAGGGTTCGAGATATTGGGGATGAAAGTTGGATTTTTACGTGCTCATGCTAGCAAACTTATCTGCCTTGAAGAGCAAGTGGAAGACACTCCAACTGTTAAAAAGTACAAAGAAGCCATGATACAATACGATCTTGAAGGGGAAAAGATGATGAGTATTGAAGCAAAACTCAGGGAAGCGCAACAGGAAAGGGAGAAACTTCGTTCTGAATTTGCGACTTTGAACAAGCAAATCCAGGCGGAAGGATCGAGGTTCCTGAAAGAAGCTAATGCTCCTTGGTGAGGAAAAACCTCAAGGTGATTGAAACTTTCAGGTGGATGCATGCATCCTTTTGAATTTTCCAGCAGATTTTAGGATGTAATGCTAGTAAACTAGTTGTTATAGACCAAGAATCTGGAGACGACTGTCCTAAATATGGTGCTGATCAATGTAGTACAACTACTGTTGTTGACTGATTTATGTTGTTCGATGAAATTGTGTTCCTAATTCATGAGCTTTTTTCTTCCTGATCAAGTACTTCCAAGTAACATTACGCATAGATTGATGATATGCAATTGAAACTTTTCATCTTTCAAATGTTATAAGCAATTAGAAAATCATTACTTTTATACCTTCTGATGGAAAAGAGCAGTTCTTTGTATGTCTAGATGTTCTCATGTGCTAAGATTTTGAATGTGAAAATTGAAAAATAACGGGAAAAAAGCAAGACATCGTTTCAATTTAGTGTAAAATCTAGTCCAAAAAAGGGGAAAAAAAAAAAAAATTTACTCAAACGTCTTTGATTCGTTCAGTCACTCAGGACTTAAAAAGGTTCTAAGCGCGTTCGATATAAGGCCAACATTAGAGAGATCATGCATCTGCTGCCTATTCCTACTCACTCATAAATGTCCACTTGGTCAAAACACCATGACAAAGCCGTCTCTGCCACCATTTTCTTTATTACAGAGAAAAACGGAGTCTTTTCTAAAAAAACCAAAATTTGATTCGTACCCTTTGGCTGGTTTCTCATTCTGCTTATATTACCGTTGTAAAGATCTCAACTTTTTGGTTTATTAGTCTACTTCATATTCATGGATGGGCATGGGGAGAATATGAGTACATGTGAGATGGGGAGAGAAGAAGCCTTAATGATGGAAGAGCAGGGCAATGCTGTTGAGCAAGAAGAAGATAATCAACAAAAACAGCCACATGAAGAAGAAGAGGTTGCAAACGTTCAAGATTCTGAAGATGAAATGAATATGGATCAGTACCTGGCCTCAAGGGCTGAATCCATTCACCCCTCTCTCAGTTCTAAGGTATACAAATATTTATTCTCAAACTGCCTTATTTTTGTACTGTTAGTTAGAATTAGAACCCTCAATGCATTTTAAAAAAAAAAAAAATTTTAAAAAAAAGAACCCTCAATGAAATGATGCAGGACTCAATTCACCTAATATGTCTAGGTAGATGATTTTGGTAAAAGTGGGAGTTAAAAAAGTAGAGTTCTTTTGCTTCAGAACTTGAGTAGGAAGGAAATTATGAAACTGATTTATCCCCCAAATTAATGAACATCTTAATCCAGTGGACCTGTGTCCAGAAATGTTAAGTTCCATCTTCTTCAGTTGTTCATCAAACATTGTAAGAGCATATTGATATTTGCAACGACTAAGGAAAGATGAATTCTCAAGAGTCTACGAATTCTGGTCACAGTAAGCTGGTTGATGAACTCTGCTCTTGTCCCATGATTTGATTAATACATTTCAATATTTAATGGCAGCTTTAGTAGTGTTTTTATTTTATTTTTTTTGGTAAAATAGTAAAATGTATGTTCCACTGTAAATCTTTAGTTTGCTGCATTGAACTTGAATGGCTTCTTTAATTGATGAAGTGTACGTGCTCAATGGTGGATCATTTTTGTTGTTGCAGCAGCCAAACCAAATGGTGGGTCCTCGGAGGAGTCGTAGAATTCCACGGTAATACTCATTTGCCTGAGATTATTTAAAGAACATATAAACAAATAGAACATAGATGTGTGGAAGTCATTTAGAAGATTTGCCTCTGACCTTCCTAAGTTGTTTGGGAATTTACGTTAAGCAGAAAACCACAGGAGTTGATCGGTGAGAGTGGTAATAATTTGGAAGCTCCTTCTTCTGTTATGGATAGAGCTCAGTCTAGCCTTGATCCTCAGTACCCCAGCTTTGCGAAGAAAATGGTTCATTCCAATGTTGTATATGGATTCTTTCTGGTAAGTACCTATATAATAAGTAGTCTGAAAAGAGTAAATCAAAATACCATTTCTGCTGGCTTACATACAGATTTAATTGCAGAAGGTTCCAGATTCGTTCTGCAAAACTTATATGCCCAATCATAACGTGAAATACTTATTGGAAAATGAGGATGGTGAAATATACAAGACTAAGTTCCTTGCTGCTAGAGGGGGACTTAGTGAGGGCTGGAGAGCTTTTGCCAGAAAGCACAGATTGATAGAGGGCGATGCAGTTGTTTTCCATCTGATTGGCGATATGAAATTCAAGGTAAATATTTGTAAATGGTTTGACTTTAATTGGGCGCGTTTCTTTTAAGGTTCGCGCAGATATCATTTTTCTTGATTTTTTGCTTTAAGAATAACATAATTTACTCAGAGTTGCTTAAGATGCTGTAAGAATTTGAAGAAAGTATCCATTGTTATATATAGCTTAAGAAATAATGATCAAGTCTGTTCGTGGAGGAAGGTTCTTGGTTCCATCTTGCCGGACTAAATGTGTTTAGTTTGTGCTGCAAGCTCTTTATACTTTCTTCCATCCGCTATCTTTGTATCCCTCATGTGCAGGTTTTCATAGTCAGATCCACCAGCTTAGGAGTGGATGGAACCCCTGAGTTGTTACAGTTGGAGAAAAATATCAATGATGAAGATTGCGGTAAATTTCCTACCCTTTATGTTTTCTGTCCACTCGTATCACCTTGTCACATGTTTCCATTGTTTGATGTTATTTAACTCTTGAATACTTGGCAAAAAGGAGCAGAAGCTGGCAAAGGAAAGGGTACAAGAGTATATGAAAAAATCAAGTCGGCAAAAAGGAACAGTTTGGAGAGAAAAGGATGCGATAAAATGTGAATTCTCAACTGCATTTGTTGATTTTCAAAACTTCAAGATAATCTTCAAAGGGGTTCACTTAGGGGTTGAGTTACCTGTACGCTTCAAGTACTATGAGCTTGCAACTCTCAAAGTTCGCATCTACATGCTCTCCTTGAGACCATTAGCGAGTCATTTGCTGTTGATATCATCACCGACACAGTTCGAATTGCCAGTGCAATCAAATCTAGCACTATTTTAACTTCCAAAAGTGATTTTAAACTCTGGGATCAGACCTTAGCAGGGTTTGAGTTACTGGGAATCAAAGTTGGATTTTTACGCGCTCGCATCAGTAAACTTGTTGGTCTTGTAGAGGCAGAGCAACCAGAAGATCCTAAGCATGCAGAGAGGTACAGGCAAGCCACTATCGAGTATAATCTAAAAAATGAAGAGATGAAGACTCTTAAAACACAACTCCTGAAAGTGGAGCAGAAAAGACTTAAACTTCATTCTGAAATGGAGACTTTGAAGGAGCACATCCAGAGGGATGCATCCAGGTTTCTGGAAGAAGCTACTGCTCCATGGTGAAATGTTGGAAAGCTTCTGGTCAATGCAGTATTGATAAAATGTATGAACTTGCATGCTTAGGCTTATATCTTCTCCGCAATCTGGCTGATTATGCTTGTCAAGGATCTAAGTTCATCATAGTAGTCCAGTTCAAAACATTCCTTGACTGATCTTAGGGTTCTATTATTAGGAATTGGGTGACAATTTGCACAGCAGAATAATTGTGAAACTTGTTTTTATTTTATCACTAAGAATCTGGATGTTATTCTCTTGAATTTGAGGCTGATTAATGTACATCTTTTGTTGTTGTTCTGAAATTGTCTCCTCTCCTCCTTTCAATTTGTTCATTTTGTTTCCAAGAGATGAAAAGAATTAATGTGCATGTTTATTATCTCCTCCTAGAGCTTCTCTGCCAAAGCACATTGTCTCCTCCTTTCACACATTACTGAATGTCAGTCCAGAAACCAATATAGGAAAGATTACTTACATCTCTACAATCCAAAGCATTATCATTTGATTTTCTGCCATCAAATACCAAATGAGTTATACACTGACGGAAGTAAATTAAAAGTCCCATCACACAATTCAGTGATTCACTACTTAAAAATCTGTGTCAAATGTCAATCAAAGAAAGTCCTTAGGTAGCTAGGCTATTATGATAACTATGCCTGTAGCTTTTTATCTCCATTTTTTCAGGCCACCTTCATGTAATTTTTATATGTTTCTAACTACATTAGTTTCTCCATCCCCAAAAGTTAGTTTGGTTTGTAATTCAGGATTAAAAGGTCCCTTTACAGCACAAGTAAATTTTTTTAATTTACCACAGTAAGACTTTGCTTTCACTTGCCTTTCCAATATTTTTCTACTATAAAATGTTTCATAACTCTAAAGTCAGTCTGACTAGGGGTGTTAGTTTGGGTTTAGACCCATGAAGCCGACACGAACTCAACACGAAATTAGCGGGTTTGGATTGGAATTTTTGACCTAAATAATAAATGGGTTGAATTCGACCTAACCTTTTTATAAACAGGTTGAGTTCGGGTTACGGGGGTTACCAGTTTAAATGGCTTCTTAGTAATTTTAGTAATTACCTATAGGCATATTGGTCATTTTAACAAATATTTATTAGTTTTTTCTAAATATGTGATTTTTAACTTTTGAATAATGGATTATTTTTATTTGAATTGTATTTTATCAAACATTTATCGTTTAACGATATTTTGTGCGATTTTTGTAGATTTTGTTATGGTCATACCTAAAATTAGTTATGTTGCTTTGGTTTGCATTTTGAAATGTGGTGAAAAAATAGATTTTTATTAAAAAATTCATAATTTTACCAGAAAAAAATTAATTGGGTACCAGCAATATATATATATATATTCAGGTTAAAGGGGTCCAACCGGAGTAACCCGCGAAATAAAAGGTCGGGTTCGGGTTCAAAAATCTGACCTATTTAATATATAAATTGGCTTCGAGTTGAGGTGACTTCGAGATGGGGTAAAAATTAAACGAGTTGGGTAGAACCCAACCCGTGGATCCAACCCAACCCAAATTGACACCCCGTCTGACGCTAATGACTATTATCTGTGTTGGAATCTTTTAAAGTTAAACACGAAATAAGCATTTCCAAAGGGACGATCTTTGCAATTTTATTCTAGAGTTAGGATCAAGAGAACTTTGTCCCGTCCAGTCTCTTTTTCTGAGCAGTCCACTGTCTTCATTCCCCTCTCTCTCTCAACAGTGTACTCATTGAAACAGAAGGAAGAGATCATCTGTTTTTAGTTTTCCAACTTATTAGTCTGAAAAATCTTATCTTTTTTACGGTATTCACCTCATGGAGAGAAACAGAAAGAAGAGATCTTCGATGAAGCAAGAACACCACCAACAATGTGGAGACTCTCCCTGTTCTGAGGAAGTGAAGGTAGAAAAAGAAAAATTGTATCTCCATCCACGTATTTTTTGTTTGAAGGCTAGCTAGTGCTTACCCCCATTGCATGCATGACCCTTTTAAAGGGATTTCAGTGGAAGCTGGTCATGTTCTGTGAACACTCTCTTAGAGTTAGACCATGGACAAGGTTTAAGACATGGGTTTTGTGTCCTGTTCTGTGAAAATTGGTTCTTTGATATTTTTGTGTTTTGTATATTATTAGTTCGAAATCAAGACAACCAAATAAGTCTACATTCCAAATAGCTCCGATGCCCTGTTTTCTAAACTTTCTGTGGTTGACAATAGTGATTCAGGATCGTCAAATTGTGGTCTTCTTTGTTTTTTTTTTCGTTTTCTGTCCGATGCATTTTTCTTCTCAAGCATGCCACAGTGACTATGCATAATTGGCCCATTTCTGGGTTTTCCTTTTCTTTTGTTTGTTTGTCAAAGGTTGTAGCCTAAATGTGTTTCTAGTTATTGTGAATAATCGATTAGGGATCTCCAAGAATCATTTGATCACCATTTTGGTTAGATTGACTCTAGACGTGTAGATGAAGAGCAGCCTGAAACTTTCTTGTTTTTTGTTTCCTTCATTCCGGTGAACGGAGGTCTCAAAAGTTACAAATATGGAAGATTCAAAGTTATTATTTTCAATTTCTTTAAATTATCTGAAAGCATATTTTCTCCCTACATTTTGTGGGATAGTAAATAAAGCCGGAAGAAAAATGTGATTTTTTACTTGACGCGAAGCTGTTGTATTATTTACATGCTGCAATGTGGCTCCCTGTCTCTTGTTTTTGCTGTATTGAATTTAAATTTAATTGATGAAGTGTATTTTGTTAATGGCAAATCATTTTTGCAATGGCAGGCAGGGCCAAACTATTACCCTCTAAGACCTAGGAGGTAATGTAAATTTGCCTTAAATGATTCAGAATGGAAAATTGAAAATATGTAGATGTTTGGAATTTGTGTTGATGATTGTGTTTTTGATACCACTGCTCTGTTTAGATTCATACACGAAGTCAGCCAAAGGTTCGGGAAGGTTCCCAAAGGGTATGAAGTTTCATCCGATGTTATCAAAAGAGCTAAAGAAATTGAAGCAAATCTTGATCCACAGTTCCCTTGCTTTAAAAAGATAATGCTACGAACCCATCTTGGAAATGCGTATTCATTGGTAAGTACCTGCAATCTATTCAAAGAGAGTTCAGCAGAATAATTTGCTTATCTTTACAATAATTTGCAGAACCTTCCAATGGCATTTGTCAGAAAAAATATGCCTCCGCATGAAGCCGTATGTACCTTAGAGGATGAGGATGGTGAGTTATGGGAAACAATGTTCTGTTTTGGTGAGATTCATTTCTTTCGCGCGGGCTGGAAAGAGTTTGCTGTTGACCACAACTTGCTTGAGGGGGACGCAGTTGTTTTCCAGTTGGTTGCGCCTTGCAAATTCAAGGCAAGTTTTTGTTCAATTGGATTGTCAGCTTTTTCATAGGTTATGGTAAAAACCGTTTATTTTAATATCCTGTGTTTGGAATCTTGGTTGCTTACTCAAAGTTGCTCTAAGCAGTGTGTGAATTTGAAGGAATTGTATTCCTATATATATAGCTTTACGAAGAAATATTAGTCAGTTTCTGGAAGAAGTGTCTTGGGTTTTTGGTTTCATCGTGCTGGATTGATTGTGGTTGGTCTCCTTTACTGGTTCTTTTTATATTTCTTGCAACTCTATTTTTGTATCCCTTCTGTGCAGGCTTTCATAGTTAGGTCAACTAGGTCAGGAGAAGTGGATGAGACCCCGAAGCTCTCACAGTCGGACGAAAACATCAATGGCAAAGAATCTGGTAAAAGTCATTCGCAGTACATTTCACAGTCAGACGAAAATATCAATGGAAAGGAATCTGGTGAAAATCATTCACACTTCATTTAGATTTGCTTCATTTAGATTTGTTTTGTTTGGTTGTACGATCTTGCATGTTCTTGATGTTTCCATTTGTATCTGATGTTATTTAACACTACTTCCTTGACAACTTGGCAAAAAGGAGAAGTCCGCGAAGGAAAGGGAAAGGATTCAAGAGGACATGAAAAATCAACTGTATTTGTTGATTTACAGAACTTCAACGTAATCTTCAAAGGCGTCGCCTTGGACAGCAACTTTAAGATAGATGTACGCCACGACTACTATGACCTATGCCTTTCCCAGAATTCATATCTGCATGTTGGTCTTCTTGAGGCCATTAGTGATTCGTTTGCTGTTGATATCATCTCTGATACAGTCAAAATTGCTAAAGCGATCAAATCTAGCAATATTACTACTCCGATAAGTAAGTTTAAACTCTGGGATCAGGCCTTAGAAAGGTTCGAGAAATTGGGAATGAAAGTTGGATTTTTACGTGCTCGTGCAAGCAAACTTATGGATCTTGCAGAGCAAGTGAAAGACACTCCAAATGTAAAGAGGTACAAAGAAGCCCTTATGCAGTATGATATTGAAGGGGAAGAGATAAGGACTCTCGAAGCTAAACTCTGGGAAGTCCAACAGGAAAGAGAGAAACTTCATTCTGAAATTGAGATTTTGAAGAAGCAAGTCCTGGGGGAAGGGTCAAAGTTCCTGGAAGAAGCTTATTATGCACCTTGGTGAGAAATCTTAAGATGGCAGAAACTTTCAGTGGATGCATGCATTCATTTGAGTTTGCCAGCAGACTTTTGGTTGCAATCTTGCAAAGATCTGGGTATATTATTGGGAGTTTGTTTCATGAAGTATATCTTTAGAGGTTTTTGTCTGAAACCGTGGTGCTGACTGATGTTCTTAAACTCTTAGCTAATACCTAATATTGTCGAAAATTTCTGGTAGATCGAATGCTTGTAAAATGCATATAATGCGCATGGATGTTTACGTATTGTATCTTCTCGGCAATCATCTGGTCATGTTTTCATTGACGATCAATCTTACCCTATTATCATTAGACATTGCACAAGGCCACAATCTTTAAATTACACTGCTGTGAATTTTTTTTTTTCAAAGATGGTTCTATACTACTGATGCTGAGATGTTATCCCAATTCTTAGGTAACCCACCCTTCAGGACAGAACTGGAGTTATCAACATTAACTAGATTCATAGTTTTTCAGGGGCGCCACCGATTTAGTATCTTCTAAGTGACTTGATCAACTCCCCAATCTTTCAAACTGACACCTCCACAAGTCTTAGGAACAAAAGAAAAAAGAAGAAAACCTTTCCAGACTAATTTTGCCCGGCTGAATCAACAATTACTACATCAGCATTTGCAACTTGCTTTTTTATCAGCAATGGTTAACAGTGTTTAACTGAGAAGATTGATACCAACCCTAATTAAGTTCCAGTAGTCCTGACCTAATTAAACGCGTCGATATTCACACAACACATGAGTGTTAACTGTACCTGAACTGCAAACTGGCCAGTCGCAATAAGAACAAGTTTTCCGGAGTCCATTATGCTTCCCTGACATCCAAGAGGAAAATCCCACATCAAATGAACATCTTACCTACTGTGTTTATATGTTACATGACAAAATTAACACAAGTTCAAAGGCAAGATCACAAAGGGTCACAAGTAGGCGTAAAATCTTAGCTACTTATATTTCAAGTTAAGAGTAAAATCGTATTACTGCAGTTTTGACTTCAACTTTAAGAAGGGTTTCTACAGAAAGAAAAAGAAATACTAATAAGTTGAGGTCATAAGTTACATGACTATTAGTTGTGACAGGCTTCACGTGTGAACTCCATCGAAATGGAAGTGACACCAACATTGCTTACCTGATCATAACATACGTCAATCCTTTTCAATCTTTTTTTTTTTCTAATGTAAATTTTTCTTCACCTTTAAAATACCAAATCAGGTAGTTTTAGTTATTTTCAAGATTGTTTTCCAGATCCACCCATCCTCCTTACTAATGCATGAAGAGTTGCCAGTAAAGAACAGATAAATCATCACAATTTTGTTTGGAAACTCTTCTAAAGATCATTTGTCTTATTCTTTTTTGACTATTGTTGCTGGTTAGTCGTTCAACAGTTTCTTCAGGTCCTTACCATATTTTTTTCACCATGTATATAACGCATGTCCACTTCCACAAATCCCATGCACAAAACCTAATGTTTTACATTCATCTGTGTCTTTAAAAGATTTAAGGAACCTCAACCTCATAAGGATTTATATCATTTGTCCATTTTTTTTGAAGGCTACATATTCAGAGAATGATGAAGAAGATCAAAGAAGGAGATATTGTCCTTGTGGTGCAAATCATTTTCTGCCTCCTTGCTTTATCAAGTAAGTCCTGTCATGAATAGTGCAGTATTGTATTAATCTCTATCTTGCTGTGCAACTAATATTCTGTCTCGTTAAATTTTTTTTCCGGTAGATGCAAAAGCAGCAACCAGAATTGGTATAGTTTATGGTGGGCAAGGAAACAATTTGCCAGCTCCAAATCAATCTGTTCAACTTCTTCAGAGGATGAATGTTGATGCAGTCAGGCTTCCTGACGCCAATCATGAAATGCTTCATTCATTATCTCGGACGAGGCTTCATGTGGCAATCACAGTTGAAAATGAATTGATCCCAGATATCGCCTCTAACCAAACAAGAGCAGATCAATGGGTGCAAGAAAATGTCGTCGCATACTACCCTGAGGCGATGGTTCGCTACATATTTGTTGGAAATGAAGTGCTGAGCCAAAACAATACGAGCTTGTGGCATGATCTTGTACCAGCCCTGAAAAGAATTCATGATGCAGTTAGGAATCACAATATTGAGAACATCAAAATAGCCACTCCCCTGGCAATGGACATCTTGGAAACAACATTTCCGCCATCAAGAGGGACATTTAGGTCTGACATTCCGCAAGATCAGGTGCTGGTTCCTTTACTGAAATTCCTGGATGGCACTAACTCCTTGCTGTTCCTTAATGTCTTCCCTTATAAAGCCTGGTCTGCCAACCCGACGAATTTAAGCCTTGATCAAGCTCTGTTCAGAGTGGATCAAAGTTCTGCCTATCAGGATCCTGGTAGCAGCTTGAACTACACCAACCTCCTGGATCAGATGCTCGATTCAGTTCTCTATGCAACGGAAAAGTTAGGCTTCGAAAACATTGATCTTGGGATTTCTGCAACCGGCTGGCCTCATGCAGGAGACATTGATCAGCCTGGTGCAAATGTATACAATGCAGCCACTTACAACCGAAACCTTGCACGAAAACTGAATTCAAAAGGATCAGCAGGAACACCAGCAAGACCAAAAGCACTGATCCCCACATTCATATACTCACTGTTCGATGAGAATCAGAAGTTAGGACCAACAACAGAAAGAAGTTGGGGGTTACTACGCCCTAATGGTTTGCCAACATACGAATTAGACCTAACTGGCTCCCGATCAGACAAGGAGTATTCAGAGCTTCCAACACCTTTGAATAACAATCCCTACAGAGGAAATCTATGGTGCATCGTGGTACCCGGGGTGAACACATCATACTTAAGTCAAGCCATTATCAACGCTTGCAGCCAGGGAAACGGAACTTGTGATGCAATTGCGCCAGGAAAAGAGTGCTACGAACCGGTTTCACTCATCTCTCATGCTAGTTATGCATTTAGCTCATATTGGGCTCAGTTCAGGAGCAGAGGTGGAGCTTGTTATTTCGATGGTCTAGCAATGGAAAGCACCAGAGATCTCAGTAAGTAACAATAGTCCTGCCTGAGATTGGAAAACAAAAGCAAACACGTATTTTATTTTTATTTTTTTTTTTTGAGATGATTTTGCATTATTTCTTCGAGTATGTCTGATTGTTTCATGTGTCGAACAGGCCACGGATCCTGCAAGTACCCAAGCGTAACTGTCTAGGAATGATGATGGAGGAAAAGCACAATGCCAAGGCGTCGAAATTTTCCTAATTTTCATTAACTTTCCTGGCTTTAGTTGAAAATCTATGTAATAAAGAACTCCCATTATTTAGGAGGCATGAGTTGAGTTCACTCCCCTGAAAATTCTAGCTATTTAATTAATGCACTTTGTAAGAGTTGATTTATTTTCTTCATCTTGAATCCCAGAATCTTCTTAGTTGAAGACAGGCTACTCGTCTTTCCTCCTTTCAACTGTAATCTTCTTCCCTTTATTTCAACAGATCTGAATTCAACTTGACTGATGCAGTGCAATGCAGGGTTCTGTACATCTTCTGTTATCAGAAAAATCTTTAGTACATCTGTGGAGACTAATACATACTGAGAAATATACTATAACAATTATCCGAGCAGGGGAAACACAGCTTATTTGCTGTTTCTTCTCAAAATCAAAGCGGAAACACGCTTATTTGCTGTTTCTTACTGTATTTTTTCCTATACAGCATCCACTGGTATTTTGAGAGCTCTGTACCAATGTTACAGGAAGTATACCTGGATCTCAAAGTTTTGCCAAATGCTCTGAATACTTCGGGTCAATGCAAACAACCACCTGCAGTGCTTTCCCCCATTAAAGCTTTCCGATTCAACTCATGATTTAAACCAGAGAATTTATGATTAATGCCATACCTTGCCGGCACTTTTACCAGAATGAAGATATTCAACAGCATCAGCAACAGACTGAATGCCCAGAAACCTTTTTGGATCTATGGCAACCTGCCAAACAAATTGAACAAGAAATTATGTACATGTCACATGGGGGAAGATCAGTGATTTCTTGTAACCAAAATCCAGCCAGGTTCCCATAGACTGATTACAGGAATGCAACGGAAAAGTCCCATAACTTTCACATTTAAATCCTTTGAAGCAAATTTATCACCCATCTGCAATTTTCATGTTCCAAATGTTATTAGCAACGAAAATCACTCACCTTTAGCTTTCCGACAGAATAGAGATGGAACAGCCTGTCTAGGTGCTCTTGCCAAAATTGAGCATATTGCACCAAGAAAAAACCAGCCTGTATAAATACGAAGCATTATCTTATGGATGCAAAAAGTAATTCTGCAGTGTACAGACAAGTAGTATTTACGTTAACATCCATCCAGACAACTATTTTAAGCGTCTTGGCTGAATGTTTAATGAATGTATAATGCCGGTACTGCACATTATCAGTGAAGACCAATTGAACAAGATTCACTCCAAGTGTGATTCTGATGAATGCTCATACCCAGTGATGCCTACCACTAGAACAAATCAAAGGAGCTTGAATCTTCTAAGCGTATTACTTTTTGGAACTTTAAGTACCAACAGAAGTCAAACTCAAAATTAGGACCTACTGTAGGAATGAAAGGAGAATTTGACAAAAACAAGATAACAACCAGACACCACAAAAAGGATACAGCATACACACCACAGTTTGGCTTTTTGCGAGGATCTTTTCACATAAACCCGTGTAATTTAATGGCTTCCATCCCTGTTCGCCTTGATACTGAAATAAAGATTTCATCAGCTCATACAACTGAGAATTTTTTTATTTAATTCTTCTTTTTTTTTTTTTGTGTGTGTGTGTGTGTTGGGGTTGGGGGGGGAGGGGAAGGAGAACACCCAGTTGATTTCTAACCTGAGAAATCATTCCAATCACAAGAAGTCTTCCATATATTGCTAATGCATTTAGGCAAAGATTAAACATTTCACCACCAACAGACTCGTAAATGATATCAAGCCCCTTTGGAAATTCCTTCCTTAGAACCTGTATGACATTGCAGAACATATGTATAGATTTATGGTGACAATAATAGCAAATTTCTTGATTCAATCTGAAGAATCAAGTACAAAGAATAATAAAAGCAAATATTACCGAATTCTAAAAACATACAGTTTTAATATCTTCTCTTCTGTAGTCAATGACTCGATCCACTCCCAAATCTTTCAAAAGATTTGCCTTTTCTGCACCTCCACAAGTTGCGACGACAGTATTTCCCGATAGTTTTGCCAGCTGAATGACATATATAGGCAGAAGTATAATCATTGAACAAAGAAAAGTAAATTAAGAAAGCGAAATTAATGTCTTAGATATACAACAGTGATACATAAGACAGATCAAATGCAATCCCGCATTAAAACCTTCCAGTAATCAAACATTAAACACAGCATCATTCACATAACACATTACAAAGAAGAGAAAACGAGGACAATCAAAATACTCAACATCATTGACTCAAGAATGGTCTCTTTTCGTAGCGTATATACACAATCTGTAATAAAACTTTACCTGAACTGCAAACTGCCCAGTCCCTCCTGCAGCAGCAGTCACTAGAACTACTTTTCCTGAATCCATCAATGCAGCCTTGACATCCAAGAGAGAGATACACACGTCATAAACATCTAAGTTATGGTGTTTTAAAGTTGTACGTGATGTGTCTGATTGTAAGTGTACAATAAATTGAAAGGCAAGATCATAAGGGCCACAAGTAGGTGTCCAGTTCTTAATGGAATGTTTACAACGATAATGAAGTTGGAATATTTCTTCTTTTTTATATTAAAAAAAAAAATGAATGATAAGTCTCTAGAAAAGAGAACAGTTAAAGGACCTTTTCTAATGCAATGGAGGCTGTGAGTCCAGATGTAAGCATTGCAACAACTTCGGGATCTGGTCTTGGAACAGGAAGAATATGTTTTGCATTAACCTATACAATAATAATGTCAACAGTGACAAAGTGAATGAAACCATTGTTTGTAAAAGAAGAAAGCTGGGACACTTGACACGAGAAGAGAGTATACAGTATGAATATAAAGATAGTTACCACTGTGAACTCGGCATAGCTACCAAAAGTCATGACAGCAGCGGGGGTTCCAACTTTTAGATGTTTGACAGAATCACCAATCGCAGCTATTATTCCAACAGCCTAGAATACATAACAAGATCATAACTGCATACAATACTTCATTGTGAACATTTTGACCTAAACTCTATCAGAAATACACACTTTAGTCCGATGGACAAGATTATGATTAACTGTTGGTTGCCAAGGGGTGAACAGAAAAAATAAAACATCACTGAGAGCGATAAGGAGACTGTGCAAAATGCCAGAATTCGTTAACATTAATATAAGAGATGAAAATATTGGACAATAGTGATCAACAGTTCAACACAGCTCATAGAGAGAGCACTGGGCTCCATTTCCATGATAAACTGTTACAAGTTTACATTACTAACCTCAAATCCAGCATCAAATGGGAGACGAGCCGCAATATCCTGGCTGCTGCCGCTGAAGTAACGACCTGAGCTGAAATTCACCTGTTACAGTAGTTAAGCAAAGTTGAGGGGCAAATAAATAAGCGATCATCATACTACATCACAAGCATCCTAGACCATGAATAACAATGCATGCAGAAAATATAGAAAAGACAGCTGATGGGAAAAAATATAATCTGCATTAATAGCATACTAATCCAATCATCTAAAAACCACAATAGCAAATTCTCAAACTCCTACATCAGATTGCTAGTCAACCATTTGAGATGCAGACCTAATGATAAAGTAAGAGGACTCTGGAACAGCAAAAAAAGAAAATAGAGCAGTTTTGAATTGTAAGTGAAATGTTTCAAAGAAAGGTCGTTCATGTTATTTTCCACCAATGAAGACACGGTCCTTTCAGAAAATCAAAACGAAAATCACAAATTACAGCAGCCATATGATTACGGGAATTATGCATCTTGGTGTTCAAAAAAATAAGTTACATAATCCCTTTTTCAGAATGTATCTCGATGAATATGAAAAATGTAAGTATGAGTAATTCGGTTCAAAAGAAATGCAGAAAGAACTTACATCACTGGCATTAACACCAGCATAGATGATTTTCAAGAGGACATGATCTGATTTGATTGGCAGAGACAATGACGAGCGCACTATGCTTGTTGCACTACGGAAGTTGTGACTGAGTGTGTGGACCACTCTGAGAAAATTCAACAAGCAACAATATTAATAATTAAGCAAAATTCATGAATGTTCAATCAACTGTACCACTGGCCAAGGTGTTATTAAATATTGAAAAGAAATGCAGACGGAAAAAATTTCAAAAGTTTCAAAGCAAAAAAAGTGTTTCTCAACAAGTAGGACTCTGGAGGATGAGTGGTTAGTTTTATAAGCTATAGAACAATAGAGCAAGCACTAACGAACTATGCCACTCTTAACTACCAAGACCACAACAGCCTCCTATATTTACAGAAAAGAAAAGGTTGTTTCCTGACCTTGGTTTCAGAACTTTTTAATATCTGAGCTAAAGAAACAAAAACTGAAAAAATCAAGCCTGAGAAAAGGAAAATGCACTTTAGGACACTAAAAAGGATGCTTACATCTTCTCAAAACTTTCTGGAATTTGAAAGTCAATTGAGGCCATAGATGAGGTTCTTCTTCTAAACTTTGAAGAAGGCGTGCGGTATTTTGCTTCTTCTAGAGGGGATGGCCAATACTCCATTCCTCTTCGCTTAGTGATCCATAAGCACGCCCCAGCTTTATTCTCATCATTGATAAGCTCCAGAGCACCTACAGTAATGGTAATTCAATCTGAAAAATAATAACATAAAGAAGTTGAAAAATCTTTATCATACATGCATAGAAGACGTATGTTTACACAACTTCAGGTAGAAACAACAAGGAATTCCACATTGGTGGGCATAGAGCTGTCTATATATAAGGTCTACGAGATAAAACTTGCCTATTAGTTTTACCAGTTGTGGTGGTGGGGGGAGTGGGGAAGAAAGGAACAGTTTAAAAGTGTACCTTTGACTACCATTTCCATCGGCAAATATCCTCCTATCATATTGATGAATTCAGGACTTACCATAGCCGCCAAATCAGTTTGCACGAACTGCAAGCATTAAGCCAAAAGGGGAAAAAAAAAAAAAAGAGTTCATTTAATAGAATAACCAATATCTGTAACTCCATTCAGAAACCTATGGACTATGGTCGACTGAAGATCACTTTTAAGTTTCAAAAGCATCATTGTATTTGCTTCCACCATGTTTTGTTCTGCTCGTAAAAAAGTTCTCATTATAAAGGAACCATCACTGGTAAATTGAAATGAGTTCCACCACTTAGTAGATGCAGGATGTATAATTTCCGCAAATTCAAATGGAACAATCTTATTAGCATACAATTTATGCAAGAAAAAAAAGTGAAGATGGGCTCTATATATTAAATGCTGTGAAGATTAAAAAATCTTGATGGAAGATTTCTTGAGAACCCAAAAGAAAACAGGCAAGCACTTCCGTAAAAAAGAAAGGAACAAAGGTCGTGCAAAGGAAATCAAAATCAATATTGGAAAGTTACCTCAGGGCAAAGCACATTAATGCGGATTCCTTGACGCTTTAATGGAGCAAGTGATCGAGTAAATAGCACCACACCACCTGCAAAAATGTTGTATTCAGCCTATAATCTTTTGCAAATGGTGGAAATTTCATGTAATATCATGCGCAATTCGCATGGCTTAGAAAAATATTACATCCATGGAGACATAGAATAAAGTTAATTCAGAGTTCGGACAATTTGGTTTGCATAGAGGAGCAGACTGATAAACCTTTAGTGCCAGAGTAGATAGGGTCACCATACATTGGATACAGTCCTGAAGCAGAACCGATATTTATGATGACACCCGGTTTTCGTGCTCCTTCCATGAATTGAATCTAATGACAACACCCAGCAAGTTACCATGAGAACCAAAAGAAATGAAAAATAAAATCGAACATTAAAAAAATTCAATGACAATAAGTGAACATTCATGCTCTTCCAATTTCTCCAGAGATTCTATTATTTTTAGGATTTGAAGTTCCTATATAGGTAGCATGTAATTCAGTTATGCAGCTTTGCAGGATATTCAACTAGAAATATGAGTCCAAATTCCTGTATGAACTGATGCATTCAACTTACCGCCAACCGAGTGGAATCAATGACACCAACAAGATTGACATTCACGGTGTTTCTCCAAGATTTGGTGCCATCAGTTAGGTCTTTATAGAATAGTGTGTGACTGGCAATACCAGCGCTATTTATGCAAATATCCAACCCATGATAGGTTGCTACATGCTTCTTAAAAGCCGCAGCCAGATCACCTGCACAGGATAGAATCAATATCTGCTTTAAGAACATCCACCAAATTCAAGCAAGATAGCTCCATCAAACCAAAGAAAACAAACATCAAAGTTCATGAACAACAGAGCCCAAATGCTAAAATCAAATCCTACATCATTCTCTTTCACCCCTTAAATCAATCATGGTAAAGCCAACGTTTTTACTCACCTGAGTTAGTGACATCGCATTTGATAAAAGTGACAGGTGGAAACTCCAAAGAGGAATGAAACTTAGCACACTCTATCCCAGCAATGGAAGCAGTTTCCTTTCCCCTTTCTTCAGAAAAATCAATGATGGTAACAAATACTCCCCTTTCAGCCAGCGCCAAAGTCAGAGCTTTACCTAAAGACATGGAAATGAAAGACCATAATCAAACAAACAAACTTATTAAAAACCAAATCCCAGTCACTAAACTAGTAAAGGGTCGTCTAATTATCACCCCTTTCTTGTGAAAAAATTTTACCGATTCCAGATGCACCGCCGGTGACTATAGCTGAAAGACCAGGCTTGAGCTCCATTTTTTTACTGGAAATTTTTCTCTCGAGGAAGATGACCAATGCAAAATGGCGATACAGATAAAGAAGATTATACAATATGGAAAGTTAATATATTCATCGAAAACAAGGAAGAATCATCCAATCCTTATTCCCTTCAATGACGTTTTCGATAGTCTAACATGGCCGGCCGAAACTGCTTTTATGCATTATGGGTTCATACGGTACGATTGCGACAGCAAATGATATTAATTTTTATTTGAATATTTCTTATCATACAAATTTTGTCCATTTTTAGTTAGAAAATATATATATATATATATATATATCTTACTATATTAGAAACAAAAAACACACTTAAGAAAAAGCACCATCATTTGCCATGTGGTATTTCCACATCATATTTTTAAAATAAATTTTTATTACCACATGCATATTAATACTAAGAATCCAAATGGACGTGTTCGTTCGCCCACCTGAACATAGAGAGTTAATTTGTTCATAGGAAGTCTCATTGACTCGTCGTTTTACATAACCTTCACTTGCCCAATAAAATAGATACGACATGTAAACACGATTTGAAATTAATACAAATTTTTACCAGTAAAAACAGTCATGACTTGTTGATCATGTCAGTCTCACATAACCCATTTGGAAATAAAAAGTTATATAACTCAAAAAAATTTAACGCATGATTTTGACTATGATCTCTAAATTTAATTGACGTAACAAAATCACATTTTTAGTTAATACGCTTAGTACTCTTTAAATTAACTCCAAAGGTCAGAATTGGCATTGATTAATTGATGTTTATATAAGAGGACATTTAAGTTTCTACACATGAAAACACAACCTTTCAAACTAGAACGTAATCTGGTTTAGATACAATCATACAATGCCTCCATTTCATTCCAACTCCCCAGTTCGAAACACCACCGACCCCGCTGCCGCTGATGAAACCGTTTCATCTCCGTTACGGTCGGAATACCGGGAAATCCACACTGAATCAGGCGACACAAATCACCGCCGCCGGCGTTCTTACATTAAGCTTCTGATCATCATTATGTTATCAGGCCTTTCACAAATATTACTAGTACTTAATCAATAATGTTTCCAATGAATTAGTACCATAAATAGTTTATATTACACAAGTCATATATTTGAAGATGTGATCTTGTTGAGATAAACATGTACTGACGTTTGATGTTCATCCCTGATTGGGTTGTGGTGATTTGGTTACTGAATTGCTAGTAAATACTTTCTTGAAAAGGCGCTAGGTGGAAGGGACCATTTGGATTCTTGAAAAGACGCGATAGCCGATGATGTTTCCGAGTCAAATGAACCTACATATGTGGTGTCTGGAATTACAAACTCCCAAGTAAATCAAAACAGATGTCAAATTACAAACTCATATGTAAAGGTCAGTCCCTCAAGTCAATTTTTTGTTACGTATTGGATGATGTCCACCATCGACAACAGTGACTATCCCGCCTCATTCATGATAGGTATTTCAATGGGTGGGAGAGCTGGTCAAAGAATTAAAGATTGCTCCATGCCCATAGTGAGGTTCGAACCATCAACTTATGATTAAGGGTGGAGAAGTCCTTTACCACTTCACCACAATCCATTTAGTTCTGAATGGTCCTTCACCACAATCCTTTACCGCTACTAAGGAACGTAAATTCAGTCTAAATTCACTTCCACCTCCTATATTCGTCAAAACAAACCAAAAAAAAATCGCGGGTTCATAAAAAACTCAAATCATCATCCTCATCTCCACGACAATCGACTCCTTAATCAATCCCTTCTCCACAATTAAAAAAAAAAAACAAATTTCTCATCAATCATCAATTGAGAATATGTGGTGAAATATACTCCTTTTCTATTAGCATATTCAATCTTTTCATTAGTGGTGATCAACTACATCTTAATCGGATAAAATTTAAACTTAGGCAAATGCAGTCTAAATTCACTTCCACCTCCTATTTTCGTCAAAACAAATTAAAAAAAATCACGGGTTCATAAAAAACCCAAATCCTCATCCCCATCTCCACGACAATCGACTCCTTAATCAATCCCTTCTCCACAATTAAAAAAAAAAAAAATTCCTCATCAATCATCAATTGAGAATATGTGGTGAAATATACTCCTTTTCTATTAGCATATTCAATCTTTTCATTAGAAATGATCAACTATATCTTAATCGGATAAAATTTCAACTTCAAAAAATATTCTCTTTACCTCTCTATATAAACACAAAGGAAAAAAAAAATTCTCATTAATCTTGCTTCGGCCGTTGTGGTGGTGCCATTGCAGGTATTAAAATTTAAATGATTTTATTTCCACAGATCATTAGTTTGTCTTTTATTATTTTTTGTTTTTTCCGTTCAAGAATAGTGCTATTACTATTATTTTTATGCGTTCATCCGTTATAGCTACCGTAGCCGTTGTCAGGTAGTATGATGTGATTTCTTATTTGGTTAGTTAGCCTAGAATTTTTGTATGATTTTAGTTATGTTTGGATTGAATTGATTGATTGGGTTTTTGTTACAAAGTGTGGTTTTTTAAATTTGTTTTTTATGTTTCATTCAATTAGAGTGATTTTTTTTTTAATTATGGCGTCTCAGGTTTTTTTTCATATATGGCCAATTATGAAGTGTGTTTTTTCTTTGTTTAATTGCTTTTGATTTTGTTTCATACTCCCAGTTGACCAATTATTATTATTATTATTATTATTATTATTATTATTATTATTATTTTATTTACAAATGAAGTACGTTTTTTTTTTGTGTTCAGGGTTTCAAGAATATACTTTTTTGGATTTGGTTTTTAGACTTTTTTTAGTTCCTCATCATATAAATAGTTCAGGTCGCTTCTTTTAACTAATTTATAGGGAATCATTTTATGAATTTGAGGTGAAGAAGGAAGGAATTATGTTTCTATGTTTATTTGTGTTTTTACACATCATTTTTACCTACAGAAAAAAAATAAAAATTCTCAAATTTTAATGGACTATCTTTTACTTTTTTTTATTTGCCATCGTGAGTCGAGTTCCTTTTTGATATATCTTGAAACCTATGCAAATTTATATTATTTTCATTCTCATATTTGTGATCAACCAGTTTCAACAATTAATCAGTTTCAAAATTATATTTCTGATATTTTACTACCTGTAAAATTTTGGAAGAAATAGTTCCAACAATTAAGCGTATACCCTTTGGATGAAGCTAACTACAAAGCTATTATAAATCTCCAAAACTAAGTATTGATTTGGCACAACCAATGGAGAAAATCAATAAATTATCTTACTAATATTTAAACTTATTAGGATGATTTTATATTTTGTCTAGCATTTACTTCAAGGCATATATTTGATCAAGTTTATTTATATTTAAGAAGTAACACTTATAAAATATTTCTAAAATCTTCAAACATTTCTAAAACGTACCGGGCCAAATGTAATTTATTTTTTTGCCAAATACAAACATCACACTTATAAAATATTTCTAAATTCTTCAAATATTTCTAAAATATATCGGGCCAAATACAAAATATTTTTTTTCCAGATACAAACATTTCTAAGATCTACAGATATATTGGGCCAGGGTCGCGCATTGCGCAACCAGACATCATTAGAATATATATATATATATATATATATATATATATATATATCTTGTTTCATGTTGAACAATTTCTTTTTTCCTTACAAGCATACAATGTTTTGTAGTGCTGGGATTTTATTTTCGCTGCTTAAAAATAATAATTAGAGGAAAATGTCATTACCATATTCAAGTGACACCAAAATAAATAAATAAAAAAAAAATTAACCGATGGGTTATTGATGATGAAATGTCTACTTAAGTTTACCTAGAGTGATTTATTTTTATGTAATTTACAAGTTATTGTAATGAGCATGATTTAACCATCTTTGATGGAATTTTCTGGAAAAAATAAACAATAACAACGCATTTTCAAGGGATTATGCTATATATAGAGTAGATTTTTTCAATTACCTATATTATCCTTTTGGAATTAACATATTTTTCATTACTAGATTTATTTGCTCACATGTGCTTAGTCAGTCCAATTATTATATGTACTAGAAAATTTAAAGCGAAACATTAATATATAACTATTTCCTTCACAAAATATAGAGAAAGTATAAATTGACAATCGAACAAATTTTGCTCTCGTTTCCCCTATATGGAGTATTGTGAAATAGGAAAGTTTCTTAAGGGAAACGAGGAAGGCCCGGTGTCTATAAAAGAGCGTAGCCATATGAGGGAGAAGGAAGAGTCTTGATGTAAGGAATAAAAGGAAGGTTCTTTGCGAGAGTAGTTTATTTCATGTGTGAGAAAGATAAGATGAGTCTCTAATAACGGAAGCCAAAGTGTCCTCTCAATTTCAAGTGCGGTATTCATCTGACCAAGTATTATATCGCAAACCTCAAGTTTGTCGATATAGAACGGATTAGATGAGAAATTAAATTCCGCACTGCAGCATAAGAAGTTACGTTACCGCAGTTCAGTTAGAGACTGAGTCCTTTAGTTCTCATCAGCCGCAGTCCCAATTGTAGCCTTCTTGTTGTGTCTTAACTGCTTCGAGTGACCCTCAATATAATTGTGGGACCAAATGTGGATACGACCCGACCAAATTCGAAATGAATATATTGAATTATCATAGAATTGCTCCAAATTAAATTTACGAAATGAAATTACGGTTTGTAGTCCAATTTAATTCGAGAATTCTGTATGACGGTCCAAATAAATCGAAATGATGACATGCATGTCATCAATGTGAACTTTCTAACTAAAATCACTCGGAAGCATTGTTTAAGTAAGCAAGTTTGTATGAATTTTCTATTTCATTTACTTTCTCACTTCTTTTTATGGTTGAGATAAAAATTCTCTCGTCCTTGTTCTACAATTACATTTTTTTACGCGGCAGATGGGAAGTTTTTATTTCAAGAGAATTCTTCACAAATCACACAAAGAAGAAAAAAAGTAACGCACGTTTCTTTGGGATTTGAAAGGTCAAAACCGGAAATAAACAGAACGTGATCCACGTCTGAAGCAACCTGTTTGATCAATCATTCCCTAATTCTCCCCCAAACGCATCACACCAATTTTTTAATATAAAGATTTTTTATATTTGTCTTAAGAATCAGAAACAAACAAATACACGAATCTCCCTTTTAGCCCATTGCCACTTCCGTTCCAGTTCCAGCTATTTGAGAAAATCTAATTACAAGTAAATCATCACTAGAATAAAAAAAGAAATACATTTTGTTGTGGTGCACTTCAAACTCTAATTTGCAATCTATAAAGTATCTATAGTACCTCTAGCTCTTCATCACAATAATCAACTTAGTATATAATGTGTCAATTATTACCATCTAAATCGATATTACTAAATTGTGATACAAATTTGACCCCAAAAAAAAAAAAAGGAAAAAAACTTCAAACACCAATATAGCTACAAAACTGGTATAAATACAAATATGGAAAATTTTATAATTTATAATGTACGTAGTGATTATTAATTATAAGTGTTTTAAAATAACAATCATTCTAGTATCTCCATGCTAAAATACGGATAATTAAAAAGTTTAGTACAAAACTACAAATCACCTGAACCCAAAAATTGAGATTTTAGTTTAACTAAGATCAAACTAGAAAAAGAAAAACCAAAAAAAAAAAAAAAAAGTGTGTGGAAAAAGGATTGGGGAGGGACAAACAAATGACAATAACATTCTAACCCCAATTCGAAAACGATACGAAATCCAATTCAAATAATAATAATAATCCAAACACCACTTTATCATCAAAAAATAATCATCATCATCTTCTTCTTCTTCATCATCATTCTCTTTCCTCTTTTTCTTCTGTGATTCTTCGATAACCCCACCTCCTTCTTTCTTGCCCTATTAAACCCCACAACAAATTCGTACAAAACCCCGTTTTGCTCGTTCTTCAAATTTTGGTGTTCTTCTCGTTTGTTGTTTTATAATCGGACTTTGCCTTGATGAAGGCGGAAGGTGAACCTCCATCACGACAAGTAATTACGAAGTTCGGTGCGTTTGATTCTTGAAAAAAGAAACCCTAAAATGCTTAATTTTCTGTTTCTTCCATAGACAAAGTAGTAAGGTGCTCAGTTTAATCGGGGCTCGGTGGGGGAAGAGGAGAACCGCGAGGATGTTTCCGTGGAACATCGCCAAGTCGGCGGAGGCGATGTTCTCGCGGTGGGCAATCAAGAGAGTTTGCAAGTTTTTGTTGAAGAAGAAATTGGGCAAATTCATACTTGGTGATGTTGATCTTAACCAGCTCGATGTTCAGCTCTCCGCCGGGACAGTTCAGCTCAATGATCTTGCTCTCAACGTGGATTATATTAATCAAAAGGTATGCTTAATACCACCTTCCAGTTTCAACCTTAATTTCATCTGAGAAATTTAGTATTACTTGTAACTTCAAGTTTTTGTAGCTAGTTTTGTTGTTTTTAATTGCATTTTTGAACGGATATTCCCCAAATATATCACGGAGTAGCTACCAGAGTTAATTGGATTGTTTTAATTTTTTAATTTTTTATTTTTTTGGGTGGCAAAATTGAAGTAGTTGCTCTTTAGGAATTCAAAGACCATAGATATTGGCCTAATGTTGTTTGCCTTGTCCTTTCAGTTTGGTGCAAATACAACGGTCATTGTAAAAGAAGGATCAATTGGCTCTTTGATGTTAACATTGCCATGGAGAGGTGATGGTTGTGGAATTGTAGTGGATGAACTTGAGCTTGTGATTGCTCCCTGTGGGGAAAATGTATTCTGTGATGGTTCAGAAACCTGCACTTCTGCTCAAGAGAACAACAGTTATGCAAACCATGTATCAGGAAGGGCTGAAAAGGAGGTAGCCACTGATAGTTTGAGAAGCACTTCTGTGGAAGTTCATGAAGGAGTTAAAACCATAGCCAATATGGTGAAATGGTTGCTCAGCAGCTTTCAGGTGACGGTGAAGAAACTAATCGTTGCATTTGATCCCTGCACAATAGAGAAAAAGAGTAGTAAATTTTGTCGGACGTTGGTTCTCCGAATTGCTGAAGTACAATGTGGCACAAGTATTTCTGAAGATGCTCATTTAATCAACGGAGACAGGGACAACATCATTGGCTTAAGTCGATTGACCAACTTTGTAAAGTTTCAAGGAGCAGTGCTTGAATTTCTACAAATTGATGATGTGCAGGAACAGGCTGCTTATGCTTCGGATACCACATTTAGTGAATGGTTTTCGCACTGCTGTCAATCAACTGCGATGACTCCAATCATTACTGGAAAAGATGGCGGCTTTTCAGGAAGCCTGAAATTAAGCATACCTTGGCAAAATGGTTCCTTGGATATCCGGCAAGTAGATGCAGATGCTTATGTTGATCCTTTGAAATTATACTTTCAGCCAAGCACTGCTTTGTGTATTATGTATTTGTGGCGCATCTTTAAAGACACTGGCTCCAGCGGGGTGTGCCAAATGCTTTCGAAAACTACAGATTCCGTCTGTGACAATGCAGCATCTACTTATCATTCTACAATGCAAGCTCCGGATTCACTTAATTCTGATGTGGTGGTACATGGAAATGATAAATCGGTCTTAAAATGCAGTTCTTTTGTTGCGGAAGACTGTAGACCAAAAGCGCTACTCTCAGAATCTCATCTCATCTCAGATTGGATAGGCAGAAGCCAGAAAGACACAACTTATGTAGAACCTGATTTTGGGGCCAGGTTGGTGTCCCTTCTGTTCTTTATGTTTAATTTGCGGCAAATGCTTTCAGCTCTTTTGCCAAATGTTTGTCATGTGGTTATGTTTTTCAATATGCTGATGATAATCAGCTCAATGATTATGTTTGAGGACCCAGCTCGTTGCTGATGAATATTTCTAACTTTAGGATCTAAAAAGAACCAAATAAACTGGTTGTGATAGAAGCCACTTTCCATATCAATATCACGTATCAAGTATGGTATACACGTGTTCATGTATCTTAAGCTCTGGATTATTGTTTGACTTTTTTATTTTTGCTTAATTGAACCTCCTGCAGTGTGGACCAGTTTTTTGAATGTTTGGATGAATTAAGAAGCTCGCAGTCAGCTTTGGGAAACAGCGGAGTATGGAAATGGACCTCTTACATCAGTGCTTTGACTGCTGCAACCAACCTTGCGTCTGGATCTTTGCACAAACCAGCTGGTATGTTTTGGATAGAAGAAAATTCTTTTTTTTTTCAATCTCTTACCACCACTAACTTCTTTTTGGTTTTTCTGTCTAACCTTGTTTGTTTATCATTTGTGCCATTATCCAGTACAGCAGCATGTTGAAACCAACTTCAAGGTGAATATTGCCCACATATCTCTTCTTTTCTCTTTCTTTGATGAAGAGTTTGAGTATTCCTGTCCAACCGAGACTTCTGCGGCAAGTGCTGGGCACAAATCTCATTATCTGGAGATGAACATCTGGGACCTGCTCCTCCTATTCCGGGTAAAGTTTTAAACCTTCCCGCAGCCCAAGTACAAAAACGATGTTGTTTACATAGATTTTCTAGGATATATTATCTTTCTCCATAGCATTTGTTTCATTTTTTTAATTTCAACAGGTATGTCCTAAAGAGATGAATCTGGAGGCTACCATTCATCATGTAGAGTTGGATGATCACTTTTCTTCCTTGGAGATCGATCCGAAAAGTCAGGTTGATTTTATTCGAAGGGGGCAAGAAGCTATTCAAGATGCTATTACCCCATCTAGCGTGCCAGGTGGACGTGCTGGAGTTTCTAAGAACAAGGCTAATGAGATGGACCATCCCATGGATAATGCTGTGAACGTGTCTTTGCTTAAAACTTCTGGCATCAGCCGATGCCAAGTTACTGTTGATATTGTTAGTTCTGAGCGATTTGTTTTGGGGCCAATATCTTTTACGTTGAAGCTGCCACCATTTGTATTCTGGGCTAATGTTAGTCTTCTCAGTGAGGTTTCAAATGTTTTGAAAGAACTTGGATCTCATGAGATGGTTCTTACAAGGATGAATGAAAGCATTAGTGCATCTGATCATGTCTCGTCCACGAGTACAACTGAAAGCCTGCGGGGAAATATAATCCTTGAAAGCGGGAGGATAATGCTTATGGAGGATTATTCTTCTTTTGATCAATTAATTTCTCTTGATTTCTCTTCTCCAGTTTGGGACCATAATGCTGAGGCCTCTCAACCTGCCCGTGCCTCTGGCGCTGCAAAAGGATATTCACTACAAAAAACCCGCTCCTTGAACTTGAGTTGGGGAACTCTTTCTGCCTACCTGATTACCTCTGATCCTGAGGAGAATGTTGGAATTGGAACATCTGGTATCCCCAACTTTTTTGCTCAAAATTTTTTGTCAATTTCTGATGGAAACAGCCGCTTTTCTACCGTTAATATATCCTGGCAGGATGGTGCTTCGACTGGTCCTTGGATAACTAAGAGAGCCAAGCTTCTTGCTACGGCAGAGAATTTGAAGAATGGAGACAGATTCATGGGGAAGGATTGTGAGTGTACTTCTGTAACGAATGTTAAGGGAATGAAAGACTTTGAGAAGCATGCAAGACAAGCAATTGTTCTCAGCTCAGGATTTTTGGTACACGCACAGTTTTCTCCTGTTGTTGTTAGGTTGGGAAAGGCTGAGTACGATAGCCTAATTCATTTCCTGCATAAGTTGATTGATTGTTTGCCGCCTTTGGCCTCTGATTCTGTGAATGAAGTAACTACTCTATCTCAAGGATCTATCTTAGTGGATTGTGATTCTGTAGAGATTGCGATCTCAATGGACGGATCGACCAGTGAGAAAAGTCCTCTCCAGAAGGAGCTTTCTGGTTCTTGGCATAGTTTTAGACTCAAAGTTCAGAAGTTTCAGTTGCTTTCTGTTTCAAATATAGGTGGAATTGAAAATGCTAGCTTTCTCTGGGTATCGCATGGAGACGGCAGTTTGTGGGGTTCAGTTACAGGGGTTTCTCGCGAAGAGCTACTTCTCATCTCTTGCTGCAACTCAGCCCGAGGGCGTGGTGATGGACAAGGTTCTAATCTTTTATCTCCCAGGCTCTCAGGATCTGATATTGTACACTTTTGGGATCCAGTGGACCTCCACAGTTACATGTCCATTGTTGTGAGTTGTGGGACAGTTGTTGCAACTGGTGGTCGTGTAGATTGGTGGGATACACTATCTTCCTTTTTCACTTTGTCCTCACGCGACCTTGAAGAAGCAGGTGACAACAATCTGCCGAAAGAGGATTCTGAAAGAAGTTCACCTTCTACTACATCCTTTGTTCTTAATCTGGTGGATGTTGGTTTGTGTTATGAGCCGTACTTTTGTGACTATGCTATTGATGATGGTTCTGATGCAGTATCTCCCTCCACTTCGATGAACAAAATTGTAAATGAACGCTATTTTGCCTGTCTATTAGCTGCATCTTCATTCACAATTTCAAATACAAGTGTGTGCAATTCATCCGTTGGTGAATACGAAATCAGGGTGCAAGATTTGGGTCTGCTTCTTTGTCCTGTATCAGATCTGAAGCTTGTTGGGGCTAGCTACAATGTGAAAAATCTTAGCAAGTTTGGTCATGTTAAAGTGGCTCACGTGGCACGTATTGAAGCACTTTTAAGAATTTTTTCCAAAGAGGAGGAACCTGCATGGGAAGTAGAATCACCAGGTTTAGACATTGTTATAAATACTTGTTCTGATACCACTTCTGGTCTTGTTCGTCTGGGTGCCCAACTCCAGCAGCTTTTTGCACCTGACATTGAAGATGCTCTCATTCACCTGCAAAGCAGATGGAATAATGTTCAAGAAGCAAATGGGGATGCTGAAAATGGAACCGTCAGTGATGAGGCTCCTTTGTCAGATTCTGAGGGTTATATGGGGATGCAGGGTAATCAATGCACAGGCAACCTGATGGAAGAAATCTCTGAAGATGCATTTCAGCTAGTCGGAAAGTCGGTTGGCCAAAGTGATTGTAATGATGCAGATGTTTTTGTGGCATTCAATGATAACATTCTTGGTGAACCAAGTAGCATAAGTGCCAAAGATGGTGAAAATTTCGCTGGCTGTTTCCCTTTTAGCGGGACAGTCCCATTTGTTGGATTTGAAAAGTGTGAATCCTCTTCCCAACATGGCAAGGTACCAGAATTAATAGAAGAATATTTCTTGTCTGATCTACGCCCTTTATCCGACCTTGCGATAAAAAGTGAGTCATCGAATGGTAGTCTTAAATGTAGAGCTGGTATTGTGGGCAATGGAGATGTGCAAATTAGAGACAATGGATGGTATGGAAACACCATAGTACAAATTTTAGAAAACCACATTTCAGAGGAAAGCAATCAAGCAAATATGCTCCAAGTTGAGGATTCTGAGTCCTCCAGTAGTTGCACTGGGCCCGAAGATTATGCTAAAGTCAAGGGGCGCGTACTTCTTAAAAACATCAATGTTGTTTGGAGAATGTACGGTGGTTCTGACTGGAAAAACTTTCAAAAGAGTTGTGATGATTACAGCTCTGGACGAGATACAACTACTTGTTTGGAGGTCTTATTATCAGGGATACGAATCCAATATGATATGCTCCCTGAAGGTGGAAATTGTGTTTCTAGGCTTTCTGTTAGTGTTCAGGATTTTTTCTTGAATGATAATAGCCAAAATGCACCGTGGAAACTGGTGAGCTCAAGCTCCTTGGAATTTAACGTGTTTTAGTTGCAATAGTGTTACTTGGATCTTCGTTTAATACTTTGTTTTTATGAAGGTGCTTGGTTATTATCAGTCAAAGGATCGCCCTAGAAAATCTTCTGCAAAAGCTTTTAAGATGGATTTAGAATCTGTCAGACCGGATCCTTTGACGCCTCTGGAGGAATATCGGTATGTTTCTATCACTCATTATGAAGGTTTTAGTTATCTATTTAAGTGGGATATAGTGATAGTCATATTTTCTCTGGACAAATATCAATATCCTGTCTGTGATTTCCTTCTTTGTTTCTTCTGTCTAGTTTTACCTTTTCTAGTTTGCATGAAGATATGGATATAACCTCTTTCAATCGATTACGGACTTGGGAAGTTCTCCTGATGCGCACTACTTTTTTTCAAACTCTTCAGCTTCTCTTTCACAAAAAGTTTCCTAAAGGCTTTTAGACGAATTTTCATTTCTTCGGAACTGCATTTTATATAATGGCCGATGTATTTCTTCCTTCTCTTTCATGAGATCCCTTGAAATTTTATATTTTCGTGGGTTGTCATACTTAAATTTATCTAGTCTTGCATTATTCAAGCATCAGAAGAATTGGGTAAAGGATATTGGTCTAAACATGAATCTTATTTGTCTCCCTATTAAATGAATATTGGTGTAAAGCATAGTTTGCAAGAGACTGGAAAGTCCCTTGAAGGTCCAAGACATGGACAAACCTGATGAGTAAGCCGGGTTGGTGGATCTTGTGTACTTAAACTAATGATAACATATCTCCTTTCCAGGTTGCGTGTTGCTATTCTTCCAATCCGTTTACATCTCCATCAAAGCCAGCTCAATTTTCTCATCAATTTCTTTGGTGGGCAAAGTTTACCTGTTAAGCCATCTGATGATACCACTTATGATATGCATGTGGGAGAAAAACAGAGGGGGACTGTGAATGTTGGTCACTTTACAATCATTGAGGAGGCCTTGCTTCCCTATTTTCAGGTCAGTGCATGAGTACTTTTCTTGCATTATAAGTTATATGATCTTATCATCCATTTCTATTTTTTTTTTTTCCCTTTGTGTATATGGGAAATTAGTGAGATTGTTGTATTGTGGGCATACTTTTAGCTATGTTATATGATCGTATTATCCATTTCTATTATTTTTTCCCTTGTTGTATATGGAAAATTAGTGACATTGTTGTATTGTGGGCATGCTTTTTAGCTATGTTATATGAAAATAAAGAAGTAGCAAATTACCAATTGAGACATTCTGTATGACATGAACTCTTTCTGGTTATTGTAAATATAGTAATATGATTACATTTTTGGAGCTAGTATCCGTGTACTTATACAAGTCTTCATTTGTTCAGAAATTCGATATATGGCCTGTCCTTATCAGAGTCGATTATAGACCTTCACATGTTGATTTAGCGGCGTTGAGAAGTGGGAAGTATGTGGAACTGGTTAACATAGTTCCTTGGAAGGTAAGGGTTATTTCCCCCTATTTTCTCTCTTTAATGTAAATATTTGCGTAGTTTGAACCAACACAGTAGTATTTTGATATTGCATATCTTGAATTAAAATTTCCATGCATGAAGTAGGATCCCTGTACTACTGAAATGAGAAAATTCAACCACATATACTGGTTTAGGTAGGATTGTAGTTCTTATCAAGTCTTGAAATGAGTATTGGGATCTCTCTTTTGCCTGATTGAACAGAGTTGTTCTCTCTGTTCTCATAGTATTGGCCATTAAGTTGATTGTTCTAATTGTTTACCAATGCAGGGTGTGGAGTTACAGCTCAAACATGTGAGTTCACTAGGGATATATGGTTGGGGTTCTGTGTGCGAAAGAGTACTTGGGGAATGGTTGGAAGATATCTCTCAAAATCAGGTAAGAGAATTGCAGGTCTAAATAGTTACTGGCATTGTGCCATTGTAATCTTTATCGGTGTTGAATTCTGTTTTTTCCTTCAGATTCATAAACTGCTGAAAGGACTCCCTCCTATTCAGTCGTTGGTAGCAGTTGGTTCTGGTGCTAAAAAGATGTTTACACTGCCGGTGAAAAACTACAAAAAGGAACGGAGACTTATTAAGGGAGTTCAAAGGGGTAATACTTTTATTAAAAAGTTAATTCTCCCTACCTTCTTGACAATTAGTATTTTCATGTTTTGACAAGATGGTGATCTGATTTCTTGTGCCAGGGACGATTGCTTTTATGAGAAGTGTATCTGTTGAAGCAATTGGTCTTGGAGTACATTTGGCTGCAGGTGCTCACAACATTCTCCATCAGGTGGAATGTATACTTGCAAGCATTCCGCCATCTTTACCATCCTGTCCTGCAGAAAGCCGGGGAAAGAGAGACGTGAGGTCAAATCAACCAAAGGATGCCCTACAAGGAATGAAACAGGTGAATAATTATGTCTACTACTAGGTTTCCTGTTGTTTTGAGTTGGCTATGTCAGCAATAATTATGTCGGTAGTAGTTGGGGGAAGAAGTGCACACCCCCCACCCCCCCCCCTCCCCCCTCTCTTTGAATAAACATGGTCCACCTAATCACCATTATGATTTGATATTGGTGATGGGGTGTTAACTTTCCACTTTAGCAAGTGCCATGATATGAGCTTGCTTAAGCACAATCTATCTGGATAGCATCAAAATATAGTTCACAAAAACTAATATTTCTGATTGAGAACGTAAATTCATGCAAATGATTGCCCTAGAATCTGCAAGAGTGTTTTAGCCATGTGCATAGGGTACTTTTAAGTGCACCAATACGAGGTAGAGAAAATAGAGAAATTCTAACTCAAAAATTGAGGGAAGAACTTTGCCGTGTATTGTTAACATGTCAAAAAGAACTATTGATAAGGGATATAGTTATTATTCCCACTAAAATAAACATCAGAAGGAAACTAAGTGGATAGAGTTTTGATATATCAATTAAAGGAGCCTAATCTACCAATATTTAGACCCAAGAGTATTTACTTGGAAGGAAGCTATTCTTGGAAGATACATAATAGAATGAACAAACTTTTTTCTGGTGTAACTGTGGCGTGATATGACCCTTATGGTTGATTACACATGCTACGATGAACCGAAAAAGGCTTAGTTGCTTTTGCTGCATAGGCTTACATTTCACACCTTCTAAGGTTCTGATGCTTCTAAGTTTGCGACTTAATAGGCTTATGGGAGTATCAGTGGCGGGCTTAGTAAGTCTGCTTCTGCCTTAATACGGACTCCTCTGAAAAGATATCAATCGGGAGATGGTATTGGTTCTGCTCTGGCAACAGCTGTTCAAGCAGCCCCTGTAGCAGCCGTAGCTCCAGCTTCTGCAACTGTGCGTGCTGTGCAGTATGCACTTCTTGGTATGAGAAACAGGTAATCTCATTTGCCTCCCAGCTCATTTTCTGAATTGTGTTTGCTTTCCTATCAGGGAATTTCAAAGGGCTTTATGTTTTCACCTTACTCAAAGTATTGAGAACTGAAAGGTTGTTCATATTTGATGATGCAGCCTTGATCCAGAGCACAAGAAAGAGTCTTTGAAGAAATACCTGGGCTCGGCTCCCCGAAGGGAATTCTTGTAATATAGGTAGGTAGCAATACATTATATGCAAATTTAGAGATTTAAACTATTTACATATCTCTGATTCTCATGTAGGGTTAGTATTCTTCATGTTATATGTCAATTCCTTGTGCAGCAGGATGTTGGATTAGGTGAGTAACTGTCAAAAAAAAGATTTGAGAGAGCAATAGTGGAGAAGATTTCGGGGAATGTCATTTACCTGAGGTTTACATACCACTATCAATGCTAATTATTTGAAACACACTTCACAATCACATTCCTGGTGTGAGATGACTCTTTGTATTAGAAATTTCTCATAGTTTCCCCATCATTTTAGAGTTTAAATTGAAATTCTCAGTGCAAGCAGTAAAAGTTAGCTAATCTCGCTCATTGATATGATTTCGAGAGGAATAATGAGATATAAACGTACTTAATTGGGCATTTCATCATTTGATGTTCTGTTGTTGTTGTTTCTTCAGTGTTGATTTGTTATAGAACTGATTTTTGTTTGTGTGTGTAGGTGTGTACAGAGATTTAGGCCGAGGAATCCTAACCGTGCAGAGACAGAGACAGCTGCCTCTGCATGGAAATGTAGATATCAAGTGTGAATAGTCCTTTTCTTTTTCCCCCTGGTCACCACTAAGCCGAGCCTAAAGGTCACAGAAATAGACCCTTGTGATATATTCCCTCTTGTATTGTATAGCTTACTTAATAGTGTGTGTACATATTAGTTCTTCCTTGAGCAGCATAGCCAATTTTTTCAAAATGTAAATAGATCTCTGCATGGTTTCAATTTTATTGAATGTCCCTGAATGGGCAATTGTAAATAGATTACCAATTCTTTGATTCAGCGAATTAGCTCCTTTTTCCTTGGGTTTGTATAGTAAGTACTCCATCTTGTGACTCATGTAATATAAATTCTTGCTTTGAAATTTGAATATTCTCATCCTTTAGCCATTCTAATTCTAGACTGCCTCTATCCCGGATGGAGTATATCTTCTTACCAGGTTGAGTTTTTATCACGGTTTACTGAATGTGCTTCAACTGTGGAAGTCAATACAACCTTTCATTGTTGAATTTAAAGGCCACATGTGGTTCACTTTCAAGATTCTTATTTTGGACAAATTAGTGGCTTATGAAGCAATCAACTAAGGACGATTTTAATTAAGGTGGATGTTAAGGTTTGCGTTGCTGCAATAAGTACTGAACTTTGTGATTCTACAAAGTGAAGAGAGGACCCAAAAACACAATTCCAAGTTTCCAACAGCAAAAACGACAGAAAGTGCATTGATCTGTTTCAGCAACAAGGCATAAGCAAAAAAGTGGAAAGGATTGATGACAATGCTAAATTTGTACAAACACCACAAACAGGAAACAGTTATCAAGCTTAGATTTATGCACACTATAATCTCTGGGCTTCTGATCTATATTTATCAGAATTTCTCTTCCATTTGTCAACTTGTTCATCGAAAAGCTCAATGAAAAGTACTACTACTGATGCCATCCAGTGTAAATCCAAAAAACGGAATTCCATATTATTCACCTGAAACTTCACATAGATGGAATGCATCAATCGTCAATGCTCCCCGAATGAAAAAGTTGTGGCGGTTTCATCAATACTTTCAAGAACAAGTTCATGAGGAACATTAATCTTATCAAAAGATTTTCTGGGCACATGATGAATATGAGATCTCTTCAGGCCTAAACGCTCTTTCCACCTGCTCATCCCTTTGGTGACTCGAGGTGAAGCGCCATCCGTAAGATCATCATCATCGTCGGCTAGGAGTTCATCCCTTATGGTGGTTTTGGTAGCAGAGTTCTTAGTAGGCATAAGTTTGCCCTTGAAGAAGACCTCATCAGCAGGAATCATGTTGTAACCGGAGACAGAAAACTCGAAGTCGGAAGAAACAGGGGCTTCTCTGTAGCTGTTTTCATGCTTGATGGGGTACTGCGAATCAGCAAAGTCATTGGAGAAAGAGATTCTTGGCCCCATTGTGGAATGGATGCCGCCCTGTTGGTCATTGTTGTACATGTTTAAGCATGCCATGGACACTGGAAACTGAAACTAGGCTAATTTGATGCACCTCCCAGGGAAGTTTCTGCTGGTTTTTTTTAGTGTGTGTGTGTTTGTGAGATTAATATGCTTCACATGACTAACTGTCTTGAGTTCACAGTATTATATAGGGCGGGGTTGTAAGAAATTTCTTGTTTAGAATTCAAATTCTTGACTTTTGTTACACACAAAAAAAAAAATTAAAATAAAGCTGGACACATGCAATCCATATACTTTCAGAACTGAGCGGTAAATTTGCTTCTTCAATCACAAGCAAAGACGACAAAAAGCTATGTAACTAATTGGACCGACCCCTAAGTCTATGTGTAGAGTAGTCTACATGCATGCTACTACTGCATTTGCGTTCGTGAATAAATAGTGAATCGAGCAATTCAATTTTTTTTGTTTTTGAAATACTCCATTCATCTCAAAATTATCGTCTGATTTGGGTTTTTTAGTTTAAATTATAGTAAAAGTGAAATTTCAAACTGGACAACAATTATAGGGCAAAAAGAATATTAGACATTAATCCGTTTGTACTATCTCTTTTCTTCTAAGAACCACATATCATATTTTCTCGTATATCTTATTGCTTTATCACAACAAATATGACTTCTTTTTTTTTTTTTTCTGGGACGGAGGGATTAAGTATAGATTTTTGGTTGGTTCTTTTCAAGGATCACAGTTTCCATGTCATGAAATAGTTACTTGAATCACATCACTTGTATCTCATATGATTACTAGAAAAAGTTGCAGCATTAGCACAAAAGGGGAAGGAATCTTTAGCATTTGAGGTTGATGAGAAAGAAATTTTACTACTCTTAAAAGAACATGTTAATTGCCTTCACCATATGCATGTGGAACTGCTTTTTCAGTTATGCATTGGGAAGGACAAGTTACCACAATAAGACACCAAAGTAGAGCAGATCTTGCAACTAAATTTGGGATGTAGTATTAGTATTATTAGTCCAAACAAACCAGGAGTCAAGAATGACTGCATCTTGCATGTTAATTTAAGGTTGTTTGTTCCCTTAAACCTTACAATTTTGCTGCTAAATTTTAATGTACTGTATTTTGTCCTTGTGTGTACTTTGTAGATCAGAATAATTATTCCCACTAACCCAAAAAAACTAACAAAGGCCTTCTCTAGTATACATAGTATATCCTTATCTACTTTGAAGGAGTCCTAAAAATGGATTAAGTTCTATCTAGCTAGACAACTCTATTACAGCGAAGATTTCAAGGTTAATTACACCCCAATGTAGTGCCACTGATGAAGAAAGAATCAAGAATGCGGTCAAACAGAACCGGTAGTGAAGAACATGGGGAGCAAAGAAAAAAAGGGATAAGTTTCTTGTTTAAGTTTTTGAGCATATTCGGTTCACTTCACATGCATGTTGTTAGAGATCGACTGCTTCCAACGTTAGATTCGTCGAACAGATCATATTGCGAGTTTTATAACTCGAAATGCTTCTCACGCGACGAACATAATGCACGTAGGTATCGTTTAATTTAAGACTATATTTTTCCCGATTAAGAATTTGCTTAATTTCAAAAAACTCAAAAGTACTCCTTTTGACATGCAGATCAGGAGGGGGGGGAGTTAGCTCTCTTAAATATTTTTATACTCAGCAGTATTCCATAAAATGGCCTACTTCAGCAGGGAGTTAAAAAAAAAAAAAAAAAGGAATTATAATTTACGAGGCACATGTACGTTTGGATCTCTTAGAAATTTGAGGTCGTACATACACCGACCTGTTCAAAAATCAAGAATTTTCCGGCTTCACATAACAGCATTTTGTCTTCTGGGTTGCGTAATGAATGGATTATCACTTTAATGCCTGTGATACTCATTCCTCCCAAAATAAAATTTGTACAAAGTGATTCTTATTTGAGAATACTTTTAATGTACATTTTTTTTAACTGTTTTTTCTTTCACAACTATGAATGATAATTAACTTAAGTGATATGGAAAGAATAAATTTAAAGCCTATGAGGAACAAACAACCACAGCTTTAATGGCAATTACATGAAACTGGAGATTCCAATTTCACATGGTTTACTTACAGCCTAATAATAATACTTTTTGAGAAGATCATCCAATAAGGAGACAACATATAGCTTGATTCCCACAGGTAATAAAGCCAATCAGAAGTTTAAAAAACTAAAAATGTTGAACCCTATTAATCTCATTTTCCCCGGTTGCTTGATTGTAGGAAATGCTTTGGTCTATCAGTTCTGTGTCTTCTTCTGGTCTCCCCTACTGTGAACACACTTAAACTTTTCTGTTCCTTGGGCCTTTTATTAATATGCCTATCAAACACCTCTTTTCTTGTCTGTTTATCGGTTTTCTGGCACATTTTGCGAAGTCAGATCAAGAAGACCTAAAGCTCCTACATTTGATTATTACCCTAATTTTTGGTACTTTGTATGTTGCCATCCATATTCCCACAAGGAAGGCATTAGTCTAATGACAAAAGTCGGTCTCTTTCCAACATTCGACAGTAAGGACAGAAGAATGATCTGTTCTCCGTATAGTCAAAACTGAAAACAGTGTTGGTAAAGGCCAAAACTCTCTTTAAAAAAAAACACATCGCACACCCCTCAATTGCAGGCAAAAGATTGGATCACGCACTGAAATCTACAACTTTTCAACTAATCGTCTACTTTAAGAGTAAGCCATCTCTTCCACTGAAGATTGACAGCAAATATATATGCTCTTTTAAACTGTTAGCGATTGAAGACTCCAAGCACAAACAAAACTGAAAAAAGGAGAACCAAAAAAAAAAAAACCCTTCAGTGCAAATGTGAGCTACATGGTCAGCTACACAGCACGATGTAGTTCGTGAAACCCATAATCCAGAAATCATATTGAAATAACGGATGCAAGATTCCAAGCTGAGGCTTAGGGTCGAAGACATCTCATTTGACCAGTCATTAGTTCTCATTCTTTAATGCTTTGGATTTACAATAATTGAGTGCCCCCTTCAGATTAGTAGGCTAGAAGGAATATGCGATGCACTTACACGAAAAGATAAACAAAAGATGTTTACCAGAACAAAATTGAAGGCACTAAAGAAAGACTTTGGAGTGCCAGGAAGTAAAAGAGAATTTTCTTACTTTAAAGCATCATCAACCGTATAAAGGCCGAGCGTACAGAGATACTATATTACCAGTTAAACTTCCTGCACTGAAATAGTTGCTCCAAAAGTCTAACTTCACAACAGCTCATTGGATTTAGAATCTTTTCTAAATCAATGTAACTTAAAATTTTGGCTTGGTCAATGGCTACTCAGATCAGGGAAAAAAATAAATGTGTCCATCACTTGATGCCAGAGAAAAACATATCAATCAACAATTAACCAACATTTGTTAACATAAAATGAAAACAGACAACAAGAATGATAATCTTCATTAGTCATTGATGAGATCTTTTAGGTTAGCATAATCAGTCCATTTCGGACACAGACCACAAATATCACAAATTGAATACCTTTAGCTTCCATATTATGCTACTACAATTTCATACAGGTTGAAATAGAGTTAGAAGTGTTGAGAGAGTTGAGGAGCTTAAGACCAGTTTCCTGATTACTTAAATACTACTCACTCCGTCCCAGAAGAATAGTCCCCTTTGTTAACTACTTTTCTGGGACAGCGGCAGTTGATAGGTTAAAATGAGCACAGTGAAAGATTTACTCAAAATCATCATCATTTCTGTGATAAGGAATAGCTCTTTTTTGGGGTAACAAATTGTTCTCTTTACCAGGGTAGAGTTTATTCTTCAACGTTACACGTGTTTCATTATCAGGACTTTTTAATTTGGGCTTCTGAAAGAGCCTCGAAGAAGTAGGTAAAATGGGGATGCTCTTCTTCTGAACCCCATTGGAGGACATTGACAACAATACATTTTGACTTACAGTTTGGGTGGATGAGGTTGGTTTTCGAAATACGTTTTCTTTTGATCTCGGTATGTTGTTCAGGCTTGCCTCCACTTTGTTGGGCCTTACAGCTGATTCAATAGGAACGAGTTTTCCGCTTACTTGATTGGTAAAAACAAATGAAACCTGCACGAGCATTTCAAAATAGTTTATAGGCTCATTCCAAAATTGAGTGCATAGTAAAAAGATGAGTAACATTTTTGCATTCTAAATTTCACAAGACTAAGCCATCTTGCTGACCTCATCTCCTGCTGAAGCCTGAAGAATGTTATCAGGTACTGAAGTTGGCAGAAAATGATGACCCCAACTAGCCAAATCTTCTTCTTTAGGAGTTCCCACCTTTGCGAAAAATTCAAGTTTTGCAAAATTTCAAAATACATTTAACTCTTAACTTTACGAAGACACTACTGGACTAATAAAATTGATGGGTTGAGTTCTTAAAAAATTTGCAAACCTGTTTCTCGGAGCCTTTTAACTTGTTCAAGCAGCCAGAAATACTTGCAAACCCCCCTATATCTTCTTCATCAGATTGACACCGGGGAGATGCTTTGATTTCATCAGATTTAGCATCCAACTCTATTTCATTTGGGCGGCAGCGATCACAGTTCATATTCTCATGAATTTCAGATCTGCATTAGAAGTTGGAAATAAAGGAGCAAATGAAGTCAAAACACTACAATCACGGTCACGGAACTAGATTTCTACTACAGAGCACCAATGTATATATATCTATCATTTACAGGTTGATTCTCTAACACTGGTCACACAAGTCCACTATATTCAAATAATCAAACAGTAATTCAATATGTATGTGGCTAAAATGATCCTCTCATAGGTCGACCAAGTAAAAAATTTACAATAGGCGAACAGTAAGAGGCCAACGCCATTTCTGAAAATTTGTAAGCCTTGAAAAATGATGTATGCACAAACAACAGGCATTCGTAAAACAGGGTAAAACTTTGTAGAAAACTTTTCTGTGTCTACAGTATTTATCTCAGGGAATTGCTGGGAAAGAGAAAACAAATATCAGTTCTTTTCATAAGAGGGAAACAATGTAGAAATTTATAATTTTCTTTTATCTTTTTCCATTGTTAAATGGATGCAAATGTTTATCTATAAACATGCATGTGAAGTTTTCATCGCAAGGACGTATGTACCTCAAGTTCTCATGAAGCGAAAACAGGTCACGTAAATCATCAGTGGAAAGCAGGTTTCCCTGAAATTGAATCTTTTGGCGTGAGATCTTTGAATGAAATAAATGCAGAAGAATATAGTTAAAGAAGAACCTGATCAATATCCGATTGCTCCTGCTGTATAACTTTTTGCAGTCCTTCCTTTGACATCTGACGCTGGTATACCTGTCAATGTGAGAGGAACCTCCTCAATGTTACAATCAAGACAAGTCAAATTCAAAAGGTGACCATGCAAGAAGGTCTACTTTTTCCTCAATCGTCCCAGTACTCAAGAACCTATAGATATAAACTCTCTTCTTTTGTCCATCCCTCCAGACTCTTGCTGCGGCCTGAAAACAATGGCATGAGAATCAGAATAATGAGCCTCAAGTTGACAAGGTTCCATTATACTCTTTGCAACCTACTCTATCAATATGCTCAAGTGTAGCAGAACATCTTACTTGTTTGTCATTAGCAGGATTCCAATCAGGATCAAACAAAACAAGTCGATTTCCACCAATCAAATTCAGGCCACAACCTCCAGCCTTGCTACTCAAGAGAAACGCGAACTCGTCCTGAGAAATGAATTCTGTGATAAGTACCCTATATCCTGCTGAGAGACATAAAACAATACACCCAAAGATACCACTACAGACCTTTGATGGATCATTGAAACGATTGACAAGTTTTTGTCTTTTACTAATTGTTGTAGTTCCATCAAGCCTTACAAAGGGATATCTCCTTTCTCGGCACAATTGAGCAAAAAGATCCAATGTCTGATAGAGAGCAGTAACTTAACTTCAAGAATAAAAATAACTAAGCACACAAATTTGTAACATGAAAAGATGTCAATACTTGGAACAAGGTACATCATCGATTTTTATTAAAAAAAAAAACATAAACATCATTATCTAACTTCATCAGCATGAGGATACCTGTGTGTAGTTTGAGACCAGAACAATTCGGTCATCAGTTTTTTGCCTGAGATGTGCCAGTAACCTTGCAAGTACATGCATTTTCCCTGACAGTTCAACCCAAGCTCCATCACCACCGGTCCATGCTCCAGATCTAACAAAGCGTGATATTCTAACTAGATATCAAGTTGAAAAGCAAATCTTCAGAAAACGTAATAATGATAACTACCTACCTTCCTGAAAACATCTGAGGGGGGAAAAAGCGCAAACAATCCTCGAGTCCAGATGTTCCGGGGCTCCCGCTTTTTATTGTATCATAGATTAGCTTCATAAGTTGAATCCCATCAGTAAATAACAATCTCCCAAAATTTAAAGAATACAAGAGGAATATCATCGTATCATACAAATATACAAAAATTAACAGGTACAGTACAAGGCAACTAGCTGATCTTATGATGCTCTAGGTTGAACAATAACATACATGCCTACCCCATAAAAAATTACTTCCTCATGAACGCTTTCCTACCTTTGGATGATTGCAGAGCTTCTTCAAAGCTGTTATATAGGCTAATATTTTTGACTGCCTTGCTTCTTCGTTAATAGCTCGTTTGACCTGAATTCAAGAAATTATTCAAAAAATGAGGCATTTGCATAAGAAACAGAATGTAAGGATGATATAGAACTTTAGTTTTCAGAAAGTGGACATCTTACGTTTTTTGAATGTATGAAGTGATTATATAAATCTGATTGTAGAGGTGTCAATTTGCAACAGACAACTTCAACTATCTGAGATGAAACAAAGGAAAAGTATCTTTCACTGAGTCTACGAAGAAGAAAGAAAACCAAAAGGAAAAGGAAAAATAACGACAGTTATGTGTTTGTGGTTACCACACCTTTGGCGGCAAGTGATTTGACAATAGTGCATTAGTCCTCCTAAGTATAAACTGAAACAAAATTGTATGTGTTATTTCTGAAACTCAAGGTTGCTTCACTTGGTGGAAACCAACATAATTCTGTTTTAAGGGGCGGACACTTTACCTGGTTTACTTTTGTACTCAGTTCAGAAGAGCGCTCGGAACCAAGCTTCTTCTCTTCTTCACTGGCACTGGGTTCTCTACCGCAAATAATTGGGGTCTTCAAGTAACATATAATACGAGGAGAAAAGCATGTGAGACACCTTTCAACAAAGAAGTAGATTCTAGTAACAGATAAAAGAATCACATTATGATAGAAGGCACTATAATTTTGTTTCAAGTGAGCAGATTTAAATGCAATATTCACTCTTGGAAACCATATGAAGATTATGAGTATGCAGATCAAAGTAATGATCAAACGGAAGTCTTAAACCCCACTGCCTAGGATATTTGAGCCAATAATGTCCAAAAATGTGGCAATAAACATACCTCATAGTAACGACGGAAATATCCAGCATCACCCAGTACTCCTGGATTAGTAAAATTCACCATGGCATAAAACTCTTCCAGATCATTCTGATTATATATTGCATATAAAGTAAGTAAAACATAAAAGGATCCCAAGCAGACAAATAATATGAAGGCTAATTTCTGAAGCTGAAATGCATACTTGCATTGGAGTTCCAGACAACAAAATCCGGCGCTTACATGATAAACCTGCCAATGCCTGAAACAAGGTATTATCTTATTAGCAATCAGTGGTTAATCATTTCAATACTTGTCTTGGAAATGTTCAGAACAGCAGATTCAATAGACTAACCCGATTTGTTAGTGTCTGGTCATTTTTCAGCCTATGAGCTTCATCACAAATAAGAAGGTCACAGGAGTCACTGTGGCTGAATTTTGACGCATGCATCCTAAATGTTTCATATGAAACGATTAATACCTGAGAGAGAAACTTAGATTAATTAGTTCATCTGAAATTTTCTAAAACACAGAATACCAATATTCTCTGTTAGAAGATTACTTGTAAATGGCTTCGTGGACTGACAAAACTGTCAATACCAGAGATAACATCGTCACGTGTGCTTTCACATAGGGCAACAAGCTTCACTCTCTCACCAACCCACTTCCTAATCTCAGCCTCCCAATTACTGACAAGACTGGTAGGGGTCACAATAATAGCCTTTTTTACCATTGGTTTCCCATCAAATCCTTGACGAAGTAGGGTGTAAAGTAGTGTAATTGACTGCAATGTTTTTCCTAAACTGCAGAGATATCATAACATTTTATAAGGTCTTGAATGAAATTAGTGCTGAACTCTGTAAAGAAATATGAAAAATCGTGCACAGAAATAAATTACCCCATATCATCAGCCAATATACATCCATTTATGTTGGCAGAACTAAATGATCCCGAAACACAATCGAACATGAATTGGACCCCTTCCCTGCACGTGAAGCAGACTCTTCAATAAATTGACCATCAAACATCAACTATGAAAAGAAGGATACTAAAGAGAGTATTAAAAAACATGACCATCTACCTAGCTGTGCCTTCAACAACAAAAATAATGAAAAATTTGAGATGCTCACATCCTTCAGCCGAGCTATCTTCCTACTATGTGAACCAGATAAGTATATTTTATAAATTGTGATACCTTTGATGGGGTCGAAGGAATTTAACTAGCAAGGGATCAACTGCAATGAATGCTGATTCCAGATCCTCAGACTGCCATAGCACCAAGGGCTCAACACCAGGTGGTAAATCCACACTCTCTTCCACCACATCATTCTTAACAGCTTCAGAGACATTCAGCATGTTCGTAATAGCAACCAAAACCGGTCTAGTAGAACCCCAGGGTACAAACTTCTTACGAGCCCAGAGGCGACGTGCCAGCTGGTCATTACTATCCCCATAGCCATCCGCACAAGGAGGTTTAAATGGCTTTCTAAGACTAGCTGCTACATCCGTCACCGAATAAACCCTGGGAAGTAATGACTGCCTTTTCACCTCTAGGTTTCCTCTGCCAATTATGAAATTGACGACACAACACAACAAATTAAATCTCAAATGCCAACAAAAAGTTCAACCTAATTAATTCGGCTTAGGTATCACAAAAAAAAAAAAAAAAAAGCAAACGAACCATAAATCAATTAAGTTTATTCGACGAATGGATTCGAAAGTACCTCACAAGAGCGTCGACATTTTGGGACTTTCGGTCTTCATTTGGCGAAGCAGTGGGAGTTTTGGGGTCGGCTTCGGCATCGCTGGCGGATGATAATTTGTACTCTTCGTCGTCTTCGGGTTCGCAGGTGAATTCGTCGCCGGAATCACTGGATTCAGAAACGGACAGGACTCCATCGTCGACGTCCTCCATGACCAGGGAGACTGTGAAGCCCTTTTTCTTCTTCTAGACGCCACTCCTCCGCTTAATAAATTTGAAACCCAGCCTCTTTTGGCGCCTAAACTCACCGGGTTCTTTTTCAGCCAATTTTAATATTGAATCAGCTTACTAAAAAGACATAAAAAATTCAAAATTTTAGAATGTAGTCATTTTTATTTCTCTTAATTAAGCCTTCCTTTGTCTTCCTTAATTAGTAATACTCCCTCCGTCCCATAATTATTGTCCACTTTGCCCAAAAAATTTTGTCCCAAAATTATTGTCCAATTTGACTTTTTATGGATTAAGTTACACATTTATCCTTAGTAAAAAACATTATCCATAAAATCTTAGTGGTTAAACAATTACTTATGTAGGGGTATATTCGGTTGTTTAAGGTAAAATATAATTAAGTTTGACCAAAAATAAAATCTTTCATTTTAGTAAAACTGAACAATAATTATGGGACGGAGGGAGTACTAATTATTATTCCATCTGTCCCAAAATTATTACCCAGTTTTAAATTTCACTTTTAGTATAATTTGAACTAAAAATAAAAAATACAAACTGCATAATAATTTTAAAACAGAGGAAGTAGTAATTATAGAACTTTCAAGAGTTTTTTTTGTCTATTATTATGCTAAAGACCTCAGAAATCACTACTCTAACTAATTACTCGCTCGTATCTGTCCCAATAAACTGATTAAACACTAAAATTGTGAATAAGAATGATGAAATATTGAAAGGAAAAAGAAAACTTAATTCAGATTTGTTTAAGTTTACATTGTTATAGGATACAGATCTGCCATACTTCTCTTATCAATGCTATTATCCTGATAATAATTTACATATTGTGAAGGTAAACAATACTGTTTGGGTACTTATTTTTATTGAATCTTAAACCTTAAGAGAGTAAATGGACAAGAAGATTAGATGAGCTTTAAGGAACGAGTCATCATGGTCAAGAATTCATCCATGTCAATCACACCATCCCTGTTTGAATCAACAGCTTGCACCATTTTTCTGCAATCTTGCATGCTGCACCTTTCCCCGAGCTTCCGCAACAGCTCGAAAACTTCCTCCACCGTGATCTTTCCATCGCCATCTTTGTCGAATCCGCGAAACGCGCTCTGTAGGTCCACCGTCTTCAACCCACCTCCTTTCTTCTGCGCTTCCACAAACTCCTTGAAATCGATGAAACCATCCCCATCCAAATCCGCAACCTCAAATATCTTCTCCACTTCCTTTGTTAGGAAGTTCCCCTTCCCCGTGGCCTTCAGTATGGCTTTGTACTCCTCAGGCGAGATCTTCCCGTCTTTGTTGGTGTCATACTTGTTGAATACCTGCTTCATCTCCTGTTCACTCTGTTGGTAAGTAGGCGATACACCTGCAGAATTCTGCCTGTCTTTAGAAAACATTCGCGATGGCTTCCAAAGAAACTGTCGCTTTGAGAGGTTGTATTGGATGTCCAGAAAACTCGACTTCGACATCAATGATCTCATGTCACAACAGGAGAGGAATGAAATAAAGAAATGGGTTAACGTTCTCTATCTTAGTCTAGACCTTGGATATTTGTACAGCAAAAGAACTTAGGTGTAATATAAGGATAAATATCCAATGCTTTCAGTACAGAGATTAGGCAGAATAATTTCATTCCTGAGCAAGTTGTACATAAAAAGAGATACCTTAAGTCAATGGATGCCTACAGCCTTCTCAGAAATGATAGGAATCAAAAAGGAAAAGGATATATTCTTTGATTGCTTCTGACGCTACAAAAAAAGGAATTTTGATAGTCTCTTCTACAGGTATTTTCTGAAGACTTGGGTAGCCAAGTGTCCTGGAATCTCTCTCTTCCCAATTTACAACGTTAAAAAATAGATTGATCCGTGGAGTATAATTGTATTCTGTACTAATAAGAACTCGAACTGTAGAACTACAGACTGAGGTTGGACATTTCTGCAGCTTAGTCATGTCAGGGTGGTTTTCCATTATCTATGTCCTCCATCACATCGATGTCCTTGCGTGCTGTTATCTTTTGTACATATCCTGCAATTTAGAACATACAAACTTTAACAAAATAAAAGACGTGCAAACTTTATTTTAGGGAAGTCTTAAGGTCAAAATGTAATAGAACTATGCAACGGATAGAATGCAATTTGGTCGTGTTACATAGATCACATAGTAAACTGCTTAATCCATAATATTGTCAACATTTTGTCCGTGTCTCATGCACCAGGGGGTTGTAAAAGTATCTGATGCACATCTACAAACAAAAAGTTTGACATAATTAAAAGAAGAAACTAAATGGAATCGAAATGTTTAATACCAGAACAAAACATCATGGCTGTGGACTGGGATATCATAGACAAATTAAAATTCTAAACTTGCGCGACATTAACAATCTCAGGCCCAATCAACAATCCTCCTTTGCCCTTACAAGGTAACAGTTACGTTGGGAATTCAAAATGACCAAATGAAAATGCATTGCACAAGGGCCAAAATACTAGAGATGACTGCATAGTGAAAGAAATATATTCTTTCATATGAAGCAATCCAGCACGCCCCATTGCTAGAAGGAATATATTTCACATGAAAGGCTTTGACTTTGTAAAACTTCAAGAATACATTCTTCAACAATAGTTCTCACAATAGCAAACATACAAATAGATGTAATTTGCATAACAAAGCACATGAGACAACAAATTTTGTAGACATGGTTTCTAGAATGGAAGAATGTAGCAAACCCTTAAAAATGACATGTTTATCTAGTATCAATCAGAATACAACAAACATGAGCTAAAAGAACACGAGACTTGTAATGCAAAGACAAAATGATTCAAATACATAAAGATATCAGAAAATGAAATACAACACCAACCCAAGAGTACAAAGAAGATGTACCAATTCCGAGGCAGGGTATGCACTTGCATATGGTTTCTTTCCCTCGCTTGCTATAGTAGCTGACATATCCACTTCCTTGGCAACTTCGACACTTCCCAGTCCATTCATATACAACTTCCTTACAATCCTACAACTCCATACATAAAAAGGAACATAATCAATACAACATTCAACTAAGGTGTTCCGGCAGAAATCTTCCTATCTACTGCTTTTTCACCATCTCCACACCCAGAGACAGTAACTTTTTCTTGTTTCATTTCTAAATTTCTATGCACATCAACTAAAGCGAGAATAATCAGAAATAACCGAAAAGACAATTACGTAGAGCAGAGTTTTCCACATGATTTTGGAACCACGCACTGAGACAGTACATTCTTCAAACATTATGTAAACTAAATCCAATTTCCTCTAAAACTGAAAAAAAATTAAATCACAAAACTCTGAAATTCGCAATAGTCGTCTACATTGGAAAATAAACCAGTTCCGAATTTCGAAGGCATTAACTTAAAAACCCAAAACAAACAACAAACCTGGATTTCGGGATCACATCTAAGACGGCGGTCGATTTCTTCAGGCGAAACGGGTTTAGTATCAGGATAAGTCATTGGCAGAGGAAGAGCATCATCGTTGTCAGTCAAGTAACTCTCCCGAGGCCGCGACCACCTCTCCCCCTTCGCATTCACCTTCGATTCCTTATTGCCAATACTTGAACTTCCAGCTCCAAATGTTCCGCCGCCGTCGCGGCCGCTGCTAGCGTCAGAGGTCCCACCTAGGCCAGAGGCAGCTGCGTCGGCCGCGGCGGAAACAAAATTAACCCACCAACGGCGTGAGGAATGACCGAATGGTTGGTCGGCAATGGCGTTCCGGCAGCGGAAGCGGGTGGTGGTTAAAGGAGGATAAGAAAACGTTGGGGTCAAATTCAATTTGAATGATTTTGAAGGGGTAATAAAAAATGAACAACTATGGCTTAAAGGCAACATCCGAAAGAAATGCAATTGATGTTTATCATAAGCTTTTTGACCGACCGGAAGACGGACGGAGAGCTTGGTCGGAGGAGTTCACAGAGCGAGAGAATAAAGAGATTTGGAAGGCCAATTATTCGATTTCTATTTATAGTATGTGCTTTGGTAAGCGTTATGCTCGATGCTTCTTTGGTTGGTCGGATGTAGAAATTTCTGAAGCCTCATCAAAAAAAATTTGGGAAGTTCGTTATTAATGGAACTTTTAGGTATTTTTATCTCAAAGTTTTTGACTTTGGCAAATAATAGTAAAAATAATTCTAACAAAATTTTAGCAGAATGAAGTTCTTAAGTAACTTACAAATTGAAATGCATAAAAAATTCATGTTATATTTTCTCCGTCTCAAACGTATACCTAACCTCACATTTTCCAAAGATATACTAGAAAATAATTTGGTTGTATTGTTTTCGATGAGATAGTTAATAATAGTACCAATAAGAGATTGACAAATCGATATATATATATATATATATATATATAAAATAATAGTGACTAATGCGACACTTGTAGAAAATATAAATATTATGAATTATATTTTCATTTGTAGAGTGTACGCAAATAAAACAAAATGAAAAATGAGCTAGGAGCGTGTTTCATTATAATCTCTATGTTCATGCATAGCCATTGGTGCATGGATACGTAGCATAAGCCTTCCCACACGGTCCCATGTCAATCTGTCTAGTTTCTGAATCGAATTTGGGAAATCCTTCCTCTGATTTACAGGTTTCCCAATATTCGGCCAAAATGTCTGTCCCCATCTTCTTCATATTCTGGTTTGTTACCTCTCTGATTATACTTCAAGGCAATCCCATTAATGCTGATCCCGCAATTGACCCAAAACCTTCTCCTCATACAAAAGGTAGAACAACCCTTTAAACTCACAATGAAATTCATCTTAGATCTGTATTCAAATTCGTAGTTTTTTCAATGAATTGTAAGTCACGCGGACAATGCCTGTGTAATTTGCAGGTTTCTTTATAAATTGTGGGGCTACAGAGGATGTGGAGATTGACCAACTTAAATATGTCACAGATGATAGCTTTATATCACCTGAGAACACAAAAACAGCAGTCATTGATGAACCAGATATATTGCCAATATTATCCACTGTGAGATATATGCCTGATAGGGCAGCAAGGAAAAAATGCTACAATTTCCCGGTGGTCGAAGGAGTAAAATATTTGGTGAAAACAATCTATTATTATGGACATTTTGATGGAGGTACTTCTCCACCTGTTTTTGATCTTATTACTGATGGTACCAAATGGAGCACAGTGAATACCACAGAGGATTTTTCAAAGGGAATGGCTTCCTTCTACGAGGCCGTGTTCATGGCTTCTGATGAGCGATTATCTGTTTGTTTAGCATATAATGACAACACGGCTTCTAGTCCATTTATATCTGCTCTGCAAGTGCAGCCTCTTGATAATTCAGTATATAACACAATTGATTTCAGTAAATATGCATTGGTGACCGTTGCGCGTCATAATTTTGCTCCTGATGGGGATGTTATTAGGTAAGAACTTAACTTGGCTGTGAATCAGTTACTTTCTTTTTCTCTACAAATTATCTGATTCAGTTAGGAGTGGAATCAGTATATATTTTGTGTTTGAGGGCAAAATGTTGGGAAGTTTCATGTTGAGTGACAATGTTATGGTCAGAAGAGTTGGCTGCCAAATTTTGCAGGCCTTATTCATGCCTGTTATGATGAACTTGCCATTTTTTTCGGGTTAGGTCCTTTCGTTAGATTTCATGTCGCGCGGCGAAATTGGCATCCCTACATGTTTCATTTCAGGGGTGTTAATGAACATTTTTAACATGTGTCTACACTAGTTTTCCAGATGACAAATACGATCGGCACTGGTACCCGTTTCTAGATAAACATCCTGAGGTGTTAAGTCACTCCAATGTTTCTGCTTCAGAGTTTTGGAACAATCCACCACAGAAAGTGTTTCAAAGCGCGATTACCGCCAGCAGAGGACAGAGTCTTCAAGTCATGTGGCCACCATTCCCACTTCCTAAAAGACCTTATTACATTGCACTATACTTTCAGGACACAAGAACCCCTAGTCCTTATAGCTGGAGAGTTTTTGATATTGATATCAATGGCGAAACATTCTACGGCGGCCTCAATGTAACCAGCAGTGGAGTCATGCTTCATGGCGATCTTTGGCCAATAAGCGGACAAACTAAGATAACCTTGACGCCTAGGAGCGATGTACCTGTCGGCCCTTTGATCAATGCAGCTGAAATATTACAACTTGTGGCTATTCAAGAGAAGACTGCATTTGCTGATGGTAAAACAATCCTCTTTCATTCCTTACTATGGCTGTTAAAAGAGTACTAAAGTAACAACCTTATGCAGAGATTCTTCACCTCTTTTGCAGCAAATGTGATGGATGACTTCTTAAAATCCGTTCAAAATCTTCCTCCTGACTGGAGTGGTGATCCGTGCATGCCATTGAACATTTCATGGACAGGAGTAGGTTGCAGACAACGATTAAATACTCGGATCATCTCTCTGTAAGCACAACTAACATTGAAATGATACAAAAGGAGTGCATAAAAAGGAAATAATCCCCACCCTGATATCTTTGCTTAAGTAATTGTTTTACCATATGAATGTAGAAATCTGACCAATCTCCATCTGTCCGGAACATTGCCAGAGAGTTTGGCCAATTTAACTGCACTTCATCATCTGTAAGACAATCCATGCTGAATCTCCTTTTCCCTTGCTCAATTTCTGGATTGTGGTGTGAAAAAAAAAAGAAAAGAAAAAGAGGCAGATGTGGATTAAAGAAGCCTGGCTGTTGATTTGATGCTACCCTTGATCTGCAGATGGCTTGGAGGTAACTCATTTTCTGGTCCACTACCTGATTTGAGCACATTAACGGCCCTGGAAACTCTGTAAGCATCTCAAAGTTTTCCTTAGTAAAATCAGTGGTCAGAGCTAAAATATCAAAAGTTTTTTTTCTCTCTTATGTTTCTCTGTTGAAAAACAGGCATTTGGAGAATAATCAGTTTCAAGGTCCAATTCCGATATCACTAGGACAGCTCCCAAATCTGAGAGAAGTGTATGTAACGCGAACTTTCCTGAAGTTATTTAAGCTTACTAAAATATTGATCAGTTTCCTAATCAATGTTTTCAATGGATCACTAGATTTCTCCAAAACAACAACTTTACTGGTGACATCCCGGCTTCATTATTGAACGGACGTGATATATTTCTTCAGTAAGTGAAATAGGCTGCATTCTATCAGATTTTTTATTTTATTTTTTTTTTGTTTAAAGCTTCACTAAAATGGTTTTCCTTCTTAGTTGAGAGAGTCTTCTAAATGAAGAAAGTTTTGAAGCTGAAACGAATTTCGTATTCCTGCTGTAGGTTCTGAGTTATGTCCCCCCCACCCCTGGAAAATGGAAGTACACCTGTTTCGAAGACAATGTCAAACAAATTTAAAGAATAGGGGGGCGTTCTATATCTCTGAGGCACCTGTTTCTGATGTTCCACATAGAATGAGGCTGAAGCAAGAAAGTATGGATATAACTTTTTAAAGATTGACATGAAACTCCATAAACAAAAGCTAGATACTGGCTGATGTTTTGAAGAGAATAGAATAGAAATGTCTCACTGCTTACTGGTTACAGGATATAGGAGACCTTTTAACACTATTTTCTTCCATCTTTGTCGCCATAGCCACTTTGGAAATCAAAGGCAACTCCACTATTTTCTTCCATCATGTTATTGTTGTACATTTTCGTTTTCTTTCTACACTCTTATTAAAGGACCAAAGACGTTTCACTAACACGCTACCATTGAATCTATACTACTTAATTAAAGCAGCAAACAAAAAGGATATGTGTTAGCACCACAATAAAAATTTTTCCGCCAAAATTTATTTTTAGTACAAAATTATTTTTGACACGTGACACTCTTACTAATCAGAAAAAAAGAATAAAATAGATAAATACATAAATCTCTTAATTATAGCTATATAAAAGTTTCTTAATTATATGTATATATACTAATCCCTTAAACAACAATATATACAATATTTAGTTGATAAAATGAAATGTAAGGAAATCTCCTTAAATCAAGTGAAACACCAGTAATGTCTCTCCAATTCCCAATTTCGAAAGATCTCTTCCATTCCACTCCCCTCTCACATTCGGGCTTTTAAATCAATTATTTAAAATTTAACATCAATTATCAATTCATCTCTTTCTACAACAGAGAAATAATAAGCTGCCATGAAAGAAATTTAATTTTTTAAGGATGATTTGTTGTTTTAATTCTTCTGTCATAGATATAGGTTTATAATTTATGTAAATAAGGGCATAAGTTAACTGTTGTAAATTAAATGTTGTAAATCTAGGCATAGATTTATGTGTAGTAACTCACTTTCTGTCATTTCAATCGATTTTTTATTTTACTGTGTTTTTTATTCTTTTAAGAATGATTCGTATTTTTTATTTAATCAATTTAAAAATACAGGTGGCACCCCGGGCGAATGCCCGTGGCAAGCATCTAGTATTTATTATTAGTATAATTTTAAAAGAATTTACTGTGAGAGTGGGAGGAAGTAGATTGAACTGACTTTATAATATGTTCTATATATAAGTCTTAAAACAATTTATAACCAAGAGGCGCCTGTAGCTCAGTGGATAGAGCGTCTGTTTCCTAAGCAGAAAGTCGTAGGTTCGACCCCTACCTGGCGCGATTAGCATTTTGCTTCATTCATTTACCATGCTTTTAAATCTTTTTGGATTGAAGACGTGGTTGCCCATCTTCTCAAAACCTAGCTAAAACCTTCTTTCGCCGCCACCAGAACCACCACCACCCCTCCGAAAACCGGCCCTCTCAAACCCTAACTCAATTTAATATTTTTTTTTCCTTTCTCTTTTGGCCCAAAATCCCATTCAAATTCGCATAACCATGAAGGTGTTCGACGTTGACGGAACCTGCATCTGCCTCGGCCTTTTCGTTGACGTCACCAACTCCAAGTAATTCTACCGTCTCTGTTTATCTGCGTAGACTTGAAGCTTTCATGATTTTTGTCTACTTATTCATTTTTTGTGTCGTCCTGTACGGAGTTTTGAATAAAAAATTTAAGACAATCCTTAATTAACTCAATTCTTTGGAACGGTTCAGATGATTTCTTCGCTAGGCTTTTTAGATTGTCATTGATAGTAAAATGGGAATCCGCAATCCTTTATAGTGGATAAAATAGTATGTTGCAAAAATATTCCTTCTGATATTCACAGAGGAACAAGTACTTGTGTAATTGTAAACACATTTGGGGTTCTCCGCAATATTCTGTTAATGGGGTTCTCAGCAGTTTTTACTCGTTCAAATTAATGCCGAGCTTAAGAGTTTAATGTATTATTATGTGCTAATTTTCAGTGAACTTCTGAGTTTGATGCAAGCTGGAACTCTGGAACCAGAAGTAGCATTACTCAATGCATTACTTGTCAGTACAATGACTTGGTTCAAAATGTTCCCTTTTTTGGTTTATTGATTTGCTTCTCTATGCTATATTAATTTTGTTTGAGTTGTGTGGCAGATCCCAGATGTTTTCCCGGTTCTTGCCGCTGCACACAAGACACTTCTAGCTAAATCACGAGAATCTTTGACAACAAAGACTTTGCATTCTGAGCTTGTTTACAATTATTCAGGCTCTAAGCATGTAAGCAACTTTTGAATTTAGTTCATTGTGTTACAAAGTGTTCTTGATGGTTTTCTGATTATTTGACTTATAAATGGACAGATTTCAGAATCGTTTAAGAGATGTGGCATCTCAGAAAGCTCGACATATATACTTGTGGCATGGTTCAATGCCTCTGTCGATGAGGTGAGAAGGCATTGTTGCCAGATATTGACCAACGCTTTGCTCCTGCCTTAACCATTTGACTGATACTTCCAATCGCATTACTTCTGCCAATAAGTATCTTGTGAAGTGACTTCCAACTTCTTTCTTTATCTAATAGGTGACTGCCATAGGGGAACTGATCAAGGGGAAGGAGATTGAATTAGATGAGTTGGATGGGAGGGCAGATCACTCACAAATACAAAAGGTGATTCTCTTTTCTCTGTTTTTTTTGATATATAAGGAGACTGAAAATATGAGATTAACGGGTCACTCTTTTCACCAGCATTACAAAATATCAAGCTTGGAGTTGGGAGTATCTTCCCTTGCCGATGCGATAACATCCAGGATTGCTGTCCGCGATGCATTGTGATGCAAGAATTGGTTCTCAACCGGTCACAATCTTTCTCCGCAGTGGGACTACCTTCAATCTCTGTTACTTCCCCGATCCTGCATTTCAGTGCTGCTAGTTCTGGAAACTCCAGTTTGTCGTTCATAGCTTCAGCTTAGTTTGATTGTGCATTGTATAATTTATTGTAGACTAGCTGGAAGAAGAATTATAAAGCTTCAGTGGTCTCTTTTCTCGTCTTTCTGATAAAATCTGATCTCTGTTCTCTCTACTTGGGCGTTTTGTTTTTCTTGTTTATTTCCACTTGTCAAGTTTGTTTCTTGCATCCTTTGGGACCGAAAAGTTTCAATAGTTTGGCACTAATGTAAATGAACTGTCATCAGCTTTAGCTTTTGCCCAAATAGAATCAGATATAAATTGAAACTCATCATATCTCTTTTTCTTTTTCCCTGTTTCCAGTACATAAAATGCAAACCAACATCTTCTACAGAGTCTTGCGGCAACCGAAAAAGCAAATGCAAATGCTTCAGAGAGAAATCAATACATAAAGGTCCTAAAGAGTAAAACTCCCATATACATCTAATTCTCACTTCATCTCCCACTAAGCAAATTTACATAACAGGCCAAGAAAAAGGTGGAGAGCCCTGACAAGTTAGATACTGAACTCCCAAGCAAACAAATCACATAAAACTAAGAAAGAACAGAAACTATCAATATGCAATATTAGGAGATCTTCCAGACAAGACTCCATGAGACTAATTCCACAAAGGTCATCGCTTTCTAGGCATGCTAAAGGAAGTAACTTTCATCGGTGTGGCCACGACCAGGGGAGCTTCTGGAGAGTTGCTAACAGCAAAGTTGTCATGCATAAATCGACTTTCCACGATGGACTCATCCTTCAATACTATCTTGTAGCAATAGCAGCTCTTAAGCCCTTGTTGATTCTGGTAGCAATGATGTGCACTGTTCTTCACCTGCTGAAAATTCCAAATAACGCTAAATTTGCCAACAGTAGCAACCAGATGGCGTTCCTGCTTCCCACTTTCAGTAACCTGATAGATAAATCACAATCACAATTAAAGTAAGCACTTAAGTTCCAACCAGTACCAAAACATTCAGATGAACTGACTCAACGGACCTAATACATCCCGGATATGATAAAAATATTATGAGAAAGTTACACAAGAAAACTGACTGACACATCCTAGATATGATAAAAATATCATGAGAAAGTCACACAAGAAAACTGAATAGTGACCATCTAATCTTGCAACAGTTCAAGATCGCAACAGTTTGACAGATGATCATCAGGAAATTTAAGAATGTACAAGGTGGCAAGGCAACTTATGAGCATATATAGAAGAATAATTGAGATGGCATTGTAATGACACCGTCATCTCATCATGAATCCCTCAACGAAGTCATTGAAGGAATTTCCTAGTCAGTATGGGAAGTAAAAAATTGAACAAACGACAAGCATGTTCAGCGTTCACAATAGTCCTGATCTAGGGGTATGTCAATGCATAATTCATTAAATAGAGTTCAAAATCGTTGAACTAAACTCGGCGCAAATAAGGGCTCTCTATAGGCTCCAATCAGAAGAGGTCAGATCATTAAAAGCATCAGATCTACTAAATAGCTCAATTTCACAATTTATATAATCAACCACTTCAAAAAAAAAAAAAAACGGAAGTTAGCAGATGAAAGCATTTCCAAAGATGGGGACTGTTAACTAAATACATTGAACCAGTAATGCAATTTACCATGATATTATCCAATGAAATTGACAAAACATGAAGGTATCGCAAAATCATCATAAAAATTATGAAAGACAAGAAGCATACCCATGAGAAACGTCCATTATGAAACTTATTGCTCTGTCCAGCCATGTGTGAATCCACCGGAGTCAACTTCAATAACCTAGGAGCTGGAATTTTGTTCCCAGCACGGCCACTAAAAGCGGTTTTTGTCTTCCCATCCTTATCAGTGAACAAAGTGCAAATCAAGATCAAATATGTATCTGTGGTGCCAAGTACCCACTTTCCATCATATGTGACATCAACATGTGTTATGGGTGACCCAAGCCCAGGGAAGGCAGTCTTAGCCATCCTCATAGAAGTCCTTGAATATAAGCGTATCTTTCCATCCAGTGATCCAACAACAATGGAACCATCACCAGTAGTTGCAAAGCACTGGAAATTTGTTCCTCTGGAAAATTGATGTCCTTGAGACCAGTGCAATACCGGTGAATCACCTGCTATGCTCTGAACCATTCCTTTTCTATCACGCATATCCCATTGACACAAGTGATTATCATCCAATCCCAAGAATGTTGATTCAGAAGGATCCAATTGTGATCCTTTAGAATCGTTAGTTATATCTCTCATTGTGAGATCAGCCCCATCCTTTCCAAATTTCCACTCCGTCACAATCTTTCCAGTCTCAATATCCAGCTGATGAAGCCCAGTGGAATGAGGCTTCCCCTCCTTCAAAGGACTCATGAGTAACATATTAGTTTCACCCCTCATGAGAAGGGCCTTTTTAGGAGTTGAAACCCCCGCACTCGAACTCCCCTTCTTCCCAGCGCTATCATACTTGACGTAAACACCTTTTCCATGAATTCCATGGCTAAAATTCTTAACCACCTGAACCCCAGAATCACCCACCAGAAAACTATTATCCATGGCTCCCAAAGCCAAGCTCTGTATGCCACCATCAGAAGCAGCTTCCTCAAATTCCTCCAACAAGTCCTGACTTTCCCTGGCAACCGCTGGACTGTCCTCTGCTTTTTTCCAGACACCTTCATCAGCGTCCTCCCACATGGCATCATCAGAATCCTCCGGCTTAACCCATCCAATGAACTCCTTCCCATAAACCTTGAGCTTATTCTCGTCTGTCGCCCTCAATCCATAAACATTTTCGAACAAACAGTCCTGAAACCTAGTCACAAAAGCTCTATACTCCTCGTCAACCAGAAATTTCAAAGCCCAAACACCAGAATCCACAAAATCAACCCTCCTCTGCTCACCAAAAAACTTCATTTGCAAATCCGTCGAAACCTTAGCCCTAATTTTCTTTCCTATCCTCAAAACCCAAACCCCCTCACCGCCGGATTCGTCTTCCTCAGAATCATCCTCCTGAAAAACACCACTGCCAAACCTCGCACTCTTAATAAACTTGTAAGTAGTAAGCTTCTCGGAAATTACCCATTTGGCTTTAGGCGTATTCCCGCCGACGTGGAGGTAAAGCTTAACGGCGTTCTTAGGAACCGGAGACTGGCTCGAAGAAGAACCGTACTTGAGCTTTAGAGATTTGAGCCTCGATTCGACTTCATCTAGGGCTTTCGCCGGTACATTAGAAGAAGACTTGGTCGGGGTACGATCCTCGGCAGCGTCTTCGTACTGCTCTTCGCTTTCTTCTTCGTTATCATCGTCCTCATACTCCGAGTCGGAAAGTTCGAGCCCTTCTCTGCTCTGCGCACCTCCCATAGCCCAAAATTATGATCAAAGATAACGGTGATCACACAGAAAATCTCTTCCTGAGACGAAGAAATCACAATTTCTTGTCAAACAGAATCAAATGACAGCGACAAATACTGATGGACGAGGAAATCAGATTTGGGGAAAAGTGATAAAAATCCCAGAATTTTGAAATTGAGGGGATTCCGGACGGGTGAATACTTATAAACGGTGGTGATTGGGAATGGCGGTTACCAGGTGGCGTAGATCTAACGGTATCCGTGTCTGGGGAGCGTACCCGGTGCTGCTTACTGGGTAAGTAAAAACCCATGGCCCCTTTCTTCTTGAGCGCGTGACTGACAAGCGCACCTTTTATTTATGTTTTATTTTTTGATAAATGATGAAGGATGAAACCGTGAACGAGGCAACATATAATAAGATGTGAAGCAAACTTTACTCTCCAGAATTCTGCTCCTGCTCAAGTCCGGCTTCCCATAAGAATCTGGTTTGATTTTGAGCAGCTAACCGGTTAGTAATACTATTCCTTGTCTCCTGATAAAGGAGGAGAAAAACCCCAATTTTTAATTTCCGGACAGAAAAATCCCACTTTCCTGTTCCTTTTAATGTTTTTCCCTTCTTCTTTATGCTGGGTTATTCAAGCTTTCAGGCATCGATTGTTGGCCCCTTTCCCCCCCCGCTGTTACGGGTTTGTGATGTAGCATAATGTGGGAATATGAGTTTTCGGGGTGAAAGTTTGGTTGTAGATGGAGTAATTTTGCAAAGCTCCTTGTGTGGATAAAGATTAAAGAAGCTTTTGCTTCTGCCTTAATATCTACTGCGACGCGTATCGCTATATCATTATAGGGTAGTAAAAACACCTAAATGAAGCATAATTGTTTGTTGTTTGGTGGTGTCAGTCAACCTTCTTATTATAGTGTAAAGGTGTAAACTTTATATTGATGATGATCTTGTTGGATGACCAGGGATGTGACTCAAAGTTTCCCCCTGATTTCCCAAACGTTGGAAAGAAGGGGCACTGAAGATAATTGAGTAGAAACTGGATTTGCCCTAAAACCATCGCTGCTTATGATTTCCAAGAGTCAAACTATGTAACGAATAGATTCTGTAGGTAGCTAAAAGAATTCAATTCCTACAGTTAGTTCACAGACACAGAGCAGCAAGGATTTTTTTTATAACTAAATGGAAGTGGTATGCTCTTTATTATCTTCATTTATTTTACGTGCCTTGGTTCTTTCCTTACAGGCTTTGTGGCTTTGTGCATCGACAATATGAGTTTACTGGAAGTCTCTCAATTGACCTGCTCTCAGGGATCCCAATTGACCTACTCTCATGGATCTCAATTGGCCTGCTCTGAGGTTTCCAGTTGATCAGCGGTAAATTTTTCAAGTTGAAGTGCTGTTGTGGTGTTGATGCAAAGCTAAGAATATCAAGAACTGACAGCAACTATGGCAGACTATTCTACAATTGCGCTTCCTTCTCTGCTACTTTCTGCAATGGTCATTTTTATTTTCTTATCATGTTTTTTTTTTTTTCATTTTTGTCAGCAATGCGGGTTCTTTCAGTGGGCTGATGAACAGTATCCGACTGGTCATAAGCATGTAGATGAGATGAATGAGCTTAGGCTTGAGTTAATGCGTCAGCGAGATAAATATAATCTCAAGCTAGAAGAATTCGAGGATGAAAGAGTTGCTTGGAACAGAAAGGAGGCAGAGATTATGTCGCAACTATCATCTGTTAGAGCAGAGCTAGATCAGATGAAGAAGAGACTCATGAAAGTAGATGATCCAGAGCCTCTTCCCTTTTATGAGAATAAACTTTCTGGTTCAGACAACATGGAAGAGGATGATGCAAAGGTTATTCAAGAGGTGGAATCACCCTGATTAGGAATGTTCTTGCACATAGAAGTAGCATAACTAAGATCCGTTTTGCTTCCTAATTTCAAGTTTTGGGCAATGTCAACATTTTGGGGGATGTCTGTATTTTTGTTGCAGCTTTGGTTGCATTGCTCATGTCTTAAGAATGGCATGTGTATATATATGATGCCTACCATCTATTTATATCAGTTTGTGTTCCTTATGTTTCCAGTAGAATCCATTGGTCCGATATTATGATCATGGGGCGCTGATGCCTCCTATCTCTCAATTCGGAATTTCTGTTCATCAATATTGTGGCCTTCCAGTAGTTGAAACGATGTTTTCAGCGACAATCCTCCAATAATAATAACGAGAAGAAATAAATAAATAAATAAATAAAAAACCTTTGGCGAATAACTCTATATTTTAGGTTCAAATGTCACTTTCAACTGCATTGAGGATAAACTATAAAGCATAAACAGAGGAAAATTTCCTTAGAAGAGGAGGTGGTTTAAGCAAAAGACAAAACAAGTGTCAACTGCCCAAAGTACTTTGATGGAAAAAAGCAAGGTTGTATAACCTTTGGTCCCATTCCCATTTCTGTATTGTGGGCAGCTTGCAGTCAAAGCAATTTCCTGCAATTTCCAATTAGTTGCTTTCAAGTTTCATCTTATCATCATTCACCTTCAGCCAACTCCTTTCCTCCCCCCCCTCTCTTGTTATCTGATTGGAAATTTTCTTTTACTCTTTATCCGCTTTTGATTGTGGATTTGATATTTGAAACGCTTTGTCCTCGAACAAATGGATGACCAAGACTGGGTTCTCGTCAAAAGACCCACTAATAGGGATATTTGGAGCCCAAATTTACCAAATTCAGAGGGTTCAAGCCCTCTGAAGGTCAGATTCAATGATCCCGCAAAAGAATGGACTGATGCTCTTCCAATTGGAAATGGTCGTCTTGGTGCTATGGTCTGGGGTGGTGTTCCATCTGAAGTCCTTAATCTCAATGGTAAGACATGAGTGCTTCATTTTTTTCCATTGCAGTTCAATAATTATCGAAGATTTAACTTTGAGGCTTTTCTTTGCCCCGTTTCCTGCATTAGAACACTGCTTTTCTTTCTTTTCTGGTGTCGAACTGTTTAATTGGTGATCAAAGTTTAGATAATTCCAGTGGCATTTCGGTAGTGAGTCTATTGTTGGTTAGCTGCCCCATCTTGATTATGTTGGTTGGGTGGATTTTCTGAAATGGTTTTTCTGTAGCTCGTGTTGGGGATTCAAGACACTGGAAAGGGGGAGAAAAAACAATGTGGTTGCAGGAGTTGTTTATTTTCTTGAAATGAACTAGAATTTGGATGGAGGCCCTGTATTATAAGTGAATTTAAATGTTGAGTATTTGAGTTTCACTTCTGGTAGTCCTCGTAAATAAAATTTGTATTATTCTTGTATTTTGTTGCTGATTGTTGCTGATTATGGTTTGCTTGAAACATGAATTTCAGTGAAATCCTAGCAAACTGATGTTATCCATATGAAGTTGACTGTCTGTTGAAATTGGATTCCTGAAAATTTGATTGAAATCTTTCCCCTTTCTGAGTACAGAGGACACACTTTGGACTGGGGGCCCTGGAGATTATACTGATCCTCAATCTCCGCAAGTCCTGTCTCAGGTCAGGAAACTTGTCAATGAAGGCCTATATGCAGAAGCTACTTTGGTGGCAGCTAAGTTATCTGGAAAGTCATCAGAGGTTTGCTTCTTGATTATTGTTGTGTTGTACGCTAACTTCTTCTCTGCAACTTACAATTCAGTCTAAGTCTATGCTTCAAGGAGACTAAGTGTGGTAGTTTCCTTTTGTACCTAACGACTTCGTGTCTCGATTCTAAATATCTTATCCTGGCATAGTTTCTTTGTTTGAGTTTCTAAAATGTCAAGATTGTGAATCTTTATCAACAACATTCTTACTATTTTGTGTTCTTGCTAAAAGGTATATCAGCCCCTTGGAGATTTGAAGATAGAATTTGATAATTCGCACGCTACATACGCTGAAGCAACATATCTCAGGGAGCTGGACCTGGATACTGCTACTGCCAAAGTAAAATATTCATTAGATGACGTGGAATTCACACGGGAATTCTTCGTCTCGAATCCAGATCAAGCAGTTGTTGTAAGGATTTCTGCAAACAAACCAGGGCGTCTGAACTTTACTGTATCTCTGGACTGCAAATTAGATCACCATTTGTACGTGAATGGAGGAAGCCAAATTGTTTTGGAGGGAAATTGTCCTGGCAAAAGAAACTCACTGAAAGCGAATCAAGATGGCAATCCTAAAGGACTTCTGTTCTCATCTGTTCTTGATTTACAGATAAGCGATAAATTGGGTTCAGTGCACGTTTTAGATGACAAGAAACTTCGGGTTGAGGGTTGTGATTGGACGGTTATGGTCCTGGTGGCTTCATCTTCATTCGATGGGCCGTTCACCAATCCTTCTGACTCAAAAAGAAATCCAACCTCTGAAGCTTTTAGCACTATGAAGTCCATAAAAAGATTTTCTTATTCTGAGCTTTATGCTCGCCATGTGAATGACTATCAAAATCTTTTTCATCGAGTCTCGCTGCATCTCTCTAAAAGTTCCAAAAGTTTTGGTGGGAATGAAGTTGCTTTGAGGGGTAAATGTGTGATTGAAAATGATGAAAATCCCATGCCAACTGCAGAAAGGGTAAAATCATTTCAAACTGATGAAGATCCATCCTTGGTGGAGCTTCTATTCCATTATGGTCGATATCTGCTTATATCTTGTTCACGACCAGGAACACAGGCGTCAAACCTGCAGGGCATATGGAGCAAAGATATCAGCCCGCCATGGGAGTATGTTCTGCTTTCATTCCTGCTTCTAACTCTTTCTGATGGTATTTTATAGGAGTATTGCATAATTTGTGTGGCTTTCTAGTTTTGTTCTCATTTTCATAGTTTTATTCATCATCCTGTTATCCTTTCTCAGCTGTGCTCCTCACTTGAATATTAATCTTCAAATGAACTACTGGCCCTCCCTTCCTTGCAATCTTCAGGAATGTCAGGAGCCTTTGTTTGACTATATTTCTACGCTATCAGTGAATGGAAGTAAAACTGCAAAGGTCAGAATAACTTCTTGTATTTTACTGTCAAAATAGGCAAAATTTGGTTAGTGCTCTCACGTCATAATGGCGTGAGCAGGAATTTGTTCTGGAGTCTCTAGACCCTTTGTCATACACACTTACAGAAAATTTTCAACAATCATTAGTCGGCAACCTTGTAAAGAATGAAATGCTTCCATGATTACTATGAGCAATTAACTTAGAAGAGACCTTTATAATCGAGTTGGCTCTATATTAAAGTAGCACCAGGTCGTATCATTGTTTTAGTTCTCTTTCAAGCTGGCTTCAATTGCTTCGCATAGCCTTCATGTATTGTTTGACATGATATAGGTAAACTATGAAGCAAGTGGTTGGGTTGCTCATCAGATATCTGATCTATGGGGAAAAACATCTCCAGATTATGGTGATCCTGTGTGGGCTTGTTGGCAAATGGGTGGAGCATGGCTCTGCACCCATGTGTGGGAGCATTATACATATACCATGGATAAGGTAAGACATCCTTGATTAGATCAAAAGCAATAGCCTATTCTTTGAAAGATACAAACATGATATTATGCTCGCTAAGATAACTGGAATGCTAGACAGTTGATCTGTATACAATTTTAACTAGCCTAATCATGATACACTTCTTGCCCTTATTTGTGCTGTATGATGTATGAGCAGTCAATGTCTAATCCAGTAAATTTTATCTCTGTTTTCAAAGCTCAAATAATCTGGGAAAGCAATTTTAGAATTGCATATGTATGAAATTTCATAATATTAAACATGAAGGATGGAATTAGAGAATGCTGCAACATACCTTGCTTAAGACGATCATTTTATAACACAATGATCAACTCTTAAAGATTTAAATAAAATAATAACTGCTGCTCACCTCTTTTCTGATTTTTGGGTTTTCTGCGATTTTGGATGTGGTGTGTTTGTCCTGTAGATTGTTTGGTAGGCACGTCAGAAAAATCTTGTTTTTATTCTAGAAAGTTGAGTTCTTAATCTCATGGTTTTACCAACGATTATAAAGCTTCAGAAGACATGTACATGTCAGTTCCAATTGTTATTTTTATCGTTATTTCTCTGTCTTGCACAGGACTTCCTGAAGAATAAGGCATACCCATTGCTGGAAGGATGTGCTAGTTTCCTGTTGGACTGGTTAATTGAAGGTCCCGAGGGTTATCTGGAAACCAACCCATCAACCTCTCCCGAGCATAAGTTTATTGCACCTGATGGTAACATTGCCTGTGTCAGCTACTCGTCGACCATGGACATGGCAATTATTAGAGAAATTTTTTCTGCCATTGTTTCTGCTGCTGAGGTGGAGCACTTTTTCCTACTCCTGGTTGATAGACTCAGCTAATAACCATGCACTAAAACTTTCATTGGACCAGGTCTTAGGTAAAAGTGATGATGGAATGATTGCAAGAGTTCACGAAGCTCAGAAACGCCTTCGTCCAACAAAGATTGCCCAAGATGGAGCTATCATGGAATGGGTTGGTGACACATGACTGTATTTGTGTTACAAGAACATTATGTGTGATTAGGCTGTGTGAATTTGAGAGTGGAAGTAGTATTTATTTACATTTTCCTTAACCTAAAAGGTTGTATTTTGTGTGTTGGATCATGTTGACAGGTAAAAGACTTCAAGGATGCTGAAGTGCATCATAGGCATGTCTCCCATTTATTTGGATTGTACCCTGGCCACACAGTTACACTTGAGAAAGATCCGGAGCTCTGCAGAGCAACAGGAAGCAGCCTGTTCAAAAGAGGTTTCTTTTAAAACTTGGTTTGATATCACACTTTTTATCTTGATCTTGTGTTGGGTATAAATCATTCTCAATAAACTTATTTTACATCCCTGTAACTAAAAGACATTCTGATTCAGTTGGTTCTTGCTGACTAGTTAAGATTTTGTTCTCATGAGTCATGGTTGTTAACACGCACTGTTTGGAGCAGGGGAAGAAGGTCCAGGGTGGTCAACAACATGGAAAACTGCTCTATGGGCTCGTCTTCGCAACCCGGAGCACTCCTATAGGATGGTTAAGAATCTGTTTGTTTTAGTGGATGCTGACAGCCACGGCAAAGAAGGAGGGCTTTATAGTAACCTATTCACAGCTCATCCTCCTTTCCAGATTGACGCCAATTTCGGGCAAGTATCTATGTGGCTATACCCTCTCAGTTCCATTTCCTGACATAATAACGTTTTTGCCTGTTACAAATTGTGAATTTCAGCTGAAGAACTTTAAAGCATTTCATACATCTCGCGTAATTTGCGGTTTCTTTGTTTTTCAGCTTCTCTGCAGCATTAGCGGAAATGCTTGTCCAGAGCACAATGCACGACCTGTATTTGCTACCTGCTCTTCCTGAACATAAATGGCCGTACGGGAGTGTCAAAGGCTTGAAAGCACGAGGTAACGTGACGGTAGGTGTCTCCTGGAAGGAAGGAGAACTCCATGAAGTTGGGATATGGTCAAATGATCAGCAGAAGAAGAATAGTGCCACTGTGAAGAGATTACATTATGGAGGGATTACTGTGACTGCAACTATAGCTTCTGGCTTAGTTTATACATTCAATAAGGAGTTAAAATGCGTGAGGTCGCATCTTCTTTTGCATGATTTCCCTTAAGAAACACCATGTACTGGACCTAGACTTTTACAAGTTTGGAGATGAATTTATTATCTCTAGCTAAAAGAATCCATACTAAGATGAAGTAAAATGGAATGGTTGAATCATTGAGTACAAATAGCTCAACTCGTTACTATTGCTTACTTCTTTTTCCTTTCTTTTGGGACACTAAAAAGAGTATGTTTCTGCTATTGGAAGAAAACAAGCGCAGTGTATTAATGCAAATATGCAATTGTATACATTCCTTTAAAGCTCAAACTTTGGCTCACAAAACTTTATTTTTCATTTTTCATTTTTTTTATTGTAAGACAAGCAAAAATACATAAATGATGTAAATTTAAAAACGGAAAATGATAAGCATAGTAACTAATATAGATAGTGACCGAGTTGGCCCCTTATTTCGTTGCCACTTTGCCGTAAAAATTATAATTTTATCCTTATAATTAGCATAAACACATCAGCCACAGGTTATATTATTGTTGTTTAAAAATTACCCTAAAAAGCCTTTTCCTACCCATTTGAAGTTCCTGTGCGGCGCGTAACACCCGAATACTCCCCCCCCAAAAACCCTTGGTAGCAACCCCAAAAACCCTTTTCATTTGGACTTCTTTACAGTATATTGGGTTTTCCGGCTGAAAAGTATCAAAATCTCGCTGCTTTCCGTGAGCTATGGCTTGGCGTGGTTCTCTTTCTCGAACATTCGTCTCCGCCGCGAGATCTTCCTCCCTCCGTTCTTCCAATGTGGCTCCCCGCCTACGTCCTCCTCCTTTCGCCGCTCCTCGCCAGCGTCCTTCTCGCCTCCCTTTCGCTAATCCCAGGTTCATTTCTCTTCCAACTTCTCCTAATCCGCTTTCAATTTCATATTATTTCAATTCTTGCTTTCAATTTGCATTTGTCCTTTCTAATTTATCTATCTTCTTGTAAAAATATGAAAGGACGATGGGAGAATTGGGATGCGCTCAGTCGTTGATGCCGTTGACTGGAGTTCGATTGACTTCACACTTGGCCGTCAGAGTGCGGGCTTGTTGCGAGCTGTCTCACGGTACCTTCTGCAGAACTTGTCAGGATCGCTAATAGTAGTTAAGTTTCTTCGTAGGTCTTTGTGTTTGTGCTTAATTACTGGAAATTAGCTTCACGATGAAGTTATACGCTTGACAAAAGCCAAATGCATTTACATTGTTTAGTTTTAAGTTTCCCCTCTGTTGATTTGTTTGTCTGGACGATCTGGAAATGTTAGTGGTTTGCTTTATTTAATTGACAATGAACATCTAATTAATATGTTTGAAAGAAATGGAGGCAGAGATGTTCTGCACATGTGCGGAGGGAGTTAATCAGATGCACTAACTTCGCTTGTAGAAAGGAAAAGGGGAACATGAGAATCAAAAACCACTATCAAAGAAGACATAATGAGATTAACCCAAAAAAAAAAAACAAAAACAAAAAAGACTTCACTAACTCTAAACTTACTTGAAATATGTTTATTTTTATAGTATGCGATGGTGACTCATGATGTATGTTGCCGATGAGTATGATAAATGCTTAGTTAATGTTTTAATTGTTAAGTCCCTTTTGCAAGACTTTGTTGAAAAGAATTTTGGGATGATTGGGATTTGGGATTATTGATAGGGTTGAATGGAAAAGATGGGTGATGTCAGCAGCAATTTCAAGCATCCAAAGGAGAGACTTTTATGGGCACACTGTAGGTTTCTGATTTTGTTCGTCTACTGCTGTGATTTCATTATTGTCTGATATCTGTTCACGCTGTTTGAGTGCAAGTAATTTTTGCAAAACTGTAATATACTTTTGACTTACTGGATTAAGGGAACATATATGACATTGAAGTTGTTCCCTTAACTTTAGAAATGAAATTGTTCTGGTGAAATGTCTGGACTTAAGCTTGTTACGTTGGACATGTTGCTTTAAGATGGATCAATATATTGTGTTAGAATTCCATCTTCTCGCTAATTAATGAAAGCATGTTTTGGAACTCCCTAAATGTTCCATATTTTTCTTTGAGTATCTTCACCAAGTTTCTCCAGCACAGTTCATTTAGAAACATTTCCTATTTGTGGATCCATATGCTTTGTAAAGCATGCCACAAACTATTGATTCCATTTGATTTTATACATTGTTGGTTGAATTATGTGAAATTTTGCATGTGGGAATTGAACTAAAAGAATGTTGTCAGTGTCGGCACAAGTGGCACACAATTCCACCAGTCACTAATGTTAAGTTGAATATGAAGTTTTGCTGTTTGTGGGTCGTTTTGGTAATAACTTATTGCACTTCTATTGTGGGTGGCAGGTACTTGAATAAATTTTTGGTTGTGCACTGCAGCTGCAAGAATTTGGACAAATGTTACAAGGGTTGCCTGGGAAATCATTCCTTGGAAATTTTACAATTTGTGAAAGTAGATGTAGGTGCTGTATCCACTTTATCTCATGAACAAGAAATGTTTCTTACTGTGAACATTGCCATAAATATCTGAAGCAATTGTTGCTTTCTTTGTACATTGGTGGTTACCTGTTATCTTCTAATCTGAAGCAGCCATTGAAATTTTTCTATTTTGATGGATGATGATTTCATACTGTTCAGTAGACACTCCAGTCAGCTTTGTGCTCAGTAGTTATTGTTTTGGTTATGTACGTTGTTTGTTCTGGCAATGATAGTGGCTGGTGAGGTTCCTAAAACTCATTGCAGATATGTTATCTCTTGCTTGACAATGATTCATCAACTTCTGAGGACTTAGAACTCTCGACGACTGTGGTTGAGCATATGAAATAGGGACGTTGGAAATTTGGAATGATAACCATTTTTGGCCATGCAGAAATATTTGTTGATTTAGGCAAATATGTAAGAGGCAAGTTTTGTCCGAAATTGCTCTATTTAAGGATAATATATAAGCTAGAGTTATGATTGCCAGTGTTATCTCGATTTAATTGATGTTGTGAGGTGCATGTAAGCCACTGTGCGTTGTCAGTTCAATGATCACGTTGGCGCATCTGGTAGGGTTGGGATGCAGAGGCAGGTGGATATCATGCAAACCAATAAGTAGAGATGTCTCTGTTTTGGTGAAATTAGCCAAGCGCTCCACTCTTGTTGGTAGACATAGACCGTTCATTTGGGAAGATGAAGAGTTTCCAGCTAACTGATCTCAGCACAAATCTGATCTGATGGATTGTCTGAATACTTGAACACAGTACATACCAGAAAAAGGGTGATCACAGTGACCTCGAAACATTGCTGAAAGTGATTGAACATTATTATTGTTGTTGCTATCCACCTGGACCACGTTGATTGTTGGGGTTTCATCTTGGCGCAGAGGATTCTTAGTGCCTTGTTCATCATCTCAAGTCTCAAGAAATGAAAGTAAAAGAGCCCATAAGTTGTACAGGAGTCAACCTCAACTTGGAAGGTGACGCCTGTTCCCCACTTCAAGGTTTAGCTACTATGTAGATATATATTGGAAAGCACTGTACAGATTTACAGATAGATTAACAGATAATACGATTCGAGGGCGAATTCAGTTACTAAAAGAATAACAGTTTCTTTTCAGGATTCCCAATGAGCTTATCTAGTAATGCTGTGTTAACAGTAACTTGAAAGATGATCACTGCATGCCTAATATAGACGCAAAATAGGTGCAAGTAATCAGATCAGTCTATAAATTTTGGTCTGATACCTAACAAGATTCTAATGTTCTTCGCCCACTTTCTCTCTTCAGTATTATTGCCAAGATTTGAACCCCACCACCACCACTGTAGCAATACAAACAATGATAAACCTAACATGATGCTGCATAATTCTGCTTCCACTCAGTCTCAATCAGACATCTTTAGTTGCAGTTCGGGATTATTAGGCACTCATAGTTTCTGTCAAAGTGGAAACAAGTCTATCTTCCAAGGATCCATCTTGATCACGATTTCTATCTACCCAGTGGCCAAACTACCGACCCTTAAACGAGCCAATTAAGCTGAATGGTTTTCTCTTGGAAGTTCCTGGGAAGCTAGAGATAGGATGCTGGTTACGCAACATGGTATCTTCCGAAATCTCGCATAAAAACCTGTTCGATGCATTGGTTCTGATGAATTGACCTACATTATACATATTCTTGAAATAGATAAATCACAATCTAAAACAGCAGTAAAAATAGAAGGAGGCAGTAATTAGTGGCAGACAACAAAAACAACCAAGGGATTAATAAATTGGTACGACTACATGAGAATCATGACGCAGTTGACAATGTTTTTCTAGTTGAGATGAATGATACCATCTCCATGAGTAAATCATGATATAAGGATTGTTCCTTGGAACCAAAAAAATATATATCACTAAATGGGACCTCTCTGAGTGAGTGGAAAGCTCAAGTCTATTATCTGATCCAAAACTTACTATATCAGAAGATAGTGGCAGCATAACTTAAGTCGGAAATCTGGACTCAGAGGCATTCCTAAAGCAGCAAAGACTAATAGAATCTTCACCAATGAGAACCAGTACGGAAGAAAATGAAGAAACAACAGCAGAATGGCTGAACTTAAGTAGTCTACCAAGGGATCCAGCACCCTCAGGCAGCAAGATACCAAAGAAGCTGTTTTCATGCAACTACTGCATGAGGAAGTTTTACAGCTCACAAGCTTTGGGAGGGCACCAGAATGCGCACAAGAGGGAAAGAGGAGTTATGCGAAGGTATCAGTCTCAAGCCATGCTAAGCATGGTGAATAATATCCCAGTCATGGCCAGATCGCTCGGTGTTGATGCCCACTCACTTGTGCACAAAACAGGCAGAGATAAATCGTCCTCAACAATGGCAGGTACACTTGCTGAATCTTATCTCACAAGAAGTCAGTCATGGAGGAACAACCACGCAGCTGATCAGACGACGGAATTCATGTGGCCGGGAAGTTTTCGACTTGATCAACAACAAACAGAGGTGCAGCAGACAGTTAATCAGGCTGAGATTGACTTGAATCTCAAGCTCTAAATATGATATTGTATGCTTATATTTATACCCATGCATGCATACTATTATTTTATTCTCAGGAGAGAGAGCTTTCATCTTAGTTAGACTGAAATCTTTGTTTCATCTGATCCTTATGGCATAATTCTATTTGATAATACTAGTGTAACAGTTTAGCAGCTGGGCTTTCATTTCTGTTTATTCAATACAGTATGTTTTCGGGTATCCAAATGACACAAGAAGAGGAAATTATGATATGAATGTGAAGTACAAAATTTCATGTCTCAAGGTAGAAACAGGAATTGGCACAAGCATCATTCTAAAAGATGGCAGGAGCAGAACAGCATCATAATCATTATCGACCACAACTAAGAGATTGACATTTTATTTTTGGGGAAGGAAAATGTCCACCCAAATTCCACTGATTTCAACTTTTAGCACGAAGTCATGGTGTGGAAACAATTTCTATATAGGGCATCCCGAAATTCCTTCATAAAAGGCCGGGAAGCAAAAAAATTTTGCTACTTTTTGTGATCGTGCACTTGAGGATAATTATCTCAAAACATGGTACTTTTATACAGAGTGGGTTTTTGACACCTTTTCACAACCATCTGAAATTACACAATGAAACTAGAATTCTACCATGGAATCTGAAAATAATATTTAGTACAAATTTTTTGAATATATTTATTCCCAAGAGTTCAAGATGTTATGGCGGTCAGATCATCTGGAACTCTAAGCTTTTGGGTCTTCTGCATGATTATGGGAAGCCTTTGACTAACTACACTTGGATCACTATATGAAGCGGAATCGACAGGATACCCTTTCTGCAACAATAACATAAATCTATCACAGTAGGAAAAAGATATAACACAAAGCTTTTGAATGTCACCACACTGGGGCAAAAGCAACATGGCTGAGAAATAAGTACCCCAAGCAAAAAGCTTTTTAAGTAAAGAAATCAGAAATCAACAGATCTAATTGGTGTGACACAAACATCTCTGAGTTCTTCAGTAACAATTAAAGAAACAGAAAAACAAAGTCAACAACTAGAAAAAAGTACTTGGGACGGATTTGTCTTTCCAAAAATAACAGACTTTATGGTATAGAGAGAACAAGTGAGAGAAAACTTACAGATGCCAGGGTTTTAAATGTGACCTCTCTCCAGCAAGTTTCCCGAATAACAACTGGTTCTGCATTCTCCACAAACCGACAATGTACACGAGTGTCCCTTAATCTCATTAGCACCCCATCGACTCTTAGCTGCAAGACATGTACATTAAATGAAGAGGCCTATGTAAAATGAGGAAACTGAAAAGATAATATTTCGCACAAAAACAAAGATATGTAAGGAACACAGATGCTTTATGAAGATAACTCACCCAGAAACGCAAGAGAAGAAACCAACTGCTAGGCATAACTCTCTGCGGACCACAAATAATGAAATGACCATAATAAGCTCTCATTTCCAAGAAATTGAACAAAAAGTTTAAAGTTCAAAATGTAAAAATGTATAAGATCAAGGTACAAGCATTACCAATTTTACAGTTAGTAGGGATGTTCCATTATCAGCTAGTTCATCTTCATACAAAACTACCTGTCATTGAAGAAACTCAATCAGTCAACACGCAGCATAAACTTGGAGAGAGGGGAATAGATTAAAAAAATGCCAAAAATCGACATCCGGCACCTACTTCATCATAGAAGAGGATGGGCTCTTTTGATGACAAGGAAACCAAATCAAGTCGCTCTTCACAATCCTCCCAACAAAATCCGGAATGATTTTCCTCTGGAGCACTTGTCAGCTGATTGGTAAATAAAAGCAGAAAGGGTTAGGATGGACAAAAAAGAAATGAAACAGAAGGGCTATAGTGCTCAGCACTCCACTAAGAGTGTAGTGCAGAAATTAAACAATGAAGAAAACCTCTACACAAGGAATGGCAAAAAACAACACATTTTTGCAGTATCTCCCTAATTAAAATGCCTGTCATACCAACCTCAGATATATCACCAAAGGTAACTGTAGCAGAACAGGAAAACAATTTCAAAAGAATGTAACTGGACTCTCCTTCATCAGGAATACAGATTATAGTACCTACCAAATGACCTAAACTAGTCATACATAAAATTTTAAGGGGATCAAAGCAAAATCAAACAAGTCTAAGAGGGAATACGCACCTCAGAATTTGTTTCATGAGTTTCGCTACCACTATATGGTGTGGTAAAGGTGTAATCATAGTCCAGGATTATTTGCTCAGACGGTTTGCTACAAGGTGACAAAGTGTTAAAACATCAGAATCAAGAGGGAAGAGAAAAGGTAGGCAACTTTTTAACGCATATGTAGTAAAAGAAACGAAAAAATAGTAGGATACCAATAGGAAGGAGAATGGTAGAGACATACTGCGAAGTTGGAAAATGTACTGAACATAAAGTCATGAAAGAGAGGATCAAGCAACAAAAATTTCATATCACTTCAAGCATGAACTACTTAGATAAGTAGTACAAATGTTAGCCAATAAGTAGTACAAATGAAAGTAAATCCTCAAATTTTAGGCAAAGTTTTGCTGCACTTTATTCCAGTGAGTGCTAATGGCTAACCTACATTTGAAGCAGCTTTATATCAATCACAAGGATACAGCAGCAAGAAACTTTTTCCAACCAGAGGCCTTTAAATGCCAGACTGTAAAATATCTCTAACTGCCCTTGTTCCATTTTTCATCATATAGTTAAAGGAAGTACCTTCGGAATTTCCATTGTGCAGCTGCTGGAACTTCAACTGGAGGCAAAGCTTCTTGTTTCCAACCGAGTAAAGCATCAAAAGCATTGAAATGAATTCTAACTCCAGTCTTCAAATGTTTAAGAACCAAAGTACTATCTCCAAAGATCATTTCAGGTAAGTGGCAAGTCTTTAGCTTTTCTTCCCATCTACAAAATTAATCAATCAGAAACTTTACAGAAACAGGATGTTTAAATAAAACATTATTGATTAAACAATTAAAAAAAAAAACAGTTCCACCCTCCACAATGATCATCGGACAAGCAACGGGACGTAAAACCCAAAAGGCAGAAAATTTTTCCCTGTTGAGCTAACAGATGTCTTCCCAAATTCCACTTAGGCCAAAAGTTGAACAACTCCAATGTTGCTCAAAACTTTTAGCAATAAGAAATAAACCAACAAAAATTTCTTAGAGAATTACCAATGAGTTGTTGAAAGATATGAACAAATTAGACAAAGACTACAGAGTTCGTTCGTTTAACGTAAAAGAGAAATTAGAACTATTGAACAATGTGTTAAGTACAAAAATGGTTTTTTGGGGGTTCAAAGGAGGATATGGGAAAAAGGAGTTACTCTTGGCGCTGTAAGGATTTGAGAATGGAGCCCTTGCGTGATTCAATCTCCCATCCATGTATCCGCAGCCCATGACGTCCGTCCGGCAGGACTTCGCCGCCGGCTTCTTTGACCAGTTTCTCGTCGCTCTCCCACTGCATCTCCGGTGCCGGTTAACAGAGCTGACAACACAATCACAATCTTTTGTTGGGCCAAAACCAACCGGTTGCGACTATATGGTGATTTTAGGCATCCTACTTATGGGCTGGGCCAGTGCATCAGGGCTGCAAGCGTTCAACATGTCCAATGATAAAATAATTGTGGTCCATTCAATAATCTTCTTTTTTTTTTTCATGTATGATAATGTTCTGAAACAATCTTAATGGTCGAAATGAAATGTATGATCTTGTTCATGTAATAGTGAATTGCTTAAATGGGAAATGTAATAATGAAATGTATTACAATCTTAATAAAATTGCATCTTGTTTTTGTTATTCTTCATGTAATAGTGAATTGCTTGAATGGGAAATGAATTAAATGTGTCAAATATGTAACTGGATGTTAGTATCGCGTAATGATAGAATGGAAAATTAATAGATAGTATAAAAAGTTTGAAATTCTATTCTTTAGTAAGTTTCATCGTAAATAAATATGCACACATTTTGTACAAAGTAGTAGTATATCCTTGGTGTTGTTAGAACTTTGCTACTGCATCACTTACATCTATTCATTTATTAGACCATCACAAAACATCAACTTTGTTTTCAGTTGTTTTCATGGCTTTGCATCAAACCAGAAGCTAAAACTCAGGCCAACTTCAATTGGCTCATTGGCTGACTATCTTCTGCAGTTGCAAGTCAGGCTGACGCAAAGACAACAAAATCCATTCATTTCCTTGAAGGCATCCTCATCAACCATACGAAATGGATGAAAGAGCAGATCCTTTATGCACTCTGAATTCTGGCTTCTGCGGAGTTCAGACACAAGTTTTCAAGGCATCACCTCAAAGTAGTGCTTCGGAATTTCTGACTGCGGACACAGTGACGCGACACACTTGTACTGTAAAACAAAAGAGCAATACATGTCAGTTGTTATGTGGAGAAAGAAATTTAGCAACACGCCATCAATACATTAATGCACAGATATATCAACCAAATATGAGAATAAGCTTAACAGAGTAGCAACAGTTTTTTTCAATGATATGAACATTATGTTATACTACTACATGGAACTGATGGGAGGCACCTTTGGTTGCATGTACTTATCTCGCACTGCCTTAGCAGAGCTCCTGTTCTTCAGTAATAGATCATGAATGGCACGGATGCATCCCCTCAGTTCACTTGCTTTGTAACCTGTGTACCGCTGCAGTCGCAAACTCTGCAGCCTCACAGAACCAACACAGATATGACATAAGTCCCCAAACATTTGTTCAAAATAATGTTACATTCATTGAGATAGTTTCTCATACAGAAGTATAGTTTACATGTTGCACCTTGAACAAAAAGGACAAAGGGTTCTTGGAGCTTATAACACAGAAGTGACCCTTCCAATGTCCGAACTCTTACTAGATGCAGTACATTGAGTGGTCCATGAGGATTCACATTATACTCTAGTTACTACTAATCAAAGATTTGTAAATTGGTTGCACGGATGATAAAATTTGATATAATGTTTTCCAGTAGCTTTTGAGAAAGCTTGAAAATTTGTGTTCTGATATTGTGGATATTAAAGAGTAAACATGCGAGATAATTTAATATTGCTTCTAAACACAAGTCAATATCTTACCCATGGATGAATGGTTGGTACGATGGTAAACTTCGCAAGGAAAACTGCTGAAGCTGCAACGACCGATGGCAAGAACTTCACGCATGCATAATCAGTCAAGCTAAGTTCCAAAATATAATGAGCGAGGAACTCAAATTGCAGGTTTTCGAACTAGGAAAGGAGGAAAAGAAAAACACTCTGATCAGAAAATAATAAGCGAAAAAGAAAATTTGAATGCAAAAGAATGACAAATTGCAAAAGGCTGAAGCGCATACTTGTGAGTTCTCTTTTGCAGGCTCGGCAAAGATTCTGCAAGCACACAGAGAAAAGCGGCACTAAGGAAGCTGTACTAATTCAGAAGCTCTTGCATGTTAGATAAATTTGGGAAAATGCCGAACTTGGTCTGACCTGAGAAAACTTTTTGATATTGGGGTATATGTATTGCAGTTCAAGAACTTGAGTAGATTGCTTTCCATAGCAATAACCTGTATACAATGCAACAACCGGATTAAGGAAATTAGTAAACATTCCAGTTAAACCTACTTCTTTTCCAGTAAAATTTATCTTTGAACCAAAAAGTGAGAAAAATAAACCTCTTCTTTGGTGTACGTGTTATCTGTGATATAGGAACAATCTTCAGCACGAAGTGGAGAGATCTCTTCAACTTTTCTGCATTTCAAACAGTGAACGAGAGATAACCTAATGAACAAAAATTAAAAAAAAAAATTGAAACCACCGGAGAAGGAAAATAGTAGAGTTCCAGTGCTTACGAGGCTACAAGCATGCTGGAAATACCAAGAAGCTGAAGTTTCGTTTCGCTCAAAGCATGCGAAGATAGGTATCTATCGATATAGTTCACAGCTAGGTAAAGAGTATCCGCGACGAGTTTGAACTCATCAGCAACCTCAACCAACCAATCAACTAAAATTGCTCGCATAGCTGGCTTTATTTCTTTCTGAAATTTCATCATGTAATCAGGCAAAGGCCGCCTCCCCTCCTCCGCCTAGTCACAAATTATACACACACAAAAAAAAAAAACCTAAAGATTCTGAATTGCATTAGGAAGAAATCCAAATCTAATGACCTTTTCAACATAATAACATAGAAACCCCAACCAATAGATTGATTCAAAACCAGTATTTCTCTTTTAACTAAAAAGAGAGTTGAGATTGATTACCTCTCGGGAGCGTAGATGGTGATATAAAAGAGGGGAATGAATAGAAGAGGTATCACCACCACCACCAAGATCAATTTCTGAATCAACCGATTCCTTCTGCACAATCGTATCTGTAGTGATTCGGGGTTTATTATCGGGACTTCGGAGATCCCCAATATTGGTCAGTTCACCCAAGACAACCCTCTTTTTGGAATTTAGGAGTCTTTCCGGTGGAAATCCCTCTGGAATTGCGCCGGCCATGGCTCGTCTCTTTGAGGATGGTTGTTTGGAGGTTGCCCATCTGCTCCCAACATCATCCATCATCAAACAAAGCAAAACCCAGAAGAATGAAATGACGAACAAGGAACAACAAAACCTGGAGAGACGTATCACACACGTGGTGGACTGATTGATGTTGAAAGTTTGAATGCCGCCATTTCCAGATTTTAAAAACATGTGATTACCGCGCTATGCTATCTAGCATCATTCTGAGGGCCCGCGTTAAGAATGGGCTCTGTTTGGCCTTCGGGCCGCCTATACAACCACTTCAATCTTCAAACTAGCCTAAACAAAAATACTCCTTCCGTTTCAAACGGATAACACTGGTTAGCAGTTTCCTCTATCTTTTCCGGAACCGTAATGTTTGTTATCCTGTGACAGAAGGAAAATTAAATAATACTTATTAAACGGGACAATTATTTTATAACGGAAAGGAATAGATAACGAATTTCATACTAATTTTAGCACAAATTTTAAAAATTTAATGTGGATTCTTTTCTTTTTTTTTTTTTTTTTGCGGACGGAGTAACAAACAACTTGCACACTTGAGCATTGAGCAAAAGATGCAACTAGATTTTCAAAACTCACACTTCCACTAATTAAATCCTCCTATAACTTACAAGATTGGGCAACAAGGAGGCATACCTCATAAGTCACTCCTTCACATAAAAGCGAAAATTGAACCATATAGTAAACTAGTCATCAAAACTTCTGAGAGAGAGAGATCATCATTCTCATCGAAACTGTTGGTATACTAAATTACTAGCCGTACTTAATGTAGAAGGTCACTTACCCCCCAACTCTACTGCACCTAAATAACCGAAAAATCCGTTACATTTTGACATTGTCCTCCGATAATACCAAAATAATTGCAAAGAGCAGATACATTGTCTCACTAGGCTGCTAGCTTGTTTCACTTTTGCAGTACCGAGAACACAGCCGTCCGCGAATGTGATCTACATCCATGGCTGATGGAGACATCGCTTTTTAAGCAAGTACTATCTTCAATTAAAATATTATCTATTTCATCCAGCAGCACAATGTCCGACAATGAAGTTGCTTTTCTATGCATCAATGTTTTTTTTCCCGGGCAAGAGGCAAATCTCAGCAGCCTGTGCAGCAACTCAGCTGCTAGTCTTGGTCTGTAATCTACCACTCCTCCGAACTGCTCGAGATTTTGAGGTATCACCATGTAATTCCGGCTCAGGAGTTCTTTCAGTGCTGGGTAACTTATACGCACTGTCATGACCAGACTTATCACCTCTTTTCTTCCTGGAGTTCAGACTAGTTGATGATTTTGTTTCTGCCACTCCAGCACTCTGGCCTTCTTCCTTATTAGGAGCGGAGTGGGATGGAGGGATTTTTTCTGGGCCATTGCAAGCACCTTCTGTGAGTGATTTTTGTCCAAGCTGAGCTATTTTTCCACTGTTTTCAGGTGAAGAAGTTCCATTAGTTCCAACCATCTTTGATTCCATTCGAGCACTATGACGGGAACTCCATCGAGCATTTTCAAACCATTTGCTAACCTATATAATACAAAAGGAGAAAGACTAAAAAGACCAGGAAAAAACCAAATGAGTTATTCAACCGCTGGGAAAAGTAGCACAGACCTGCCGGAGGCTGATCCCAAGTTCTTGGGCCAGGCTCTCTTTCACATCAAGTTTGGGATATTGATTTTCCTTAAAAGATTCATGGAGTCTCTGTATCAACAAAATAGAACAATTATGGCAAGGACAGCAAGCAATGACACTGTTGTTTTCTTTATTTTACGAGCATGTTTATGATTCCAGGAGGAAAACAGGGCTTCATGACCCCTAAAATTTACACATAGTGCTACTTCTATGACTACAAAAGATACAGTTGATTTAACTCAACAAACATATCATTGCAAACTTCTAATATGGTATTTACGCAAACTCCTGTCACGACGAACAATAACAAATCAACAAGTAACATAATTTAAAGATGCTCATTTATGCGACAATTTCTATAATTTGCATAAATCTGTAACTTCCTTTTTAAAGATCAGTACACATTCATTCTATTGATTTGGCATAGCCATTACTATAATAAATTAAACAGGTTCATATGCCATGACAATGTTTCAGCCATTTTCGGAAAATTCCACACCTCAATTGCAAATAAATAGATTACTCTTGGTATCTAAATAAATCTTAAGTACAACCATTACAGTACCTGAACTACACTTTCTTCAAGTCTTTTATACTTTCGGCTAGAGCTTTTGCTGTTGGACCCACCATCATCGGTCCTTTCTTGTTCAGCTGATCCGTTCAAGCTTCCAGTTTCTTCGATTTTGCTCTTCTCAATAAGGTTTTTCTCACACTCTTCCTGGGAGTAATTTCGCTCGATACTACCAACACTGTCATTTTTTCTCTGAGGCACACTACCTTTTCCACCGCTTCTCTTTCCTCTCTTCATACCAGTAGTTTCCCCATAATCTTCATCACTTGAATCTGAAGAAGTATCGCCATATGTCTCCTACATACATGTTGGGCATGCAGACATAAGCCAAACAAGGAGGAAAAAGAAAAAGAACTAAGAAAACCAGCAATAGAACTAGTAAAATAAATTACAACAAAGGAAACCACTAAAATTTGTAGGTTAACGATATACACAATTCACTGAGTAATGCGCCACAGATTCAGGTAAAAACAGCTGATGTCTGAAAATGTGAACCAGCTATCTTCTCTTGACTGCTCTTGCACCTAGTTCTCAGTAAGTCTAATTATGTCCAAAAAGTACAAATGCTTCAAAACCTTCATTAACAAGCAAGAAATATTATACTTTTACACAAACTCACTTGATGCAGTTTTTTGTAGTCCAATCTTTCCACATGTCTTCTTGCGGATTTTGGAGCATCGCTGGACTGCAAAAGATATGCAACTTCATCACTCAATGATTTTCTCTTTGCTCTACCCAACTTCACTTCTTCACCAACAGAACCCGTAACAGGACTGTTGTTTTGGTCATCCTCATTCAAAATGCTACCAACATCCTCTCCCTCAGAGTCAGATGTGAAATCAGAACCTGAATTTTCCTGTTTAGAATGGTCACTGAGGTCAGGGGCTGTGGGATCAAAGTCATCATCTTCAGAATCATCAGAAGGCAACCCCAAAATCTGTTTATCATCACGTGCAGGCACATTATCATCATCGGCAGAAAAATAGTCAGAACCGGCTGAATCATCGGAGCTAGATTCTTCTGCTGAAACCATCTGGTCTTGTTCTTGTTTGTCAGGGTCATAATCATCGTCCTCAGAGTCATCAGATGGAAGTCCCGAATAATCATCCATCTTTGTTCCTGATAACGCAGCAGCAGCCTCCTCAGGAAATACCTTCTGCAGGTGAGAGTCAACCAGAGAAATTTAGCAATGAAAAGGCGACAATTCGATGACCACCAGAACACTCCCCCCCCCCCAACCCAAAAAGAAAAAAGGAAAAAAAAACACGGACCTCCCAATTGTCAAGGAGAGAAAAAGTTGATCCCTGAAAATCACTGAGCATTTCCATACAATCGACTTTGCAGTCACATCCAGGGCATAGCCAACCTTCATCACCCGGAGGAACTAAAACCATCAAAAAGAAGGGAAACAAGAAAAGCAAGAAAAGGCTATATGAGAAACTATCACCACCCAGGAGGAAAAAGAAAAAGAAACCAACAGAGTTTCAGCCAATAAGCAGTTTGGATATTACTATCGTCTTTCAAAAGAGGAGGTTCCAAACAAAATTGGTGAAATCCACGTTCACAAGCTCCGTCACAAAGGATAATATCATTATCTAGAGTCAGGTCCTTTGAGCCACACTTCGCACAGAATATCTGCATTGAGAAAATTGTAGTTCAGACATTCTACCAAGAATTGATGAAACCGGCTCATCATAGTAAATATCTCATACATCTTCACTATCAATCTGTCCATCATCATCGAACAAAGTTTCAGGAAGCTTTCCCTCAGCAAGCGACGTATCAATACGTTGAAATAAATCTCGTATCTTCAGCTTGTACCGAAAAATCTGAGATTTTGCGCGTTGAAGCTCCTTTTCGGGCTTTATCTTTTCAAGGCTGCAAAATGTTTAAATTTAGCAGATCTTAAATCAGAGACTGTGTATTAAGTCCTACTCCTCAAGTTACTAGTACAACTAAACACAAACATCACTCAGGAAGAATAAAAAAAAATTAAAAAAGAAAAAGATCAGGTCCAGTAAGTAGTCCAGATTCGGCCACATTCTTTAACGCCAAAAGTACCCATGTGACAAGGGCATCTACTACCCTATACTATTAGCCAAAAATACTTCAAAAAACATAATCACCACATCCAAGTCTCAAGGTAGAAATCCATATAACCTACGTGCAAAAATATACGAACCTTTGTCCTTTCCAGCCTTCCCCGGCATAAGCATCAATTAAGTTTTGCTCATAATTTATCCGGTGAAGTAGATATCTCAGATGGGTTTTTATACTAGCAAACTGATCTACTGGCATTTTCCGTGTCACTTTTTTCTTCCTCCTTTTTCTTCTAGTTGTTCCAGTAGCACCTTCTTCAATCACCTCTTCATTTGGTTCACAATCTTTAGCCTTCTCCTGCGACCTTGATCGAAGAACCCGGTTGCTTGCAGGCAGGGCTGAAGAAGATCTTCTCTTTCTTGATTTTACAGGAGTCTTGTCCTCTAGCATTGGCTCTCCTCCAGTATTCATTAAATTATTCTGTGCAGTTTCTGCATTTTGATGAACATGCTTTGCGGAGTCACTTTCACCTGGTGATACCAAAACTTGTCCACTTTCCTGAAGATTGGTAAGCTCAGATGACAGTATCCCTGTTTTGGTGGGATAGTCACCATCTTGCTTCTGCAGCAATGGCTCAGTTTCAACATTTCGAAGACAATCTGAAGGTTTATTTGGTAGGGATGATTCATAATCAGAAATCTTGGTCGATTCACAAGGATGATTCCCAGATACAAAACCATTCTCAACTTCTAAAGCAGGTTGTTTGGCGCTTAAGCTCCCGGCCGACACCCTGCTATTTTGTACTACATCCATCCTCGCCAAGTTGAACAGATGAATTATGAGTTCTGATTATGGTCCCTGAAAAGAAGTATTTAAACAGGTTCACGGTTATACTCCTTGAACATCATCAATTAGATAATTGCAGGCAAACAGTAAAAGAATATTGCCATAAGCTGATAACTCAATCTGAAGATGCAGAAACCGCCCAATTGGGAGTTGTGGGTGAAAAAGAAATGAGCAAAAGGCCCATGCAATTTCGCGTGTCATCTAAATACATCATATCATTTTAGATTTCTTGTCTGTGAACAGCAGAAAGCTTAAAACCTCACATAGCAAAGCACAAACTGAACTGATTGAAATAATAATACAGCAAATCGATTTAAATCCACCTTGGTAAACACCAAAACACAATATGTCGTTTCTTTCATTAATAATACCTCCCCTCGAAGGACCAAAAGTGTATGTACGAGATTACAGTAAAATTATTCCTCCATATAGAACGTTTTCCTAATCCTCTGGTTTTATAGGCTTTCCACTCACCCTAGGAGAATTAACTAGCCTAGCTAGCTCATAATGACAACATCCTTTCACCAGATACATTAACAACATCAACAACACTCAGGCAAAAAAAGAAAAAAGGAGAGACGTAAATTGTAAGAAAAAACCACAAAGAATTTTTTCTCCTTTTCCAAAATTTTGAACACATGAGCTGAATTCGGAGGTCATTTTTTCGTGTTCGAGTACATTGCAACTCATTACTCCGGGAGAAGAAGTACCAGCTGGTTACCTGAACCAAAGGACCGCGAGCTTCAAACTCAGATCAGGTAGAGGAGCGCTAGGGTTTCCGGACAACCGTGTGAAATGCGAGAGGAGGAAAAAACGCTAGGGATTTGTGTTTCCGAGGCATTTTTCCATCATCGCCAACAAAGAAGCATACGAACAATACAAACTCTCTCCTGTATCTGTTGTCCTCAGTGTGTGTGTGCGTGAGAGAGAGTGAGAAATTTTGTTGGCCCTGCAATTCAGGGGGAGAAGGCCAAGGTGTTGAGCAAAGACATCAGCATGAAAAAATGGAAAATTAAACTCTGGGGGAACTATTTTATTTTTCTTTTTCACAACGACGCCAACGGGGAAAAAATGATGTAAATAAGGAAAGTGCTAGAAATATGAATTCATTTCATTGGCTTCGCCGCTCTTTGGCGAGATTACGGGTTCTTTGGGGAATTGGGATGTCGTCATACAGTGGGCTTAATCCTCCGGGTATGGTTGTGGTTGATATGGTTCTGGGCTCTAAGATGGGTTGAACCTTTGACCTGCTTAAAAAGTGGGCTACTGCATTCCATAAGGTGAGGGACCCCTTAAGTCGGTGGCGGACTTTAGATGGGCTGGATGAAAATCGTTGGTGAATGTGTGAAGTTGGACCCTAAACTAGGGAGTTAGTTCCATGTTATTCACAAAAAAAAAATGTCATTTGTTTCATCATGTTGGGTAGGTTTGTTTCGTTTTTTCAATGTGCATTTTTATATATTTTTTGTATTGAAAATGTAAAAGAATATATTAAAAATGTAAAAATATATGTTGGGATAGGACAGTTATTATTAAAATAAAACGAAAAAATCGTCCAAAAAACCAAACAAACAGTTCTCTTCTTTTTCTTTTTCCCCATAAATCTTCATTTTCATCTTGCTCCGACAGTAGAAATTTCCTTCATAAGGTGCCAAGGAAATGATGCTGCGGGCTCAAAAGCTAAATTAGGTTTATCTCCACCGACGGTGGTACATTTTCATTCTATTAATAAAAATTACTACGAACAAATCAAGACTATTTTTAAATACTTTTTCTATTCTAAAGTTATAGTCTATGTACTGTCTTTTTTAATAGTATTATTGTGGCGTGTATAGGTAAGAGATGGTGATACTTTTGCATTTACTGCATGTTTTATTTGGCACTTGATGCCTTGTCATCCTCACATTTCAATATAGACATTAATTAATTAGATGATTTTATAATTCTCAACTGTACATTTGTTTCTCGTTATGGGAAGATGCTATTACTATCTCAATTGCACGATTTTATAATCGCGATTCGCTCCCATTTTACGTCATAATGTAACTTCAACAACCCACATACTCTTGGAAGAATGCATTATGGAAAACTGAATTTGCTCTAAAGGTGTGAGAAATTTGAAGACTATACAATTCGTTTTCAGTTTTCACCAACCACATATTTTTCTCCTCCTCCTTTTCGTTCCATGTATTTTTTAACAACACCAACAACAACAACAATAAAAAAATAATAATAATAATAAAATAACCTTGACTCCTCTTACAAGTGAATAGGAATTAGTCTCCATTCAAGAAGTTAACAGCAATAATGCGACTTTCACACGAGACATATACATTTTCGAACGATAGCGTGGAGTCAATGTTGGAGCCATACAAAACAAATATTCTCTAATTAAAATTATTTATCTAATTTAAATTTTCACTTCCAATACTAATTGTACTGGAAATGATAATTCAAATCAGATAATCATTTCGAAAAGATTGGAATGAATTCTTAACAAAACGTGACTGCATATGTGCCATTCTGATCAGAAATTTATTTCATACTTCTATTGTGTAACACATAATTGTAACACATAATCAATGACATCATAAATAAAGAAACAAAAAAGTGCATCTGATTGTTTGTATCTATAAAGTACATTTAAGAGTTTAAAGTGTATGTTATGAATAAAACGAGTTCTCTTGAGTTACTAGTGACAGTCAACATTCAACAACAATCAACATTGCGAACTGAATTATCCGTGTAATTCGTCATTCAATCATCTTTCAAATGTGGTGTTCCTCTTTATTGACTCAGCATTGACCAGGGAACACAAAATTGACCTACAAAGAAGGTTCATACTTCATAGAAATCAAAAAGTGCGCAACTTGCAACTTACACGTTGAGGACGAACAACAACAATTGAACACTCTCGCAACTCACAAGTCACAGCCTCTCAAACCCCCCTCTTCCCCAACCGGCCCCAAGTTTCCACATTCCAGATGATTTAACATTATTGGTCCCCAATAATGGATCGTTTCCTAGTTTTATCTGTTCAAAATATTTAGTCAACTCCCTAACACTCTTTGTTCTAGTAGCCATCAACTTCTATACTATTGTACGAGGGATATCATACTTAAATTCCCGACCCTAAAACTCTCACAAGAAATCATAATTTCTTAGCAAGATACTTTGTAATACTGTAATACTCCCTCTGGTCCTTATTATAAGGCATTTTGATTTCGTCATAAATTTCATCTAAAATGTCTTTTTAATTGAAATAAAAACCTTAAAACTATTTCATAATAATTAGGAGAACACAACGAATGTGAAAATATATTTTTAAGATTTTTTTTTCCGATTAAAAAGACATCCTAAGTTAAACTTAAGACGAAATCAAAATACTTAATAATAAGAACCAGAGGGAGTAATTACTAGTAATTATGCAGTAAGGACTTATAACATCAAGTATCATCTCGCATTGTGTTCAACATTAGATTGATGTTCAATCTTCAAAGATAACAAAACCTTTAACTTCTTGAATAGGCACAAATCTGGTTGATCGAAGTGCCGCGGCTCAGCTCACCCTCCATCTGCTTAGTACAATTTTGTGGTAGTTAGCAGGAAAGCCTGATGGAGCTAGCTGATCCTGACATGGGAGGACCAAAATTAATTATATCTGTAAAAATTATTTTGTTTCAGTTTTGCTTTTTTTTTTTAATATCACAAATTCACGTGCAGCAAATTATTTAGGAATTTGACCGGAGAATAAAGAAAACATTGCAAACGAGTGAAACACTGACAGGACAGTCCCTATAATTGCGAGACTTGAAACTTCCATCCAGCTTCCATAATTGCACGTTTCATCCATTTCCTCCCGCCCATATTAACCCAGTAGATATTGTTCGGATTTTGTTCATCCAGTACCCACTTAAATATATGCTCTGTGGACCATTCCGTGTTTCGTTTCTTAGAGACAAAAAAACCCCCAAAAAAAAAATTAAAAAAATTGAAAACTACCACTACATCGAAAACTCTTCTAGCTCTTCTTACTTCTTAGTAGCTTAGTAGATATAAGGAGGTGTTCTATATGGATCGTTCTTTAGCGTGTTTTTTTATTGAAAATATAAAAAAATATATTAAAAATGTAAAAAGATATATTGAGAATATAGAAAAATATGTTGGAATGGTAGATATATTAATTAAAAATTATGAAAAAATCAATAAAGAAACGAACCAAACAGAGATACACCATGCATGTTGCTCTAAATTCCGATAAGACACGGACTATATCCAGATTATTGTTATAAACTTGATCCAAATCAACTGGTATTTCAAAATAGCAAATGTATCCCAATGTTCATTTATTCCATACCAAAAAAAAAAAAAAGATAAGGAAACTAATTACAAGAGCTTCTAAACTTGTGCTATGGCCCAACTGAGTAAATTTCCTACATTACTCACTATCATGAATGAGTTCATGGTAATGATTATGTTGTAAAAAATAATTGAGTACTTGGGGTTAAATTCGTGGATATCTAACATGTGTACGCCTCTAAGATACGTAGCTACTAGAAACTTGTTTCCAATACTAGAAACAGAAACCTAATGTCGGGTCAGCCTGTTTGTCGATGAATCAATTCAGATTGATTTACCGCACCTAAAAAATAAATCAATATAAAATCCTTTTTACCAATCTTCCGTAAATCAAAATATGCTCATTAGATTAAAATTTGCATAACTAAATTCTGTGTTACAATTTGGTTCAAGGGAAAGCTAATCAGATAACTCGCTTTATAATTTACATATTCACTACCATAATAATTTTTCAGACATATTTTGAGACGGATGAAGTGAATAATACTACTTTCTTATAATATAGTAAATCAAAAGTAGAAAGAGTAAGCCTTCAAATTTGTCTCTTCATTTTTTCTGATTACTTTGTGCAAAGTGTGGATTGTGTTGTTTGTACAGTATTAAGAATGTTCGTGGGTGAAGCAAAAGAGTATTACAAGGAAATAAAACTTGCTTGTTCAGGCATTTTACCTAATTTCTAAGTACTATTATATGGGACTCTAAATATACGTAACTAACAAATCTTATCAGTTGTGATACCAAAACTCATCTGAAATACTTTTTTTCCTTTTTCACAAAAAAATATCTTGTATAACCGCGACATAGCAAAAACATGCATTCATTAGAAATGAAGCAAAAATGATACTACTCCCTAACAAACGCTCTAACAAGGAGTAACAAGCTAACAGTATAGTAGGAAGTAGTATTAAATTAAAAACTTCTGCGTCCTAATCAAGTAGTTGACTTAAGCACCTTGTTATCGCAAACCAATAACAACTTGGCTACTGCATAACGATTGTGTCAACCATTAAAACGTCAAAAAAGATTAGTGCAACCCCTATTATGATGTTGACACAATTCTAATTAAGTTCAATGTGATCAACTTGCCTTTTGGTTGCAAAATTAGAGGTCCCCCTCTCCCAATCGAATCTGTTCAAACAATTGCCCAACAAATACCCATGTTTCATTTTTAATTGGTCTTCCTTGCCTCTAATATATTGCAAGTATATATCTAGTTCTCGACAAGTACCCCGAGCCTAAGTAAGGGGCGAAAAAAATACTACTCCTCGCTTCGGGGTGTTTTTTCTTTTCCTTTTCTTTTTTTGCCATCAGAAAACGTTCTCCCTTGTTTGATAAAAAGTAGTGTTTAATTCTTAGCATTTAATGTGGAATTTAAAATGCTGAATTCATTAAGCAGTTATGAGATAAGTAATAAACTAATATTTATTGTTTCTATTTTATACTGTAATTTCAGCACCGATTAATTCATTAAAAGGTTCTATTTTTTGTTATCAAACATGCTAAAATAAAAAATACATAATAGGATAATTTTAAGTAATAAGTGGCCTTATCAAACAAGTCTTAGTATGATGGTTTATGAGATTTTTCACCTCATATTAATTTGTTATTTGAAAACAAAAATGAAAAAGAAAAAGTCTGCCAAGTAACCAAATCCGGAAAATTTGATACGGATATTGGACACGTTAGTACAATTCCGGTCAAGTGACATTGAATTTAATCGCGTATATATGCCGGATTTATATAATTGATGATACGATACGGGATTAGGGGATAACGGCAAAACCAACACCGTTGGCGGGATATATAGAGATCTTCCTGGGTGGGCGGGCAGAATTTGGGTGAAAAAATCCTGACTGAGATTTTCCTTTCACCGACCCTGTCAAAACAATATTCTAGCGTATCATAAATCATATGCCGTACAACGTAATTCAGACTCTGAAGTTCCTATAGTCAAAGATTTTGTAAGTACGAAGTTTTTTAGTCAGTCCCAGAGTATGTCCAAAAATATTCCTAGTTTACTTGTTTTTTTCTTCTTCTCTCTTTTCATCAAATCATGTACCCAGGTTTTGATTCGTTAGTTACTTGCCAGACTTTGCGTACGCCCGTATCTCCTCTTTTCCAACGCATTACAGTTTTTGATGTGTTTGAATGGAGGGAAACCGGGATCAATGTGGTGGGGGGGGGGGAGAAAAAAAAATTAGTTAAAGACTTACATCATACTACTACTTGATTACTGCTGATTAGAGATTGACAAACAATTGTAATGTCTTTTTTTACCATTTCTTACGGTGATCTATACATACTTCCGTTGTCCCAAAATTATTGCCCAGTTTGAGATTTCACTTTTAGTACAATTTGAACTAGAAATGAAAACCCAAACTGCACAATTATCATGGGCCGGAGGGAGTATATTATTTCCAGGTCAATTCAATTTTTTGTTTTAGAATTCGGCAAATTTGTCAAAAGGTCATAGCTGGGTACAAAACCTAACTAATAGAAGTACAATTAGTGGTAAAAATCGCATTGCTGCCCAATTAACAGAAGCCTAAGCTTGCATAGGGTTTTCAAAGTTCAAACGTAACACCACCAAACAATGACCAAAATGTTAAATATATAATATAAAACTGACTCATGCCTTTGAGTAGACGCAAAAAACTGATCTCATATTGCATGAGTTGTCATACAAAACTTCCTCCAGAAAGTCAACAGTCTGGGAGGATTTGACTGGATATTCTAACAAGATGATCATTACTGCAAACCCTAATTATATATATATATATATGTATAAAAAATACATTAAGATTTATGATCCCATTTCTCCGGCCGGCAAGATTAAATTTTGGGGTCGTCTCTTCAAAATGACAGCACAATGATAGAGACTCCGTCAATAAACTAACGAATTAGAAAACCATAGATTTTAATTATCATTGAGTTATTGTCAATAAGACGAACCATTGATTATATTAATCATAAGGTACAAACCAGCTGGTAACATTATTGTGCCTAAATTACTTTAATTCCATTAATTATCGTTGTAGGACGACCAGAAATGGAATAATAATGTAGTATATACTAGCTAGCGCTGTGATTATTGATCAATGCCTAAATAATGCAGGACGCACGCAGGAATAAGTATATGATCCATTTTTTCTCTGCTCAACTAAATGATTCCATCTTAACTAAATGCTAAATGACCTTTTGCATATATATTTGAACTATGTACAGATAGAAGAAGTATTTGACCAAATTCATCACGAAATATTCCAGGAGGCCTCGAACGTGTGTGCATGTTTAGTTGATTATTTCTGAGTTCCTTAGAATTTGAGCTAAAAGTGTACGAAAATTTCGTGCAATTATAAATACTCAATTGGTTCAGATACTGTAACGTAACAGCTTAACTAAAAACTTAGTCAATGTTGTCGATCGTGAATATCAGGATTCATTCGGATATAATGTTAGGAGAAAAAAACAAATGCACATATATGTATATATATTATATTAAAACAACGTAATAGGCTTTTTTTTTTGGTACACAACGTAATAGACTTTTGTTGATATAAGCAAAAAGGCAAAAAAGCATACACCTTTTCAATTGTGCCTTTGCTGCCTCACCATAAAAAGAGAAATGGTGGAGCTACAGAATTAGAGATAAGGGGCAATAAAATAGCCGTCAACACTCAACATGGGCTGTTTTCCGGTATCTATCTAATTTAATAGCACACACCATTGCTAAATTTGCATGCAACATTTTTGCAGCAATTATGCATTCATAATTCTTCACTCTCCATTTAGTCCCCTTCTCCCCTGAGATCGATGACAAAAGAAGTACGTAGTAGTAGTAGTTTTCTTCCTCGAGCTTTGATTAATTCACATGAAAGATGAAACCTCAACTCAAATTCCAGGAAACTACGCAGGAAATGAGCCACCCACGTGCATGGATCTGCAACTCAACCTTTTAATTTACTGCTGATCCCCCTCCCATCATTAATATTTCCACCTCCCCACTTCCCTCTCTATACATACTTATGTGCTAGCTTCAAAAAAATAATTCAGAGATTAATTAATCAATGAAATCAAGCAATCAGAGGACGACAAAACAACACTCGAGAACAAAGTGCATTACGTATGAATGACTAATCCTAATCCTCCCTATGGCCAAAAAAATGAAATGTTATATAATTTGGACATGAAAGCAAAGGATTTAGTATTGTTTTCTTGTAAGATCTGGACATTAGGACATACAACTGCACCCTCATAATGTTGCCTTTCCAATAATTTGACAGATAGTATAATAATAACATACATTAGCACAAACACAAACAAAAAGTTGAAATAAAATAATTTTTTTTTTTTTTTTTGTTATTCAGTTATCCTAGCTAGTAGATGTCACGTATAGTAGCAATTTTGTTGATCAACAGTGGAACTTGCCGAGGTCGCCGGCCGCCTATCGCTATCGTGGACCAACATTTTAACCGGAAAGGGGCCGCGTGTTTGGCTGACGCACGCCACAGTCCAAACCCCAACTGAAGGGAGCCATCTTGCTGAGGTGGCTTCCTCCCCGGGTCCATCCTGTTCCCCAGTTGGCCAGCCATGTAGACGTGTGCGGGCCCCCACCTTGCCTCCTCTTGACCAAACACTGGAATATTTACAAAATTGTCCCACGCGATCCCTTCGCCTTCCTTTTCTTCCAATTTTCCTTTTTCTTTTCTACCCCTGTTCTGACCTTTTCTATCTCGTCCTAACTAACACCCTTTTTGTCTCTGTGCTCCCTCTCGGTGTGGACCCCAACCACAGTGACATGTCACATGACGTGGCATTGGCATTTCTGCGTCTCCCACCCGTGGTCTTCTCCTATATAAGTCAAACTATCTTCTTCATTTTTCTTACCCAGGCCTTAATTTCTCCAAATATATATCGCCTTATTTTTCCCTGTTTCTTTTACATCGTCTTCATTTCTTGACAAAACTCGCTTGTGAACCAAAAGAGAAAAAAAATCACGTAAATTATCAGTGTGGGAGTTTTGGTTCTGATGGCGGTAGATTCAGTTTTGTCATCTCCTTTAGGTCCGCCTGCATGCGAGAAAGATGCAAAGGCGCTTCACTTCATTGAGGAGATGACCCGAAATGCAGATGCAGTTCAAGAGAACGTTTTGGCTCAGATACTCACCCGAAACGCTCAGACCGAGTACCTTCAGCGGTTCAAACTCGAAGGCGCAACCGACCGGGAAACCTTCAAATCCAGAATCCCAGTTATTACATACGAAGATCTTCAGCCCGAAATTCAACGCATAGCTAATGGTGATCGCTCTCCCATTTTATCAGCTCACCCCATCTCCGAATTCCTCACCAGGTCAGTATTTTACTTAGTCAAGGGAAAAATAAAAATTAAAAAAAAAAAACTGAAAATCTTGTGTTTGACTTTTGAGTATTGAGTGTTGACCATGAATTTTTCTGTCAACAGTTCTGGGACATCAGCTGGGGAGAGAAAACTGATGCCAACCATTAAAGAAGAGTTGGATCGTCGCCAGCTTCTCTACAGTCTCCTTATGCCTGTCATGAATCTGTAAGTAACAACTTCTCCTCGAGAAAACAAAACCAAATTGATTTTGCTTTGGTCAAATGATTTCCGGATCCCGACGACCTATATATACATGATTTTGATGTTTTTGTTCTCATGATTGTTTTGACTGATTATGTCGTTAAATTATGTTATGTTATGTGACAGTTATGTGCCTGGATTGGACAAAGGCAAAGGGTTGTACTTCTTGTTTGTCAAATCAGAAACAAAGACACCTGGAGGCCTTCTTGCCCGCCCGGTTCTCACCAGCTACTACAAAAGTGACCATTTCAAGACCCGACCCTACGATCCTTACAACGTCTACACCAGCCCAAACGAAGCCATTCTCTGCCCCGACTCCTTCCAGAGCATGTACACTCAGATGCTCTGCGGCCTCTACGACCGCCAACAAGTCCTCCGTGTTGGGGCCGTCTTCGCCTCCGGCCTCCTCCGTGCCATCCGGTTCCTCCAGCTCAACTGGCCCCAACTCGTACAGGACATCCGAACCGGGTCACTCAACCCGAGGATCACCGACCCGTCAGTCCTGGAATGCCTGTCAGGTATCGTGCGTCCCGAACCGGAGCTGGCCGATTTCGTGGAGGCCGAATGCGGTAAGGACAATTGGGAAGGGATCATCACCAGAATCTGGCCCAACACAAAGTACCTGGACGTGATCGTCACCGGCGCCATGGCCCAATATATCCCGACCCTGGATTACTACAGCGGCGGGCTTCCGTTAGCCTGCACCATGTACGCCTCCTCAGAGTGTTACTTTGGGCTTAACCTGAACCCAATGTCAAAGCCATCAGAAGTTTCTTACACAATCATGCCAAACATGGCTTACTTCGAGTTCTTACCTCACGACCCGGACTCATACTCGGCCGGGTTCAACCGGAACTCAACCAACCCGCCCAAACTCGTTGACTTAGTGGACGTGGAAATCGGGAAAGAATACGAGCTGGTAATAACTACGTATGCCGGGTTATATAGGTACCGCGTGGGCGACATCCTCCGTGTCACCGGGTTCCATAACTCCGCCCCGCAGTTCCACTTCGTGAGGAGGAAAAATGTGTTGCTGAGCATCGATTCCGACAAGACTGACGAAGCCGAGTTACAAAAAGCGGTTGAGAATGCGTCGCAGTTATTGAGGGAATATAATACTAGCGTGGTTGAGTACACCAGTTATGCTGACACCAAAACCATACCCGGTCACTACGTGATCTATTGGGAACTGTTGGTCAAAGACCCGGCTAATGCCCCGAGTCAAACCGTGCTCAACCAGTGCTGCCTGGCCATGGAGGAGTCGCTCAACTCGGTTTACCGACAAGGCCGGGTCGCCGACAACTCGATCGGCCCGTTGGAGATCCGGGTCGTGAAGAATGGTACGTTTGAGGAGTTGATGGATTATGCGATTTCAAGAGGGGCATCCATTAATCAGTACAAGGTGCCTAGGTGTGTTAGTTTTACTCCCATTGTTGAACTGCTTGACTCTAGAGTCGTTTCGGTACATTTTAGTCCATCCTTGCCTCATTGGACTCCCGAAAGACGCCGGTGAAGGAAAAAAAAAAACAAAACAAAACAAAATTTACTATTATTAAAAAGGAAAAAAAATTTATGTGACCGACGGTTTCAGAGAGTCAGTCAACCAAAGATTCCTTAGGTTTTTTTTTTTTTTTTTATTTGATGATTTTTATCTTATCTCTCTTTTTCTGTGACTTTGTGATTAGTTACTTTGAAAAGGATCGATGATGATGTACTTAGAAGATTAGGAAATTCTCAAAGGTAGGTTTTGTAATTTTCCAGTTGATTAACCTGTGAAAATGAATGTGTATTTTATCTCAGTCTCTCTCAGGGCTATTTCAATTTTTTTTATTTTTCAATGGAAATGTAACTGTTACTTTTCCTTTTACTAGACTAACATAATTATTACTACTAGTAGTTTATAACTTTACATTATGGGTAGGGGAAGCAACTTTGTCTGGTAGTGGGTGATTGTGATTTATCGAGAATAGACAATATTAGGATCTACAGAACGCAACTAAGCTCCATAAATGCAGGGCTAATAAAGTATTTTTAACTGTGCTCAATGATCAGCTAGATGTTTGTTGAGCAATTATGTGTTAATAATCATGCATGTGGCACATGGGCTGCACGTATTAAACTATTGCTTGCAATGCTGCCTACTTACTACTCATCCCATTTGAAATGTTACTTAATTTGCTTCGCAAGGGACCAGCTAGGAACGAATGAACATCCAAAAGGTCCTGTGTCTGTTAGGTGCTTAATTTCTTGCCTGAGATATGGGAAAAAAAATTTGTATTGAGGTCGACTGAATTGTCCAATCAATTATCTGAAAAAAGTATCTAATGCTGTTTCACATAAATAGAAATTGATCATTTCAATAATTAAAGTTACGTATTAACGTCTTACTTTAAACAAATAATACACTTACAAAATGATTGTTCAATTTTAAAGTTAGCGATGTAACTTTTATAGCTGCTCAAACTATTTGTCATATCTCATTTAGAAAAACTGTGTAAGTTGGGATTGATCTGAAAATAAAGTAAGAAAGTTGGACTTCGTTTGAAAATCCTACTACCAAAATTTAATTCGATTGAACTAAGCAGAGGGTGTGACAAAAGGGGAAGCAATTATTTCGATAATTACGTGCAGCAGTTGACTACTTTTAGCCGCAAAGAGGACAGAGGCCTGCGACCTTCGGGTTGGCTGCCTAGACTCCTTACAATTTTCCTTGGATCCGCCACAAAAAGAAAGAAAGCCCGGTTTTAATTTGTTGGCTCATGCAACCCAAAAACAAAAAAAAAAAAAACAAACAAACAAACAAACAAAAAACAAAAACCACACACGAATACTTTTTTTATAACAAATTACTCTCTCCGTCCATAATCATTGTCCAGTTTGAGTTTTCATTTTTAGTTTAAATTGTATTAAAAGTGAAATCTCAAACTGGACAATAATTTTGAGACAGAGGGAGTATCATTTTCCTATAATGAAAGGAGAGTTTTTTTTTTTTTTTTTTAAAGAAAAAAAATCTATCTAATCCATTTCCTTTCTTGACAAATGCATACTTGTAATTCTCAAACCTTTATTTTTACATAAAATTGTTCATAAAAAACATGATTTTTGGGAGAACATTACATTCAAAAGTTCTTTAATTTCAGACATTTACGGTTTACCTATAATTTTATTGGTTAAATCAAATACCTCCACCAATTATCTACTAACATCAAAAGTTATATGATGCATCTTCGATACTCAACGTCTAACTACATACCTTAGTATCATCACATACTCATAGATATTTACAACCAAACCATGGCTCATGCATTTGCCTCTAATGTCCCGATTAGATATTCACAACCAAACTATAAGGAAATGGGCATAGTAGACGTGTTATACTGGTTATGATTGGCACATGTTTAATTGCACCATCATTAAGATTAATTTATTCTTTAATTAGAATAAATATTATTACCGATAACTATGTGAATGATTGAATTACTGCCACAACGAAAAAGATCTTATGCAAATTCCTTTTTCTACCTACTATTTTACTTGGTCGATGCAAAATCTTTCTTTAAGTATGAATTTTTGTCTCGTGCAACTGTTTAACAATGTATTGCAAAATTATTCTGATCTGGATAGTCCTTTTGTCGAGAGTCAGGGTTGTAAAAGGCAAAATGAGAGATATTAAAAGGACACTTCGGGGATTCAGCCTAAGTATACCAATATTTGTTACTCTCTCCATCCCAGAAAAATAGTCCAGTTTAATAAAAAAGTTTGTTCTAAAAAAAAGTCCAGTTTCAGAAAAGTCAAAATTAATTGAATTGAAATAATTTAAATATCAAAAAGAGTATTGGTAAGGAAACAAGTTCACTTACTTTGATTTTCATTTTTTTTATTTTAGTTTTCTCCCATTTTTTCAAATAATTATATCTTTTAGTACATGAATAATTAAAAAATGTGTTATATATTTAAGTTGTAAAATAAAAACATATGTAGTTAACTTTTATAGAAATAACTAGAAGGGGTATTAGTGGAAATTAGGCGCATAGAATGAGTTGCACATTTGGTATGTTGATCAAATTAAAGAAGTTGTATATTTTCAAACTGGACTATTTTTCTGGGACCGAGAGAATAGTTTTATTGAACTTTAGGGGGAAAAATAAAACATTAAAAATATAAAAATAATGGGCGAACTACATTTTATACCCCGAGTTTTAGCCCTTTAACTAAATCCCCCTCAAATTTTTATCATACTACAAATATCTCCATGAGTTTTGATCTTTCTAACCGTTTGAACACTTTCTCACCGAAGAATGATGTCAACAGCTGACATCATCTAACTTTTAGCATGAACTGACAAAAATACCTAGCTATAAGCTCTTGTTTGAAAAAATAAAAAATAAAAAAATAAGCCTCGTATTTTTAAAAGTCAAAAAAATAAAAATAAAAAATAAAATCCAAAGGCCAAATGCAGTTCTCAGCCTCACGACATTCTTTATCACCATCCAAATAATATGTCCCCTTTCATCCTCCCCCCAACCACATGCTGCCGCCTACAAATCCACATCCCTCTTTCCACCATCCAACCATAATCTCCTCTGCACATGAAATATATTCATAACCACGACTTCCAAACTTGCTCGTTGCATTCGTCAGTCGCCGCTTTACAAATTTAGGTTGAAAAATAAAACACCAGTATAGTTTTGCCAAAACGAAAATCACTAGTTGAGTTTCAATTATATTCGAATGATCAAATCCATTCTTCCCCATTCTTCTCATCTCTTTTAACAATTAATCTAGGGACGGTATCACAGGTAGCTAAAACATGAGTAACAGTGGTAGATCGACATAAGCCTTCGGGCTGAGAGGGGCCGGCTTTAAATTTCTTTTGCTTTATGAAGTTGTATAATTTCTTTGATGTTTTTACTCAATTCTGATGTATTGTGGTTAAAAATTAGTTTAGATGATGGTGGAATTAGGTTTCCTTATCTTAAAACAGAGAAATAATAAAGAGGACAATGAAGACCGACATGATATTAGAAAGGAGAAAGCATGATAATTTGTGTCGATAAAAAATGGTGGCCGGAAAAAAATAAAAGTAGTTTGGTTGGGTGGAAGACATGGATAGTATAGTCTTTTTATATTATCTTTTTTAAATATTTTTATTTAATTGGTTGGTCTAACCGGAGACTTTTTTGTCATTTCAAAATTTTCCGACGTTGACTTAACGTTTCACCCAGTCAAAGGGGGAAAATGTAGTAACACCAAAACTCGAGGGGTATTTGGTTAAAGAGCCAAAACTCGGGGGTAAAATGTAGTTTGCCCAAAATAATTGATGACTGGACGCCAGTCGAGTAAAAAAAAATGTGAGCTGAGCAGCCTTTTCAATCTGGGCGATAAGCGACGATTGATTACGTGTCCTTATTTTTTCCTCTCGCTCACAAAAACATAAAAATCGTGGCCGAGAAAAGCCGCATACGGCGGTGCCGACAAAGATTCCGACCGATAGAGGGAGCCTTCGGGAGGCGGGGATAGAGAAGAGAAGGAAGCAGGGTTCGTCGTTTGGTCTGTCCACATGGCAACCTTGTCCTCCTTCCTCTCTTTTTCTCGCCTTCCACGTGGCGGCCCCTCCTCACCTTCTCTCAGCTCCGTTCCGCCGTCGCCGTTCAGTTTATCTTTTCCCCGGCATACCAAACCCATCATTCCTATATTTCCAAGCCCGAGAACATCGATTGTGAGCTGTTCCGCTTCTTCTCTCGGTGACTATGCTTTTAACAACGACAAATCTGGTTCCAAGGTTTGAATTTTTATGATTTTTTCTCATTCTTTCAGTTTGGTAATATGCTGAAATGGTTCTAATTCGGGTTTTTTTTTGGGTGGTAATTTTGAAGAAATCGGTGCTTGCTAATTTGATACAAGAGATAGAGCCCCTAGACGTGAGCCTAATTCAGAAGGATGTGGCAGCGAATACTGTGGATGCGATGAAAAGGACTATCTCCGGGATGTTAGGATTACTTCCGTCTGATCAGTTTCAAGTTTATATTGAGGCTCTCTGGGAGCCTCTCTCTAAGTTGTTAATTTCTTCTATGATGACTGGGTATGCCCTGTTTCCTCTGTCCTGCTGCTTTGATCATCCTTAAAACTCTTTTCATTTGGGTTTTTTCTCTTTGCTAGAAAGAAAAAGCATACTGTTTTAGTTTTACTTCCACATGGGCAAGGGAAAGTTGTTGCAGTTCGCTACTACTTTGCAATTAGGATTGATTTCTTTATGCCCTCTGAAAATTGAGAATTGGATTTGGATTGATCAATGCAGGTATACTTTAAGGAATGCTGAATATAGACTCTGTCTTGAAAAGAACCTTGAAATATTTGACAAAAACTTTGACAAAGAAGATTCACAACACTCTAAAATCGAAAGTGAGGAAACATTGGTTAGCAATAGCAAGACGATTGTAGATTCCAGACCCAATAGATTGATTGTCCCAGAGACTACGAGTGAGACGGTACCTGAACTTCCAGATTTTGGGGAAATGACTCCAGAAACTCGGCAATATATCATAAATTTGCAATCCCGCTTGTTGTCTGTTAAAAGGGTATGCTTCATTTTCAGATTCTGTGTATGTTATTGGGCAATACTTGGAGACCATATTTTGAATGTTGTACTGCATAAGATATTCACTGTATCACATCTGTTTCCTTGGATTCAAACTGCTGTTATGCTGTCATCCTCTACTAAATATAGGAATAAAGAAACAACAATTGAGCCCCATGCCTCTTGAGATATTAATGTGGCTTTTGTTAATTGCTGAACCAGGAACTTCGCGAAGTCAAGAGGAAGAGTGGAGCTCTTCAAATGCAACAGTTTGTCGGGGAAGAGAAGAATGATTTATTGGACTATTTAAGATCATTGCAACCTGAAAAGGTAAACATTAGAATACACCAAAGATGTATGATACATGTGATGATTTTGTGTCACCCTTTCCTCTGGAACAATTCTGCATGTCAATTGGAAGTGCTGAATGCAGATTTATGTAGAGGATTTTAAATTATATTGTTGATTAATTTTGTTGATAGAGATGGTGCCTTTTATGTGGTTGATAGTTGATCAGGAAACTAGTCTAGTTTGGCATTGAACTGAACCCCGCCATTTATGCTTATGGAAGATCTCGAAGAATGGAAAATCATCGTAGTTGCTAGAAAACTAGAGAACTTATAAAGGTTCAACTTGTGTGTTGGGGACTTACTCTGTCCTTGGAAAATCTCTTGTTTTCAGCTTTGATGTGGTAACCAACCAATTCAAAGCACCTGCCTAAATGAAACCAATATGTTTGTTCATTCTTTCCATCTTCCCAGTTTGAGCTACTATTCTCTGCTTCACAAATAATTTGTATTGTGGGTGATAGTTGGCTTCAATTGTAATCATAGGTAGCCGAGTTGTCAGAACCAACTTGTCCTGAGGTGAAGGAGGCAATTCATTCTGTTGTTTATGGTCTCTTGGCTACCCTATCCCCTAAAATGCATTCAAGGGCACCTGATCCGACAGAGAACACTCCCATTGGTGCCTCTGATAATTCAGATGGTGAAGACTTCGTTGATGTTGTCGAGAACACTTCACTGCAATTTCAACCGCACATCTCACTAACCAGAGATTATCTGGCTCGGTTACTGTTTTGGTAGGGAGCTTTCTTCTGCTCTTTTTCACTGATGTGTTTTAGTTTTTTGGTACTTCTTGTTTGCATCTACCAAGGGTTCACTTTTGTCTCTTTTCCTGTGTCCAAACGTTTTTGTCCTTTGACATGCTCAATTATTTAATCACTCGGTAACTCCCATATGGATACAGTATTTTGTAAAACTTGTACCTAAACTGATGCAAGGATAGATCCTAGAGCTTTTCATCTTTTTCTTTATATCAGAACGCAATGTTGACATTTGATTACTTCAAGTCTCTCAGTTCTTTAGTTTTTCAGAATGTCTGTGGAAACCATCTACTAGCTTTAATCTCTGATACGCTTGTCTGTGCTGGGTCTCTCTTTGAAGGTGCATGCTGCTTGGGCACTACATCAGAGGCCTTGAGTATCGGCTGGAGCTTACGGAACTTCTTTCTTTACCGTGCGTGGGAAAGAATGTTTCGTTCAATGGTGAACAAGCAGTTTGACTGCGTTTATATGTTTGGTCCTTGTATAATAGTATATCTGAATCTTCACTCTGTATATGTTCCCTGCCTCCTCTTTTTTTTTTTTTTTTTTTCATTATTTAAATGAGAGTTTCTTTTCTGATTCAATGTTTGTTCTACCACTGCAATGGAAATCATGAAAGGTGGAACCATTGACTGAAAATTACAGCCAAAGGCACTTGAATTTCAATGGAATTTTCTGTCATTATGATCTTTTCCTTGGTTCATTTTCCAAATGAGATTCCCTCGACATATACCAGAAAAAAAAAGAAAGAAACAGTAAAATAAAATCTGAACTCCCTTGTTTGTAATCACAACCGATTAACTGCAAAGTCCCTAATTATTCATTTTCCAATATCATACATAATTTTTATTTTTTGGTACTCAATTTAAGACTATCTAGAATAGAGAGGATAAAAGTGACAGATAACACGTGCGGATTGCATGGGATCTTCCAAACGAAAGATTAAACTGACACACATCTGTATGGAAGTATGGAACGAACAAAAGCAATCAAAACCCAAAAAAACCTCTCTGTTTGTTCCCCTCTGTAAACCAAAGCTTATTTATGCGTGACTTGAATGTTCTCCATTTTGTAGACGTTATGACATTTATTTTCAAATTTTGACAATTCCGGAATATGCAAGTCCGGTGTTAATGGTTAAAAACTGTTTCAATTTCATGAATTAAAGTACTCCCTCCATTCCAAAATAAGTGTCGTTTTGTCAAAATGGAAAAATTCCAAAATAAGTGTCGTTTTCATATTCTAATGCATTTTTTATCAAAAATTTCCAAACATACCTTCAAAAGAAATAATATTATTGGTGAGCATTTATTTTAATGGGGTTGGTTGAGGATATTCTAATAATTTAGTTATCTTATTTAATGTTTTCTTAAACTATGTGTAAATTCTAAAATGACACTTATTTTGGAATGGAGGGAGTACTTACATTTGGCGATGCACAAAATAATTAACATTTCAAGTAGTTTATAATTAAGGGGCTTAAAAGAGTAGTAAATTAACTGTCGACAGCCTCAGCTTGGAAAGAAAGAAAAAGATAAACAGGTTTTTATTTAAATTTGCGTCTGTTCAGCATTATCACGTTCTTAATTTTTTTTTTTTGATTCTTCGTTTATTAATATTTGGAGTAAGTATAAGAAAAAAAAAAGGTGCAATATAATTCGTTATAACAGAACATGGACATGTATATATCTATCTGTTGAATTTCCAGATTAGATAATAATTAATTACGTCTTCTTTTATTAATAAAAAAGAAAAAGAAAAAGAAAGAACTTTGTGCCAGGAAAGTATTAAAAGTAGAACAATACGGAATGTACAAAATTATCACATATAGAGTCATTAGTAAGAAAAGAAAAGCACTTAGTAGATAAGTACGTTCGAAATGGTTCAAAACAAAATTTCAAAAAAGTTGAAAATTACTGTCAGTAATTGCATTTTTTTTTAAGAGAAAAAAAAAAAAAGAAGAAAAAATAGTGCATATGAATATGTCCATCCAGCTTCATCTTCTTCTTCTCTCTCATAGTTAAAACCCTAATTAAGGGTTTCCGAATTTGTAGCAATCACTTCCATCCAGTCTTTTAACCTCTCTTCACACTTTAATGATTCCTTGTTATCCCTTCTTCCCCCAATCAGAATCCACTGTCGAAATTTTGCATCCCTTAAAAAACTCCATCCTCCCCCAATTAATTTCTCCTTCTTCAACTACTCTTCTATCAGTATTTGAACTTGTTTTTTTTTAAAGCCCCCAGCTTCTATGGCTTTTTAAGAATTCCCCAGTGAAAGAAACTTTGTTTGTAGAATTCTAGCACCCCACAACAAAGAAAAAAAAAAGGCTTGATCTTTGATATGGAAAGCAGGAGACAAGGTGATCTTCAATGGCTGCAACCATCATCAAATGGTTTGAGAACAATGCCGGAAAATCACCCGTTTTCATCATCTCCCGCCGTCATCGGGGGCGGAGACAACCGGCTATCTCAATCGCCATCGTTGGTGAACCACTCTCAATCGGAATATGATCCGTACTACCCTAATCCAGCCGCCATGCACAATATTATCACTACTACTGCGGCTGCTGCTAATAACCCTAATAACTATCCAGATACTTCCTTGTATGATGTTTTATTGGCAAACAGATTCAGCCAACAACTCAGTTTATCCTCATCCTCATCATCATCCTTGAATCATCATCCGAATCTTGCTAGGTATGGTTCCAACCCTTTTAGTGAAAGTTACAATTTTTCATATCCCGATAATGGTCAACAACAGCAGTTCCCTGTTTATGTGGATATTCATAACTATGGGAATATTATTGGGAATGAGAATGATTTGCAAAGGATGAGGGTTGATTCGGCGGTTAGGGGTTTGTACTTCCAGCCTGATAATGATGCCATTTGGAACAACTTCCTCCTTCGTCAACAACAGGAATATTCTTGGAATATCAATGACGCTGTCTTCCGCCCCGAACCATTAGTTTATAATTCCGGGAGAAATAATAATAATAGGGTTATGAGGGAAAGGTCTTTTGATACTGTTTCGTCTTCGTCTTCATCTTTTGGTGGTCGAAATCGGGGTGGGAGTCTTCGTCAGCAGAATTTTTCCTCGTCTTTGGAGGAGTTGAGGAGTAAGATATTCACGAGTTTTGAGGAATTGAGAGGGAAGATTTTTATTGTGGCTAAAGATCAGAATGGTTGTCGAGATCTTCAGAAGCTCTTGACAGAAGGGAAGCCTGAAGAGAAAGATATGATTTTTTCAGAGTTGAAGAATCATGTTAGGGAGTTGATGATGGATCAATTTGCAAACTATCTGGCGCAGAAGATGTTTGAGTTCGCAAATGAGGAGCAAATCACTGAGTTAGTGATGACGGTGGTGAGTGAGGAACATAAACTCATGACCATTTGTCTTGACACCCATGGGTACGTCCTTAATCTTTTCGAGAAAACTTTAACATTTTTTTTTTAAAATTGTTATGGCTTGTTACAATTGTGTGGTGTTATTCTCGTATTTTTATTGTTATGGCAACTTACAAGGGCGTGTATTACTTTTGACTACAATAAGCTTAGATCTGAAACAATTCTGTAGTAACTTCGCACAGTAGAAGCAATTGCATTTTTTATTTTTACACTCTTTGCCTCATTTTACTCTCCCTGGCCTCCAAATGAATGGATATTATCAATGGACGGAGTGTTATCTTAGTGTTAACGTACTCTTACAAGATTGTGTTTTACATTTCTGAACTTGGTCTTTAATAGAACTTAGGTACTTTATAAAGCTAAAGTGGATTGTCTCTTATTGCGATTTTTGTTGAGATTTGGTGTTTTGTTGCTGATGATTAAGTGTTGCAAAAATGATACTCAACAGTTGGAATCTCAAATATATTATTTGTTTCCTCTAATCACAACATATGCAATTTAACTGTTACAAATACATTTGTTTTTTTTTTTTTTTAATTTTTGAAACAACAAATACGTTTAGATATATATCACGTAGGATACAGTATCACAGAGGATGTATAATCTTACAGGTATAGAAATATACTATTCTAAATAGTATACATTGACAAAACGCTATTGTTATTTTAGAATTTGTTTCAAATGTGGATGAAAATCGTAAATAGTATGGACAAAATGCTATTGCTTTTTGGGCATGTTTGATGAAAACTGTAGCTAGCTTGGATGATTTGTTTTGATTACGCTAAATTGAATTGAAGATTTCTGTCATCCCCTATTTATGTTGGATTCTGAGCTTGTAAATGGATTTTCTTTTCACATTATATATGCTTGGATGCAGGACTCGGGCCATGCAAAAATTGCTTGGACGATTGATCACAGCTGAGCAGAGATCGTTGGTTGTATCGGCTTTGAGGCGTATTACCGTTACTCTAACAAAGAACGCCAATGGCCACCATGTTATTGAGCACTGTTTGAAGTATTTTCCTAATGAAAACAAAACGGTATTTTATTTTCTATATTTTACATCCTTGGTTACATTCACTCCAAATATAAATATTTATTCGTAATAATTTAGGTCAGAATATTGATATGAGACTCACGTGAAGATTTATGCGAAAAATTGCAGTATATATTGAGTGTTGTGGCTGATAACTGTCTTGACATTGCTACGGACAAGAGTGGATGTTGCGTTTTGCAACAGTGTGTTGAGCATGCTCGCGGAGATCCTCGAGATAGACTTGTTTCCGAGATTATTTCAAATGCATTTGTACTGTCTGAACATCCTTACGGGTAAAAGTGCTTGCTCTTGTTATGTGTTTTACAGTCATTTTGGTTATTGGCAAAGCTCAGAAGTCATTAAATTCTAAGTCGAGATTCATTAATTTTATGTAGCAAGTAAATTCTACTTGAGTTTCATTTATGTAGCTCACCTTAAAGCAATAGTTTTTTTTATTGTTTGTGATTTTATGAACTAGTAAACAAACACAAATGTTTTTTTTTCCCATTCTTATTGTTAATTTATAATACAGAAACTATGTTGTGCAATTCCTGGTTGGATTGAAGATCCCGCAGATTACACGTGATATACTGGCGCAACTTTCTGGAAACTTTGTCTCTTTGTCCATGAACAAGTATGGCAGCAATGTGGTTGAAAAATGTATGAAAGAGGCATCAGAAGAACAAGCCATGCAGATTATTCAAGAAATAATCGGTAGCCAAAATTTCTTAACACTTCTTCAGGATCCTTTTGGAAACTATGTTGCTCAGTCTGCATTCTCCCATGCTAAGGTACGTTTTTGTTCATTGCCATGAATTTCTTTTTATTCTTTTCTAATTTTTTTTTAATGTATATTTTGGTTTGGCATAAATGATGGCAGATTCGTTTATTTAATGTATTTTAATTTGGCATAAATGAATTACAGGGATCAATCCGCCATGCTATGATGAATCTGATTCAGATGCATTACTCTTACTTGCATAGTCATCCTCATGGCAAAAGAGTGCTTGCGAGGGCTAGAGGAAGCAGACAACGCGTGTAACAAGACCACGTTCTCCATCTAAAAATCAAGTAGTTTGTTGTGTTTTATCTTAGTAGTTTTGTCTGTTGTGTTGGCTAGGATTCATGTGTCAAACTCCTACCATTGTTGTTTTTACTTGTTTATCTAATAAGTACTTTGGTAATGTGGCCCTATTTAGGAGTTTTAAGCATGGGAGGACATTATTAGAGTGTTGTGGCCTAAATCAGAATTTTTAAGTGTGAGAGGACGGTATTAGAGAGTTAGGAGTTAGGTTCATAACGTTCTATTTCATTGTTGGACTGTTGGATGTTGTAACTTTTAAGGGCATATTTCAAAATAATGTCTGTTTGTTCATTTGTGTTGATGATTATTCATTTGTTTGATGTTAGTTTTAAAAAGTTTAATTTTTTTATTATCCAATGTATTCTTGTAATTCTTTTACTATTAAAATACTTTTGGCAAAATTTCTAATTCGTGCACTGATTACAATATGAGACTGTTTTAGTTTTGTAAGATCTGTGACAAGTTGAAAACCATAAGCTAAAGCGCGGGTAGGGTGATTCTGTTTTTGTTTTGTAGGATCTGTGACTAGTCGAGAAAATTATAAACTAGGGTCCGGGAGGTGATTCGTGGATGACTGATTTGTGACACAGTAAGATCGTAAAATTCTAAAAACCATTATATGGAGTATATAATTACTATTAACATAAGCACTTGCAACGCGGATCATTGGATTAAGCAAGATGGAATACAAAAGAAAAATACACCACACGCATCCATGAACAAAGTAGAGTAATATGCAACCTAAGGCAAATTTTGACCGAAAAAAGTATAGGCCATATTAAGATATGTAATGAGGTAATATGTTCCATTCCATCCTACAGAAAACAAGCCATTTTCCAACTACCAACTAAATCAAATGGAGAACAACAGGTGCACTACCAACCAAATGAAACAAGATAGCAAAGTCATTTCCACCACTTTATATTGAGGCAGGGTACACAACATGGTACAACATTAATTTAACACGGAGCTTAAGGAAATACACTAGGTGATGTAATCACTCTGAATCTGAAGAGTCTGGGTTTGAGCTTTGTCGAACACTCCTGGTTTGACCTTTCGATCTTGATGAATGTAATGAAGATTCACCCTCAAAAATGATGACCTGAGCTTTTGCTAACCTCTCTTCCAGTTCCTCGGTGCTGAATGAATCCTTCCCACCAAGCTCATCAAATCCAACCTGAAAAGAAGCAAGCCTTAAGTAAAGCATCACACTGAAAAGAAATGACAGCAGAAATCTATTCGACTTTCTAAGTTAACATACCACATAATCATCTACTTTGGCATTTTTTATCAATGCTAGAGTAGGAAGAACAGTGATCCGAAGTTTCTCTGCCAGATATGGGCTTTTCTCAGCATGGATTTTCACAAAACGGGTTTCAATGTGTTGCTTTGCCAGTATGCTTAAATGCTTGTCCACCACCTGCAATTAATGCCGCACAAATGATTGCTCATCCATGATAAGAATAACACAAACTTTATCTAATCACATATTAAACAGCAGACAACAAACCAGGACATCAGCTAAATAAACCCAAAACAACAAAAGCCTGCAGTGTCACAAGGGAGCAACCTCATCCATGTAAATGGGTAATTTTTTCACAAGAGGTCAGGGACAGAGACATGCATTTGCGCACTCTCTAGAACTGAAGGAAGAAGTAAAAACTCCAAAAGAAAAGGAAGCTACTATAAGGAAGCAAACCTCCAATACCATTTTAGCTCCATATAAGTAAAACATTGCCTGCCCAGAAAGGATACTAATACAAGAAAGCTTCACGTGTCTGGCAGCATGAAACTACAGGACAGACATTCCATTAATACATATGTACCAATACTGCTCCATAACAGTTTCCAAAAAAGAATTTGAGACCTTTTCACAGATCAGCTTCTTCTCCATCCTTTGCATCCGCCAGTTTCACATAAACTCTCAAAGAACCGAACTTTCCTCGTCCAACTCAATGAAACTCGATCTACGACCCCCAATAGACTGCTACGAAGCCAAGCAGCTAGACTCAGAATGCTTCTTCCTATTATGTCTATGCACTTTTCTTCTTCCACTAGTGCACTTAATAGAAACCCTAAAATATTAATTCATGGCTCCTTCTGATATCTTTGATGAAGAGTATATCAGAAACTACAAATTAAACCTTTTCCTCTCCAATCGTTTCGTTTAAGCTCCTCGTTTTTACAGAATGATATCAATAATCACACGAAGTATTGCACAATTAGAAGTTTGATAGATGGACAGAGATGGGTTTTCGACAAATTCATCATAAACACAGCGAATTAACTTAGAGAATGTCTATCATAATCATCAAAAAACATTCTTCAACAAAAAAATGCCCTCCTCATTTCAAGATAATATAAAACCAAAATGTTAAACCTTACCTTGCAAGGCCAATTGTCTCGATAAAAATGGCAGACAACACGTTCGCTGGCCTTGACGACGGAGAAGAATTCCTTCTCATTAGGGATCTCTGAGTACTCGCCGTGACCGAGGGAGATCCAACGGCTCCGCTTTTCAGCCATTTTCTTCATCTGTTGCAAACGCCGCTCTCGAAGGGCTTCCAAATCGTCCATGTCCATCTTATCCAAGGCGGCAATCTCATCATCGATCTTATCCTCCACCACCTTAGCTACCGTCAGAAGCTGCTGCTCCAATATCTGTTCATCCATCCCCAAAAACTCTTTCCAATTAGAGAGAATTCTGGGAAAAATTAAATCTAAAACCATTAACCTGGAATGAATCAATCATCAGAAGGGAAATATGTACATACCTCCTGAACTTTAGAATTGTCCATGTTTCTGCCGGAAATGTGATTCGATTTTCTTCTCCTCAAATGTTTCTGAGATATTAAAAGTTCACTGAAAAATTTGAAGGAGAAATGAAATGAGGGAAAAAGATACAAACTTTTGTTTCCGGAAGCGGAGCAAACTGTTTTTTGAGGCCCATTTTATTTTGATATGGGCTAAAAGTGGGAATATGGGCCTTGTACCACTTTTGTAGTTTTAGATCCATACATCTATTAAATTCTCAAATCTCAAGTCGTTGGTCAAAGAAACGACTTTGACCAGAAATGATGGAGAAGAGAAAATTGTGTCCCCTCTTTCATGAGCTTTCGTCTTGTTCTTTTCAAATAGCAAAACTAAATTTCAGAATCAAACTAAACTAAAATGGTAAGGTGCAAGCCGTTGAAATTCAATCTTGTTTGAGGTCGACTCAAGAATCTTTAAAAGGGATGAATACGCATCCTCCTTCATGATCAGGATGACCATTTTCTTTCATTAAGTGCTTTTTTTTATTCTTTTTCTTTCGTTTTTTTTTTTTAAGAAAAAATATATTAAGTACCTCTCGCCTACCGAATTGTACCGTTTGATGATAAGAGACGTGAATATTACCAAAAAATCTGGCATTCTTATTCAGCCCTGATTATGAAAGTTAATTCACGATAAAAAGTAATGAAACTTAAAATTATTTTCTCACACAAAAAAATGTAGGAAACATTATCTTAAATTACATAATCAAAAAGTTAAAAAAAAAAAGAAGAAGAAACTTTGATGCAAGAACTTTATTAAGAGTTCGCATTTATAAAACTCGAACTCTAACAATTTACAAAAAGAAAATTCTTTTTCAACTGTTTCACTAGATCGTAGCACTACATTTCCGCACAAATCTTTGTTTCTCTCAAAATCAAAACTAACTGAAGGGAAGGTATCAAACTGACTTCCTGTTGGTGACATTGAAGGAAGACAAAAAGTGGAGATTTTCCGAGTGAGGCTGGAATTTCACCTGATAAGTAGTAGTTATCTGAAAGGTCCAATTTTTCCAGGTTAATGAGGTAAGAAATTGTAGGCGGAATGCCCCCAGAAAACTAAACTGGGTTTGATTTGATATATATTGCTGAAGGGTGGCCGAAAAATAGAATAGTACTCCTCTTGCAGGTTGGAGACATTGTCAGGCTTAACTTCCTGTTGACTCGGGGCCTGTTGGCTTACCAATCGTGGCATTCTAATAAGTTCGATTCACCGAGGTTTCGCAGATTTCCTAAGAAATGTCAGTGATTGTAGTGCCTGAATGCTAGGCGGAATCTCTCTGGACAGCTGATTACTAGCTAAGAGAACTGTTGAAACTCACCAAGTTCATTGCCTGCTTGAGAAATTCAAGTTGGAAGGTTCCCTGGAAATTGTTGCCAGAGACACGGTTGTTGCTCAGATCAATGATCTGCATCTGATTTTCAGGGAAGCAAAGAAACCATCGGGGAATTTACCGGTCAACAATAAATTGCCCGTGAGATTCAGTTCACGAAGATGGCTGAGATTAGCAATCGAATCCGGATGGCAGGTTTAGACTGGTTATCCTTCCAGTAATGTTATCACAAATGATGCCTTTCCCAGGTGCAAGTACAATCAACCAAAAACATTCCAATCAAGACGAGATGATCGAACTGTTATGTCGTTAGAAAAGGACAACATTGAGTCGCGGTCAAGTTGATTGCAGGAGACAGATAAGAAGAATATCGGGAGGAGGAGAGCATGGACCCTTTGCGCTGATCGTGTTACCGAGATTTCGGGTCAGATTGCATTAAGAAGTTGAAGGGTAGAACAACAAAGACCAAGGAGAGTTACAGAGGTCTACTTTTCAGGTTGTTTTTATACTAGGTTTGAATTTGATATTTATCATCAGCTTTTAGACAGTATTTTGATTGAGTCATTGTTTATTACATATAAGCATTGACTTTGGGAGTAAATTGTTCAAGATCCATTGCAGTAATAATGTGATAATTTCATGAGTCGTGTTGGTACAATCTAAAAGACCAACAAATTAAAACCATATACACAAGTTTTATTCAAACATGGTGATGATGATCAAAAATTACACGATTACCGATATATCACAAGCAGCATCAAAGAAAAAATAAAATAAAATAAAATAAAACTAAATGGAAATGGATTTGAACGATCACAAATCTTTTCTAAGGGTGGTTGATCATTGATTGATTATGGAATGAATTGAATGGGAAAACACAGCTTAGGGACATTTGGATTTGCCCTTAGAGCTCTTGAGGCTGGCGTAGCAAGCGCAGCGTTCCTTGTTGCCATAAGTTCCAGGAGGTACACACTTGCAGATTCCGCAGCAGATGTTACAATACCTCAAGCATCTGTCTTGCATTCCTGCCTTGGAGCACCGAAACTTGCACTTTTTCGCACAAAATGCTGCACCCAACCCAAACCAAATAGTACCATTTCAATCCAAAATTCAAACTCGTTAAGTACACTACTATTTTAGTATAACAGATTCCCTCCGTTCCAGAAAAATAATAATTCACATTGAGTTTTGAGATTTGTACGAGTTTCAGTATAAATATGAAAACTCAATGTGGGGACTTTTTTTCCAGGACAGAAGGAGAATGTCTTGGCTAAAAAAAAAAAGTTACAAAGAGTAAATGTATTGACAGAATATGATAGTGATATGAGGCTACTGCCCAAAAAAAAAAAATTAAAAAAAAAATTGCTGTTAAAATGAGGGAAGGTGAATCGTCAGAAATCGCACATTACAAAAAAAATAATAAAAGGCTTACATGAATCAGCAGGCACTGTTGCCATTGTTGGTTCGACGAAGGAATTGCTCAGGAGAAGAGCAAAGACAAGCAGGAATGCTACTAATAGACACTTCATCTTCCTAAAAAATGTTGCTTCTTTTTGGGCTAATATATCGATAGACAGAGAGTAATCAATCAAATGGGCTTACAGAAGTGAATGTAGTATCGTAGGCAAGATAGAAGGAGAATTCAGCAGGGTATATACTTATATAGGGAGGAGTGTAACTAAAGAAGCTTCCAGTTACATGTATACTGGGTTAATTAGAGTGTATTAAAAGGGACAACTCTGTATTTGTTTTTACTAGAGAGTATATTTAAATTTCCAGTGGCCGGAGAATAAAGAGGACAGTAAGCTAAGTTTGTCTATTTGCAGGAAAAAAGTAGCCCAAGTTGTACACAACGGGGAGGTGGGTACAAAATTAAAAGGGTAAGACAGGCTGTTGGTTTTTTGTCTAGGAGCTTTCTGGACTGGTGTAATTAAAGTTGGTTGGTATATTCAATTCCTTTGCTGGCAAATGCTGCAGTAAATGTACAGGGAGAATGCATAAGTACATCATTCAGAAACTTAAGGAAAAATTAAAAGCTGCATTGGTGATTTCTTCTTGTCCTGAAATCCTTTTGGTTCAGGTTGTATTGGTTTTGGCATTTTTGATGTTTCCCATGCATCGTTTAAGGTGGCGGTGGGGAGTTTGTTTCCTGTTGCTAGATCCAAAGTTTTCTAGAAGATGGCGACGCGAATTAATAAAACTCAAGATGGAACAACTGACATTCATGAATATGTTTAAAGACTCATTTTTGCTCCAATTTCAAAACATTGACTTGGGACATTGTTGGGGTAGATAGTGGACACATGAACATGTTCAAAATCCAGTTTTAAACCCAGGAAGGTTGATCGAATGAATTATTGTGTGGGGATAAAAGAACACCCAATTGATTTACAACAATTCTACATACAATGCTCTGGTACTAGATATCACCTCAATCGCAAATGATCAATCTTAATCTTCTTTCTCAACTCAACTGGGCGGAGCCCCCACCATGTTTTGACAACAGTGCATGTAGCCGCAGTAAAGATGCATAGCATATTTGGTGTCTTAATTTTTATTTTTTTTTTTTAATCGTACATTATATCAAAGTGTCTAAATCATTAAAGTAAACACCGAATTTTATTAAATGGTGCTTTAATCACAACTTAATTCACAACTGTAACTCATACAACCGCCATAAATCGCTGAAAGTAACAACAACTACAGATACCAAATAATCCATCACAAAATTAGATTCTTGGAAAAAAAAAAAAAAAACTTTCAACTCTTATGGTCTAACTATGAAGAAGAAATTCTCCGAATGGTAGCAACCAGCTAAGATGCCTTACTTTTAGGTAGTTTGGTGTTCAAAAGTCGAAACGAAACAATCCAAACGCAGGGATATAAAATCCATCTCGCTTTGGTGTCGTGCTTCAATGCAACAACCGAATGTGCTTCGCAAGACACCTCAAATTTACCGGTCAGTTGCATAAACGTAGTATCCTTTGTTATTCTCCTTTATCCTGGTCGAAGGAAAGTGAATTCCACAGAGAAGGGTATATATATACACTTTGTGTTTTAGAATGCCCAAAAATAAAATAAATACAATTGTTGTCTAACACACTAGGCAAATTGGAAGGTTTTCTTGTGGAAGTTTTACTAATCTTGGAACATATTCCCTCTGTCCTAAAATTATTATCGACTTTGAGATTTCACTTTTAGTACAATTTGAATTAGAAATGAAAAACCAAACTGAACAATAATTATAAGACGGTGGAGTACTTATTTACAACCATTAAAATAACCAGCGACCTTTACCTTGGTAGAGCGACACTTCTAAGTTCTAACCAACTGAGCTAATAGATAAACTATTCCCTACTATCAGCAGAATTAGGTATTATAATAGTTTTATGGAATTATAGTCAGTTAGTCACCTTAATAAAGGAAAAAGAGATTATACCTAAAACAAATTTTGGAATGTAATGCCAGTGACCTAGAAGGCCCAGAAGATAGCAATGTTATATACTACGGGCTAAGCAGCCTAATACACAGAGGCTTCGGCTACCACCAGGGAACGAAGGCCCAGATGACCAAGGTTTGCATTGAAACAACCCTATCCATCAAACGTAATTGATACATTTATTACAAGAAATTTTTAACACAAATAGACACCATGAGACACAAGCTAGACTTATGCAAAGCAACCATGTGATAGTACAGGAATGTACTTTTTCAAAAAAAAAAATATATATAGACACAAGCTAGAGATACAATACAAGTACATTTCGGTAGTATGCAATTCTGTAACATAGTGTGCTAACAAAGGTTTAACATACGGAGGTGAGGTTTAATTCCAGCCAGACCCTTCAAGTGAATCAAAACTATCAATTCAACAAGAGTTCTTGTTCCAATTCAACCAAATTTAAAACATTCATTTCCACTGAATCAACGACCACCAGATAAAATGGAGCCACTTGCATGAGAATACTGAGTAGATGAAGTTAGAAACGAGTAGGAGGATACTGAAACGTCTTCAAAGCTTGTAACACTGTCAAATGCCATGGATTTTGTAGCAATTCCACCACCCAATAATGATGATGATGATAACTCAGGAAGAGCCATTGCACCATCCAAATACAGCACAACTTTCTGCATTGTTGGCCTAGCCTCTGGTTCTGAATTACAACACAACAACCCAAGCTTCAGTACCAATTCAGCCTCATTCTTGACTATATTATTTGTACCCAAACTCGGATCAACTGCCTCCATAATTCTACCTTGACTCCATAACCAGAGCACCCGATCAACTAAAACCATATCCTGTTTTCGTGCTTTTTGCTCTATCGGCCTTCTACCACAAACTACTTCGAGAAGAAACGCCCCGAATGCGTAGACATCGGTGTTTGTTGTCGCGCGCCCGGTCAGGTAATGCTCCGGCGCGAGGTATCCCACCGTCCCGACAACATGAGTAGTTTGAGGGTCACTTCCATGATCATAGAGTCTCGCAAGTCCAAAATCTCCTAATCTTCCATTCAATTCAGCATCTAATAAGACATTACTAGCTTTGACATCTCTGTGGACAACCACTTGTTCCCATTCTTCATGAAGGTAGAACAAAGCCGAAGCCACGCCTTTGATGATTCTGAATCTCTGGTACCAATTCAGGTGTGATTTTCTCGGGCCGTGTAGAAATTGGTCCAGGCTTCCATGAGGCATGTATTCATAGACCAAGAGTAACTCGCCACTCCGCCGGCAGTAGCCCAACAGAGGCACCAAATTCCGGTGGCTCATCCGGCCTATGCTGACAATTTCCGCCACGAATTCTCTCATCCCCTGTTTCGATTCATGAGAAACCCTTTTGACGGCAATTTGGAGTTTTGTGGTTGGTAATACGCCTTTGTAAACTCTTCCAAATCCGCCAGCTCCAAGAAGCTCTGAATCCTTAAACCCTTTGGTGGCTTTATACAAATCTCTGTACTTGAACCGGTGAGGCCCGTATGCTACTTCCCAATCTTCAAGCAATTCTGCAAACTTTTTCTTTCGGTTGACATAATAAATTGTGCCCAAAACACCCGCTATGATGGAGAATAAGCAAATCAGGGGAAGGCCAGTAATCAAAAAGTAGTTAAGTTTCTTCTTACCTCCCTTTTTAGGAAGTTTTGGAAGTTGAGAAATGTCGAGATTTTGGGCCAACCCATTCAACATAAAGCTCCATCCAAGTACATAATGATTCACAACATATGCAGAAGTGGAGGATGCGAATCCGACATACATGGAGTCTAGTAAAACTGGTGAAAGATCGTAGTTGAAACTGAGCAGAGGAAAATTGGGTTTGCGACCCGAAAAAGATTTTAACGGAGCCAGAGTCACCGAAATCTGTTTGTTGCCACCATCGTAATCGACCCAAGCTTGAATCGGGTCGCCACTCATGAGGGTGACATTATGGAACTTTTCAGGATCATGATTATCATAATAACCGGCCGGAGTTTGGTTAACTGAATCGATGCTGTAAATGTCGACTCCCACATGGTTGTCGTTGATATCGGTGGAATCCGGGTTCATACTCGTGTCGAATTCCACTGCGAAAATATGGTTGTCAGCGCTTCCATTGGTGGACTCGTTGAACAGACCGAGGAACCGCCATGACCGGCCGCCGGGCAAGAATTCTGTCGGGGAAATCACGAAAGCTAAACCTTGAGAGCTTCTGTATGGATTTTCAGACCTTATGGCGAACACAAATGTTGTGGAGAAGGAGAAATTAGAGGATGAAGGGGTTTTGAAAGGGATGGGATTTTGATAGAAGGCGTGACTGGAGCCGGAGTTGTAAGTGTTGTTGGTTAACTTGAGGAGGCCATTGTCTGTGAACTCTGCGATTCCGTCCAAACTCAGGTTTTGCTTTGCCGATTGGAAGCCATTAAAGATGAATCCGTCCTGAGAAGCTTCAACTCCGAGAAACAAAAGTGAGAGTATTATTGCTAGTGAAAAATTCAGAAGCTGCATTTTTTGAGACTTATGAAAGAGTGTGTTACTAATGCTCCTAAACTCTTTCTATTATTAATATATATATTAGTCCATTTGGTTTTTTAGTCAATGAAAAGTCATCAGAACACTGGACATTTTCCATATTAATTCTACGGTGACATAAACACATATTATATGGAAATTAAAAATTAGTATGAAAATCCTAACATGAAAACAAGCAACATCGAACACCAAAATGTGACCTAATTAATGTATTATTACACTACCTAGACTCCATTAGTGTTAATGATAATAGCGAGGTTTTGATTAAATATCGGTGGTGTCCACATCGTTTGTGAGTGGGGAATTGAAGAATCAATGTGTTAAGGTACGATTTATTAAACAAACCAAAAAAAAAACACAAGCTGTGTTTACTTTGTGATGATGTGTAAGTCGCGTTTGCAAAGACGACATTCTTGACACACGAATTTACCCAAAAAAAAAATAAAAAATTTATTATCATCTTCTTTTCTTTTCTTTTTCTTTTTCCACACAGCAACCATAGATCACTTTTCCTTAACTTCCAGTGATTAAGAAGATACTCTAAGATTCTGCTTGAAAAGCAGGAAAATTTTTGGTGACTGAAGAAGAAGAAGAAGAAACGACTTAAAATGTCAACCGCATGGGAGACCGGAGAGTGGTTCTGAGGACTAATTGGGAGAATTAGGTAGTAAATTGCAGCTTATGTTAATACTACATGATTTAGAAAGTTACTCAACCCACTTACCCCCCAACAAACCAAAGACTAATGAAAAATTTCCAAAAGTGATACACACAAAAAGTAACCCTCTAATCTCTAGTGTGCCTTTAATCTTTTTCCACGGTTTAGAATTAAAAAATGATGTCTTTTTCTATCTATCAATTCTCGTAGTTTAATCTAACCTTCCTCCTCTTCATAAGCTAGCTCAGGAAATTGGAGTCTCCAATCTTTCTAAACCCAGTCTTTGGAACAGAAAAGGACAGGACATCAATGGTATTAGGCATGGCAGTTTCATTTCTTCTTTTTTTTTTTTTTGTCGAAAATATGATGTATTTTATAAGGTTAGATGCCTTGTTCAAAAGATTTACTGAGTCCTAGGTACTCCTGTTTACATAAGGGGATATATCAAAAGAATATAAGCCCTCATTGAAACCTGAAGCTTGCTTTGCTAAAGTATCAGCACAACCATTATTGTTCTTACATTTGGTTTCATTTCGACCTAAGATGACCGCAAAGGAAAGTCTCACCGGCCCAGCCCTGAATAAAAGAAAAAGACCTCACTCAACGTTTTTGCGTGTAATTAATCGCTTCAGTAATTTATTTCATGTATAGATTTCAGATTTGATAAGGATCCCCATCTACCCATTAAAAGCTTGCCTTTGAACAAATGCAACTTGGTGGACTCTGGTCAAATCACTCCTACTGTCCGATCACAACACAAAATCTGACAGTCATCGCGCTGTTTAGTATTTACACTAATTAAGTACTTGTTTGTATCTCACACCAACGATTGAAAACTGATACGTACCCTCCATTGAAGGGAGAAACACCTGGCCCCCTGATCGTCAGCAAGTGATATCACATATGACTACTACGTAACTGAAGCAAAAATTTACAATTAACTCAAACCGAAACAATCCAAATATAGGAAGGAGTACAATTTGTTCCTTATAGAATTACGGGGAGAAGAGCAAAAATATTTCTCATTTTTTTTTCCTTTGAATCCCCAATCAGCACCAGCTAAACAAAATCCTTTAATGTAAGATACTTAACTACCAAATATAAGCTCATTATCGGGGGTGGAGATTAAGGAATGAATTTATAAAGGCCAATTTTGTGACTAATTATTTTGTATCATTACTAAAGCCATGTTTGATAACATCAATTATTGCTTAAAATTATCTTATTAAGCACTTTTTTGCTTCAATATGTTTGATAACAAAAACTGAATCTCTTAATGAATTAAGTGGTGTTGAAACTGTAGTACAAAATATAAGCAAAAAAAGTTAGCTTATTGCTTATTGCTGAACTGCTTAATGAATTTAGCATTTCTGATTCAGTATTAAGTATTCAGAATTAAATATTAATTTTTTTTTATCAAACATGCCTTAAAACAGTTCCGGGAGAGTTACAATGACTTGTTGTTAATCAGTTGCCAAGTGTCAAACCATGAGTTAACCATAATGTAATACTAGATGCTTGGCTCGGGCAGATGCCCGGGCACCCCTCTACTTGAATTTTGTGTTAATAGATAAATGAATTCTTGATTTAGAAAAAATAAAATAGCTACACATTTAGTTTTTTCCCCTTTTTAGCTAAAAATAAAAATAAAAATAAAAAAATCATCTGCCAAATGAGAAAAAAATATTGAAAAGTACAACGATGATGAAATCATACAAAAGAATGTGGGGTAATAAAGGGATAAGTTTATGGGCAAATTTAAATGCTATTTTAATTTGATTGATAAATGATAAATGTTAGGAGTTAAAATTGTGTAGCTATTTTTGTAAAGTAGCTTTTCTTTCTCCGGATAAGAATTTTTTTTTCTTTTAAAAAGGGATAACACGTGGCAAAATGGTTAATGTAATATGGTACATTTGGAGCCAAAAAATTTTAATAAGAAATTGCCACATCAACATCATGTATTCTGCTTTAATAGGGTAAAAAGGGATATGAGCTGTTTAGCCAGGTAATGTGGTTTCACAAGTTGTAAGGCATTTGGTTGCTCTAGTGTAAGGGAAAAAGAAAAACAAACAAAAAATAAAAGCTCAAAAAAGAAAATTTGATACCTTTGCAACTATGTAATGCATCTTTTTCTAACAGTTTGAGAACAACTCATCTTCATTAAAATCAGTGTTGTGTGATGTATCTTACTCTTGTATATAGTCGCCATTCCTTTCACAATAGATAGATAGATCCAAGCTTTGCATAGGATTTCTAGTTTCATTTGATTTGCTGTCTAATTCTAGCTCTTCATTATAAGGTGATTTTATTTTTGGTATAAATAGGCAAATCAGGGGAAGGCCAGTAATCAAAAAGTAGTTTACATTCTTCTTACTTCCCTTTCTTGGAAGTTTTGGAAGCTGAGAAATGTCAAGATTTTGAGCCACCCCATTTACCATAAAACTCCATCCAAGTATGTAATGATTAACCACATATGAAGGAGAGGAAGATGAAAATCCCTCGTACATGGATTCTTGTAGAACTGGTGAAAGATCGCATGTGAAATTGAGCAGAGGAAATGTCGGTTTAATACCTGAAGAGGATGATTTTAACGGAGCTAATGTCACTGAATTTTGCTTCTTGCCACCATCGTAATCCACCCAAGCTTGAATCGGGTCGCCACTCATGAGGGTCAAAACATGGAACTTCCCTGAATCACAAAAGCCGGCCGGAGTTTGGTTAACTGATTTAATGCTGTAAATATTGCCGACGTGGTTTTCATTGATATCGGTGGAATTCAGGTTCTTGCGGGTGTCGAATTCCGCTGCAAAAACGTGGTTGGAAACGGTTCCGTTGGTGGAATCATTGAAAAGGCCGAGGAACCGCCATGATCGGCCACCAGGCAAGAATTTTGGGAGAAATGACGAAAGCTAATACCTGAGAGCTCTTGGTTGCGATTTCTGACCTTATGGCGAACACAAACGCTGTGGAGGAGGAGAAATTAGATGATGATGAAAGGCTTTTGAAATGGATGGGATTTTGATAGAAGGCGTGACCTGGTATTCAGTGTTGTTGGTTAACATGAGGAAGCCATTGTCAATGAACTCTGCGATTCCGTCCAGCCTCAGGTTTTGCTTTGTCGATTGGAAGCCATTAAAGGCGAATCCATGCTGAGGAGCTTCAACTCCGACAAACAAAACCGAGAGAACTGCAACTGAGTTCAGTACCCGCATTTTTGAGACTTACGAGCGTTCTACTAACATGTTCTGTATATCCTTTCTATTAATACGAACTACTCATCCCGTCCAAAAGTAATGGGTGGTGATTTTGCCACAACAACTTCTAACATCCAGGGCAATTTTAGTTTGAAATTACAAAATTATCCATCTAAAAGATACACCTCTCATGAGCTCCGCCATAAGCTCGATCAACTTCTTCCTACGCTTCGGCGAAACAAACCAAGAATACTTCCTAGTTCCTAGAAGTAATCCTAATCGGGTGGGCTTCATAGGAATTTACTCTCAACGGAAAATTCAGCAATGCACAAGAACCTGCAGAAAGTTAGAAATTGGGGAAAGTTAAATTCTACTATTCAACCAATAATCTTTAAAGAAAATCTATCCAATCTAATGTAAATTGCTGCCCGGGGAGAAAAAAAAAAAGACATCATGTCAAATTGGGAAAAAAAATGATGTTCAATGATTTCAACTACATTGAAACAGGTGACACTTTCAAATGGAGGGGGAAAAACCAAAAAAATTATTCTCTAATTTCTACCGTAGGGAACATGATAGCCATGGAATCTTTATGATTTTACCATAGGATCGGAACATGAAGAAAAACAATTTTTTAGATTTCATTTTTGCCGGGTCTAGACGGGGGAAAGGGCGTTTGAAAAGGAACAGCCGAGAACAAGTGAACAATGGAAAGGTATTAAGGATGAGTAATTGTGTACTTTCACACTAAATTTGTCCTGCATGCTAAAAGTTATTGTGGCAGAATCACCACCCAAAAGTAATTTGTACTAAAAGTGCTAATCGAAATTATATACTCCTTCCATCCCGAAATTATTATCCAGTTTGAGTTTTAATTTTTAGTACAAATTAAATCAAAAATGAAAACTTAAACTAGACAATAATTTTGGAATGGAAGTATTTACTATTCACAACAGATAATGAATATTTGTGACACGATCACTCGTATAAACGGAAACACAAAATGTGACTTTATCATCCACCCCTATTTTTTTATCCATACCATCGTCCATCAATGTGCTATATGGCAGTTCGGATTTAATCGAATATCTTCTGCCTCTCATATAATATTGATGTTGAGGGTCATGTGGCAAGGATTGTGAATCCCATATCAGAGGCATGAGAACATGTGAATCAGTTAATAAGTAAGGTGAACTCAGAACTCATTAACTTGAGCTTTTGACGCCAGATGGGTCTTATCTTATGTATTGGACTCCATGTCGGGTTTTCTTCTCCGGATTAAATCCCCAATAGTGGTATCAGAGCCAGCTTAGCCCAGTTATGTAAGTGATTTAGCCCAAATTATCTTGGTTGATTTAACTGAACCCAGGCAGTCAAAGACCCACTACGAGCGGAAACATAGGGATAGGCGGCTCAATTATTCAGGTGGTGTACATGTTTGGGTTTGTTAAGATAATTTGGAAGCCCGATGTGAAGATTGCTGGTGACGGAGGAAAATGTTGAAGGTCATGTGGCAAGGATTGTGAATCCCACATTAAAGACATGAGAACATGTGAATCAGTTAATAAGTAAGATAATATCAGAACTCATTAACTTGAACTTTTGAGTCCGAATGGGTCTTATTTTACTTATCGGGCTCCATGTCAGATTTTCTCCTCCGGATTAAATCCCCAAGTGTAATTGGGTGATTGGGAATCGGCATTGAATCAACGTCCAACGTATAATCATTCATTGTAAGATTAAAGCCAAAACAGAAAAGTTAGGAAGAAACACAAGTTGACTTGACCATATACTTCTGCAAGTCGGGCCTGGAAAGTATTAATTAGACAATAATGTAGACAGGGTAACGTGGTTCACAATTAACTCTTTTATTTACACCACAAAGGAACGCATTCCATGCACTGGGATACATAATAGTGGATGTGGCTAGATTTTGGATCAGGGGAACAAAAATTAATTGTTGATGTTCAAAATGATTTTCCCATCAACGAAAAGGTCCTTTTTTTGCGCTTGCATTTGTCAAGAGCAGAAAATTGATAACCCCCATATGGCTGAATTTTCCAATATTATTATCATTGTTATTACTCTTCAATCCTCACTTGTCTTCACTGAAATCCCCACAAGCTCGCGAAATTGGTCCACCAAGCAAAACCCAGCCTATAGAACTGAAAAAGACAGGACAGGACAGGACAGCAATCGTAAATACCCCGGCTATTTGATTTCCATCGGCAATAGCAACAAATTACAAAAGTACTGCCTGGCCAACCTTAGAAAACAACAAACTACAGAGTAATGCCTAGCCAAACTTACAGAAAGGTCCCTGCTCTCTGTGTAATTATCCCCGCTTTAGCTCTGCCTTTGAACAAATGCAACCTGTGGCCGCGGAGAATATAAAACAGTCCAACAACACGAGATATGAAATTAGGCTATTGTTTATGCCATTTACCGTTTCTATTTCAATCCATCCAGTCCAAAAACTTCGCACATTACAATACAATGGATGTATATACACACACGAAGCCAAGATCTCTTAAATTGTGGCATACAAGATTACAACTACATACATTAAAAGCATCAAAGTCCTTCCACAACCAAGGAGAGCAAAAGATAAGAGACATCAACCCCCTGAGCCATGAGACGGATGAGAAAACCGACTGCATGAATGAACTTTATCACTGTCATTGCATGCCAGCAAATTCACCTGCAAGTTTAGTTGAAACAGTCAGGCATATCCTTCATAGACCGAATACATCTTGAAACACAAATAAGAGAAGGATAGAGGCATGAAATGACCTTCACTATTTCTGAGTTTGAGCTTGGACGCACATAAGCAGCCAACACGCTCATGTTGAAATCCTGGAAGCAACAAGAGAGGTAATAAGTGCTATTATGCCTCAGCTAACTTTAAAGTACAGATCACAAGCAAACTTTGTACAGCACTGAGTGACTACACTACATTTTAAGGAAAATTCAGAAGGAAACCCCCCATCAGTCGGCAAATGCTTTTAATATGCAACTGAAGCAAAACGTAAAACTCACTCTGAATGGATCACCCCTTAAAGACTGCACAAACATGGAGGCCCCAGAACCTTTACCCTGTGTACACATTACAAAAAGGAATGTCAAATTTGATGCAAATTATGGAAAACATGCTTCAAGATATACAACACTGAATCCACTTTTCACGATCAAGTTACATAATGTGGCCTTTTCACCAATTGGAAGCATTCCATTAGTTTCCATACATATTACAGCAAGTTATATCAAAATCTCTTTGCAACTTCACATAATCCAAGGGTAAACTTTTTGAAAGAGGTTTTCTAATTGTCCAATGATTGTCATCTACTATGATCATCTTTTTAGTCTCTCTAATTTCAAAATTGGGTGGAATGAAAAAGGGGGTAAAAACTACAACCCTCTCCAAATATGAGCCTGAAATTATCAAAACAAAAGGAATGAAAATATCACATTTATCTACTACTGGAAGAAGATTTACTACTTTACCTCCAAAGAAACATCCCTAAGGCGCCTCCCAGTTTGAGCACAACAAATGCGGACCACATGTTCATCGCAACTTCCACTGATAACATAATCCCTTCCATTCATATAGTAAGACCGTGTATAGTTCTGAGAGCTTCCTGTTGAAGGTATGCCGAAATCTAGATGGAGCCTTCCATCTGCTGCCAATAACTGTTTGACCTGGAATTAAGTAATTTCTTCAGCTGGAATTCACCATGTTTCTTTATCCACAATTAAATACTATTCATGGCATCCGAGTTAAACAAAGGGTGTTTATTATAATTCTGAGAATGGAGATGCCATTTAGTCAAGCAATATTTTGTTACCCTAACTGGTCACATTACTAGTAAAGCATCTGTTGTGCATGAAAGCATAACAGATTCTAGCAGAAACTATTCATTTATCGTTGAGGAAGATGTTACCTCATTGTCAACTGCTGAAACAAGAAGGTATTTATCATCAGGAGAAAAGCAGACCATAACATTCCCACGAGAACTTGTGGTAGTATAGCAAGGTTGGCTTGGTTTCTGTCTCAGATCCCACATCTTAACATCCTGATCAAATGATGAAGTTGCAAAAATGGAAGGCGAGTGATTAGAGAACTTGACAACATTAATATGTTCCCGGTGCATATCAGTCAAAAACTGTAACCGCCTGCCACTGCCGATATCATACAAAGCAACGTGATTTGAATATCCACTTGCAAGGAACAGTTCATCCGTTGAGTTGACATGAACAGAAGTTAATTGATCAAAGTCATCAAAGATCACGGAACCAGCTTCAAAGTGGTTCCTATGATTTTGTAGAGAAACACGGTGGACGTCATACAGTCTAAGCGAACCATTATCAGAGCCAGCAATGAGCTGAAATTTAAATAAACATAGAAAGATTATTAGAATGTACACATCACTCTTCACCTTACATAATGTACGAGCTGGTCTTGTAAATGATATCTTAATAAACAGAACTTGCTTTTTTCTCCTCCACAAAATTCTTTTTTTTTTTTGTAAGTACTGATATAACAGCAAATTCACCTTAACCACCAACTACTACATAGTAGACGTCTGACAGTTGAACGCACAGAATACAGCAAAACAAACTTCAAGATGTGCGAAAGAAGCGGTAACCCTGAACTTGACAATCTACGGGTTACATAATCATATCGTACCTTAGATGGATGTTTTCTAAGCCAACAGAGTCCCAAAACACTGTTCATCAATCCGAGCGATGGGATATAGCTGACAACATTGTCACTCTCATGATTGACAACTACCACTTCACCATCCAAAGTTCCAAAAACCATAAGGCTTGAATCAGATGGATGATACTCGAATTGACGTGGACGGAAACTTCTTCCATTGCTTGATGCATTACCCAATGAGGAAAGAGGATGCACAGCCGGCCAGGCAGAAGAACCCATTTTTGCAGCAGATAATGACCTAGAGTAGTATGATGGTGTGATCCTTGATTTGTATGGTGTAGCAACTGGTGTTGGAGTCCCAACTTTTCTATGGTGCGCTCTGATCTCACGCTTGCACAGAATAGAGACCACACTCTCTTTCTTCATTCTCTTATATGGAAGGTACTCAAAGTGTTCCAAGAACACTATATTGGCTCTCTCCCTCTCAATCTTTTCAATTGGCAAGTTATCCAAACGCTTCAATTTCGGTAGAGATGCTATCATGTACTCTCTGTAATAATGCTCATAACATATTGGTGATGAATGACAGGAACTGCACTTCCTTAGCATATGCCATGAGGTAGACGAACTTGGCACACGCACTTCGTCATGATTCTCCGAAGTCCCAATAGAATCCTGCCATATTATAATGCAAATGCCATTAGCAAACATCACATGTAACTTCATGTCCTATCCCATCTATTTTCTGCGTGCACCCAAAATTTCCATTTTAGAGGCTGAAAGCATGGCACCAAAGAGCAACAACAGGCAATGTTCTAAAGTTGAATTCGTCATTCAAATAAAGTTTTCTAAACAAATAGGAAGTTCTGAATTCGGTTACTTAATACAAAACATCCATCCAAAAAGAGATGAAGAAAATATGTGGCCGCAGTTATAGCAACTCATAACATAAACCAAGTAATAGTGAAATAGTTACCTGATTCTGCAGATTAAAAAAGTCATCCCAACCAGCAGAAGCATCGAGCAAGAAGTCAGCCGAACTAAAATTCTGATGATGAGTTGAGAAGTCCACTTCACTGTTGTCAGATGAATACTCTTGTTCTCTACGATCAAAATTTACATCACTGTCATTCATGTCCAGCTCTTCTGCATTTGAAATTTGATACGACATCTCGTCATCGTTAGATGATGCAGCTTCAGCCAAAAGCTTTATACCCTGTTCATTGGGCGCTACACTATCATTTTCCGGCCCACAAGATGGAATGCAACATCCTCCTGATTCATCCCAGCATAAACAATTTTGAAAACGAAGTTCAGTTAAACAGGGGAGTTTGACAAGTGTTGCACTGGTTGTCCAGAGATTAGAGATCCTTGTCTCACACAATGAGAGAAAGTTTAAATTTGGCATCCAACAAAAGCAATCTTCCCGAAAACTGGTGAGCGAAGCACTGAAATCCAAGTTAAGAGTATGCAATTGCATAAACCTCCCAACCAGGTTGAGCTTCCTAAAATGAGAAGACTTTAACTGTAAGACTTGGCATGCTAACCCATGTTGAGCAAGATCCCTACAAGACAAAATCTACAAGGTGTCAGAACAGAATGAATCTCGTAGTTCAAACCATATGGCTTTCTTTATCAGCCATGTTAAACTTACTATTGAATTCACAATAGATACATAAATAAAGCTCGACGAGTAAGATCCCAGATCAAGGCGAAGCTCTTTGTAACTGGGAAAATAATTTATACAATAGAGGACAGAAGCAGTAAAGAAATCTAAAAATAAAAATAACCACCAGTTACACGAAAATATGTAATGGAACAAGTATGACGTGTAGCTTTAATGGAACAAGCCTATTTAGTATCAGTATCAGGTACATAAAGGAAATGTAATATGGAGAATGAATTCAGTACAAAACACACAATAAAAATATCTCCTCTCACTCCTGAAAACATTAAAGTAAGAGTGCCAAACAGCCCCAGGAAGAAGGAAAAAAGAACATTAACAGTATAAGAAGGGACTGCTTACAACAAAAGGTCTTTCCCTAGCAATATATCTTGGAGATCAACAACACGAAGCTTCTCATTTACCGCCCGTAATAGAAGCAATACATACTCCCCGCTCAAAAGACAAGATGATTTCTGTATTACGTCAACCGCATCGATCTCAGAAATATCAACTCTGCAAAGCAGATCTAAGAGAGGATAGAAATCATCATCCTTCAAGTCATCCAAACAAACCACAATGCTAGTTACTTCATGACGAGCTTTCTTGACCTTTGCCTGATAAAGAAAAATCAACGCACTCATTTCAGCTTGATTCAACATTCCATGAAGATAAGACGGTCCTTAAACTTCAAACATAGTAAAACTCAGAACATGATGCAAAACAATAGCATGCACCCAATCAGGTCTACTGCAGATGCAAACAGTCATATTTCAGAATGGTCATGCAAGATCATTACGGTAGAGGGTTTGTAAGAATCAGCACCAAAGACATACACCATGGTGCTAATGCAACAAAATCAACATAATCTAGAAGGAAAATCCAGTAAAAGCCATCCAAGTTGCTCTCTAAGTAGATCAGGGCAATCTTTTGTTCTCAGAAAGACATCTAACAGCTCTTCCACTGTTCTACATTTCTACATCAAGCTCACAGGGCATCTTCAAACCATATCGGTGTCCCAACTCAAGAAGCTAAAAAACCTATGCGCAAGAGTCTACTGAGTATGGAGAAAAGACACATCAAAACTTCACCTAATAATCTCACAAAGTAACAAAGACATTACAATTTGCATGCATAAAGATCAACAGCTAAACAAAAACACCATCTCTAATTAAAATCGTATCTATGGTGATACTAAAACAAAAATTCAATATAGAACATAATAACCAAAAACCTGAACGTGATCACAAACCTTGAACAAGGAGGACGAAACGGATTTAATGGGTGAGACACCGTGCCTTTTGCAAGAATCAAGGTACCTGAAATTGTTCGCACCAAACAAGCAGCAAGTGTTTAATTAAGGTCCGAAACGCAAGTATTATTTAAAAAAATAATTAAAAAAAAAGAGGAGGATAATTTTTCTTACCATTTCTCCAAGGTACTGATATCGGCAGCCATGGAAATTGCTTTACAGTGATTGTGTTAAGATTAATTAATCACAGGAAAATACAATTCTACTCCGCTCCTATCTTCTTTGTCTTATCAAGTGAAATCAGACAAGACAGATATGATTAAGGATGGCACAGGCGTCAAAACTCCAATTTTGCACTGCCACAACCTAAGGAGTCGCAAATATTATACCATGAGAGCCGCCGGTGATTTATTTCGCGCCTGATTGAAGAGAAGATAATGGTCGGTTTTTCACCGTTCCGGTGTCTGATTTCCACCGCTCAGAGAATGGAAGGACTGGGTAAGATTTCTTACAGGTAAAATTGGTTATGTTACGGTCGGAATTCGTAAAAACTGGTGTGAGAATGTTGGGCTTTTTGAAACTTATTATTGGGCTTTCTTATGCTCCGGAACTAGATTTTTTCGGGCCAAACTCTTACAGGTAGACCTTTACAAATCCATTTTAAAGCACACTTCTCAAAAGTCCAAAATAACTGAATACAGTATGTTGTATATTGGCGTGTGCACATGCATTTCCTTCGTCAATCTAAATTTGAGTCGGATAATTTTCTCTTAAAATATGAAACTCCGCGAATAAATATTTAACCAACGATGCATTAGAAAAGTTTGAAAATTGGTGAAAATTTCTTGTTATTCTTCTTTTGTAATGAAACCGATTCGTGTGATAACGTGAAAATCACATTCTCATGTAACACACTTTATTTGAAATACATTTTTGAAAAACAATTCTATTTTTTTAAAAAAAAAAAAAAACTATCTTGAAAATATTAGAGTATTGTGCGTCTTCTTTAAGTGGACATGACCAGATTAAATAATACAGTATTCTAACTGTGCTTTACAATTGGTCTCCTACATATCCAGACAAGCTTTTTCAAGTACTTGGTGGAAGTGAAAAAAGAAGACGATACGACTTCACCTTCAAGATTGAGAGGGAAAGAAGCAGCCTTTTGCAGAGATCACAATGGCATTTGTGGCTTGACAGTTACTAAATGCATCATTACAACTTTTTTGCATCTTCTCTTAGCAATGATCACTTGAATCGGTAGTACTAATGCGCTTTCTTCTGCGGCCTTTATATCTACTTTGTACTAGCACTAAACAATCACATTGTACTTCTTTCGTCTCCAAAAAATAGTCCACATTATAGATCATAAATTATATTTTCAGATTTGTAATTTTCAAGATCACAAAAATAAAATAACGACTCGATCCACCCTAGTTTCTAAATTATTCTTTAGAGTGATCAGATCAAGCAAGCAGTTAGTACAACAATTGGTTGTGATTCAGAAGCTTATTAACATTTGGAAGCTACTTAGATGGAAAAATGAAATATCAATCTCTATCAATATTATTGTCAAAAAAGAAATTGTTGTTTTGAACTGGATGGATAGAGACATAGAGTGTGCTATAACAAAATCCCCAAGCAACGTTCATCATGTGTTCTTATCTGACCGAAAGTCAAGTAGGAGGAATAGGAGGAGTTCAACTTCAATCTCTACATTCAAAAAGAAAGGGCCCCGGCGGTTGGTGAGGATTTGAAATAATTAAAAGAATGGAATATGGCAGCAGTGAAATGCTAGCTATATTTCCTGTACCAGCTGATTTTGAATTCGAATATGAAAACAACTGGGTGATAGTTGTTTTTTTGTTGTTCGCACGAACGGGAATTGAGGCGAATCCCCTAATCCATCCAAATCATAACAGCAACAATTATTTTTGGAACAAGCTAATTTTGAAATAGTAACAGTGTTACTATTTCAAGCCACCAACTTTACTTCTTTCAAACATTAATTTCTAATTTTGACTATTTTATCCCTGTAATTTTTCCAAACCCAGTAAAGAGAAAATTAAAAAAAATTTGAAAACTAGAAAAAAAAATTAAAAAACCGACCGGCCGTGCAAGAAACCCGTCCCGAGTTAGTCCGGGACGGGTGGACCACCCGTCCTCTTGTTTGCTCGAACGGGTGCATTGCCCGTCTCGAGTTAACTCTCGAGACTGGTGAACCGTCCGTCTACCTTAAACCCGGGACGGGTGTATTGCCCGTTTATCTTTGAACCGGGACGGGTGTATTGCCCGTCCTCCTATGTCTAAGGACGGATGACTTGCTCAGTCTGGTCCGGTATTATAAGTCGGTCCAGTCAGACCTATTTTTAAATTTTTATTTTTTTCGTAATTAGTTAATCTAGTTTTATGTGATTAAATTTTTATTAGTTAAATGTATAATTATTATTTTTTAATTTTTTTTTGTTATTTTTTAATTAGTTAATCTAAATGTCATTAAATTTTTATTAGTTAAATGTATCATTATTATTTTTACCTAAAAATTATCTTAAAAAATAATGATTGAACCAAAATTTTATATTTTAACATCAATTTAAATAAATTAACTTAACAAATAATCTTAATCGAGCAACCAAAATGTATCATTATTATTTTTAATAATATTTAAAGTACGAGATATTCAACATGTAACGATATTGCGAATAAACTAGTATTAAAATAAAAATTAATAATTTACCCGTTCTCACGTGAATCGGGCCGGATCACTTGCTCGATTCGGTCCGATTTTTTTATTTTTTCTAAATACATCTGAGCGGCTCATTTTCTCTCTCTCTCCCCCCTCCTCTCTCTCTCTCCTTCAATTTAGTTTGGTCAAATGACAGGGACAAAATCGAAAATTGGTGGCTGAAAGAACTAAAGTTGTTGGTTAGAAAAAACATCTCCCGACAGTAATATTAATAATTTAATAGAGAGAAGAATATAATTTATATAGGAGTAAAAAAAAAACTATCTATCTATATACTCCCTCCATTCACAAATAGATGTCGCTGGAGAGATTTCACAAAGTTTAAGGAGGCAATAATTATCTTGTTAAAATACTATAATACCCTCATTTATTCTTAATTCAATTGTAATCCCAATAAAATTCACTTCTAATACAATTCTACATTAAACATCACAACAATTTCCAATGTAAGGGTGATATTGGAAAAAATTGACAAAATATGCCTCGATTTGTGAGAACGACATCTATTTTAGAATATTTGAGTTTTCTTCCAACAACATCTATTTGTGAATGGAGGGAGTACTATACTAAGGCAAAAACCAGAGAGAGAAATCTAAAGTTAAGGCGCACATGCCACATAGGATTTTATCCTATGTGGCATTTTCTTAATTTTCTAGATATAAAAATCTATATACTTACTATACTAAGGCAAAAATCAGAGAAAGAAATCTAAAGTTAAGGAGCACATGCCATATAGGATTTTATCCTATGTGGCATTTTCTTAATTTTCTAGATATAAAAATGTACAAAACAAAACAATTAAAAAAAAACGCACTTGAAAAAATCCAAACCCTATATTGATTCGGCCAAATCCCTGCAAATCCGATGGACGGATCTCTTCCTCCTAAAAAAAAAACGCAACTGAAAAAGAATTTTATATTAATAATTTATTAAAATAATTAAAGAAGTTAGGCCAACCTGAAACTTCTATAATTTAGCTTCAAATATGGAATTGAGTTAAAATACTATGGTGATGGGTTGATTTAGCGGGGCTAAAAAATCTAACTTTAATTCGAAAAAAAAAAATGAGTAGGATAGATTTGACATTTGCGAAAGTGTCTAGAAAGATATTAATGAAGAAAAAAAATAGTTAAATGATATTCTTTAAGGGTAAAAAAAATAGTCCCACCCTCACATTTTAAATAAAATATTTTTGACAATGGGTAAGTTAATTAAAGATAAATTATTAGATGGGTAATGAGAAATAACTAAATCAAACGAACAAATGAGGCTAAAAAATAAAAAATGAAGGAAAGTGAGAATGCATCATATTTAAAAAAGAAAATAATAAAATAAAAACACTAAAATCAAAAGTCACACCGAAACAAGGAATAAAGGTCCTGATATCCAATTTTTTTAATTTTTCTTATTAAAAATTGGATGGCCTCTACAACAAGTTAGGGTTGTTGTTTTTGTAGTAACCATTCCTTATCATAAACCTTTTCAAAAAAAAAATAAAATTTCTTATCATAATTTTTTAATCACCCTAGCCGACCTTTCCACCCCAGATTACCAATGTAGTCTACCAAGAAATATTGCAAGATATATAATTATTTAATTCAAAGTTTATTTTTTTTAATTTCTTAACAATCTTTTTTGTGTTAAATAAACTACCAGTGTATTCGTCTGGTAAAGTGTTGTCGATGTTTGTGTTTTATATTTTTTAATAAATTCATTATATATTTTATAAAAATACAAAAATCTATACAAATATTAACATTTTTTTTGATTTGTTTGTATAATAATGCCTATGTATATGTGCTCCCCGTCCATCGGACGGGTCTAACACATAGTTGATGATAATGATAGAACAGTTGAGCCCTGTAGATGATGATGATGGTGTTTCAAACATCCGTTTCTATCTTTAGTTTGAATAATGACTACATGTTTGTAGTGTTTGTTCGATTGTAATAAAACAATAATAATAATAATAATAATAATAATAATAATAATAATAATATAAAAGTGACACAATCAAAAAATAAATATATTATCACGTTACGTTACACACTTACAGTAATAAGAAACACATAATTTTGTGTACTTTAAGGACTTAGAGAATGAAAGATGCAACAACCATGCACTATTAGACTGAGAGAATAAGGTACGAATTAGAGGATGTGCTAATTTGAGTAGGATCATTAACTCAAAAGTTCTGGTGCAATAAGGGACAAAATGCAAATAAGGCAAAAAAAAAAAAAAAGTCCTCGCAATCAGTTACTTATATTGACTGGAATTCTAAGATGACAATTCCCAGAACAGCTGTTTCGTTTCATACCTGAAGATTCTTGCCTTTCTTACGTAACTCCTGCAATATCGAGAAAAAAATAACAAAAACGTACAGAAAAGAAAATGATTTCTGAAACTAAGCGTTAGTTCCCATAGAAAAAATATTCTTCCACCAGTAACAAGTACTGATTAGAACTACTATACACATCACCTCCAAGACTCCAAGCTATTAGCGACAAGAGAAAAGTTGGACATATGTAAAATTGTTATTGTTATTATTATTATCTTGATGAGATCATGAAATCAAATCTCGTTGGGGACAGAAATTGGCAAAGTATTATGATAACAATTAATAATTAGTACACCAAAGTAGATACAAAATGTGAACTAAAGAAAATTGTGGTGTAAAAAAGTGGTCCAAGGATCATCAGTTGTTAATATGTAGAAGCTTAAATATAACAAGTAGCTAGCTCGTCGGGTCGAAATCAAATCCAGTTAGCAAGCCAGCCAGTCACCAATAATTTACTGAAAACATTGGCAATAATAATATGTCAACTAGCCTGGATAGTGAAGGCCTAGATTATAATTATCCAT